CGGATGAAAGCTGAACTCCAAAAAGCTGCCAAAATGAACTCTGCCCTCTGTTTAAAGGTTTTATGGTGCTTAGTGAAATTATTTGGGCCCGCCTGCGCAGCAGCGCAGTGAGGCCCACTAGTCAGGATGGCCGAGCGGTCTAAGGCGCTGCGTTCAGGTCGCAGTCTCCCCTGGAGGCGTGGGTTCGAATCCCACTTCTGACAATGTCTGCTTTTCCCTGCAACTACTGGCTGATCCTGCACATTGAGGGGCACCATGGACCAAGTCTGCATGCTAGTTGATACTGTAACCTGAGACCCATTTCAAGTTGTGTCTGTCCTCTGACTCCTGCGTTTTGCCTGTCTGTGATGGACAGATGGGGCTGCTATGAGAATGAGCAGACTCTTGCTCCTTTGAGCTGACCATCTTATTTGGGTTGGTCAGTAAAGGTGGCCTTTCCATTCTATTGTCTGATCAGCTGGCTTTGTTTTCATGCCAGATTTCGTTTGTTGTGCTCCCAGTGGTATCCATACAGGGTGGCGGCAGGTCCAGAAGTACTTGGCTACAGTGTTGGCCAGGTTCCAGTGTGGTTCCATGGTGTAATGGTTAGCACTCTGGACTCTGAATCCAGCGATCCGAGTTCAAATCTCGGTGGGACCTGCTTTTGAGGTGCTAGAATTCGGGGCAAATCCGACTGCAAGCCTGTGCTGGTCCCTGGCACCAGTCAGAGACACTGGAGAATTCAAAGGCCATCAAGTAATTTAGTCAGCTAGGGTTCCTCAAGGATCCTGCAGTCCAGCTTAAGTGTAAAGACTCGGATGAAAGCTGAACTCCAAAAAGCTGCCAAAATGAACTCTGCCCTCTGTTTAAAGGTTTTATGGTGCTTAGTGAAATTATTTGGGCCCGCCTGCGCAGCAGCGCAGTGAGGCCCACTAGTCAGGATGGCCGAGCGGTCTAAGGCGCTGCGTTCAGGTCGCAGTCTCCCCTGGAGGCGTGGGTTCGAATCCCACTTCTGACAATGTCTGCTTTTCCCTGCAACTACTGGCTGATCCTGCACATTGAGGGGCACCATGGACCAAGTCTGCATGCTAGTTGATACTGTAACCTGAGACCCATTTCAAGTTGTGTCTGTCCTCTGACTCCTGCGTTTTGCCTGTCTGTGATGGACAGATGGGGCTGCTATGAGAATGAGCAGACTCTTGCTCCTTTGAGCTGACCATCTTATTTGGGTTGGTCAGTAAAGGTGGCCTTTCCATTCTATTGTCTGATCAGCTGGCTTTGTTTTCATGCCAGATTTCGTTTGTTGTGCTCCCAGTGGTATCCATACAGGGTGGCGGCAGGTCCAGAAGTACTTGGCTACAGTGTTGGCCAGGTTCCAGTGTGGTTCCATGGTGTAATGGTTAGCACTCTGGACTCTGAATCCAGCGATCCGAGTTCAAATCTCGGTGGGACCTGCTTTTGAGGTGCTAGAATTCGGGGCAAATCCGACTGCAAGCCTGTGCTGGTCCCTGGCACCAGTCAGAGACACTGGAGAATTCAAAGGCCATCAAGTAATTTAGTCAGCTAGGGTTCCTCAAGGATCCTGCAGTCCAGCTTAAGTGTAAAGACTCGGATGAAAGCTGAACTCCAAAAAGCTGCCAAAATGAACTCTGCCCTCTGTTTAAAGGTTTTATGGTGCTTAGTGAAATTATTTGGGCCCGCCTGCGCAGCAGCGCAGTGAGGCCCACTAGTCAGGATGGCCGAGCGGTCTAAGGCGCTGCGTTCAGGTCGCAGTCTCCCCTGGAGGCGTGGGTTCGAATCCCACTTCTGACAATGTCTGCTTTTCCCTGCAACTACTGGCTGATCCTGCACATTGAGGGGCACCATGGACCAAGTCTGCATGCTAGTTGATACTGTAACCTGAGACCCATTTCAAGTTGTGTCTGTCCTCTGACTCCTCGTTTTGCCTGTCTGTGATGGACAGATGGGGCTGCTATGAGAATGAGCAGACTCTTGCTCCTTTGAGCTGACCATCTTATTTGGGTTGGTCAGTAAAGGTGGCCTTTCCATTCTATTGTCTGATCAGCTGGCTTTGTTTTCATGCCAGATTTTGTTTGTTGTGCTCCCAGTGGTATCCATACAGGGTGGCGGCAGGTCCAGAAGTACTTGGCTACAGTGTTGGCCAGGTTCCAGTGTGGTTCCATGGTGTAATGGTTAGCACTCTGGACTCTGAATCCAGCGATCCGAGTTCAAATCTCGGTGGGACCTGCTTTTGAGGTGCTAGAATTCGGGGCAAATCCGACTGCAAGCCTGTGCTGGTCCCTGGCACCAGTCAGAGACACTGGAGAATTCAAAGGCCATCAAGTAATTTAGTCAGCTAGGGTTCCTCAAGGATCCTGCAGTCCAGCTTAAGTGTAAAGACTCGGATGAAAGCTGAACTCCAAAAAGCTGCCAAAATGAACTCTGCCCTCTGTTTAAAGGTTTTATGGTGCTTAGTGAAATTATTTGGGCCCGCCTGCGCAGCAGCGCAGTGAGGCCCACTAGTCAGGATGGCCGAGCGGTCTAAGGCGCTGCGTTCAGGTCGCAGTCTCCCCTGGAGGCGTGGGTTCGAATCCCACTTCTGACAATGTCTGCTTTTCCCTGCAACTACTGGCTGATGCTGCACATTGAGGGGCACTATGGACCAAGTCTGCATGCTAGTTGATACTGTAACCTGAGACCCATTTCAAGTTGTGTCTGTCCTCTGACTCCTCCGTTTTGCCTGTCTGTGATGGACAGATGGGGCTGCTATGAGAATGAGCAGACTCTTGCTCCTTTGAGCTGACCATCTTATTTGGGTTGGTCAGTAAAGGTGGCCTTTCCATTCTATTGTCTGATCAGCTGGCTTTGTTTTCATGCCAGATTTCGTTTGTTGTGCTCCCAGTGGTATCCATACAGGGTGGCGGCAGGTCCAGAAGTACTTGGCTACAGTGTTGGCCAGGTTCCAGTGTGGTTCCATGGTGTAATGGTTAGCACTCTGGACTCTGAATCCAGCGATCCGAGTTCAAATCTCGGTGGGACCTGCTTTTGAGGTGCTAGAATTCGGGGCAAATCCGACTGCAAGCCTGTGCTGGTCCCTGGCACCAGTCAGAGACACTGGAGAATTCAAAGGCCATCAAGTAATTTAGTCAGCTAGGGTTCCTCAAGGATCCTGCAGTCCAGCTTAAGTGTAAAGACTCGGATGAAAGCTGAACTCCAAAAAGCTGCCAAAATGAACTCTGCCCTCTGTTTAAAGGTTTTATGGTGCTTAGTGAAATTATTTGGGCCCGCCTGCGCAGCAGCGCAGTGAGGCCCACTAGTCAGGATGGCCGAGCGGTCCAAGGCGCTGCGTTCAGGTCGCAGTCTCCCCTGGAGGCGTGGGTTCGAATCCCACTTCTGACAATGTCTGCTTTTCCCTGCAACTACTGGCTGATGCTGCACATTGAGGGGCACCATGGACCAAGTCTGCATGCTAGTTGATACTGTAACCTGAGACCCATTTCAAGTTGTGTCTGTCCTCTGACTCCTTCGTTTTGCCTGTCTGTGATGGACAGATGGGGCTGCTATGAGAATGAGCAGACTCTTGCTCCTTTGAGCTGACCATCTTATTTGGGTTGGTGAGTAAAGGTGGCCTTTCCATTCTATTGTCTGATCAGCTGGCTTTGTTTTCATGCCAGATTTCGTTTGTTGTGCTCCCAGTGGTATCCATACAGGGTGGCGGCAGGTCCAGAAGTACTTGGCTACAGTGTTGGCCAGGTTCCCGTGTGGTTCCATGGTGTAATGGTTAGCACTCTGGACTCTGAATCCAGCGATCCGAGTTCAAATCTCGGTGGGACCTGCTTTTGAGGTGTTCAGAGGTGCTAGAATTCGGGGCAAATCCGATTGCAAGCCTGTGCTGGTCCCTGGCACCAGTCAGAGACCCTGGAGAATTCAAAGGCCATCAAGTAATTTAGTCAGCTAGGGTTCCTCAAGGATCCTGCAGTCCAGCTTAAGTGTAAAGACTCGGACAAAAGCTGAACTCCAAAAAGCTGCCAAAATGAACTCTGCCCTCTGTTTAAAGGTTTTATGGTGCTTAGTGAAATTATTTGGGCCCGCCTGCGCAGCAGCGCAGTGAGGCCCACTAGTCAGGATGGCCGAGCGGTCTAAGGCGCTGCGTTCAGGTCGCAGTCTCCCCTGGAGGCGTGGGTTCGAATCCCACTTCTGACAATGTCTGCTTTTCCCTGCAACTACTGGCTGATGCTGCACATTGAGGGGCACTATGGACCAAGTCTGCATGTCAGCACACGCATGCTAGTTGATACTGTAACCTGAGACCCATTTCAAGTTATGTCTGTCCTCTGACTCCTTCTTTCTGCCTGTCTGATGGACAGCTGGTGCTGCTTGTTTTCATGCCAGATCCCATCTGAAACGAAAAACTGCCCTGACTGACCGTACATGATCCGACAGCTCCTAAACGTGATGTCACATTTATTCAAGGCAGATGATTTATGATAATTAACACTACAAACACATTTAGAGCCCTACTTTTAGTATTATCCAGCTACGTCAGTACTGCTGCTTGCTTTTCTGGCAGATTACTCTGAGCTGGAAAAAGAGAGGACCAAAGGTGTGTTGAGACAAAAGTCATGTATCAACAGCATGGGTTTATGATTTTATGGATCGTATTTTTTTGTTTGATAACAGTGGACTTTGTTCCAGAAGAAGGTTTGAATCTTTCTAATGGTGTTCTTTCTCTTAAAAAGCTCCACCTCCTCACCCCTGATCCATTACCAGATTTATCTTCAGCAAACCAGAGCAATTTTAGTCAAACTCGAAACACACAGGCACACATGAAGAAACAGGCGTTGAGATTAACCTTAAGACCAAAACCAGAAGGATACAGGAGTTAATGGGTAAACTGGGAACACTTTTAATGTCAATATATCACCACTAGTCTTTTACAGCTTAAAAGATAAAAGACCTGAATTGAACACTGGAAGTGATTTCCTTTTTGAACTGTGTCTTCAGCTTCACTCAGAGACTAAATGGCTTCCAGGTTGGAGGAAGATCTGTGCTGTCCAGTCTGCAAAGGCATCTTCGAAGATCCGGTAATCCTGTCCTGCAGTCACAGCTTTTGTAAAGACTGTCTGCAGATATGGTGGAAGGAGAAGAAGGACAGCGAGTGTCCACTTTGTAAGAAGAGAAATTCAAAAGGATTGATACCTCCTAATCTTGCTTTGAGAAACCTGTGTGAGACTTTCCTACAGCAGCCTGGTCAGGCAGCTTCAGTGGATCTCTGCAGTCTGCACTCTGAGAAACTCAAACTTTTCTGTCTGGACCATCAGCAGCCAGTGTGTCTCATCTGCAGAGATTCAGAGAAACACACTGACCACAAATTCAAACCCATTGATGAAACTGCTCAACAACACAAGAAGACACTTCAGGAAACTCTGGAGCCCTTAAAGAAGCAGTTAAAGATCTGTGAACAAGGTAAAGAAAAGTTTGATCAAACTGCAGAACACATGCAGGCCCAGGCCCGACACACAGAGAGGCAGATTAAGGAGCAGTTTCAGAAGCTTCACCGCTTTCTAGAGGAGGAAGAGAAGGCCAGGCTGTCTGCACTGAGGGAGGAAGAGGAACAGAAGAGTCAGAGGATGAAGGAACAGGTGGAGGCTCTGAGCAGAGAGATAGCAGCTCTTTCAGACACAATCAGAACCACAGAGGACCAGGTGAGAGCTGAAGACGTCTCATTCCTGAAGAACTACAAGGCTGCAGTAGAAAGAGTCCAGCAGTGCCCCCTGCTGGAGGATCCACAGCTGCCCCCAGGAGCTCTGATAGACCAGGCCAAACACCTGGGCAACCTGAGCTTCGAAATTTGGAAAAAGATGAAGGCCATGGTCTCCTACAGTCCTGTGATTCTGGACCCTAACACTGCTGGTCAAGGACTGATCCTGTCTGAAGATCTGACCTGTGTAAGACTAGGAAAGGGACAGAAAGTTCCCGAAAATCCAGAGAGGAAATTAAGCTATGTCTACTCTGTCCTGGGCTCTGAGAGCTTTGACTCAGGGACTCACAGCTGGGACGTCCAGGTTGGAGACAGTGAAGTCTGGTCTCTTGGTGTGTCATCAGGATCTGTCCAGAAAGGGGGATTCAAAGAGTCTTGTTTATGGAGAATATGGTGCTTACATGGTGAATACAAGGCACTGGCCCCATCTGACCCTGAAACTGTCCTCTCCGTGAACAAGCAGCTCCAGAGGATCAGAGTGAGTCTGGACTGGGACAGAGGACAGCTGTCTTTCTCTGATCCTGATACTAACACACTCATACACACTTTCACATACACATTTACTCACAGACTGTTTCCACATTTTTATGCTAAGGATGGACTGAAGGTTTTACCTGCTCAGATCTGTGTGACTGTGGACCAACATAATTGATGATGAGGAGGAGCATCAGATGAAGTTTATTCAAACATGTCCTTATTTTTATTTTTAAGTATGAGCGTATTCACATGGCAGCCATTTTTTCTCTGATGTCACTGTCAGGTGGATAAAAACATACATAAAACAATAATTTGCTGCTGTGTTTTCAGACTGTAGAAGGAAAAAGATTTAAACAAACCAACAGATCACCATCTGAAAACAGTTCATAATCAAAACCGGATTCCTTAGATATACAGTTAATAATAGAGACGTAAAAATAGAAAAATGTTTTCCATGAATATGGGATCATAATGTGAGAGATTTTAACTTCATCTGTACAATAATGAAGTCATTTTTGTTTGTTTTCAGTTATACTTCAAATGTCTCATGATCTGAAAGAGTGTGCAAAATAAAAGGTGATTGAAAGAATAAAGAATACCTTCACAGAAACAAAAAAACGCCATGACTGACTCTACATGATCTGACAGCTCCTAAATGTGATGCTACATTTATTCAGGGCAGATTAACTTTTCATTCATGATCATTAAAACTACTAACACATTTAGAAGCCTCACTTTGAGTATTGTTCAGTTAAAGCATTACTGTTACTGTCTTTTTTAATTTTATAAGACTCATTCTGGAGATTATTCTGAGCTGGAAAAAGAGAAGACCAAAGGTCTACTGAGACAAAGGTGATTTTTACAACAGTTTTATGATTTTATGATTCATCTGTTTTTTTAGGTCACAGAGGACTTTGTATCAGAAGTTCCACCTCCTCACCCTTGATCCATTACCAGATTAATCTGTAATAAACCAGAGCAATTTTAGTCTAACTCGAAACTCACAGACACACATGAAGACACAGGCTTTCAGATTCTACAATATAAAAATGATTTTTTATTTATTATTTTGTTGATTTTTTTCATTAAAGAAAACCAAAAGTAAAGAATGTGTTTAAAGTTTTAGCTTATTTACAGTGCACATCATTATTCATCATTATTCAGACTCTGTGCACAGTTAGGCTCTGTCTGTGATGCACTGAGATGTTTATTTTAAGAGCAAATCATAGCCTATGTTTATTGTTAGGCTCTGCCCCCATCAGACCTCACAGGTAGTCTTAAAACAGATATGATAAGAAATATCTCACCTACTTATCAGAACACAGTTCTGGCTCATAACAGCAAGGGGCAAAAGGAGCAACATGAAGTCCTCAGCTTGAATAGACTACCAAAAAAAGAGCAGTCAGTGTGTTTGTCAGGTGAGTGAGGGAATGAAAAATCAGAGATTGAGTTACCTGTCTGACTCACGAACAGACTCACATGGCTCACAAACAGTTCATAATAACTATAGGCACATATAAACAGGTACTTATATATAGGTAAACACACTAAAGAAACACACATTCAGAGTTACGGTGAGAAAATTTTATTAAAGGTGATAAAAAGTCAGATTGTGTTTTTTGGCTGTTTGTGTTTCAAAGTTTAAATTATATAAACAACAATCAGCTGATCAGTCACATAACCCTTTAACTAAATCATCAGTACTAGGTGGTGATCAGGTGAGGTAAGGCTGACAGGTGGAGTCTGATTATGGAGCTGATAATTAACATTTGGCACATTGTCAATCAGACATTTATAAAACACAAATAGTCAATTCATCTCTTTATGAAGCTAAAATAATAAAAAAAAAAACATCACAGAGCGCGGACACACTGCTGGTTACCAAGCTAACTACCTACACTTTAACTTTAGTTAACTAGCCAAACTCTGTTAAACTCAGAAACTTGAGTTATAGATATTAGTTCAATAATTCAAAGCTAACCTGCAGTTAGGAAGATTTTGCTGTCACTTAGCACTTGCATAATTCTGGCTAGCCGGCATGTTACAGGTGTCCGACAGTAGGAAAGCAGCACCCTCTCCTTACTGTCTGACAGAGCAAACATGATTTTTTATATAGTTAAAATTAAACAGGTTATTTCTGACAGAATAATCCAAAATTGAGCTGAAATAAATGTTGAATTATTCTGACATAAAGACACATTTGACACTTTTTAAATACCTGACTTTTAGATCATAACTAATTTTAAACCTGGTAGAGATCAGACCAATTATTAAGTTCACAATCCTCTGTGATCAGGCTTTTAGAGGATGTCATCAGCCAAATAAAAAAAGGGGTTGCAAAGTAAAGCAGGGTGGTGTTGTGTTTACATCGGAGGCAGTCTGACCTGGAATCATAAATATTAAACAGTTGATGTTTACGATCCCAGATCAGGGAGGCTTCAATTTGATTGGAGGCAGTAAAAATAGTTATAGGAGCCCCACACACTTGAGGATTATTAGGACAAAACATCAGTTTCAACAAGCCTTCAATCAAGCCACACCCACCAATCACCCACAGCGGCAAAAACATCTGGGACCAAAATTATCAACATGCAACCATCCTCCTTTCTTTATGAGTTTAAGCCAGTCTGGACTAGTTCAAACTAGTTAAGATTAAAACTAGTTTGAAATAGTTTACATTTTCCTACACTGGTTTATACTGGTTTACACCAACAAAAGCAGTTTGATGATGCTTTGAACTTGTCAAACTAGTTTGCCAGTTTGCTGGTTCAGACCTTGGAAAACCAGTTTACACAAGTTTAGACCAGTAAAAACAGTTCTTACTCTGGGTGTCAAACCTTATCAAACATTCGTTGAGACCAGTTTACACTTGTTCATAATGCTATTTAAACCGGTTCTGCTGTTTTTTAAACTACTGCAAAGTAGTTTTAACTAGTTTGGACTAGTTAAAATTAATTTACACTGGTTTACACTGAAACAAATTGGTTTACACTGGTTCGGAGCTGTAAAAAGTGTTTTACATTGGTTGGGGCAGATTCAACCAGTTGACATGAGTCCAGACCAGTTTACACTGGTTTACATCGGTCCAGATTGCAGCAAACTGGTGCTGCACTGGTTCAAACTGATGAAAACTGGTTAACAATCGGTCAGATTGGTTCAAGTCCAGCTGAGTCCCAGTCCTCGGGTTATCATGACCTGCTCCAGGTCCTGGTCCTCCTGTCTCTCCTGCAACCTCTGCTCCTCCAGCAGGGACACTAGAGCGTCTCTCTGCTCCACCACCTCCAACATCTCCTCCAGGATCAGACGCTCCGCCACCAGCTGACCCGCCTCCTTTAGGTGGTCTGAGGAAACGCAGGTACACAGAGAGATGAGGGGTGCATGTTTAAATCACAGTGTTGTTTGTCTTAATGTATTGATATACGAGGGTGATTGATTGATTAGTGATTGGTTACCTTCCACAGCCATTCTCTCTCGAAGCTCCTGCTGCAGACGGCTCTGACGGTCTTCCAGCTCCAGCTCCCGAGCGCTAAAAAACAGACAGACTGAGACATGATCCACCTCAGGGACCTGGGCATTATAAACTGTATCCAGGAAGTCCTTTTAGACCTGGTCCTGTCAGATACAGGTCTATGATGACCTCCTGGATGGTTCTGGTAGACCTGGTCTACTCACAATATCATGAGCTCAGACTCATAGCGGAGCAGAGAGTTCTTCTGCTGGACCAGCTGGAACCACTGCTGCATCAGAGCGGGACTCTCCAGTTTACCCAGACCTGCAGGGACAGGTACAGACTGCAAGACTGGACTGAGCAGAGGACAGAGGGGGACTACACTGTCTCACTACACCACAGTATGCTGCATGATAAAGTGAACAGAATAGTGGAATGTTACACCTTACCTTCCAGGTGAAGCTCAATGTCTGGGCCATCATTGTCTCCCCAGTAATCTGAACACACACACACGCACACACACACACACACACACACACACACACACACACACACACACACACACACACACACACAGATTAAACAGCAGGGGTGCTGGGTAAGTATCCATGATCCATACACATCCATCCATGCACAACATTCCCACTCTGTATGTACACTTTATTTATAAACCCACCAAACTGTGTTGTATGTGTGTATACCTGCTTCTCCTCTCAGAGCTTTCTCCACCATCACTCCTTTCTCCTCCAGCTGCCTTTGCTTCTCCTCCACCTGCTGCAGCTGCCTCTGGATCATCTGAAACACACACACACACAGTTTCACCTGGACCACCTGTCAAACCCACCTCACCTGACCAATCTGTCTGACTTGACATCATTGTCTGGCCCTCTTATTGTCACCTGATCAATCTGAGAAACGAAAACTCTGTCCTCAAGAGGACCTGGTCTTTCTACATCCTCAGTTAGACCTGGTCTTTATTCCTATTGATCCCGGTCTGACCTGTTTTTGTCTTTCAGTTGAACTCACCTGGGCTTTGTGGAGTCTCTTCAGCTGGTCCTGTTTTGCAGTCCGTCTCGCAGCTCTCTGGACTCGTCGGGTGATTTTGGCGTCCAGGTCTTCAGGGTCCTCTTCCTGCCCTCTCTGGAACAAAGTCTCCTTCACACTTAGACTGGACAGCTCTTTGGGCGGGACCAAGACCCCCACCACCTCTGTGGTACATGAGGACCGTCCATCTGAATCCTTGAGGGGGACTGAGTCCTTCCTCAGGCGTCTCTATAAAAACAAAAACAGTGTCCAAACATCAGACAGAGTCTGGGGTGTCAGACCGCCATGATCCAGAATCCTGACCACATGATCTCTTAGTCACATGATGGCCAGTGTCCATACCTTGATGGCGTACGCTCGTTTGAAAGCCAGAGCGTGAGGGACATATGCAGGCTGAGAGACACGAGGGACAGAAAGAGTCAAAGACAGACAAGACTCTAACGAGTCAAACAACAAATCGTGCAAACATGGAGCAAAAAGACTCAAGACTTCTTCATTTCCAATGACTCATTCAATCTCCAGTCAGTTTTAAATGAGTCTGAGTCGGTGAGGACAAGTCTTAACCTGTCTAAAGTTCTCTCTGCAGATTTAAGTCCAAGCTGACAGAGTCATAATTCAAGTGAGTCAAGACAAGTCAACTGAGACAGCTCCAAGTCAGTGTGGAGTCACATATTCTGAGTGAGCAAGAAAAAGTCAGTTCTGGCATTTCCAAGTTCTTGTCAAAATCCATTTGGAACAACCCATTTGGACCTTAGAGTCCTAAGGTGAACTAAAAAATTGTGCCATTAACAACATGCAGAGATCAGTGATTCGGGTTCTAATGATCTAACATTAATCTAACTCTAAGCTATAGTCACTGATCTGAGAACACACTGAAACACAGATCTCCTACAGAGCACAACTGGTACCTCCTGGTTCTCTTCCTCATTCTCCTTTAATGAAACTTTTTGAATCTCAGCCGTGAGGTCGACCAGCTCCAAACGCAGCTTAAGACATCAATGAGACAGATAATGAGTCAAACCATTGAGACTGGAGTCCCTCAAGACTTGAGCCTCAGACCTCTAAAATTTAGCCTGTACACACCCCCTATAGGTCATGGGGTCAGAGAACAACCAATCAAATGATTGTGTGAGCACTCCGATAGCGAAAAATATCTCTTCTGCAACAAAGTAGGTTGTTAGACTTGACCAATTAGGAAAAACCTTCTGTCTGCATGGAACTACCAAACACAACAGATTTATTTGTATCAATCAAGAAGGTCAGTCTGTGATCACATGACCACATTAATCAAAATACCTGTTTGTTCCAGTTATTCACCTGATCATTAAATAAACAGTGGGTATACCAAACAACATGCTAACACACTGCTGGTTGCGAGTACTGACTATGTCATACTAAGGTGAGTTTGAGTGTGTGTGTGACTCTTACGTTGGCTCTGGGGGTCAGTGAACATCTGTGTAGCAGCACCGATGAGTCCAGGTCAGAGGTTTCTGTCAGACCTCCCTTGATACCTGAACACACAGAAGGTAAAGAAATTACATCAATGGCCTTACACAACATTCATGTGGTTGTGTTTATTTCTTAAAGGTAAAGTACTTTCCTGCCTAATAGATGGAGTTTAATTAAATGACCTTTATGTCATTTAAAATAACATGAATTATTGTTGAAATGGCAGTTCAGTTTTCTATCTAAATGTCAAAATGTTCTGCATGTTTGATGAATAAAAAACACAGCAACTAAAATTGAATGTATGTTTCCACGTTTACCCGATGCTTTCCTCTGATTGGTTGCTTCCTTCCTCAACCTCTCTACAGGTAAGGTCCCGCCCTTCTTCTTTTTCAGCTCTTTGTTTCCAGAGAACACTGCCCTCCACAGGGCTTTGGCTCCGCCCCCTTCAAACTCCAGCTGTCCAGCAGATGGAGCCTCTTTGAGCCCCTTAAACTGGCGAAGGAGAGCTCCTCCAGCCTGCAGTGGGGGGTGGAGGAGTCGTGGCGGGAGGGTGTGTGCTCCTTTATGTCTCCTCCTCCATCTTGCATCTGACTCCGCCTCCTCATCCTGTTCCAGCTCATCATCCTCTGGCTCCACCCCTCTGTTCCGCACGACCAGCGGCTCCTGAGGCATTTCAGGGCTGATGTCATCGAATGAGCCCCGCCCTTTGCTTGAAAGCCACTGGTGTGATCTTTGAGCAGCTGTTTCCATTACAACAACAGGTGGGCTCAGTGTGGGAGGGGCTGTATTCTGGTCATCCTGGGTGGAGTCAGGTGTGGTGACAAAAGAAGCAGTGGATGGTGTATATATGGGAAGGCGAGGCTTTACAAGATTTGAGAAGATTGTGAAAGGTGGAGTGCTGGAGGTGGAGTCAGGCTCCACAGGTGTGTCTGTGTGAGTGATGTCACTTCCTGTTCCAGATTACACAAAAGGGGGGACAAATGTAGTCAAAATCAACTGAAGACAATAGGTTGATAAAGGGCACTAGGGCGCTGTACCCTCTGTCTCGCAGCGTGTAGAATCACACGGCCCTTTCTTTTTATAAAACGTTCTTTTGTTAAAAGAGAGGTAATTGAAAGGTATAATTTGCACGAAAAAATCAGTTTAGAAATGTCCTACGTCGCCTACAGTTACTTATGGCATATATCTAGCCAGGGGCGCACACATTTTAGGGATATTCCGGAGTAAAATTAATTTAGGGTAAAACACACAATTAAACCCAGTTAGACACCCCCTTCAGAGATGAATGTTGCCGACTGCTTTCTTCTCTAGTTATACTAACTTAAGTAATGACTGCACGATAATACACAGCAGTCTGAGGAACCACACACCAACCTCAACCAATTCACCACCCTATAGCCACAAATAATGATCAGAACAGCACCTAACTTCATCAACAGTACATATAGGGTCCTAGCCACCAAACATCTTTTTAACTTTGCCGAATTTCTTTAGCAAAGAGACTAAACACAACTCAACCACTCTGTTCCAGCAGCCGCTTGTTTGTAGCGAGACCTCAGGCCAGTCCATTATGGACTACAGTGGGGTGACGCAGCTCAGGGAAGAACGTTTATGATGTTTATGATGAGTGCTGAGTATTGCTATCCAGCGGGTGTTACTAAAGGTGGCATAATTGAAAAGCAAGCGGTCGACAACAGTCATCTTTTAAGGGGGTGTCTAACTCGGTGTTATGGTGTGTTTGACCCAAAATTAATTTTACACTTTATTCACATAAATCACATATCCCCATTGACTCTCGTTACAACTTTGACATGCGCAGCTCGGTCCTTTACAATACAGCGGGGCGCAGCCTGACCGCGCCCTGCTGTCTCCCTCTCGTTGCTGCACTTTACTGCTTTTCACCACCGGCCATAGGGTGGCAGCAGAGAGCGAGCGGTTTGTTCGGCTGCTTGACTGTAAACAAAACCACCAAGCGAGTGACGCACAGCTCCAGAATGTCGCCGGAGTCACAGAGAGAACCAAAACAGGAGAGAGAAAATGCTGTAGAGTCACTGAAAACAGTGTCGTTCGAGAGGAGAATTTTAGAGTGAACGAGCTGGGACCTGACCGGCCGGACGAATTCATTCAACAGCAGTCAGAGGGAGGAGCTGTACGCGGTCTTTTTCACGGAGCGGGTTTTGAGCTGGCTAACTGGATGCTAACCCAAAACCTTACCTACTTGTCCAAACCAAAGGAACCATTCAAGCCTGGATTCAGACAGGTATGCATATTTATCCATTCTTGATTTGTTTATTGATGGAAAAGGAGATTTTAAGGGTTTGTTTGTACAAATTATACCTTATCTGGAGCAAAAGATATCAAACACTGGGGAGATAAATTCAGATCCAATAACTGGTAACATTTACCTGCATTTAATTATTTGTTTGACTCTATAGCGGTGCTTAGGTGTACTGTCATCAGTAGTTAAAACAGGACATCAAACGGTTGTGAATAGGGTTGCAAAGGGGTGGAAAATTTCCAGAAACTTTCCATGGGAAGTGAAGCTGGGGAATTTTGGATATATTCGGAATTGGAAACTTTCCATGGGAATTATTGGGAATGAAATGGAAATTGGGGGTAATTTATACAAACTGTATCATATCCAAACAAATTTAAATATCTTTGTTCAAGCAGACAGCCATGCAAATAATGCATTAAAAAGCATTTCGACAGATTTATTTGAATGGCGAACGTGGTTTTTTTGTAGAATAAAATAACCAAAAAGCTTGTAAATACACTAATGCATTGGCATGAACAGAAATATAGTTGGCTAAACAACTGGAATGGTCTTTAAAATATTTAACAATTGATGTATAAATTATTGTACGGTTACAGAAAAACCATCTTGCTAGAGTCAAAAGAAACAGCATCAAATTTAAGGTAGCTACCACCACCATAATAAGCTAGTCCCTTAAATAGTCAATAGCTTACATTTTGCACCTATTTTTATTAATTTTTTCAATTTGAATATTAATACTATTACAGATCAAATATATTTACCCCATAATACTATCAAAACTTAATATTGGGCTCAAATGTCTTTGGTCTAAAAAGTGTGGCATCCAGGGGTTGTGCCTGTAATGGAGGAATGCACCGTGCATGTAGGGGGTGTGGCCTCAATAGCCCTGCAGTGAGCAGTGTGTGCTGTGCATGTGATTGAGGAGTGTAAAACTGGTTGTTTTAGCCAAGATTATGCTACAATTTTCCCCAGCTATATTTAAGTTCCCTGATGTGGGCCAACCTTCACTTTTGTAAATTTCAGATTTATTCCCATTAGTTACCATATATTCTCAGTAATTCCCATGGAAAGTTTCCAACTTTGAAAATTCACAGAATTTTGCAACCCTAGTTGTGAACATAATGTACATTAATTCTTATTATTTAGGCATTGCCGTCTCTGCTTTTTAGTTTGGTAAAGAAGTGTCCCCCCTAAACATCCCGTAATGCCTCTGGGTGGACTGTTATTGGGTGGGTTCTTGTTAGTGATGATGAAATATTCTGATAAAAGGATTGTGGTCTCTACCTGCCTCCTCCTCCTCCTCCTGCTCCTCTATCAGCAGCCACAGACCAGAGCGACGCTCAGAGGCCCAGGGGCTGTACTCCCCCTCTACCGGCAGGGACACACAACAGCAAACACGACATAACAACACACAACATAAACTAAACATCTAGAGGGGTGATTTAAAATAAGCTAAACTCACCATCACTGGACTCCATCTCAATGTCTGCTTCCTCTCCACTTCCATTATCATCTTCATCTTCATCATCATCTTCCTCGTCTTCATCCTTCTCCTCATCGTTTCTTAGGTGGAGCAGCAGAGTTTCTCTCCATGAAACCTTCTCCTCCTCCTCCCCCTCCTCCTCTTCCATCTCTGACTCCGAGCTGAAACACACGCACTCAACATGTTACATCAAATCTTAACAATGTTAGTAAAAAAAGTTTGTGATGGAGCTCGTGTCATTTTATATAAAATCACTTTTCCAGAACAGAGTAAGACCACTAAAACTAACTAACTGCAATCAAATGATGATTCTCTTTGACTGAAATCAGTTTGATATTTTTTAGATGATACTTAAATTAAATTGATTAAATTCTTGTAAAATGTGGGAAACCATGTTAGACGTTTAGTATATCTCTGGCCCTGTTTGTTCACCATACACAGGGCTCTCAGACCTGGACTTGTCCTCTGGTTTTTGCCCCAGATCCGAGTCCAGGTCCAAATTGAAGCGGTTTAGCATCTCCTCAGGGACTTCCTCAGGCTCCTCTGCCTCCTGCAGAACCCCCACCTCCGTGGTCGAGCTGCAGCGATAGTTTTCCAGCTCGATCCTCTCGGGTGTGGCGGTCTTCACAGAAACCACTGCACACAAACCAACACAGCCACACACACACACAGACACACACAGAAACACACACACACTAAAGCCCACAGTGACGCCGTTTAAGGAGCGTGCTCAGTATGAAAATGTGAGTCAAACAACGGCACAGGTAAACAGAACTTACCTGAGGAGCGACGGCGAATGGCAGAAACTAGAGAGCCTGCAGAAGACGGTGAGGGGGCGGCACTTAGAGAAGCCTGTAAACACAACAAACACAGTGATATACACTAAGGTAGCAAGAAATCCATCAGTCAATCATCGAGCAACTGCAAGAACAGTCAGCGTGCAAACCCTAATCATTTTTGACAACAGAGGTCCTGACTGAGTAATTGAATTTAAAATGTTATCATAAACTTCTGGAGTCGACATGTTGTCATTGTAAAGCTAAGACTGTATGAAGGCTGTGACTTCTAAACAAACCCCCTTCAAACAGACATGAATATTGAAATGAAGATTTTCTTACAGTGGATGTTTGTAGAGAAGAAGATCTTTTAGTCCTCCTTAGTGCAGATGTAACATTTGGACCAGAGTCACAGTGCTGCAGGCAGTAAAACCTCCCTGATATACACAGATAAATAAATAAATAAATCATTATATTATTATCAGCATATTGTAAACAACACATTTATATCAGCGTCATAAATTAAAAAAAATAATTGATGAAAAACATCAAAATCAGGTTTTAATGACCAGAATTTTCTCTTACAAAAGACAGATAATAACCCTTCTGCGCCCCATCTCTCTGACTCTGACTTCTGAGATTTTATAAACATGTTTAAGCAGAGGTCATGTGACCACTGCACTGTGATTGGCTGCCCAGAGGCTTCATCTAACACACAGGGTTCTTTGATTCACCCACACACTGACGAATCATATGGATCAACAGTGTTAAACCTCTGTGGTGGTCAGTGACAGCTGATCAGTCTGTAAACTTTGCTGTTCGACCAGTTGGCGGCGGGGTCTGTTGACATGTGGGCGGAGCCTGATGGCAGATTAACCTAAAGAGGTGTAGGTGTGTGTGTGTGTCAGGCAACTGCAGCTCCTCCTGTCTATCAGTTATACTGACCACGCCCCTTATTTTGCCAAACTTTTAACCTCAACATTTTCAAAAATAATGAGTTATAAAGATTTATCGCTATAGAATGTGAGCTTGCAAAGAAAAGGCCAACTCAGCAAAGTTGTCAAAGCTTACCTATAGATGTGTGTGCAGTGGATATAGGTCACAGTAAAGCTGAGTGTAAGCATGTCATTGACATGTCACTGATGTGTAATTAATGAGTCTGCTGTGACATAGAGCAGCTTTATGTTATGACTGTATGAACAAACTGAAAAAGTCATGTGCTCATCCTTAGGCTGTCCAAAGATCTTCTATTAACAACAGACTGTTGAAACTCATAAAATCTCAGTAAAGGACAGCGTGATCACATGATTTGAGAACCAGCAGTTTTAACTGTAGATCTGTGTTAACATTATACACTGACTGTTATGTAGAGAAGTTGATATCAAACACAATATATATACAGTACAGGCCAAAAGTTTGGACACACTTTCTCATTCAATGTCTTTTCTTTTTTTTATATGACTATTTACGTTGTAGATTATCAATGAAGGCATTAAAACTATGAATGAACACATGTAGAATTTTGTACTTATAAAAAAAGTGTGAAATAACCGAAAACATGTTTTATATTCTAGTTTCTTTAAAATAGCCACTCTTTGCTCTCGATGACAGAAGTACCTTGTCAGGGTTACTTCAGGCACTCCTGTGAAGTAAAAACCATTTCAGGTGACTAACTCATGAAGCTCATTGAGAGAACAGCTAAAGTATGCAGCGCTATCAAAAAAGCAAAGGGTGGCTACTTTGAGAAATCTAAAATATAATGCATGTTTTCAGTTATTTCACACTTTTTTCTTAAGCACATGATTCCACATGTGTTCATTCATAGTTTTGAGAATCTACAATTTAAATAGTAATGAAAACAAAGAAAATGCATTGAATGAGAAGGTGTGTCCAAACTTTTGGCCTGTACTGTATATATATATATATATTTTAATTAATTAATACTGAATATCAACAGTTATTAAAATAATCACTGCATGGACAAGAAAGGTGTAACAGGCTACTAACGGGTTAATAATCGATCATCATTTATTATGTCACTGATGTCTTATGAATGTTTTTTTTAACCAGGTCATTTACGGATTGTTGTTGTTATCAACAGGTATATATCAGGTTACTAATAGGTAGCTAACTTGTTACTTTTAGGTCATTGACCGGTTACAGATTATTAAAATTTTACTACTTAATCGTTTGGAGGTTATAAACAGATCAAAACCGCCTTTCTAAGAAATTCCCTGCAGGTATCTGGCGATTATCAACAGGTCTTGTATTGGCTATTAACAGCTGGTCAACAGGTAAGCAGGTGCGCATACCTGTGCCATGGTCGTAAGTGTAGGCGGCCAGTTTTAGGGAGGAGCTACAAGTGAAGCATTGAAAACAGGAGCGATGGAAAAAGAACCCCTCAGCGCTCAGACGCTCCATCAGGTAGACCCGGTCCTTACAGAAATAACACTGACCTGAGGACTGAAACACGGAGACAAGTGAGCAGAGACAGGTAACTACAGGTAGACAGGTATTCAGAGACAGCTAATCAGAGACAGACAGGTAATCTGAGATAGAGACAGGTAATTACAGACAGACGGGTAATCAGAGATAGACAGGTACAGGTTAGAGGATCAGGTTTTTACCGAGGTCATCTCCTCCTGACTTTGAATCTGATTGGCTATACGTTCAACCATTGAGCTTACTCCACCAGTGTACATCTGAAGACACTACAGCAAGACAGACAAAGACAAACAGATAACTAAAGACAGGGAAGACGTAGGAGACAAAAACAGGACTCGACTAAGACAAGGAGACAAAAACTGACAAGGAAAACAGGAAGGAATCATAATAATCGGATCAGTCCCTACTCAGTTTTTTGTCCATCTCCTAGTGTGTCTACGTTAAATCCACTAACTCTACACAGTGCCACAGTTACCCAGAATGCACTGCGACTCAGTACCTGCTCCTTCTCACTGAGCGCAGAATGACACCTTATCTTCTCTTTGAACCGAAAACTCATCTGCTGCTGCAGAAGGGTTCGCTTTCTCTGACGGTGCCGTTTTCATGGAGACCAAGAGGAAGACACAGGACATCTTTCAGATTTTTGAGAACTTAATTTGATCTGCATCAAAAACTGATTCAGAGTCAGCTAGGAGTAGATAAGTCTTTCTGTCTCAACTGTCTTCTGCTGTTCTCTGCTGTCTTCAGCCTTCGTCTATACCCCCCTTAGTGTCCCTATCTTTCCTTAAGTGTCCTTTGTTGACCTAAACTTTTATCTCTTGTCCTCTGATATACTATTCCCTGTTGCCTTCTATTTGCTCAACTGTCCTGTATCATCTTTAACTGCCTTTTTCCTCACCTTCTGCCCTGTACTGTCTTTAACTGTCCCCCCTCTGTCCTTTACTGTACTTGACCTTTCTCTGCTGTCCTTTTCTTTTACCAGCTGTCCTCCACTAGCTTCTTCCGACCACTTCTGTCTTCTGCTGCCCACTTTCAACCTCTGTTGTCCCCTGCTTTTATTTGCTGTCTTAAACTGGACTCTGCTGTCCACTTTTTGTCTTCTACCACTTTCTTATCTCCACCTCTGCCTTTAAATTGCTGACTTCTGTCTTTTTCTGTCCTCCAAAGTACCATCTTTCATCTGTCCTTTTGCTATCCTTCCTGCCTGCTTTTGTCCTTTAATATCTCAATTTGTCCTTCACTGTCCTCTACTGTACTATACTTGTCTTCACTTCCAGCACATATTACCGGTCTCCATGACGATGTATGCACTGTAGCCTCAGGACTGTCTGGAGATTGTGGAGGGGACAGCTGCTCCCCCTGCTGGTTGACATTTAGAGTCACACAGTGTTTAAAGATGGAAATAGGAATATTTATTTTCCTTTATCATTTCTGTGACTGTTCATCGACATAAGATCTATTATCAATAAATAAAATACATGTCAATAAAGTGATGAAAATATCAAATAAATCAGTGAGTTAAAGGAGGTGATTTATGCTCATCATTTAGCATGCACCTCTGTGTGGGTGTCCCTGCTCTCACCTGTCGGCGTATGGCTGCTGCAGCTGATGTAGAGGAAGTCTTGGTGGAGGTTGAGCTCTCTTCCAGCTTCGCCTGCAGCTGATTGGCCATCAGACGTACTTTGGAGTTGCTGGCCCCACCTACATCATGCCCCTGGCTGTCTTTATCCCCGTTTAGGTCACATGACTGGAGACAAAAATAAAGATGAGACAGAAACTCTTTTTGTAGTTGTCGTTTTTTGACCATCTGAAGAATAAAGTCAAATCTGTTTTATTCTGACCTCCTGCTGATCCTGGCTGGTCTTCCTTCGTTTCCCCCGATCTTCTCTCTGGTCCTTCAGAGACAGAGATGAATTCACAGACACAGCAGTAAAGACAGAAAAACATAGACAGATAATGATAATAAATTAAAATGTAAATAATAATAAAGATCTGTGGAGACCTTTGGGTTTCTTTTCCTGGATGGACTGAGTCCCAGTCGGCTGAGCAATGAGGCTGGTGTAATCAGAGCTGATCTCAGATCAGAAATCTGACTCAGATAGCCTGAAACACCAATAAGATGCCAAAGAGACAAGTTATTATCCAGTCATGGTTGTGATGTTCAGAGAGTTGCAGAAGATCAAGAATCTGACATTTGTCTGAAATCTGGTTCAAGATAAACCCTCAGCACTCAGGAATCCCTATTAACTTGAAATCTGAGAGTCTCACCAGCAGGGGGCGGTGTGTCTTTGAGCAGCTGGTAGAACTGGATCAGGTACATCACCATTGACAGAGAGTCTGGCTCTCCCACTGAGGACATCTCCTCTGCTGTCATCAGCGGAGAAATCCCAAACTCTTGCTCAGCCACGTCAAAGCCCAGGCGAGTGTTTTCCTCCACTGAGGACTCGTCCAATGAGTCAAAGTCTCTGAGGACACACAGAAAAGGGCAGAGAAAGCGGTCAGGTCTCAGTCAGTCATTGTTTTCATGGTACAGGGTCCTGATGGTTGGTGTGTCTGTGGAGGTTACATGAGGTCGGGTCGGTATCGATGGATCAGAGCACACAGAGCCAGTCCACTTTTCCAGGAAGATGTCAGGTCAGTAACAGAGACGCCATGGTAACCGCGAGTGACCTCCTGACACCAAGACAGCAGGTTATTGGACTGTGAGAGTGAACCTGTAAGAAAACACGGCAGAGACATTAGACCAATCACAACAGAAGGGGACAGATGACGGGAAATGAAAGTAAACTCACTGTGACTGATGAGTCCAGGTGAAGGCAGGCGGGTGATGTTATCCTCTGTCATGTCATTGGTTCCCTCACCTGTGTCCACAAGGTGTCTCACCTGTAAGAAAATCTTTGATAGTCCTTTAACAGATCAATCTGAGAGACAATATTTATCCTTGTATGCAATATGTGTGTTTGTACCTGTGCAGGTGTGACGATCTGTGTGTTGATGTTCAGGTATCGTGTTGCCGGGTCGACTGTAAACAGACTGAAGTTCTTCTGAAGGTTCTCTGGAGTCGTCTGAGGAAGGAGACAGTACACTGACTCTCTGAGGGACAGATGGATAAACAGGTGAGATGTTTTTACTGTATGACAATGGATATTCTGTTACTCTGATGGCAGCAAGTGTGTCATGTTCAGGTGTACACACATCCAGCTAGGAAGTCAGTGATGCACCCCAGCAACCAATCAGAGCCCAGTGTTTCATCAGACTGTGATTTACTGTTAATAACTGACCTGTCTGCCAGCACATCCAGAGGAGATCCTCCCTGAGACCAGCTCCTGATCATCCAGGCTGAGTCCAGGGCTGCCAGAAACCCCCGAGCTATACCTGTCCCCATGGGCCAGAATGGCTGCACCAGAGGCAGGTGAGAGAGAGACACAGGTAAACGAGACACAAGTGAGAATATAGACAGGAGGAAAAGAAAGATGTGTTGTATGAGAGTTACAGTCTACAGTCATCCCTTTGTAAGTCTGTCTTACCTCAAGCAGACTGTCTCCCACCAGAGTGACCAGCAGCTGGTGTCCGTGGCGTTGGCGGACCATGGCAGCGTTCTCGGAGGCGTACATGCAGGTAAAGTCAAACATGGCGACATCAGGCTGACCGTAGTGATTTATGGCAAAGTCCAGGGATGGCAACTGGTGATTGGTTGAGAAGTCTGCGGCCTCTGTGGCATAAGCTTGCAATGCATCCTGGTCCACGTTGCCCCGTGAGAGGAGATGCTCTGTGTCTGCAAAATCCTGATGAGGGATGGATATTTAAGTAGACATCTAAGTAGACCTTTTAATGTTTTGTCTCAGAGACTGACTTGTGTCTGCTGTGTTTCCAAGTGTGCAGCCTTACCTGCAGTATGACCCCTTTGTCCAGCAGACTCTGCTTCTTGGCTGTCATCACAAAGTAGTGCGTGTCATCTTTGTAGTACACAATGTTCTCCAGGTCGATCCCTGACAGACATGAAGAGAAGCATGAGACTCATGTTTTCTAGCACGTTAACCAGATGTGGCTCATATTTCCATATTTGGTACCAGTTTCCTGCCGTAGTTCCTGGAAGAACCTCTGGTTAAAGATGAAGGCGACCCCACTGATCTCCTCTACTTTGGCCTCTGCTGTGGTGTTTCTGTTTTTAAAATTTGCAGTGATGGCAATGGCCAGCTTCCCTCTGAACTCTTTACGTCTGAAACCTGAGAACAACATCAGATAGATTTCAGACTGACCGTGCTAACATGCTAACATCAACTTTCACAACCTCAGTGAAGCACTGGGGCAGGCTGAGGTGCCAATGCTAACTCATGCTAAAGAATCAGACTCTTCAGGTTCAGACTCAGCCCTCAGCACAAGGACAAGGACTTAAGGAGCAGACTTTGGTGTACCTGGCAGGGTGTTCCTGCGTCCATCTGCTCCAATGATCACATCAAACTCCAGCTGATTCAATGGGTTAGACTTAGGACTCACCTCCATCCTCCAGCCCACCCCTATACAGGTAGACAGGAAGGCAAGCACACAGGTGAAGAGAGGGCTGCACAGGTACAGAGTTACATAAATATTAAAGTGCACAGGTGTAGGTGTGCAGAAGTATAATAGTGCACAACTCTTTAGTTGCACAGGTATAAAGGTGCACAGGTAGATTGATCTTAGATAAGTTCTGGGTTTGCCCCTGACTCTCACGCTGTCTACTCTGGTCCACTGGCGGCTCCACCACCTTCTTGAACTCCACATTGACATGGACCTCCACCCCCAGAAGCAGAGCCACCTTCAGCAGGACCAGCTGCAGCTGTCGTATACCTGCAGACAGAAAACAGACCTTTATTGGTGGATCCAGGTGATGGACAGACAGCTGTAATGGATCACAGACTCACTGATGTGGTCGATGGAGCTGGCGCAGAACTTCCCATAGAACTTTTTGGCCCCAAGGCCCCGCAGGTCATGGATAGTGAAAGGCCAGAGGTGCAGTACATTGTTCCTGGAGAACGAGTCCCTCTTCTCTAATAGCACCACCCGAGCTCCCATAAAACCCAGCTCCACTGCTGTCCGCAGACCACAAGGACCCGCCCCTATTATCACAACCTAACCAATCAGAGAGATATATTTTATTTCCTACTATAATTACCTCTCAGTATCAGAAAGACAGTATTTTAAACAAGTTATATTTGATGATATGGCTCTTTCTTTCATTCATTCGCTCACACGGCCCACTTTGATGATGGTAAACTACCTTAGTAGTCACAGCTACCCTGGGGCAGACTGTTGGCTGCCAGTTTGCGCCCACAGCCCCTCTGACCACTACCAAACAGCACTCACAATCATACACCAGTGGAGGACACACACTGGGAGCAAGGTGGGTTAAATGTCTTGCCCAAGGACACAATGGACAGACTTGGGGTAGGGGGAATCAAACTGCCAACCTTCCGGTTATTGGATAACTTCTTACCTTCTAAACTACTGCCGCCCATTTCAGAGCAAGCATCAGTGACAATCCATGTGACTTTGGTCAAATCAATGACAAACAAGCAGCAGCATGGACCCTATATTATGTTTGCATATCGTATATAATTTCAATATTTTGATCATAATAAATCAAACTCACCGTGGTGTTGGAGCAGGCGTGGGCCCTCATGTACTCAGGCTGGGCAGCCCTTCTGTCCAGTTTGGTCCACAGGGGGTTGGCCTTCCAGTAGTTGAGCCGTTGTTTGATTGGTCGGTACAGCGGCCTCTCGGCGGCGCTGCGGTCCAGTCGCAGGTGCTCGCACAGCTGACTGAAGGACCACAGCGCCGCCCTACAAGTGGACGCCGACACAAACTCATCAAACAGCTCCTGAGCTCTGCCTTCCGGGTATGACTCGTCTCCCATGGTGACCAAGGCCGCCGCAGGGCACCATGGGGCGGGGGCCTCACCTGCTGATGAGGTCACAGTCAGAGTCCAGGTTGCCTCCTTAGGTCAGAGAGACGTTCTGTAAGGAATCAGGACAGGTGATACTGTCAGTATATGAGTATATCTGCAGTTCAGGACAGGTGATCTACAAGGGAAGCTCTGTAACCCAGACATGTGTGTCCTAGTGTGTGTTGGCTGAGGTCAAGACATCCCGCTGAGTGGACAGTAAACAGCAGATGAATGTCCACATGGAGGCTGGAGACGTTGACATGTTAACATGAAGCTTTAAAATCATATATGTTCGGTGATGATGTCACTGGGTTCAAGTCACATGACAACCACTGACTGAAAATCTGTGTGTGTGTGAGAAAGAGAGAGTGTGTGAGCAGAGCAAACAAAGAAAACAAAGGGCTCATACAAAACAAATCCCTCTGTACCAAGCACAGACACACACGGACACAGACACACACACTCACACACACACACAAATAGCTGAGCAGTAACTGGTGTTAGCAAATCAAACTGCTTCATATTTAATGATTAAAATCTAAATATAAACAACTGATATGAGTTTGTGTGTGTTCATTTTAAATTTAAAACTCACAAATTGTCACCTGCATCTTTGTGTTTGTGTGTAAGGTGTTTGTGTTTGTGTGTGTCGGTGTGTGTTTGTGTTCGTGTGTATGTACGCGTGCCGTCACTCAGTAGGAACACCTGCCTGTCAAACACTGTCAGGTGAGGTACTGCTGTTTACCTGGAGATTAATGTTTACAGTGTTTAAAACCAGCTGATACACAATAGCACACACACAGACAGTGTCACACAAACACACACACAGAGTTATAAAGTGTAAAGTGCGTCAGTGTGTACTCACGTCTCTCTGAGCTGCTCTCCATCTTCAACTGCTGCCAGCCTACGTCTAAATCCACCCTAATCACACACACACACACACACTCACTCTGAGACACACATACTGACTGTGAGCTCAAGGGGTGGGGCCAGAGGTGAGCCCGCCCACCGAGGACAGACTCTAATCCTAATCTTAGTGTGTCTGGGCAAACAGGATTACAGGAAGGAGATCAGGAGCCACAGATCATCATCACCTTCATTACTGTCACCATCATCATCTTCATATTTATATCTGTTATCATCGTCCATATCATTTTTGTAATAACAATCATCCTTTCCTGTATTTGTCTTTTAATCATCAGCCTTCAATATCTTCCTTATTATCTTGGTCAAAACTATCATCTCCTTCATCATTATCATTATCTCCTTCATCTTTTCATTCATTAGAGCCTGAGCCAAGCAGCAGGCAAGGGTCCTATTAAAATTTCAGGAATAATATTTTGTTATTATTAATATTAAGTTTAACCTCATTTTTTTATCATAATATACAATAAAATTCTTTTATTCTTAAATGTAAAATTTTTATACAATTTTTTTTATCACTGTTTACTATGATTTTTATCATAGTAAATTATGACATTTTTTCATAATAAAATGTAAATTTTTTATTATACTGTACTATGATATTTTTTATCATAATATACTATGACATTTTTATCATCCTATACTGACATTTTTATCACAGTGACTAGGACATTTTTATGAAACTATACTATGATATTTCTATCATACTGTGCGATAACATTTTTTCACACTAAAATTAAAATTTTTTATTCTATACTGTGACATTTTTCATACTAAAATGTGAAATTTTTATCATACTGTACTATGATATTTTTTATCATAATATACTATGACATTTTTATCATCCTATACTGACATTTTTATCACAGTGACTAGGACATTTTTATGAAACTATACTATGATATTTCTATCATACTGTGCGATAACATTTTTTCACACTAAAATTTAAATTTTTTATTCTATACTGTGACATTTTTCATACTAAAATGGGAAATTTTTATCATACAGTACTACAACATTTGTATCATACTATACTATGATATTTTTATCATACTATACATGACATTTTATATACTACATCGTGTTATTTTTATTGTACTATACTATGACATTTTTTATCATACTTTACTATGATTGTTTTGTCTTATTATACTAAGACTTTTTTCCTACTAAAATCTAAAATTTGTATCACAGTATATTCTAACATTTTAATATACTTCCCCATGACATTTTTCAACATACTATAGTATGACTTTCTTTTTTATTCTAAAATTTGAAATTTTTATCATATTTAGCTGTGACATTCCTATCACACTATACTGTGACAATTTTATCAAACTATTCTATGACATCCTCATCATTAACATCATTATCATCTTCAGTGTGCTCTGCAGACACAGTAGCGCCCTCATCAAGTGGTCACTTTAATAAACAATAATGATTCAATAACTTCAGACAGCTTATGTTCTGTATTTATCAAACTATTTATTATTATTTTTACTGCATAAAAAACTTTCAAAGCAAAATACATTTTTACAGTTTGACTGAAATATTAAATTATTTAACAAAAATTAAATATCTAGCTTCATATAAACAGCAGGTGAACCTCAGTGAGGAGGAGAGGCTCCCTCAGCTGTTCAAATGTGGTCACTGCAACAACAGTAATTACAGTACATCCATAATGAGTTAATGCTATTTAAACAGGAAAGAAATATATTTTCCACTGAGTGTTATTTCAAATATAAACTTACAGTTCATAAGTTTAAGACTAAATTTCAAACAAAATCAAATCAGCTGTACAAACTGTACAAAACGTTTTATTAACGTTAATAAATTAGCCCTGAATCTGGATCTGAGCAGCTCGGTTATATTCAGAGGTACGCACTGGACATCTTCAGGAGTTTTGCTGAAACAGAAACAGAGAAATGAAAATAAAGTTATTTTAAAGTGAAATTAATTTGAAATAAGGTTTTGTCAAAGTGAAATAAAGTTCACAAAGAGATTTAAAAAGTTCCTCACCAGCAGTGCTCGTCCTTTGGTCTCAATTGGTAACAGGAAGCTCCCCAAAGCGCAGAGTATACTCACCACAGCGAATGGACTGAGCGCCAAAATCACAGAATAAGACATCAGCACCTGAAGAACACACAGAGTGAAACAGCTGGAGCATGTGAGGAGTCACCTGAGAAGACCACCCCCCTGGACCTTTAAACCCACCTGAGCAATGAACGGAGCGATCATTCCTCCGATTCGACTAAACGACGTACAGAAACCCATCCCCAGAGACCTGGCTGCAGTCGGATACACCTGAGAGACACACACCTGTTACCTGACACCACATCTATACACACATGACTAAGTTAATCCTCAAACAATCAAAGCTTGCACATACCTCTGCGGTGTAAATATAGACCACATTAAAGTTCATAGAGACTAGAGACCGGAGCAGGAACAGCAAGACTGTGAAACCAAACCTGCAGAAACATGAAGACAAGGTTCTCATAAAGCACCATAGACATACTGATAGTATGAATAAACCAGCAAAGCCCTATTCCTGATTTTATCAACCTAAAAATCTATTGAGAGGACCCTATGAACCCTCTGTCTACTTTCAGGTTACAGAAAATCCGCAAAGAAGCCCGTACGACCCACAAAGGCATGCTCAAAGTCCCCACAAACCCCAACAATCTATCTGTGGGTCCTCATAAACCTTCTAAGTCAGTACACACAGAGAAAGTGTGCATATATTTCTTACATGGTGGTGCAAATGTTGAGCAACATGAAAAACATGGCCGCCAGGGTTTGCAGCACCATGAGACTCATCTTACGTCCAACAACATTCAGCAGACAGATGTTCAAAGGGATCACTGAGAGGACAGACGAGACAAAGAAGGACAGAGGGGACAGGATGAGATCTTTGATAACTGAGGAAATAAAAAAGTTTGTTCTTGTTGTGTAGCATTTGTCCTGATGCTTTCCTGTATGGTGGCATCTAGAGGACATCTCAGGTTTGCATGTGTGGATCACACTTACATGCCACCTCCCCCAAACAGCTGATGAGCAGCGTCCGGTAGTCGTCCGGTCCGAAGGGGATGCAGTAACACAGTTTGTCGTCTTCGCGGTGTCTGACTTGATGTTCCTTGTCAGCGTCCGTCACGCACAACAAGTTCTTCTCCAGCAACTCTGAGCTGCCCAGCACCGAACCGTAGTAACCAAACGACGCCACGAACCTGACCAATCAGAGCACAGAGTAGAAACCCGCCCATTGTTTTTGCAATTAAACATCAAGACCGACTCAGTTTTTGTGTAAAACTTTGTCTGTAATGAACTTTCTGGACATGTTACCATGAAAACCAGAGCAGGATGGATGTCCTCCTGTACGCTGAGCTGAGCAGAATCTTCCAGCTGCCTCTCTCTTTCTGAAACAACAGAGGAAGATGACTCACTGTTGATCAGACTTCAAGAAAGACTCAGTCTGTGTTTCTCAGGTATAAACTCAGGTGTGAACGTACCACAGGTGGCTCTTCCAGACGTCCTGGAGGTAGGGACGACCTGTTCATGTCAGCGATCTTCTTCAGAGTGTTGACTGCCGCCTGAATGTTCCCCGCTGACACGTTGTACCGGGCCGACTCGGGAATGAACTGGCAGGTAGACAACAGAGGACAGACAGGTGAGACACACACAGGTGAGACAGACAGGTGGGACACACACAGGTGAGACACAGACATACATGTGGTGAGACGGACGGGTGAGGCAGACAGGTGTGGCAGACAGGTGTGCACCTTGAAGAGGAAGATGAGGATGATGCTCGGGGCGACGGAGATGCGGATCATCCACCTCCAGCCCACAAGCGGGACCACCAACATCCCAAGAACGATAATCAGCATGGAGCCTGTCATCCAGAAGATCTGTGATATTAAAAACATAGAGCATGCTGGGAGATCAACAGATCAGAGACGGTAGGACGACAGACAGGGCAAAACACCTACTGATTTCTGCATTATATTGTATTATATTATATCATTTTATACCATATTATATTATATTATTTTATTTTATTTTTTATTATATTATATTAAATCGTATTATATCATTTTTTATTATATTATATTATATTGTATTATATCATTTTATATTATATTAAATCATATATCATTTTATACCATATTATATTATATTATTTTATTTTTTATTATATTATATTAAATCATATTATACCATATTTTATTATATTATATTATATTATTTTATTTTTTTATTATATTATATTAAATCATATATAATTTTTTATTATATTATTTTATATTATATTATATCTTCTTTAAGGTGATTGAGGGTCAGTGTGTGATCAGAGCTTGTCATTTTGTTTTATTCCTCTATTGTCCTTATTACACTGACATATAACACAAACATGAACACACACTCAGAGCTGAGTCTGTCGATGGTAATATGAACATAAATCAGAATAAATTAAATGACTCACTGAAGCGAGGGGCAGCAAATAGGCTCGATACTTTGCTGGGATGAATTCAGTCTTTAACACGAACCTGAAACAACAACAACAACACATATAATTTGTGTCTGTGTGCGGTTATGGATGTATGTGATTAGCTGTTGTTGTTTGTCTGTGTGTGTGTATTCTGACCCCTGTGACACTAGTGCGACTCCACAGCCCACCATGCTGCGCAGGAAGATGAACCACCCGTACGAAGGAGCGAACGAGGTGAGCAGAGAGAAATAGGAGCTCCAAGCAAAGCCCCCAAACACAACCTGAGGAACATACAGAATACACAATTATACACAAAAATACAAAACATCACAAAATAAATAAATAAATACTGATATATAAAACTACACTGCTGGGCTGACCATGTAGCTCCTTGCGTCATCTCAACTCTTTGGGGTTTTCATTGTCATATATAAAACTGTGTGTTTTGAGAGTGTTTCTGACCTTCCAGCGTCCGTATTGATCAGCGATGTAGCCTCCTAAAACCCCACACAGCATGAAGCCTAGAAACACCATCTGACACACACAAACACACCACCTGATCAGAAACGGTGATACTCTTTCACACCTGGTAAAAACAGGGAGCAGGTCTTTTGACTCACCGTGGAGACAAGAGCGACCTGCCAGTCCTCCAGACGCCACTCACAGCGAATCTCAGGCGAGATCACCGCCAGCAGCATGATCTCCATGGCCTCCACTATCTGTTCATAAGCGATAACACACGTTTAAACATCTGAATTAGTTTGTTCTGCTGTTCCTCTTCAATCAGGAGGTTTGTTTCTTACACTGGTGCTGCCCATGATGACGAACAGCAGGATGTGAAAACGACCAAAACCAATAGTTTCCACGGCATCCTCAACAGTGTATGTCTCATCTGAAATGCAAAAGTCAGAGTCTTCACTAGACACCTGAAAACACCCCCATAAAAAATACTATTTCCAAGTATAGACTGACCAGACTGATCTGTGGGTGGAATAAGAGGTCAAACTGACCCCTCATTGATTTCAAACTCACCCTGGTTGTCATCGCCGTGGAGTTTGTCTGCAGGTTTCTCCTGCAGTTCCACCTCCTGCAGTTGGATGGCGCTCACCAGCTGAGTCTTCATCCCATCATCCATCCTGAAAACACGTTTTTCATCAGAACTTTATTCTGAAGGGACACAGGTGAGTTGTCTTTATTTACTCTGAACTGAAAAAAATTAACATTTTGAACTAAAAGATAAAATCTGTTTTAAGTTATAAAAGTTGTTTAAAGTTTCTGATTAAATCTATCAAAAGATAACTTGATCTGAGTGATTGAGATAACCTAGTGTTATCTTTCAGTTCAAGGTGAACCAGTTTAACCAGTTTGTCAGTGTTGCTGTGGAGCAGTATCCCATTTCTCTCAGCAGTGATGAAGTTCACTCATTCCAACCATTCAAGTTTTTATTTATCCTATAGTTAAAAACACAAACATCGATGATTTTACTGTGAAATTAAGTTTTTCTTAAACTATGTAAACCTCTAAATGTTTTTTTTTTTAAATTGAAACTCATTGAAACTTTATTTCGTTAATAAACCTTTTTAGGGGTGAAACTCTAATCAGCTTTCTGCATTCCTCCAACTCCAGCTCATTTATTCCGCCAAACTCCGTTAATAAAAACAAGAATTCAATTAATCAGCAGCAGTACATCTAGCAATTTAAACTCTGGATTTTTGAGGTTGAAAAACAAACATTTCAAACTGCGAGGATCAGTGAGAAATCTGGCAAGATCTGACTCCTTCACAGCGAGCTGGTGTTTGTTTAACTCGCTTATTTCCAATAAAATCAGGGTAATAAAATCGGATTTTTATCAATATTAGAGTCTCAAGGTAGCTCTGTTTTAAGCCGAATTTAGCAGAAATCAGCTCTGCTCAACCTGAATTGGTTTTCCGTTCATGACTGTGCAAAATAAAGACTAAATGAGATAGAAAACTGTTAATGGACATATTTATCAAGGGGGTTTGGTGTGAGGATTCCCTCGAGGAGAAAACTGAGCGGTGAAGTTTAAAATCGATCGCAAACCATGGTCGAATAAAGCAGCCCATGTGTAAGAGAATGCTATTATGAGAAATATCAGAATAATAAACACTTTTAGTAGCTTTACATTAGCTTCACTTTAATACAGGAAGTCAGCGATACCTGTCTGCAACCACCGTCACGTAAATTATCGCTCTAAAATGCAAGACTGTACTCACACTTAAGATGGTTTGATGATGAAGAAGCTGTCCGGTTTGTCTCTTCGATGCTGTTGGATTTTTCTAATAGACACAGCCGTAGGTAACCCTCCTGTATAAAGAGTTGTTCACCTGACAAGGTGTGTCACCGTCATCGGGAAGCAGGTGGAGGGGAGGGATCTGTTTGGACTCAGGGAGGGGTTCATCTCTGTTTATACTATAAAGATACTCAGACCAACAGAGGACAGCTCCTCTGATAATTCATAAAAGTAAACAAACTCTTACTTCACTGTAAGCTGTCTAATCCACAACAGGTGAGATTTACAGGTGCGATTTTACACTCTGCAGTGACTGTCTGTGAACCAAATTCAACAGAAACTCCCTTTAATCGATATTTATTAGTCTCCTTTAACCCATTCTGAGCCTGCATATGAAGAAAACCTAAAATAGTGAGATTTTTACAAGAGGTTTGGCTTTTTAATTACCTGCTGCTGTAATTACCCTCTAAATAAACATGGGGTTGTAAAAACACAAACAGTAATTACTTATAATGACAGAAACAGCGAGAGTAAACAGAGTCTAAACCATTAAAAGTCACAGTCTGGATTTGAACACATTTCTTTAATGTTGGTTAACACAATCTTTAGACTTGAACGGCACAGGATGCAGCTCTCACAGAGTCCAGGTAGGTCCTGTCTTGTGACACGCTCAGACTCACCTGGCTGCTGCTAATGGACAGGTGAGACTGCTGGCAGTGTTTCCATGTCACTGATGTCACACTAAAGTAACGTTTCCTCCAGGCTCTGTTTTCCACCAGACGGCTTCACTGGGTTACCTGGATCACACCTGCTCAGGTGTGGACTCACCTGGTGTGGTTCAGGAAGCAGCCTGGTGGAACATCACCGTAGAGGAGCAGCAGGAATGTGGTTGAACTCAGAGTGAGACGAGTTTGAAGTTCATTCCTGACCAAACAACAGTCGGATATGTAAAGATTAGAAACTTGAAAGTGAACTCAAGGAATCTAGTTTCCTGTTTCAGACGCCAGGTGATCCAGGAAAGGCGTCCTGATACAGATCACAAAACAAGAATCTGGCGCACTGAGAAAAAAAAAACATCTATCATCTAGTTTCAATGAGTGTTTGGAAAATCAACAAGATACTTCCGCCTCTGAGTGTAAGATATGACAAACATTCTGTTGGCATAAGATAGTATCCTGTTCAACCACATGACTATGAAATTAATGACCTGTGTTTAAGTTGATATCTCATTCCAAAGATGTACTTTGCTTTCCAAAGTATCTTGTTCCTCAGAGATCTAGTTAGTGAGTTCATGGTGTCCAATCTTGTGCTTAAAAACTCTTGCTAACTGTTGAAAAGATGTGTTTTATTTTTTAAAAATTGGAATCTTGTTCACTAGAGATGGTATCTTGTACCTTGGTGAACAAGATTATAAGATGATGAACTGCAATCTTATTAAGTTAATATTTTGCTCATCTTGTTCCAAAGATGCACTTCATTTTCTGAAGTTAGCATCTTGTTCACTTGAGATAGCATCTTGTATCTTGACGAACAAGTCTACGAACTCATGAATTGCAATCTTGTTCTTGTTCATATGAGGCAATCTTGCCTCATATGAGGGGTCTGTCACAGGTAATTATCTTGTAAGCATTTAATGATATCTTGTCCACATTAGTATCCTGCTCCTAGAGAAAACCTGAACTTGATAGTATCTTGTGCAAACAGCAAATTCAAGTCAACTCAATTATGGAACAAGTATCTTGTTCTTATTGACCTGGACAGTTTGAGAAAGTATCTTGTTCAAAATTTGGTAACTTTTTGACACAATTTTCTTTCAATTTATTATGTAGTAATAATCTTCAGAGAATCTTTCAGTTTTTGTGTACACTGTGGTTATCTTGCGTAGACAAGATCTCAGAACTGAAAGGGTTGGATCTGTAGTTTAGTCAGGAGTGAACATGGCGCTCACTGAGAGTCTCAGATCTAGAAAACACAGAAACTCTAGAAAAGGTTGGAGAAACATTCAGGAGGAGTTTGAGAAACCTGCAGCACAGTCTTGTCACCACCACACCTGCAGGATTAGATTTTTTTGTTGTTCAGATGTGATCTGATGAGTTTCAGACACACCTGAAGTCGTAGAATTAGCACCATGTGATCCTGTAGGCGGGACTGAGTCCGACACCCTGACTGACAGGTGCTAGGTCCAATCAGAGCGAAGAGTTCTGTGGTCGGTTTCTGGTCCATGGAGGATGTGTCGGCCCTGTTTCCGAGCAGATCTTTGAGTCCGTTCAGCAGAGCGATCACAGATAAAATATTTTATATATTTATATATAATGTTTTCTATTAAACACCATATCCACTTTCATTTATACACTGTTCACTGTCACCATCTTTATTTAGATTCAAAAATATCTTCTGGAAATGCAAAACTAAAAAACATGATTCATACGATTCTTCTTTTTTTTTTTTTAACTGTGTTGGGATGAGCGATGGTTTTATGGCACTCTTTGCGCACTCTGAACTTGATGTAGAACAACTCTTTACTTTTAAAAACTTTGTTTGTAACATCTTTTAGCAGCATGCTAACATTAACTGGAACATCACGAATAGCTAAAGCCTCAAACTTAGTCAAACATGCTGAAGAAGAGCGGAGACGAACAAACCCTCTCTCACTCTGGGAAATTTTAGATTTCTACGAGCGACTGACTTCTCCACAACAATACAAAGAAAACAGCCGACCAGCAGAGAGAGGAACCAGTCATTCAGCCATACAGGCAGCAAGTGAAGATAAACAAAAGTGACACAGCCCCACACACCTAAAGACATATACTGCATTTACGTGGTACTGGACACGTTGGAAAAAAACAAGTTTCTAAGTTGACGCCTCCTCAAGTTGGAACAAAAACTCAGGAACCTGGGCAAGAATTAGGGGCCAACTTTACAACTAACTCATACTAATTAGAACTTATAAAGGTCATTGAACTGAAACTTTGTCCCGTGACATAATTTATTATATGGTATTAGTAGTATGCTATTGCATTCTACCCTTAATAACAAGTCTTGTACGTTAGTTGAAACTATCTTTTTGTATGTTTTAGTACCAACCATTATTGAAATATTAGATAACGTTAAACCTGACTTTCAAAACTGCAACACACCAAAGAAGAAAGACCGAATTATGCATTTTCAAATGGGTCCATCAAAGGTGCACATGAATTCAGCATAAGTTTATAAATAATCTTAGAGCTTCTACATCTTTCCAGAGCTACATTCAGAAGAGTTGCATGGTTCTTCACTTCACAGAGTCCATAAAGGAGAAGAAATAGAGTAAAGGTCATCTATTAAACATAAAACAGATGGCCACTGAAGCTGCAAATGACCTTCAGTTTCTAAACTGTGATGTGGTGTTCCCCAAGGCTCTATTCTAGGTCCCCCTTTTTTTGCCATGCTGACCTTAATGCAGGAGGCACTCATTACATTCATCTGGTGGCTCTATTCTGGGCTGGGGTGGCGCTGTGTGTCTGGTTTTAGCCTCAGTTTCTGTCTGTGATGAATGACTGGTTTCACATCTTTGCTCTCGTACAGAAAAACTTAGATATATTTTTCTGCCCACAAACTGATGAATGCAACAGATTACCGATGAGGGATTTGATATATTAAAGCGATGCATTAGCCAATTTTTTTTTTTTTTCATTGCCACCAATACATGAACACAACGAGCGAGCAGCTACGGAAAGCAACGCCTTCACTGAGAAACAAGCGCTGGCTCAAATATACAGCGAGCTCAAACACAAGAGGAATACAACCATAGAACAGTAGTTTGGTCTTTTTTTCATCAAAATAAAGGATTTAAAGTAGACTTTCATATAGAAGCAATAAAAAATAATAACATCTCAATACTCCAATAATTACTCTGACATTTATATTGTGCTCATTGGGATTCTATCTCTTTACAGGTATTTATACCAACTTTATAGATATCTATTTTTTTTTGTTTTGCGTCCCCTTGCTGCAGGAACTTTACGCTGCCTCCAGCTGTCGACAGTGCAGAGACCTCACTGATATGGTTGATGGATGGAGACCATGTTCCCCATGGTGATGGGAGTGTGGAAGGCAATACGTGGTTAATGAGGAGATGATATGAGGCTGACGGTTAGCACCACAAAGGTCCAAGAGGGACAATCCAGTCCAGAACATCAGGAGGGCTGATCAGTTCCAGGAAGTTGAGAAGGACAATCTATCTGGCCTTTCAAGAGAGGGCAGATGCTCCAGAATCTGGAAAACTGATCTTTCCAGAAGATCCAGAAGGACCATCCACTCCAGACATCCAGCAGGACAGACTCTCTACAGAGTATCAGCAGGAATTAGGCACTCAAGTCTACCAGGAAGGACCATTCCCTCCAGGACTCCAAGACAGGGCTGAGACGATCCACTCCAGGTGTTCAGGAAGAAATGATCTCCTTAACAAGATCGGGAGGGACGATCTAACCCAGGAGGACCAAGAGGAAGAAGTCCTTCCAAAAGCTCAAGGGTGATGTTCCTCATCAGACCACCAAGGGGCATCATTCATGTGTGTCAGGAAGGACCCTCCAAACTTTCAGGAAGAAACTGATGCTCCTGATGTTGTGGAAGGACTATCAGTGAATGAACCAGTTCAGGAAGCACCTCGATGGAAACATGAAGAGTCAAACCCGTCTAATGAACACTGAGCTGAAGGATGAAGGACAGATGAACAGACGGGACCCTGTAAAGAACCGGAGGTCTTTCAGTCCGGAGACATTGTCCTTGTTTTCAGACATGGATCGTGGTCCAGAGTTTTTTTGAGTTTAACGGCACAAACGTAGATAAGCTCCTAGAGTCCAGCGTGTGGATCAGTCAGGTTAGTGGTTTTAATCCAGACCTCTGAGAGGTTTGAAACAGTAACTGTTGAAACCTGTTGAGTCCTGATCCTAGCAGGTCCAGACCAGTCTAAGGGTAGCTGGTCACCGCAGCCTGTTTCTGGGCTAGACGTCGAAGCTCCTCCCTGATGGCCTTTATGAGGGAGGCGGAAGTGTGGGCTGAGGGTGAGGCATCCTCAGGTGGATACTCTGGGGTTGGTGATGTCAAGAGGAGAGGCGGAGCCTGTGGGTCCCGCAACGAGGAGCTGGGCATCTGGAAAACAGAGGAAGAGGAGAACTCAGGGAACGACAGCACCTGTAAGGACAGAAGGGTAGAAAGACATGGTCAGTTAGTTCTGGTTCACTCTGACTGACTGGTTGATCTGGTCTGAACATTAGACAGGTGAGGTCTGGAGAGAACAGATGACATAAACTGACTCGGGTCTGGACTGGTATGACCTGTGCCAAATCTACCACAGACGTTACTATACACTGATGGATGGAAAGAAGCACATAGTTTCAAGGTCGGGTAGGCAGGAATCTGTTAAAGAGGCATCTTTTTTTGTGGTGTAAATACAAAAAAGCTTTTAGTATCAGTCAATAGCTATTAGCTATCACAATATCGTTTCTCCTCACGAAGGACTCACACTTTCTCTGCTGGCTCCTGGTCTGACCAGGTCCTGGTCTGAGTGCTGTTGATTCCAGCTGGAGCCAGTTGGACCTGACATGCTGCGACCCACCCCTGGGTATGCACCGATCTGACTTGACAAACCCACCTGGGTCAAGTGGTGGAGCTGAGCCCCTGGAAGTCAGGAAATTCAGTCAACAAGGGTGATCAAAACAAGAGCAGTAAGCTGGCTACCACAAAATCGAAAACTGAAACCACCGCGACAAAATACCACTAAAGTCTGTCTGTACCTGTGCTGCCCCCTACAGGTCGAGGTCTGGATGAAGAGGGGGGATCCTCATACTGCGCTCTGCTGGAGTAGACAGAATCCTGAAGCTGGTCTCCAGTGGACACATACCCTCCTGAGCTCAGGCCCTGCCTGAATAGATCACACAGAGAGTCAGTGCTGGTTCTGGTCCAGACTACATATAGGAACCTGGTTTAAAAGTTCTGACTCTGACCTCTGCAGCAGGCTTTGGACTGATGTAGGAGACATCCCCAACTCTGCGTATCTCTGCAGAAAGACAAGAAACAAAACTTGAATAAAACTTAACGGTAAAAGAAAAGGCCTCAGCTGCAGGTCGACACACTCACTGCAGAAAAAGGGCTGTGAGAGGGGGCTGCTGGGTAAGAGCCCCACTGCCTGCCAGGAGGGCGGGACTGGGGGGAAGGGCTAGGCAGGGCAGGGCTTACCCCGCTCACCCCGGCGCTGCCCTGCGAGGACGGCGACACCAGGGCAAAGGCATCATCCAGAAGGGAGTGCATCTGCTGCCGTGCCTCCTCAATGGAGGGCTGAGGGGGCATGTAAGGGGGCGGAGGCGGGGCGGGGTCAAACACCTCATCAGTTGGGGAGGGGCTGCCATGGTCAGGGGGTAGATCTGGATCCGACTGTGAGAGAAAAAAAGAGTTTTGAGTCACATTGAATCCTTCGATGACACTTTTTAACGAGAGGGTGTTCCACAGGGGTCTGTACTGGGTCCTCTAGTTTACAATGATTTAGCAGCTTTTATATAGACTATTACTGACCAGTCCTGTTCCCAATTCAGTTTTTTTATCATAACCAAGTCATGTTTATTTTGACAAGTTTTATATGGCATTGGCATTGCCTTTGAAATTAAAAAAACTGTTTCTTTGACTTGAACTTTATTCTCTTGAACATATTTTAAGTTCAACATTTCTTACATTATTCGTCTTCTTACAGCCCCTATTCACCTTGAGGGTTTTTAGAGGAACAACAATCGGCGTCTCACCATGTAGGCTACGTTGTTGAGTCCTGGGTATTTCCTGTAGGTGGCACTCTGATCCGTGAGGAGTCGGTCTCTGTCTGTGTCAGGGAGACTTCCAGGTCCTTGCTGAGTTCGTCGACTTCGAGGAGAGCGCCTCCCTCTGAACAGACCGAGACATAATTAAAGACGCTGTATTCCATGGTGATTCTGATGTTGAATGTATGAGATGCAGAAAGGGTCATAATTCATCCTGATCTCCAGGTGTTTAATCATGTCAGTGGCCAACAATGTTGAAGGTATCGAGTGCTTCTTGCAATAATTCTTCTGTAAACTAAGATAAATTGTGACTCAGAGTGTCTGATGTTAATCTGTATGATGATGACAGACTTTGACTTCTTCAATAGGAAAGAAAAAAAAGGTCAAACAAGGTGTTAGAGAAGATGGTAGACCACTTAAGATGTTTGACTCTGACCTCTTCCTGGAGTCAGTGGGGGTGGGAGGTGAGGCGGCTTCTGCCTGCAGGATGCAGTCCATATGGTCGTGGGCGGAGCTATAGAGACGCTGTGCCACCTCACTCTGTACTGGTCCGTCACCAAACGCATCCATGATGTCATCCATAGAGGGAAACTCGCATTGGCCCCGCCTCTTCGCACGCTGTCGGAGTTTGTTCCTGTGGTGCTCAATCTCTGATTTGTGTCTCAGCGCCACCTGCAGGTGAGTGTTTGATGATGTCAGACAGGAATGAGACTAGTAGTGAGGAGTGTTTGTTTGTTTGTTTGTCGTGGCCGCTCACCTCAGTGTTCACCTTCTCCGTGAGGGTGGGGCTTTGCTGTGGAGGCACGTGAGGGGGGCTTGGTCGGGGCTGCATGGCGATCAGCTGCACCTTGTTGGCCTGGCGACGAGTGCCATCGGATGAGCCACGAGACAACCGATCAACATGGTCAAAGATAGAGGACGAGGAGAGAAGCTCATCCGGACCGCTCCCTGACAGAGGTCAGAGGTTAAATAAGGTCACATAATGAGTATGTGCATCTGATAAAGGTCAAGCTCTGCCCACAACACACAGGCTGATTCTGCACCAGCCTGACAACATGGCTTCATCAGAAATCAAAACAAAATATTGATTAAATAAATATTTTGAATGTGTAAACTCACCCATCTTGCTCCTCCCTTCAGTCCAGGATCAGGGAAAAGAAAACAGCAGTGTTTAGAGTACAACTGTTTCACAGAAACACACATATAATCGACCAATAAGTCCAGGTGATGACGTCAAAGCATCTCTCACCATTTTTGGGTGTCTTCCTGTGCTGTTTACCCTCACTGGGCGTGGCCACGGGTCGGGTGCTTTCTTCTGCTGATTCTCTACCACTCGATTGGTCGCTTCCCATCGAGTCACCGTCTGAGGGGCTGAGCCTGAATTCAGATAATCAGGTTGATTTCAAAGTTTGGAAAGTCGTGGTCATTTCTGATCCTTTTTTTTTTTGGTCCTATTTTTAGAATTTTATTTTAGGGTGTTTTTGTTTTTGTCAGATAGGACAGCTGAGGAGAGATGGGAAGTGTGAGGAGTAGAGAGTGTGAAAGAAATGAAGCAACGAGTCAAATTAGTCATTACTGCAGCAAGGACTATAGCCTCTGTACATTTTTTCTATTTTATTTTTCTATTTATTTATTTAGCACAGATTAAAAAACAGTGCAAGGAGGGAATGAAGTCGAGAGGTTTATACAGAGTTCCACTCCTGTCAGGGCAGTGAAGGCGTAGGGTACAAACAACCAAGTAATTAGGACATAGACAGGTTATAAATATATATGAGTAGGGAAAGGTCAAAAGATATGAAATTGTCATAAATAGGACATAGACTAATCATTAACCAGCCCAACCAGAGATGGAGATGATATAAGTATACATAAAAAGAAAAGAAATATGAACATAACAGATAATGACGTGTTTAAGATACATCCAGATCATTCCAATGTTCCGGTCCTCTAAAAGTGACAAGTGACAAGAAGTTCGACAGAAAGGAAACTTAAGATGACCATTTTGTCCTGTTGAGTACGGGTGAAGGCCAGATGAAAAGGTAAAAACGTTTCAGAGGGAGTCAGGAAGGTCTTGTTGAGAGTGATAGACACTGAGTTTGTCAATTGGTAAGATTGAGTATTTAGAAAAGAAAGGTGCAGAAGGTTCATGTCTACTGGATCCAGATATCATTCTTATCTCTCACATGGGGTGGGCACTAAGACGGCTAAGTCAACAGAGGCACCCTAGAGTCTGATACTTTACAGAATTGGCTCATGCATACATAGAAAAGATTTACTGTTTGGAGGCAACAGAATAAAAAACAATGTAAACACAAAGAGTACAAATCTTAACAGAAAAAACTGAACAGATACTGAAACGGAAAGTGGGATCTTCAGGTGGGAGCCCTACCTGCCCCTGCGGCGGCTGGACCGTACTGCCTTGGTGGACGAGCCTTTAGATTTGGGGGTGTTGAGGTCCCCGCCATCAGAGGGCGTGGCCTCTTTGACGGGGGCAGGCAATGGGCCGGGCTCCTGGATCACCATGATGTCGTCTTTGCTGTGCTGACCGAGGTGGAGCTTGGCGAAGTCGAAGCCTTTCACGCTGGGAGCCTGAAGCTGAGAGAGGACACAGGTCAGCTGTCAAAACCTCAACAACAGGACATACAACACACTTCCTGTTAACCTCTAACCTTCTGCCTCTGCTGGATGGTGTTGATGGCGTCTGGCTGGAATTCCAGCTTCTCTGAGCCGCACAGCTTCCAGTAGAGGATGATGATGATGAAGACAGCCAGAAGGACAGGGACAACCACGCCAACAATCAGCCAGATACTGCTGCTCTGAGTCTCTGCAGGGGGGACGGACAGGGTCTCCACCGCTGCAGATGGACAGATAAGACAGGTAAGGTGACATAAGTGAATAGTGGGGGGGTGCTTTGTGTGGGTCAGTGTGGATTGAGGTCTGGACTCACGTTGGGCGAGCGGTCTCTGAACACGATGTCCAAGCACGATGGCGGCTCTCTGAAGATCTACACGGTTCAAGGTGGCTGCTGTGACCTCTGCAGGAATACGCTCGCCACCTGGACCCTCCACGAAATAAAAGACCTCAAGGAGGCGCTCTGGACCAGACATCCTCGACACTCTGACCACCTGAGACACAACAATTTCACAGTCCAGAGTGAGGAACCAGACAGAATAAAACAGTGACATGAAGTTCTCTCAACAACAACCCCATTTCCAAAATGTTGATTATAAACAGAATTGCCAACTGTCTTCATATGCCAGCCAGACAAAGACAATGATAAACCACATTCTGCAGAGATTACAACAGCATGGCTCTGTAGTAGAAGAGTCCTGCTGCTAAACTGGCCTGAAAACCTTTGCAACATCATGACACAATATAATTTGATGTTGTTTCTGCACTACTTCCAATTAAAACACCAAATATACCTGTGTGTTTATTTACCCGCATGTTGTTTTTATTCACCTGTATGACGTGCATGTATGACACGTGCATGTATCCACCAACAGTGCTATGTGTGTGTCTGTGTTTGTGCGTACCTGCAGACTGTTGTTTCCAACAGCTGTAGCTCTCCTCCAGCGCCTCCTGCCGGCTCCCTGCAGACCTTCCTCTAGCAGCAGAGCCAGACGTCTCTCCAGACGAGCTTTGAAACTTCTCTCAGCCACCAGCTGCTCCTGAACCCCTAACAGGACTGTGTACACACACAAACATAGAGTAATCTCCGGTGGTTGAATTGATTGATTCACAGATGGTCACATTTAGCAATAAAAAACAGAGTGGACGTGTTCTCACCTGTACGGACCCAGGTGGAGCGTAGGTGATGAGACGTGTTCAGCTCAGGGTAGTGAAATGCTGTGAAGACAAATACAAACACATGTTACAGATGAGACCTATTTATTTATATATTTAGCATAAGTTTATGGAAGTAAGCATGGTGCTAGTTCAGGCAGGTCATCTTGAAGGACAGAGAGCTCTCAGAACAGAGTCACAATGCCATTATAACTGTGTGTGTGCGTGTGTGTGTGCGTGTGTGTGTGCGTGTGTGCAGCGTACGTTCTGCTATCTGTATGGCAGGAAATCCCACGTAGAAGCTGAACTCCACCAGGCTAAGCTTCCTCAGGTGTTCGCTGACCTCTGACCCCAGAAGATAGTCCCGCCCATCCCGCACTGCAAAGGTGACATCGACTGGAACCTTCTTCTCTGTGTTAGCGTGGGTCACACTCATGGTGACGTTTAACAGCTGCAGCAGATGAACACAGGAGACTTCTGGATCTGAACGCTGACTGAGTTCAGTTATTGTACCTTTAGATGTTTTCATGTTTTGTGGAGGATGACCTCATTCAAAATATAAACAGGAAGAAGACTCACCTGTACGCTGATATTCCCCATCTCATGTGACCGTTTCCGAGTCTCGATGTATGCCATCATCAGGCCTCTTTCCACCCGCTCGCTAAAGTTACAGATTCTGACGTCGACATGGGCGGGGACAAACTGCAGCACGGAGTGCACCTGGTACCTGAGGTCAGGTATGGTGTAAAGAGGAGACACGGTGGGGATTGGGCCGGTGCCGCGCGGTGGTGTGCGGAGGGCATTGATGACAGACATGGCAGTGTAGATCAGAGGTCCTGACACGACACGAAAGGCAAAACTGGACGGCGTTCTCAGGAACTGATGAGGAGACAGACAGGTGACAAAAAGCTGTCAATCACATGACATCATCAAGATGGGTCTTAAGGGCATGGTTGAAGATCGAAGAGATTGGTAATTATCATGAACCTCATTTATATGGCGATCATGCTCCTATAGTGCGATCTCCACAAAGTGAAGAGAAATAAGGATTTAAAAAATCTGTTGGCTGGGCTGCCAAAACATTGTCCAATGGGAGCCATCCATCCCGGACAGCTCTTATTGGTCAATCTCCTGCTCCGCCTCTCCATCCAATCACCTCGCTGTATTCGACACACCCCTCTCCCTTTGTTCTGACTTGTCCCCTCCCACTCTCCCGGCCCTCCTGGGAGCTCTGAGTGGCATAGCAGCATAGCTACAGGAGCTGTGATGGAGAAGGATGGAAAAAGACACTTCTGCTTGCCCCACCGTCAATAGTGCCAAGAAAACGCAAGCCAACAGAAGAAAGGGCGGAGACGGAGAGGAAATGTGACCAAGGGAGGAATCTAACTCGGATAAAGATTGGGTCATCCTTCAAGCATCAAGCTATATCAATACGGTAGCTGTCCAGGCAGCTGTAGACAGTGCTCGCTAGCAGAGCTGGCGTTTATTGCTGCTAGTCACCAGCAATCCGACATGGTGTATCCTATTTGAAGCTAGCCTAGGATCTTCTGCCGGCCGGCTTCTTGCTCTGCCAGAGGGGGTGTGTCATGGGGAGGGCGATACAGGTTCAGAGGGCAGTTATCGTGGAGCACAGAGGGGAGAGGTTTGTGTGTGGGGGGTGGGACGCTTTTTTCAAATCTGCCTCAACGGCTCAGTTTTTTCAACTGCTTCTCAGATCGTCAACCATGCCTTCAAGTGAACCTTCAAATGTGACTCATAACATGTTAAAGTGATTTAAGGTCATCATTTCACAATGTAACATCTTACAGTGAGCTGTGTCAAGGTACAAGTGTGAAAAGGTGTGTTAAGGTGTGTAAAGGTGTGTCTACCTGTAGCTCCACTGAGCGGTTGAACTCTCTCTTCAGGAGGTCTCTCACCTGACTGAACCCTGCAGGTGAACCTCTGGAACTGACTGCAGGACACAAACAGACATAGATCAGCTGACTGCCAAACACTAGCACTTCCTGTTCCTGTCACATGACCATCCAGCCTCACCTACTCTGACCAGGTACAACTCAGGCCTGGTGACGTTACACAAGTACTGCCTGGTGGGCGGAGTCTGGGCCACTTTAGGTGTGGTGACTGGGGGCGCTCTGGTGAGGCTGATGGCAGTGATCTGGGTGGTGGTGGCTTTGGTGGTTGTCCGGGTGGGTGGAGTCATTCCTGGCTTCTCTACAATTACTGGAGGCCTCTCCGGTCTGTCGGGGCGGGTCGGGGGTCCTAGAGGGGGAGGTGGAGGCACCCGACTGGTGGTGTTTGAAGGTGGACGCAAAGGGTGTCTACCTGGGGTCGGGGTGTGGTCTTTGGGTTTTGGTGCAGGAGGGGAAGGTGCAGAGGGAGTCCTCAGTGTGGTTGATGGTGGGCGTGGCTTCTCCTCAACTGTGAGTGTGGGTGAGAGGGTGAGGGGAGGGGTGGGCCACATCTCAGGGCGCTTTGGCTCCTGAGGAGGACCAGAGCTTGGGTGCGGAGTCGGAAGGACACTTGGGGTTTGGGTTACCGTGGGGATGATAGGGGGTTTGAACACTGTCTGGTTGACCCGGTCCCTCTCCCTTTCTCTCTCCCTTTCTCTCTCCCTCTCCCTCTCCCTCTCCCTCTCCCTCTCCCTCTCTCTCTCCCTCTCCCGGGCGAGCAGATTGGTGTAGTACTCCAGGCTGTTCATGTCTGGCAGAAGCAGCTCTGTTGGCTCCAGAGGCACCATGTCCTCCAGGTCATAGTCCTCGTCCCAGGTGGGGAAGACATCTGGATGTGTCGGGCGAGTGTGCATGGGGATTCCAGGGGTGGAGGAAGAGGGTGAGAGGGGAAGGCGGGAGGAGAGAGGGAGTGTGGGACGAGCAGGGAAGGTGGTGTCATAGGAGACCCAGTCTCCCCCGTCATCCTCATCATAGGGGTGGTTGGGCAGGGGTGTGGCCAGGGCCAGCTCCTCCCCATCAGGCACCATAAAGGAAAGAGTCTCCAGGTAGTCTCCAGAGCCCCATGCCTCTTCCAAAGAGGGGCCCTGCTCCCATGGAGGAGGAGGGGTGAGGGTAGGCTGAGTGTGTGGAGGGAGAGGTGGAGGGAGGCTGGGGGACAAGAGGTCTGGGGGTCTCAGCAGGAGGTGAATCCCCTGAGCACCAGAGTCCGAGTCCTCGGCCGAGCCTGCCCCGCCGATGTTACCATGGTAACCAGAGTCTGAGGGCACACTAGGAGCCAATGGTCGGGAAGGAGGAGAGGAGATGGAAGAGGAGGAAGGTTGAGATGATGAAGAACGTGACAAAGACTCTTTTGTCCTGTTGACGTCCAGCAAACCTGAAAAAAGACAAAGAGGGGGTTAAATCACCAGGCTGTGATGCTACGTTCCAGTTGTACTTGGAAGTCGGGATTTCCGAGCTACGAGTCGGAGATTCATCAGGAACGCCCCCCTCGGAAGTCAGATTTCTGACTCGAAAAGTTGAACGATCCTCGCCAACCGCGACTTGACGACAACGTCATAATTCAAGATGGCAGCACAGCACATCAACAGTAAAGAGTAATAGCAAAAGCTCTCGTAATGTATTATTTATTACCACTTCCGTTTTGTTTTTGTGAAATTAACAAAGTGGTTTATGTTGTACTGCCCAACGTCTAACTGTGAACACGGTGCTAAGGTGTTCCGAAGAGTAAAATACTGCGTTGTTCGTTGTTTACAATTGGTATCGCTAACAACAACTAACAACCTCTGACAACAGCTAACAAAGGCTGACAACAGCTGACAATTGTAAACCATGGCTAACAAAGGGTAACTGTAGGCGTCCATCTTGGTTTTCCGAGTTGTTAACTGGAACGTAGTCAACTCTGGTTTAATGTCATTCCCAGCTCCGACATCTGACTTCTGAAGTAACTGGAACGCAGCACAAGCCCCAGAGTCCTGACAAGCTGCAGTCCTGACAAACATTAGTTTTTCCAATCAGTAGAGTCTTGGCAAAAGTCAGAGTCCTGACAAACATGGACTTTTGCAATCAAGAAAGTCCTACAGACACGGAGAGCTCACTGACACTTGAGTCCTGACAAGCATGACTTTCTTGAAACATGAGAGTCCTGATGAACATTAAAGTTCTGACAGACCTGAAAACCTCACAAATGTGAAAGTTGTGACGAATAAAAAAACCTGATAAACACAAAATATTTTTACCAACATGTTTATATTGATACACTTAAGTTTTCCTGAAACACCTGATCGTCCTGATCTAAGTGAGAGTCTCTGACACACAGCATGATAGTCCTGACTTTTGCTCAGGGTTCACCGGGGAGTTGTTCCCTCATCTACAGGGGAGTCACGCTGCTTTAACATTCAGTTTTGATTGATTATTGATTACTTGGTGTGCACAGGAGAGGGAAACTCATAAATGTGGCCTGTTCATCAGTGAGTTGCTGATGTTACCCTTAGACTGAAAAGCACAGCTGTTCCCTTCTGTTCTCAGTCTTTATGTTATGCTGCTGTTTTCCTGTTTTTATTCAAATATATCCTCATATCTATTTATTACTGTGTTGCATCATTGTTTCCTCTTTCTCTGTAGCTATTAATGCTGCACAACTGAGAGCAGCAGACAAAGACTTCGCTGAATCTGGTGCACTGACAGTGAAGATGTTTTATTCTATTCTATTCTATTCTATGCTATGCTATGCTAACAGATCTGAGGACATGGTATCAATCATACAGCTAAGAGTGGGAAATTTACTGAACCATCAGATTCAGAGGAAAAAACAAGGAATTTAAGATGAGCTTCAAGAGATTTATCTGTAAGTATAAATGTGTTTTCATATAAAATTGATTAAAAAACATTATTTTTTCCTGTTCCTGTATCTAGATTAAATTTTATAAGCATTTAAATTCTCTTGCTGCTCCGTTTAGTGCTATATTTATTACAACAGCCTGTTTTTCCCCTGCGGTACATCTGAACCTGTTTGTCTTTGTGTCATGTCTAACATTTTCTCTCTTTCTCCCTCTCTCTCTCTCGCTCTCTCTCTCGCTTTCTCTCATCTGGTGCCCGGTTGCCGTGGTGACGCAGTGCTTTGCGGCAGCGTCACGTGCCGAACAGAAACGAATCATCAGCATCCAAGAGGAGACGCCCTCAAAGAAAGGGTGAGAGAGAGGAAGAGAGAAAGGATAGATAGATAGATAGATAGATAGGTAGATAGATAGATGGATAGATAGATAGATAGATCGATAGATAGATAGATAGAACAACTCAAACAAAGATCTAGACAAGAAAAAAAAGGATCAGTATGAGCCACAAAATCTTTTAAGTCCATTTGGATGCAGGTTCTGTCATGCAGTGTTAAAAGCTTTTGAGCATGCCCAGTCTAAAGTCGTGTTAGATGGAAGTGAGGAATAATCCTGAAATGATTCCTTCTTTCCTCGTCCTCCTTCCCTCCTTCTTTCCTCTTTCAGAATAAAGCAAGGACAAAAGACTCTTTCAAAATAAAAACCGGGACATTAATTAAAACAGGCTGATCGATGTGAAACAGACCTCCACCGTTTCCTCTGTCTGATGGTCTCTGATTACACTTTTCCAAGCTTCACCTCTTTGTTTGATATAATGTCATAAATCAGATGTATTTAATCAGATCAGTGTACTCATCATCTTTTTTTCAGTAACATGCTGCTGTTTGCTCTGTTTCACTCCGCTCAGAATAAACACCATGATCCTCGCTAAGATAACAGTGTGTGTTTGCGTGTGTGTGCGTGAGTGTATATACGTGTGATTCAGTGTCAGTGGGAGGATGGAGACTCAGATTTATTCCTGTCTCACTTAAAGACATCACACATCCTTATAAGGACATTCCTGTTCATCCAGATAACTCTGAGGTCAAAGGTCAGTGACACAGTAGCCCCCTTTAGATTGTGAAACTGAAGAAAATAAATATCTATGAGAAGACGAACAGTTTTAGTCCAACTGTCCAGGAGAGACACTCTGTGTCCAAAAGTAAGTGGACGCTCTGAGGTTCACACTGAGGTCACGATATGACCTGTCTGTTATGGCGGTCACTGTGTCAGATTAGATCACCACTGAGACCTGAATTTGACTGACAGATATGGCAGGCTGCAGGAGGACATGATGTTGTTAGAGGAAAGCGGGGCGGGGCTAATGCTGCGTTCCAGTTACCTCGGAAATCAGATGTTGGAGCTGGAAATGACGTTACACCCGAGTGACAGCGTTCCAGTAAACCCTCAAGAAGGAAGTCTACTGTTAGCTGTTGTGAACAATTGTCAGCTGTCGTTAGCCGTTGTTAGCTTTACCAGTTTTAAACAACGCATAAGACAGTATTTTACTCTTACAAACACCATAGCTTCCTGTTTATAGTTAGTCGTTGTGCAGTACAACGTAAACCACTTTTTAAATTTCTCAAAAACAAAACAGAAGTGCTATCTTATAATACACCAGGAGAGCTTTCACTGTTACTCTTTACTGTTAATGCATTGCGCTGCCATCTTGAATAATGACGTTGTCGTCAAGTTGGGGTTGGTGAGGATCGTCTGACTCCCCGAGTTAGAAATCTGACTTCAGGGGGGCGTTCCAGATGAATTTCCAACCTCGGAGCTTGGAAATCCCGACTTCTGAGTACAACTGGAACGCAGCATAAGCTCACAGTTTTATTGTAGGTTCCAGGTGTGCCCAGGTGGTCAGATCCTGCACCTGCCAGGAACTTGATACAGTATAAGAGACTGTAGATTCCAATGATGGAGCTTCACACTGTGATTGGCTGAACATTGGAGGGCTTACCGTTGAAGTTTTTGCTGTTTTTATTAAGAAATAAAATGGAGGTGGAAGAACCTGTAGACCAACCCTCTGATCCTACATTACCCAGAGATCCTCAGATCCTCAGATCCACAGTGTCAGACTGAGGATTAGCTAGAACCTTGACCCTGACCTCTCCTTTGAACACTTGAGGACTCTCCCTTTGAGATCTCAGCTCACCTGCAGCGGGTGAGCTCGATGTCACCATGGAAACCAGCATGCCGGTCACCAGCAGCATCACAGCAAGCATGCGCCTGCTGGCTGAGGTTCTGGGCTCCATCCTGGTCCTGGTCCTGGTCCCGGTCCTGGAGCCGGGGCCCGGTGGGATCACAGGGTCCATGGTCCTCAGAGAGCCGCTGGTTTGATCCCCGTACAGATAGCAGAGGGCCCGTCAGGAGGACCTGGACCACAGAGAGACCTCATTAGTGTCATAGTTCCACGTAATGTTACTGCATCTTCATGACACTAATACACATTATTTAATTCTAACTTGTACCATATCTATATACTTTTGTTGTTGGTCTAATGTTTCTTATTTTATCTCATCTCACGCCCTCCTGAAATTTCTTCTTTTTGCTGATTATTTCTAAGAGCTGTCAGACTCAATTTTGTCAGATTACTACATGACAAAAGGATCTCTTAGCTTATCCTGATTAAAACTGTTTGAATCGACATTTAAAGGAAAAAACAAACAGCTTATTAACAGATAATCAATCATTTGATTTGAATCAATTAATAAACATTTATTCATGGTTAAAAAAATAAGGAAAATGTCCTGAAAAGTTATTTTTTTTAAGTCACCAACAAACAACCTGATGTTTTACTGATTAATTTATCTTCACATTTACCTCAGATCTGACCTTGCACACTTAATAACATCCCCCTGACTCAGAAAACCCTTCACAGTCCTGGTCAACACTGAGCTGAGTCTCTAAAGCTGTTTTCACACATGACCTCCAAAAATTGCCAGAAAATTACAAGAGCTCTGACTCAGTAATTTTCAAGTAACGCTGTACAACCTGATCCAAGATTAAAACCCCTGTTCCTCCTTGAATTTATTTATTTTTTATCTTATTCTCTTCATTAATGTACATGTATCTGTCTAGAAATACTGTGCACTCCTATAGACACCCCTGCTATCAATTCAGGGTACAGCAGCTAATTTACAGCCACGGCTCACACACACTGGGGTATTTCTGGACATTTTCAGGAACATTCTGAATGTCCAAAAGGGACTGATGAGAGGTTTAAAGCACCAATGAGCACCTTTCAGTTGTCAGTTTTGTCGCCCCCTTGTGGGCAAAAACATGGGTGTGTGACTAATCACTTTTCTCATCATGTTCCTCACACCCCACTGTTATTTTGTCAGAGAAAATCTAATTTATTTTTCAAATACATTACTCGTACATGCGTATGAGCCATTTTATCTCTATTATTTTGGGGGTTTTGATTTGTTACTCACACAATCACCACAAGGGGCACTTCAGGTGAATGGCAGGTAAATATTACAAAAGGGACACAGGTGAAGCAGTGATCTGGGCAACGGGAAAAGCACACGGTTTTTACCGCTAATCTCCGACACCACCCTCATCACGTACATCACCATCATTGTAAGTTGGACGTATCTATCTTTTTTTTTGTTTGTTTTCATTTAATCAATAAATGGCAAAATATAACTCAATATCAACCTTGGATTGGTCATTGGATCGTACTAGAAGCGCGTCAAAAACACCTCACTCCTGCACTCAGACAGTGACTGAAATTCAGGTCAGCATAATCCCTACAGCATGCATGCATTTTTCTTCAGCCTGATGTCAATCACCTGGTCTGACACTTCCCCCCTCACGGCAGTTTGAGGCGTCCAACATTTCCAACAGAAATTACCACTCTTGTTCACTGTGGCCACTGTGTGTTTGTTTTTGTATTTTCAGTTCAAAACAAGAGATGGAAACGAAAACAAAATAATAAATCTACTTTTCGTTTTCGGGTTATTGATGTCCCCATTTAGCCAACGACGTGGACCAAAAACTCCAGGCCAGAGCGATATAGAAGGCTAACCTGTTGTCATGGAGATGGATGCATCCTACGTATTATTCAAAGCCGCCAAGAGGCTCACGCTGAAGCAGGAATATGACTGTACAAAAAATTACAACCACAGCTGTGTTACAATGTAAGATTTTGGCGCTGGAACCGCATCTGTTGCTGAGGATCATGGGAAGGCCAATGTAGCCTCCATGCACATATGCTTGAAACAGGCGCACTCAAAATCAATAATTGTAAATAAGATTTATTATTTCGTTTTCGTTTCCTTCTCTGCTATATATTCTGTCTTGAGGTGAAAATATGAAAACGAACACTAATTTTATATTTTTGGTAACGGTACTCGTTTCAATCGATTTCACAACCAGCTAAAATAACCTACTGGAGCTTTAATCATCATTCAGTCAGAATTTAGGTTAAAGGAACATGTGACGCTCCTGAGTGTGACAGCTTTTCAGTTCAATGACAAACAGTCTGACATTATAATGATCCAAAGATTTCACTCAGATCTGGCCCTAACCATAAATCTGCACCCTGGACTCCTGAAGAGACCTGATCCCCTTAAAGACCCCCTAACTCCACAGAGGACTGTGTCTCTAAGGGTTTACATCAATCAGATTCAAATCACAAACCTCTTAATAATACTAATCACATTGATTAATAACCAATAATCAATAAGTCAGTGACTGATCTTACTCACTCTGATCCTCGGGTTTTCATCACTCTCTCTTCCTCACATTGATTTATAATATTAAAATTAGCTTTATTGTTTCCTCTCTGTCAATCCCCCTCTCTCTGTGTTCCGGTTCTGGTCCAGTTCAGGTCAGTTTCAGGCCTCTCATACCCCCGTTGGCCTGGCTCGGCCCGGCTTGGTCTCCTCTCACACTGACCCCATTATCGGACGGACCCCCCCGGCCTCCCTCCTCCTCCGCGGACACCCCACTGATCTCCTCCCGCTCCTCCTCAGACTCCGTCCCGAACCAAAGCTGCAGCTCATCCGGGCCCTGATCCTCAGTCCGGTCCGGCTCGTTTTTGAACGTGATAAAAAAGCGGTACTCCTATCGTCAAATGGATCCGGGTCTGGTTCGGATCAGCGTAACCGCCTCCCTGCTTCATGTGAGCGGTGCAGAGCCGCAGCTGGAGCCGCACCAACACCGAATCCCGGCGTTGCGGACGAGCCCCCTCAATGAAACACGGGGTTTACACAGAGCAGGAGCCGAACCGAGCCGAGCCGAGCTAACACAGCGGTATACCCTCAGATATAGAGATCAGACCCACCTGCCATCCTGGAGATGCGGTTCCGGCGCGTCACGCCTCTCCGCAGCCGCGCGGCGCGCTCCCTTCGCGGAAGAAGGAGGAGGAGGAGAGTCCCCGCAGAATCAGACCTTCATCAGTCCGCAGTCTGCCTCACCTCCTCCTCATCGTGATGCACAGAGACACAAAGACCGAGGACGAAGACCCGGACCTGGTCCTGCTGGTCCAAAAATCTGACAGAGGGAGTCAAAGCTCGTCCGGTACTGGTACCAGTCTGACCCGGCTCCGTGTCAGGTGATCAGATCTACAATTCAAACGACATCTTGTTTTTCACACACACACACACACACACACACACACACACACACACACACACACACACACACACACACACACACACACACACGAATCCTGACAGAACCTGATGGATAGATCCGGGTCAGACCGAGTGAACATCATTTTATCAATAATTTTTCAATAAATAATTAAATATTTAAAATGATTTTATTTTGTTGTGTAGCTCTTTGATGCCTGACACCACAAATTATTGCCAGAAAATTCACAATTTTTTTGTAGCTGAAATTTTTATTTTACTTTCTACTGAAAACAAAAATAAATAAATAGTAAAATAAAATAAAATAAAATAATGTCCTCAAAATTTAACGAATATATTTATTTATCTCGTTTGATATATTAGATTATATTTGATAGATTAGATTAGATTAGATTTTTAACATTTATCAGACTGTATTCAGGTGTTTTTTTTTTAGTAATTTGTTGACATTTTGATTTGATAGACGTATATAAAAGTATGTTTTAAATATGATCACTTAAAAGATTCGGTTCTTTTGAATGAATCGTTCGGGAACAACACAACACTATCAAAGACCCGAATCATTTGAGGAAGTTCTTTCAATCACGTGATCTATCAGTGCACATTTAGTATGTTAGTATGTTGAAGTCAAGCTGAGTCATGATAACATCCACCTGTTTTACATGAATGTTTTAAATTATTTAAACACCTTTTTAAATTGGCTTTTAACCTGTGAAATGTTCTTTTATTGTCTTTTCATATTGTGTCTTTTTTAACCTTTTACATTGTTGGTTTTATTTCTCTAAATTTTCTGTATTTGTAAAGCATCTTTGAGCACATGTAAAAGCTCATAAAATAACATTTCTTCTTCTTCTTATTATTAAAATGAATGGATAAAACAGTTTGATTATTCAATCCTTTGGTTTAATTTAACAGCTGTACATCAGTGTTATACTCGTGGTTTATTTAGCAAGCTAATAATGACACTGCTCTCAGAATGAGCTGCTGGAAACATCCATTCAGTTACACAGAGCCTTTAAGTCCAACATATCACCTTTATTTTCTTTATATAGAGAAGATAATGGCGAATACCAAAGAGATAGAGGAAAACAAACATGATAGTTATTAATGCTGTAACAGCTCTTCTTCCAGGGGTTCATATGAAAAAGGCACACTTCACATTTGAGATATATAAAAATAACAGCACATATAATAAGACGAACAAAATAATTATGTAAAAGTAGTTGGTCAAAACTGTTAAAGATTAGTTAGTGAGTTAGTAAGTGCAAGATTTAACTGGTTTTACTTATTACAGATAAATATTGAATCAGATCAAGTCAGTTTAACTTTGAAGTATTGCATTAAAGTAGCAGTAACTATAATAAAATCAAAGATTGCTTTTGTAAAAAAAAAAATAAAGTGCTTTTTTAAAGGAGGAAATACCCCTGCTCATTCTTGCAACAGTATCAGCAAGTTGACTGCAATAGTTTTTCATCACTTATCACAACTAACCTAATTTAGGCCTGTTAACCTATTAAATGTCAAAAACACGCACAGCTGCTGACCTGTCTGTTTTTTGTGATTTTCAGCCAGCATCAACTCTCCCTGTGGCATTTATATGTCACAGAAGATGGTCTAACAGGCTGGATGCTGGTTGGAGCTGACAGAAAATGTTGAACATTTTTAATCATTTGAAGTTTGTTTCTCACTAATTGTAGTATAAACTCCAGGGTGTCAACTTATACAATATATTTAAAAGAATAATTTAAAACAATAAAAGCTAGTTGACCTGCGTTAAAACCTTTCTGAGTGGCACAAACATTTGAAACAGGGGAGCATAAAATTTGAGATGTCTCAGTCCTCAGTAACAGACTTGTACCGGACTCGTCCTCATTGGGGACCCATCCTTAGCGTATGACTGCTGCACCTCAACCACAGAGACAAAGCGAGGGCGACGGCGAACCCTCCTCTTGGTGTTGTGTTTGGGATTTCTCTGGTACATGTCTGAGGAGAAGAAGAAGTCTGAGTCATTATGTAGTCTTTGGATTTACCTGACTGAGATTAAAGGGATATTCCCTATATGTAGCCTATGTACTGTTGATGAAGTTAGGTGCTGTTCTGAGCATTATTTGTGGCTATAGAGTGGCGTTTTGGTTGAGGTTCGTGTGTGGCTCCTCAGAAGTGTATTGCTATCTGCAGTCGTTACTAAAGCTGGTATAACTAGAGAAGCAAGTGGTCGGCAACATTGATCCCTCAAGGGGGTGTCCAACTCGGTGTTACAGTGTGTTTGACCCTAACTTAATTTTACGCCAGAATATCCCTTTAATCTGTGTTTGTAAAAGCAGTGCTCCTCGACAGGAAGTGACAGGGGGTCGTACCTTTGAAGCTGAGGATGTACTCTCTGTGGCCTTTCATCACTTGGACCTCCGCGGTCCTGTCAGACAGAAACAAGTTCTCCAGACTCTGAGATGTGACTGACATGGTGCGCTGCTTTTCATCCTGAGGACATAAAGAGGGGTGAGAACCTGGACTGACAGATTCAGGATCCAAACATGTTAAAAGTCAAATATCAAACCCTTCAGGTGGAAGCTGATGTCTCCATCCTGCCTCCAACCCCTTCAGAGAGTCTCGAAAACTCCCAGACCCACTTATCTAGTACCCTTCCCTCTAAAACCAGGTTCAGGACCTCCAAAACTGGTCCAAAGAAATCTATGACCTTTATGACCTCTATAACTTGTCCTTCAATTTCTACAAATAGTTCCCTGACCTTGAAAGCCAATCCCCTCCAAAACTAGTGTCAACTTCCAAGACCTCCAAGCTGGTCCCCTTCCCTCTAAAAATAGTCCAAAGACCATCATGACTAGTCCCTGGACCTCCACAACTAGTCTCATGACCCTCCAAACTAGCCCCCTGGCCTCTCCATATTGTCCCCAGACCTCTAAAACTGGTCCTATGAATTACATAGATATTTACCTAACCTCAACAACTAGTCCTCAGACCCCTTCTGATAGTTTTCACAGAGCTGCCCCAGAACTTTGACCCTAAAACCTTCATCCCGAGACAGTCAGACTCACCATCTGTCCGTACTCGATCCAGTTCCCCTGTTCCCCCTTATAGTACCACAGCCAGTCAGTGGTCAGGACATAGTGAGGTGGCCTTGTAACCGAGGAAACCGTGGAGAGACGGCGAACCTGTCTTGACCCCCGTCTCATGGACAGGAAGTTGATAGGCTTATGGCTGAGGCTAAGATAGAACAAAAAAAGTTTATGTTTCTTCCTCATTAATCTTCAGACCTAAACAAAGGGGTGACCTCTGACCTATGAGTGTTGAATGGGTCACAGTAATCTCTCTCTATGTCCTCCATGTCCGGCAGATCTGTCCAGGAGACACCGTCAAACAACTCCCACTTATACGGCAGGTGGAAATGAACACGGCGACATTCATCTGCACGGAGAGAGAAAACTACGGTCACCACATCAACTGATATTACAGTCAAAAGAACAACGAAAAGAGTCAAATCACTGACAAACTACAACCTAAATAACACAAAACTACAAACTAAACAAAACATGCAACAGATGTAAAACAAAAACTTCAGTAAAAAAAGAAAAAAACTTCAAAAACTACATTAACAAATTATACTGTCACTACGCCAACAGACTAGAGCCACAAAACAACAACAACAATAACAACGACAAAAACAAGGCACATTCCCAACAAAATCAACAGTCACAAGACATATATAAAAATGTCTTATCACAAACAAACTACTGTTGCCACGGCAACAAAAATACAGTCACAAAACAACAAAATCTACAGTCACAAAACAACAAAAATACAGTCACAAAAACAAACAAAATTACAGTCACAAAACAACAAAACTACAGTGAAAAATAAACAAAAATACAGTCAAAAAAGCAAACAAAATTAGAGTCATAAAACAACAAAACTACAGTCAAAATTAAACTAAAATACAGTCAAAAAAACAAACAAAATTAGAGTCATAAAACAACAAAACTACAGTCAAAATAAACAAAAATACAGTCACAAAAACAAACAAAATTACAGTCACAAACCAACAAAACTACAGTCAGAAATTAACAAAAATACAGTCACAAAAACAAACAAAATTAGAGTCATAAAATAACAAAACTAGAGCCATAAAAACAACAAAAATACATTTACAAAATAACAAAAACTACAATCATAAAAAAACATAAAATAAAGTTAAAAAACCTCTAAACTAAAGTCTCAACACCAAAAAACATCCAGTCACAATACCAACAAAAACTACAGTCACAAAAACTGAAGTCATGAAAACAACAAAACTACAGTCACTGTCAAATAATACAGTCCAAAAAATAAAAACACAGTCTCTCAACCATCAAAAACGACAGTCACAGTGTTATTGAGGCTAAAGCAACTGTCCCATAAAGAGCTCACAGTGACACTAAGTCAGAGTTTATAATCAAAAATGTCACACACGAGTTACCAGCGTTTCAGTTACCAAGTCAGAAAAAAGCAAAATCGGAGGCAGAATCAAGGTGGCTACATCTACGATAGTCATTTTAGTGCTTGCCTTGTCCGAATGAGGCAAGCGCTAAAATAACTTTTGTAGATGTAGCCATCTTGTTTCAGGTCCTCTATTTTTCTTTTTCTGACTTGGTAACTGAAATGCTGCTAATTCGGCTATTACTCAGCTCCAACATCTGACTTCCGAGTAACTCGAACGCACCATAACAACTGATGAACATGTAAAGGTTCTGAGGTAGAACAGTGTGTGATGATGATGATGATGAACTTACTGTTGAATCTGCAGCTGTTCCTGATGAAGTGCAGACAGATCTCATCTGATTGCTCAAAATCCTCTGGAATTTTCTCTGACAGACATAGAGAGAAAGAGTGACGATGATGATGATAAAGACGAAGATGATGAAGGTGACCACAGACAGTGTTCCAGGTGTGTCAGACTCACCTGTGCAGGCACTGGTCAGGAGGAAGATGTTCCTGTAGATGAAGGGCAGCTCCTGGATCACGTCCCTGCTCAGCCCTCGCTCCTCCAGCATGCGGCTGCCATGTTGGCTGAAGGCGTGCTGACGTTTACACTTGAGCCCGAACGCACAGGTGCCCTGAACGAAGTGGAGACACAGGTGCACTTTGGTGCAGCTCTCCTTGAAGGTACAATCCCCGAAAGGAGGCGAGCCTTTGTTATAGTGGGAGCACACCTGAGGGGGGAGGAGACAGTTACACCTGTTACACCTGAGAGAGGAAAAACACCTGAAGAAGAAAAGACCAAAAGGAGAATAACCTTTACCTTCACAGACACCTCCCTTTTTCCTCTGGACACCTTTTTTTATTTTTTTTTTATTTTATTTTTTTTCCTTTCACAGTGAGAGTCTGATCCAGCATCTTCTTTTCTTCTGTTTCTTCCTCTTCTTTTTTTTATATTACAAGTTCATGCCTGAGGTCTATCTGACTGAATCATCCAATCACTGAGCAGGATCCTGGTTGTTCCCTACCACTTAAGACACACGCAGCTCTGATTGGCTTGTTAGTCTTAGTTAGAGAAAAGAAACCCAAAAGGTTGAAAGTGGAAGAGAAAAACTCAGGAAAGAGAGAAGTTCAGAGAAAAAACCTGAGGCAGTCAGAGAGAATTTATCGCCCTCTGCTGGACAGAATCTGAAACTGCCTCAAGAAACTCAGTGGCGTGTGTAACTATCTGATCTGCGTGTGTGTGTGTTTCTGTGTGCGTCACCTCAGGCAGCAGTGTGTTGTCGTTCTGGAGCAGCAGTAGGATCAGCTGCTCGTCGTCCAGTTCGTGCAGCGTGCACTCTCGCAGTAATCGATAGTTGTGCTCGGATCGAAAGTCGTGACAAAATTTGCACGGCTTCCTGACAATGACAACAAAAAAACTTCATGTAGACAGATCACACGATCATCAAACACAAAAATCAACCAGCGGCACGATCAAACTTCACAGGTTAAACATAAAAATGTTTGATACATAAACTGAAATATCCTTTAATTGAAACGCTGTCAGTGATCCATATGTCTGAAACTGCAGCTGCAGGGTAGATGAAAGCTGGAGAGGTGCAAATTCTCAATGAGTCGAGTAAGAACCAGTTCTTTAGATCTTAGATATAACATTTATTAAGGTCACATGAAAAGCTGTACAGCGTTGGACTCGGGATGACAGAGCTCCTAGAATCTCCATCACAATGAGTGCCCATTTCCGGGTAGGGGTAGGTGGGGTAAGTTGAGCCATCCCCATGTTTCTTGGAAATGGTAAAAGAAATTGATCATATGACCAAATATTTAGGAGATGGGCATCAATTCATGGAGTCTGTGAAGGTTAGAAGCACACAGTTCAGTGAAAAAGTACAAATCTAACCATAGCAAAGTAAAAGACAAATGTAACAGAAGTATATTTAACTATCATGCCATTTTCTTGAGTTATGATAACTGATGATATTAATAATATTGGAGTTATAGTTTCATTTAGGAGTAGTAGGGAGTGGCTCCGTTTCTCAGTTTCGTTTCTGTGTAAAATGAAAACAACGATCAGCTGTTCATGGGGCAGTCTGCAGACCCAGAGGCTGCGCAGTTTTAGACCCTGCTGCGACTTCAGAAAACAAAAACAGGTGTGTTTACTGAAGTCATCAAGTTTTAAACTGATAGAATAACGTAGTGATTACTGATCATTGATCACTGATTGTCCTATGATTGTCTCAGTTTCCTCAGCTTCTTAAGTTTCGTTTCTGAGCTGGAGGCTTTGTCTTTCCGCCGCGGAGGAACACAGTAGTCCCCTGAAGTAATCCAACAGTCTTACCTGTGTAAAAAAATACTCTCTCTACTTTTCATTTTGTATGGAAGCCCAGTGGAGAGTACAACAGAGGTCAGCAGTTCACGTTAGACCAAAGAAATCACGCGGCTCACCTGCCCTTGCCGAACCTGCAGTTTCCATAGATGAAGAACCTGCACAGGTGAAGATGCTGACAGGCCCCGTCCTCCGCGCACTTGCCGCGGCTGTACGCGCTGCACAGCCGCAAAGAGGTGCGCGCGACCACCGTGCAGTCCCCTACGAACTCCCCGCCGACCGCTGACGGACCGCGGACCAGCAGGAACCTCGAGCAGCCGTTTACGATGAAAATGAACTCTTCTTCGCTGATGTCAAATCTCTGCTGCAGCTTCTGTTGCAGCTCTCCAGACGCGAGCGAACCGCCTGCGGTGCAGAGCGCGCGCGTGGCCTCCAGGACCTCTCTGTCGAACATCCTCAAAGAATTGCTGGTCCGAACAGACTGACGGCGCGCGAGGAAACCCACAGGTAAGGTAGAGACAGGCAACATCCGGTCCACGCCTGCCAAAATAAAAGCACGGAACACAACACATCCTGTCTCGAGGAGCTGTGGCGTCACAGACTATCAAAAATAGATTAATTAATGAAATCATTAATTAATGAGAAACATCTGTCAGTCATTCTTGTCTCTTATTTTGACCAATTTATTATCATAATACTTTACTAGGTAGGGGAGACTGGGGTTCATTGAGCCACCCCCTGTTGCTTGGAAATGGTCAAAGAAATTGATCATGTGACCAAATATTTAGGAGATAGGCATCAATTCATGGAGTCTGTGAAGATTAGATGCACATGGGTGAAGGGGTTAGACATTTATTTAAAAAAAAAAAAAAAACATTTTTCACTCTTGAAAGTGAATTTAGTCTGTCATAAGTTTTATTAGAATTGTGTTCAGACCAAAAAGATTTTAAATTTGTTTTATACATTAATTGTGGTATCTATGAGCTACAACATGAGGTCAAAAGCCTCGCATAAAAGTCCACAATTTTAGCCTAGAGGACTAACAAAGTCATAATAGTAGTTCTGAGGTAAGTTGAGCCAGTGGCTCAACTGAGAAAGTAAAGGAGTCTGATGAGAGGATCAGAGTTTCAGTTCAGATTGTTGAAATGTTTTACTTTTTCTTTTCAAAAATACAGCTGTGAATGTTCTGAATCACTTAAAGACATTCTCATGTTAAAATGACTTTTTACAAAACAGATTTTTAGCAATTATATGCAATAATAATAAAAAGAATTATTGTACCAGTTAAATAGTGTATAATAGATAAAAATACACATGAATGTGAAGAAGTTACTGTGATTATTATGGTCAACTTACCCCATACACAGGGGTAAGTTGACCATAGGAGCCCACTTTTTTTATGGCATGCTATATTATCAAGACAGTTATGTTTACACTCATTCTGTTGGTTTGCAGGGATGCACAACATCTTGAAATATATGCAGATACACTAGTTAGAGACAAAAACATGATTGTCTTGATTTAGTGATCTGAAATATGGAAACTTACTCATCTTACCCCACTCTCCCTACGAGGAAATGAGGGGGAAAGGAAAGGAGGTAAGGAGTGAGGGGAGCGGACTCCAGAGAGCAGCCTGTAAGTGAAGTTTATTCAGTGTTTGATGTTCCCTGATCTCTCTTTCAGCTGATTATCGAATAAAACTCCAAAAGTTTAATCTCCATCATATTTAAATCTTTAATTATTAGATTTCCACAAACTATATATGCTGAAACATTTTTCTGTGATCACAGAGAAACAAATCAAAGACTGCAGCATGCTCTGAATCTGTGGAATAAAGGAGCTGCTCAGGTTTCTTCAGTGGAGCTGCAGGTGTTTGTAATCACACAGGTGTGTCTCAGGTGACTCCTCAATGTGTGTGGATCAGTGTACTGATGGTCAGAGCATCATGAAGCTGTGTGAGTTCAGTCTGCTGACTTTGAGTCTGTTTTACCTAAACACAGGTAAGAAACATCTGACCTCAGATCAGATTAATGTGTATTATTTATATATATAGTAGAGTTAGTCTGTGATTAGTTCAAATAGAAGTAATCTGACCTCCTATTTCTGAGATCAGCTGACCTCAGATCAGACCAAGGTTTAACTTGAAACCCTGTCAGATTAAAACAGATTAAACTATTGAAATCAAACTGTATCTAGATTAAACTCAGTTTAATGTAAAACAGATACCGAATGTAAATCAATATTTGAGGTGTGTTTTCAGCTGTTTCAGTTCTGAACCCTTCAAACCCCTCAGCTCTAAACGTCTCATCTGGAGCTGATCCTGGATCAGGTTTGACTTTATTTTTCTCACATCCTCTCAGTTAAAGCTGCTCTCAGATCAGTTTGACCTAATTTATCTGAAACTGTTGATCAGACTACTAAAACAACACATTTTATCCACACAAACTGCTATATTTAGGAACCATGTAAACAGAAACTCAACTCAGAGTCTGACTGATGTCAAATCCTGAATTTAAACATGTTAATCTGATTTTATTTGGTTAAGAGTGTGATTTATTAAAATGGTTTCTTATGTTTATTTTTGTCTCTTTTAGATAAAATATTCAATCAGACCCAGAATCAGAATGAAACTCAGACTTCCTCTACACAATTTGGATTCAGCGGTGAGATTTTAGTGATTTTTGACATCAGATGTTAACTTTATTTATAAAACATTGTAAAAACACAGGTATCAATTCCATGTTATGAAATGTCCTCTTTGTATTCTCTGTATGCTCTACATCTGTTTTTAAATATGTTGACTATAAATACCTCCACCCCCTCACGTAAAATGGTGTACATAAACCCTCTAACATGATCTGCGGGGGCAGGGTCAGACCTGGCAGGGATCCGGGTTTTCAGCCCAGAACAGGAGATGGAGACCCGGATCATTGGGGGGCAGGAAGCCTGGGCTCACTCCTGGCCCTGGCAGGTGTCCCTCCGGTTTGCCTCCATGCCAGCCTGCGGGGGCGCCATCATCGGTCCACTGTGGGTCATCTCTGCGGCTCACTGCTTCAAGAGGTCAGAGGTCACCTGATGGACCTGGATCAGGCCTGAATCAGACCTGGATGAGACTCTTTGTTTGTTCTGTGTGCAGGTATAACCGAGCCTCTTTCTGGACGGTTTTGGCAGGGAAACACGACCTGGATAATCCTCAGGAACCTGGACAACAGGTGAGATAAAGTTTAACTTACACACTGTGAGGAGGCAGACGGCATCCATTCTATATACAGTCTATGGTTAAAGTCAATCTGGTTACAGTGAATAATCTAGTTCTTGTGTCCAGCTCGTTGGGGTCTCCATGATTGTCTCCCATCATGCCTACAACCCTCGTACCAAAGAGAGCGACCTGGCTCTGCTAAAGCTACGTCAACCGCTTGTCTTCAACCAATTCATCAGACCCATCGACATCTGGACTGCCCCCCTGCCCCCACAAAGGATTTGCACCATCACAGGCTGGGGCTCCACCCGAGAGAGTGAGACATTTTTATTCAGCTTTAAATCCACCAAAACCACCCAAATCCTCAGTTCCTGTTACATACAAGGTGGACTAACTCTGGTTTCTCAGATGGTCCTCGAGTTCACAGACTGCAGGAGGTAAATGTGACCATAATGCCCCCTGAGGTCTGTAACCGGTACTACCTGGGCAGGATGAGACCCTCCATGTTCTGTGCCGGGAAGGAAGGGGGAGGTGCCGATGCCTGCCAGGTAAGACTGAGGGACAAGAGGGACCAGCAGAGAATGGACTGAGACAAGATGGGCTAAAGAGTTAAAATCTTAAAGTTAGACACCCTGTCGAAAATGTTGACAACCGCTTGCTTCTCTAGTTAAACCAAATTTAGTAACGACCGCAAGACAGCAATACAGAGAGCCACGCGCTAAACCAAAACGCCACTCTATAGCCACAAATAATGCTCAGAACAGCACCTAACTTCATCAACAGTACATATAGAGTCCCAGCCACCAAACATCTTTTTAGCTTTGCCTCATTTCTTTAGAAAAGAGACTGAACACAACTCACCCTCTCTCCTCCAGCAGGCGCTTGTTTGTACGGAGACCCCCAGGCGAGTCCATCCACTGCAGCGGGGTGACGCAGCTCAAGGAAGAACATTTTTGATCATTTCTTTATCAGTTCCTTGAAGTAATAATCATCATATTAATCATTTTGCACTCTCGACGGGGTGTCTAACTCGGTGTTATGGTGTGTTTGACCCTAAATTACTTTTACGCCAGAACATCCCTTTTAAGGTTGACTGTCCCTTCTCTAATGTGGACCTAGTTCAGTCATTATCTCCTGTTTTTGTGTCTAACCTTGTCCTGGTGTCTGTCTAAGGGGGACTCTGGCGGTCCTTTGTCCTGCTTTACCGGCAGCAGGTATCAGCTGGCAGGTTTAGTGAGTTGGGGGGTCGGTTGTGGACGGGCCAGAAGACCAGGAGTCTACACCAAAGTTCAGCAACACACTACATGGATGTCAAACGTCCTGAGTGAGTGTCTCAGATGATTGACAGGTCATTTTTTACCAGAATAAGGTGTTCAGAAGTTTGAAGAGGTTGTACTGTGTTTTATTCAAAGGTGATCCAAACGTCCTGTACGCCGACGACTCCACGACTGAAGGTTCTAACATTAGAGTCTGTTTTTATTCCAAAATCATATCTTTGGGGCTGACAGTCCAGTAACTCTGCCCACTCCGGCATGACTGTTTGTTCACCTGGACACAGAGGACAGGTGTGGGAAGCAGCAGAGCTCCAGCTGTCACAGGACTCCAGGACTAGCTTCTCTCTTTGTGTCTCAGAATGGGGAGGTTTCTGTGGGGAACATCTCAGAGTCCTGCCCCTTCTACTGGCCCTGGCAGGTCAGCCTGCAGTCCGCTGGACGCCACTACTGCAGCGGGGTGCTGATCCACCACCGCTGGGTCCTGACTGCCAAACACTGCAGTGTCAGGTACCGATATGTAGCCGAGCCATTCCACCAAATTTAACTTCTTGTATGGAAATATCTAACTCTGTCCCTGACTCGTCTCTGCAGAGCCAAAGAGGACATGGCAGTCCTGGGAGTCCACGACCTCCGCTTCTCCGCATCTCAAACCATCCCTGTAGATGAGGTCTTCAACCTTCCTGAGGACCACAGCTTTCCTCCAAAGTCTGACCTGTCTTTGATCCGCCTCAGTGTGCCAGCCAGAATCAGTAAAAACACACAGATGCAGCATTTTCTAAGAATTTTTACTTCCTGTTTGGTGTTTCCTGAAATTGTCCTCTGGTCTCAGGTTCCAATGTATCTCCGGTTTGTGTCCCTGATGAGGACGAGGAGTTGGACAAAAGCTGGTTCTGTGTGGCAACCGGCTGGGGCCCCAACAGGGCGGCAGGTAGTCTACATGCTTTCTGTCCACCTGTGTCTGTCTGTCTCTGCTTCCTTACTATCTGTGTCCTCTTGTGTCTCATGTCCTTTTGTAGTGTACGTTGATCCAGATCGGCTGCACCAGGTGGGACTATCTCTGGCCAATCAGACAAGCTGTAGAGAGAAGTGGGCGGGGCTAATTGATGACTCCCACATATGCTTTCATCCTGCAGGCTCAGCCTCATGCATGGTAACATCTCAGAAAAGAGTTGTTTCATTAGTTTGTCCATAAAGACATACAGTATGTGGTCCACAGTCCTGTTGATGGACTTGTCCTCCCTTTTTTGCAGGGGGATCAGGGAGCTCCTCTGGTCTGTAAGAAGCGCAGCTCCTATTTCCTGTTTGGTGTGGTCACGTGGGGCAGCGGCCGATGTGACCCAGACAAACCCTCCATCTTCACCAGAGTTCCAGATTATCACTCGTGGATCTCGGGGCTGACTGAAGACACCTGAATGATGGGAAATAAACTCTGACCTTGAAGACATTTGTCCTCTGTAATCTGTGCAGACTCTCTAAAACCACACATCTAAACTCTGAGTCCAAGCTCGAAATCTCAGATTACAGTCCCAGTTTAGGTTTCTTGTCTGTGGGTCACATGACTGTAGAATGTAAACATGCACCTGCATCATGAAGTTGATTCAATCACAGATTCCCAGAAAAAGCTTAATAATGCAAAAGAGGTTTATAGACAGTCAGTACGTTTACATGACACTCAAGAAAACCGAATTATTGCCTTACTCTGATTAAGACCGGACAACTGAAGTGCATGTAAACACCTTAGAACTCCAATTAAGACACTCAGATAATGCAATTGGAATTGGATTTTCTCTACCATGTAACCAGCGTGGTCAGAGTATGATTGGACAATGCATTTGCGCATGCGCCACGCCTCCGTAACCCCAGAACAAAAACACCAGATAAGAAATATAGCGTGCACCTCATCTACAGAAAAAGTAACGCGTACATCATGCACGACAAATACAACGCTGTACGATGCTCCATCTTCTTGCTCGAAAATGCCCAACAGCAGTTGTCGCCACTTCTGATGTCTGGCACAGACCTGCCGTTGTTGTTGGATCAACCAGAAACAGCGCCACTGAAAAGACCCATATCACCCCCTAGCTTTGGGGAGGAGGACATGTACAAGTCAATAATTCAATTTTCTTAGCTGCATGTATTTGCAGACAAGGAGAGAAGTCCGATTTGGCAAAAAAAAAACAAATTATGAGCTTAGTCCGATTAAGCTGTGCATGTAGACGCTCTGACGGTTGTATCACTCTTGATAAGTCCATTGCATCACTCTCTGAACTCCCTTTTACTCTCTGGCTGAGGTCGGGGCTTTTTAAACACGCTGAAAACATGAAGCACAGGACTTTGTCTCAGTTATTTACTCAAGTTTTAATTTCACTGTTATACATGATTCTAAATAGTGATTGTAACTTTGCATTGTAAAAATCCTCTAAACCAGAAGCTGTTCTACAGAGAAAAAAAATCACTGAAGTCATTAAACGTCACTTAGATTGAATCAAGTTTTCCTCCACATGTTGGACTTCTGCACCTGAATGCCTCATTGGTGTGGTTTCAGCAAGGGGGGGAAGGGGTTTATGATCGATCCAGAGTTAATGTTGGAGTGGTTTTCTAAGAGAAAACCAGTGACAGGAAACAGTCTCTGCCCTTCAAAATAACCTCAGGGATGAGTGTGATACACTTTGGAGATGGTCAGAGAACCCGGAGGGTCCCAGTCCATCAGCAGCATCATGGCTCCTCTCAGCTGTCCTGCAGCAGGTCATATGATCCACCGTCTTCCGCCTGATGTTGGTCCTCTTCCTGCAAACAGAAAGTCTGAGCTTTAACACCAACCAGCTGGTTTATTCTGCCAACATGTTTTAGTTCAGTCTCTCTGGTTATTCTTGCTCTGAACTCTCTGACTTATAAATAAAGATTTCCTGGTTTTGAATGGTTGACTCACTGTGACCTCAGGTGTTTCAGGTTCTGCAGGTTCTGCTGCTGATTCATAAACCAAGTTACTGATGCCGTGGTTACTGATTGCAGGGGGCGCAGCCTCTTCTTCAGCTTCATCCTGTCAGAGTGATAGGGTCAAAGGTCAGCACAGAGGGATGTCTCAGTTGTGTCTGTGATATAAGTTATTCTGTCTGATATGAGGGCGGCAAAGACTTTTATTCTCATGATTTAGGATCCACTAATTTCTGTTTTCATCATCGCTGACCTTAAAGTAGTGGAACCTGAACGGTTTGGCTTGGTGGGTGTAGAAGTTGTATCCAACAAAGAGGACCGCAGCAATCAGAACGATCAGAACCACGACTCCAACACCGAGCCCCGCCTTATGAGCTACCTGCATCTGAGAGACCAATCACACGCACGATCAGTGAGGAGAGAACCTGAACCACTACGATTCTTCTTCAGAAATATACGTGGATAATAAGGACTGTGTTCAGTTACATCACTCACCTCATGGTGAGGGGGCGGGGCTTTTAGGGGTCCCTGCAGGACATGTATGACCCCGTTTGAAGCCAAGATGTCTGAGTCTGTGATGAAGCGGTCGTTGATGTAACGTGATGACTGAGGAGAAAAAGGTTGCTGTCAGCAGAGTATGTGTGAGCGTTAAGAAGCTTTAAATACAGACTTATTTAAAATCCTGCGACCCTGTTGAAATTTTTACATCTCTGACCAGAGTTGAGGGGTTCAGCAGGTCCGCGACTCCAAAGACAGTCAGACCGCCAACACGGGTTCTGATCCGGCTGCCGTTTTTCAGCTGACCCACAAGAACTGCCTGACCCTCAGACAGGTGAAACTCAATGTCACGCATGGACAGAGTCTGTGGAGGGAGAGGGCGGGGGTTGTATCGATTAATTGTTGTATTTGTTACAGCACATTTTGAGGTGGGTCACTCAGTAGAGACTCACCTGGTTCTCTGGCAAACCGTTATTATCAGGTACAAACAGAGTGGACTGAACCGTCAGGTTACTGAGACGCTTCACAAACTGTTTCCCTGAATCAGACGCCTGAGACACGTTCAGGATTTGCTGAAAAAGAAAAAGAAAGTTTGTTTCCGCCAAAAATCTGTGAGTATCACATTAGAAGGTAATAACTAATTAATACAATGCAAACCCTGTGGGTAATTATTATAATTTAAGCTGTAACATAAAGAGATGAGTGTTTAAATCATCAGACTCACTGTGAGGAAGTTTGAGAACTTAGGGGTGGATCTGAGGACCTGCAGGAGGTTCCCGGTGCAGCTCAGACCGTCTCCTACATAACCTGGTTTACACTCACACTCCACCTCTGAAACACAGAGATTTACTGATCACTGATAACCACTGAAAAGAGCTGGTCGGGACATTAATCTTTAATGATTATTTGACTGAAACTTCTTTGAAAAAGTAGTTACCTCATGATTATTGCCATGCTTTTATTTTGATAACTTCCTGTCTTTGTGTTAAGGTTGCTTTTTGTCCTGTATGGTCAAACTGTGCTTTTATTTTGAAATATCTGGTAGTATCTGGTAATCAGTTCACTCAGAGACATTATACTTTGCTTTCCTCATTATTCTGGCACTGATCTCACCCTTCATCCTGAAGCAGAAGGTGTCCCAGGTCTCACTCAGGTTCTTGCGGGTGCCGTAGTCCACGATGCCCACGTGTCCGAAGCCGCACTGAGGGCTTGAAAAGGTTGTCGGGTATCCCACCCGGGCCTGATCCAACCATCCAGCAGCACACATGTTCATACCGCCCTGTGAAAAGACAAACCAGAGGACGGCATCTGTAACTGAAATCACTCAGACCAGGAGACAGCAGCGGCTCAGGGTCAGGGTCAGGGTCATCCTCAGTTATTGTGTTTGTTTCTAAGGATCATATCCAACTGTGTGTTTTATACGCCTTCATCCTGATGTTTGTGTCGTGTTTACTGACCTGCTGAGCGTAGGACAGCTGATTATAAGTGGCGAGGCTGCCTCCCTCTGCTGCGCAGGCCTGCTGAGCCTCACTGTAGGTCAGTTTGTACTGACCCTTAACTGAACGGAAGTGAAACACTCCAAACTTTGAATCTGCACACAAACACAACACACACATAACAACACACGCCAGCTTGAAGAAATGACAGCAGAGGACTGTCTTTTGGTAGCTTTGTAAAACTCAATTCATGTTTGCACTAAATTTGTAAAATAACTCTTCATCCAGATACCTTCAAAGTGGAGGTCGGTACATTTGGCGTCCTGATGACATTGTCCGTTGTCTTGGAGACAGCGGCTGATCGGCAGCTTTTTGACCTCACAGGTGACTCCATCTCCGATGTAGTTGTCTTTACAGGTGCACTTCTTCTTCCCCTGTTAAACAGGAAATCACCTGTTACCCTCGCAGACACCTGTGATGCTGAGAACAACACTTCTATGAATGACAGTCCTCACCGGAGCCGTCATGGTGCAGATGGCGTGTTCATGGCAGCCTCCGTTGTCCCCAGAGACGCAGGGGTCGATGGGTAAACAGGTGAAGCCGTCTCCTTGGTGACCTTTAGGACAGGTACAGCTCACCTGCTCTCCCGCCTGAGAACACTTGGCTCCTTTAGCACATCCGCCGTTCCACACGCTGCACATGTCCCACACTGCAGAGAGAGGAACATACGGAGAAAAATGTCACAGTAGGAAGTTGGTAGAGCACAACTCCCCTCTGTTTCATGTGTGCACATAAAGAGCCGAGGCATGGGAGTGTTTACCTGTACAGGTGAATCCGTCTCCTTCATAAAATGGCCGACACACACATGTGTTGTTTTCCCGACAGACGCCTTTTGGGGAGCAGGGCGGCGAACACACCACGACCTCGGCTGCGGGAAATGCGCACAAATCAGGTTTTTCTTGTTGAAGTCACATGACCAGGTGTATAGAGGGAGGACCTCCTGAACTCACCTTGCGTCTCACAGCGCTCTCCTGTCCACCCGGCCTCACAGAAACACGCACCCGTACCTTTACGGCCCTGGTCACATGACCCATGCTCTGAACAGTTACAGGCTGAGAAACAAAAAACGGTTAGTAACCACGACAGCACCAAACAGGAAACTTCGTGCCCATTGCTCACCTTTACAGGTGCCTCCATAGAACCCTTTACTGCACTGCTCACAGGCCACACCCCCAAAACCAACCTCACAGGTACAGGTGCCGTTACCAAGGTGGCCATCGTCGCATTTCCCTCGGTTACTGCAGGGAGTGCGGCCGCCACCCGGACAGTCTGGACAGAGACAAGAAGATGGGGTGAGTCCTCTAGATGAGCTTTTGTCCTTCATGTCAGGTTTGATCTGTGTATTTTTATGTTGTCCTCTCACCAAGACAGTCCCGCCCGTAGTAACCAGGACAACACTTCGGCTTCCAAGAGTTGATGGTGCAGATGGAGCGACAGCCAGAGTTTTTGGCGATATGCATCGTCGGAAGGTCGCACTTGTGAACCTCCTGAGGATAAAAGACAGAGACACATCAGATGGACAGGACAGACCAAAGCTGGTATAGCAGGAACAGATGATCACTCTGACCTTCAGTACGGACTCTTTTGGACAGCGAGATGGCGAGACGGTGCACTTTCTACAGTTCATCTACCACAGGAGGAGAAAAAACAGGAAATGATTGAAGGTTTACAGGTTCCTTTAGGACAACTTAATCTTAATGTTAGCCTGTTAGCTACCCTGAAGTATTTTACATAATAACTCATCAGACCTGAAGAGTAATTTGACCTTAAATCGACAGTTTAATGTTAAGAAATCACCTCAAGGTCAAAAGTCGTCTGTTGGTCGCAGCGTCCTCCAAGGCTTGGTGGAGTAAGCATGCAGTCGATCCCGTAGGCGATCCCGGCGTTGAAGATGAGATGTCTCTGAACGATCCGGCACTTTCCATCATTAATATACACTTCTCCCTGTGCAAACATGAACAACCACATCATCAATCACTCTTCTTCTTTGGTGATATAAATCTGTCCTTCCTGTTCTTACGATGTTGTCCATCCCTCCGCAACTAAAGGACAGCGAGGATCCTTGCAGAGTCCGATAGTCCAGGTGGATCAGATCTTCAGCATAGATCTGAGAGGACAAAGAGACTCTACTTAGACAGAGGAGTCCTGAGTCTTAAATGATCATGGCTGTAGAGAGTGCCCCCTGGTGGCCAAGCACAAAAAAGTTCATGATGTATGTTCTCACCTTTTTAGATGGCAGGATGTGGAACTTCAGGTACTCCAGCAGCTCAGCTCGGTTGTCTTTGTGGAACAGGAAGTTCTTCTGCTCCTCGGGAAGAGACGCCATGACGCTGTCTGTGGGCAGGAAGATGGTCACTGGCTGGTTCAAGGTATTGCTTACCAGGTCCATCACTCCTGAGTCCTGAAGATCAAAGAGAGTAAGGAAACAGGGAAGTCCTGATCAGACCAGAGACCAACTGTTTGAGGCTGTGTGGGTAAGTGTCTTTTCAAAATAAAAGTCTGATGTTCCTACCTCCAGTAATTTGTAGAAGGTTTTATAACCGTGAAGATCAGCGACTTCACTCAGGTTCAACTGAGAGCAACAAGACAGAAAAACAGATTCTTTAAAGACATGAAACCAGGACCTCTTTCTGTAGACTGTGTAATTGTCGCTGTGCTTCACTCACCCATTTGGAACCGCCTGAGCTGTAAGAAAACAGTACCCTGTCGATTTTGTGGAAGATGCCGTTGGTGCTGAGGCCATGGCTGTATGTCACGTTAGCATTGTTGATAAAGATGCTGCCCTGAAAACATTCAACATACAAACACAATCAGAAGTCCATCAGGTCAGTAATGTACAGACCATAGACTGTATATACTATGGACAACATGGTTCCGCCTTTCGCCAGTATACGGATTTGAAGCCTTATCTTGCGTTCTTTCTCCTGAAACCAACATTGCGCAGTCGCATTGTGCGCATTCGGCTGGAGAGTTGCCGAGAGTCGCTGTGATGACGCTCGGCTCAATCAGCGTATCCCCTGGGTGAGCTACGCAATCTTAGTACGCCCATAGGCTGTATCAAGTGTCAATCATAGAAAACATGAATAACTTTTAAAAATGGAGCTGTACAGAAAAAAAAAGGACTTGGGCACAAACCAGTCTTACAATAACTACACGTCAACATCGCAAGTAAGGGGAGAAACATTTACATTCTGTGTGATAAATTTCCAAAGTTTGTCCACAGCTCCATAGGGATTGCTGGAGAAGGCAGGATTTATGATCTATACTGCAGCCCGTCACCAGAGGGTGCTGTTCTTGGGGTGGCTTCACCCAGCGAGAAGGCAGACGCTGTCCATTCTATATACAGTCTGTGGTACAGACTCAATAATTTGAAGGTATTTTCAAAGTAAAAAGACAGTTGTATCCCTCCACATTCACAGTCCTGGTTGCTGATTGGTCACCTGGTTGGACCTGGTGGTCAGGACGAGTCCAGACAGAGACGTCAGGTTTCGTGGTTGGCTCAGGTCAACGGGCAGCAGAGTGTGACACATGACGATGTGGTTACGCATGATGACGGCAAATTCCTCTCTGGACTAAAAATTTTAAAAAATTCACACATGAGGAACAGGAAGCACGAAGAACTTGAACCAGTCTCCATATGTTAGTGGTCTTACTGTCACTGACTTCCCGTGACAGCTCAACAGCACTCAGTACTGCTAGCTCCTGTTGGCACATTAGCATGTATTCTTGGTAGACTAAACCAGCATCATCTAAACATTTGAGATCATGTGACCTCACCGTGCTTAATCTTTTTTCAAGGGAACTGGTGGTTGTTGGGACGAACACGGTGAATGGGCCGCGACCTCTCAGGGAAATGTCCGTCACCTGAATCAGAGATTTACAGACACAGTGAGGGCAGTATTCTCCTGAAGGGGGCGACAGAGGGGAGTGTGACTCACCATCAGACCCATGTTGAAGTCTGTGAGCTTCCCCCACAGGAGCTCCTGTGGAGACATGGTACGCTCATCAGAGACGTACAGTTCTATTTTAACATTAACCTCTAAGGGGGCGGAGTCTGTCTCTGTGTCTCACCTGCCCCACTGTGCCTCTGCAGGTGAACCCATCTCCGATTGAGTGTTTGGAACACGTGCAGCTGCGAACACCTGGACTCGTCATGTTACACCTGGCGTACTTATGGCAGCCGCCGTTTTCCTGGAAACATTAGAGACAGGAAGTAATCAATCAAACACTGAAACTACTTATCTTTATCTAAAGTCTTTTAATCGCTTTATCTACACCAACACAGGTCACATACCGCAGTCATGGAGACCAACTCACCTTATCACAAAGGTTGATCATCTTGCAGTTTTGACCATCACCTGAGTAACCATCTCTGCAGGCACAGGAAGTCTGTGACCACAACAATAAAAGCCTCGCTATGTTAATACTGAATGATATTATGATATTATGATAAAAGAATAAATTCAATCAGAGCCCAAAAACAGATGTTTTTACTTTGTTTGGTCCAACGTGGATACACTCTGCGTCGGCATGGCAACCACTGTTTCTCTCCAGGCATGGATTAAGTTCTGGAAAAGAAACATAAATGTCTTGCAGCACTTGAATGCATCACATCGTGTGGTAATTATCATTGTTTTATCTTTTTATATTAATATACAGTATATGTATAAAAACATAAAATAATATAATATTCAGAACTAAAAATAAGAATATAGTACTAAAGAATGAGAAATAAAAACAACATACCCATACACACCAATCCATCACCACGGTAACCGGTGTTGCACACACATTCTCTGAGGCCGGGTGACGTCTTCTTACACACTGCATACGGACTGCAGCCACCGTTGTTCACCGCACACGCATCTATGGCTACAAACATACACATACACACATGCACGCTCATATAGAAACCTGTACAACTCTTAAGTGCGTGTTTCTCTTCAGGTGTTGTGTCTAGTTACCCTGACAGAAAGTCCCGTTTCCTTCAAAGCCTGTGGCGCAGGAACACTGAGGACCGGATGCCAAAATCAAACAGCTGACAGATGAGAAGAAACGATAAAAACACTCAGAGGCTGACAAAGACTCTGCCCTCCAAATATCTGAACTATTATTTATCATTTTTAGAAACATATTCTGACTCGTTTGAACAAAGAGGAATCTATAGATCAAACATTCAAACAACAATACTCACTCTGGATTATAACAAATAAATTTCGATCCCAGATCGTTTGTTTTAAATAATAATTATCAGGATTAAAATTACTCATGTCAGCACAACTTCAGCTAACTAGAACTATTTTGATCATACCAAAGTCTGAGGCAGAGAGAGCGTCAGCAAAGACTCCCGGTGTACAGAAAAGAGAAGGCAGGTTGCAGCGGTTTGCAGAAGAAGCAGAACTGTTTCAGATCTGACTCTTGGGTGGTAGAGGGTAACTAACTAAGCTGTTAGATGGTATGGGTTAGTTTTGGGATATGCTGATGTGCTTTAGGTGGAGCTTCACACTGTAGTCTAACTGAACTAACACTCTGCTCAATAATAAGTTAGTTTGAAGGATAATAAATAAAAAAAGTGTGATGGATTTTCGTTTCGACTGACTTTCCACTGGTGTGACATCTGACGGATCCACACAGCTCGTCAGCTTTGGATTCAATCTCTGAAAGAAAAACACTCATTAAAGCTTTTTTTAAAACGGGTAACTGTGTCTTTAAACGGTCCTCCTGTCAGAATCTCAGCTTCACTGTAAACAAAAATATCTCCTGTTTGTCATCTTACTCTCATCACAGAGGATTCCTCTCCAGCCGACGTCACAGACACACGTCCCATCGCCTTTTAGCCCCTCATTACAGCGCCCGTTCTTACAGCGACAGTCTGCAGAGAGAAAGGCAGAGATTAGCAGAGGATTGTATAAGTGTGTGTTCATGTATGGATTGTGTACTGTAAGCTTGTTGCTCTGTGTGTGTGTGTGCGTACCCTGGTCGCAGTGAACTCCATACTTCCCGTCCTCGCAGCTCTCACAGGCTGTCCCCTTGAAACCTTTGAAACACTGGCAAAGCCCCTTCCCTACTAGCCCATCTTCACAGCGCCCTTGGGCAGAGCAGGGCTGACCCTTCGGCCCGGGACACGGCTCACAGGACAAGCCAAAAAAACCCTTGCAACACCTCTGCGACTGAGATACAACAGGGTTTAAGGCAAACATCAGGACAGACTTGCAGTATTTATGACCATTTTCAAATATCAAACATGGAGAATTAGGACCACATTATAAAATTATGGAAAATTTATGAGATCTTTAATAAATTCAAAAGAATCAAGTTATTAAATTCAACGAATAAATGTACAACCTAAAAACGTCTACTTACACTTAATAGTAATTAAAAATTGTAGATCTTTTTAACAAGAATAAACTTTAAAATTTACAAAAGCAAACCTTTCGATTCATGAGAATAAATTTTTAATGAAGCAGAAAAAATAAAAAACTCTACAAGAATCAACTAAGTAAAAGTGACATGATAAAAGTTGAAAATCAAAAAGAATACTTCAAAAGATTGAAATCACGTATCAACAAAAAATAAAGTTGTTAATTTACTGGATTCACTTCCTAGATTTACTAAATTAAATTCATTAATTTGCAAGATTTGAACATTTTAAGACCCACTCCAATTAAAATTATGTTTTTCTTGTTGTCTACATGTTCATATGAGACTTTAAGACAAATAAATGGAGGGTAAACTTGGTCCTTAAACATTTATAATATTTATCAAAAATGAAGGGATTAGTTGCAACGTACGATTTGCTTGAACAGACAGTTGGCTGTGCAGCCGAAGGTCACCCGCCACTCTCCTTCAACAATCCGCCTCGACGTACACCTCTTCTTGCTCACTGACTTCTGCAGAGAACAGACCAGAGTTTAACTGCACACACACACTCTGAGTGTGAGTTTAATAGTGTGCATGTGTATGGTGTGTGAAGTCTTACATCCTGCACCGTGTTCTTAGGACAGACTTTACCCAGGGGAAAGTCACAGTCCAAGCAGTCACCCTGAGGAAGACACACACACAGGTGATTTTTGTTTTACATGAGGGCACTAGAGGACAGTTGCACATCCTGCCCCTTCCTTGAGTGCACCACTGCTCTACGGGTCGATATAAATGTTCTGATTAATGTGTTAATTGATATTAATATGGATGTGTAGTTTGATGTTCAGACATATATTGCAGAAGTTACCGAGATTGTCAGGTACTTGGTTTGGTCACAGCGGTTCCTGTTGATCTCCAGGACAGAGGACAGTCCGTGAATCACTCCGTTCTGGCTCAGCAGGTTCGACGAGTTTATCTGAGCATCGTTCACAAACAGCTGGAAAAGAAAACTCAGTCACTCAGGAGATCACGTGATCACTTGACATCAACAATCAAACGGTTGCGCTCTGGTTCAGACCTTCCCATCTAGTGAGAAGATGCGGAGCTGGAAGGCAGACCCGAGCAGCGTCTCTTTGTACCCTCGAGGCAGAAAGTCGGTCTTTAACAGACGCTGCGACACGACCACGTGGTAACGAGTTGTATTCACATCCTGTTTTAGAAAATAAAAGCACAGAGATGACATGAACTATCTTCTATCTTCTAGTAATGTTCCTGTTCAAACTAAAGTTTACCAAGGCAGCAGCGGACGTCTTCTTCAGGTACTCAGAGATGGCGGCGTCGGTCGGAGCGAACAAGGTGTACCCGTCCAACTGTTCAATCTCATCTGTCAGGTTATAACTCTAAGAAACAAATGGAATAAAAAATTTAAAAAAAGACTGAGCAGATGAAACACTCACCTATCTGTGCCTGTGTGTGTGTGTGTGTGTGTGTGTGTGTGTGTGTGTGTGTGTGTGTGTGTGTTTGCCCGTACGATGATGTAGGATCTGAACAGGGAGAAGTCCGGCCTCAGCGCAAGAGTCGCCAGCAGACCTTCAATCAACTTCCTGTCTGGAATCAAAACCTGCCAATAGAAAAACACGTCTGTCAGATCAACGAGGAGAGGGGGCGGAGCATCATCAGCATAGCTTTAATGATCCTGGTGAACCTTGTTGATAAGGTGGATCAGGCCGTTGGTTGCTGCTATGTTTGGCGTGGTGATGGTCGCTCCTCCAACCGTCGTGAGCTGAAAGAACAAACACGCTGAAATCACTTGAACGCCATCGTTAGAGACTTAAACATTTCTGACAGGATTGAAAATAGATTAAAATCGCCCCTTTGTCGGCTCACCTCATTGGCTGTTGAGACAGGAAGTGTGGACTTGAGGAGGGAGCTGAGAGAGGAGATGCTGCTCAGGTCGGATAATGAATACACACCTGAGATCATGTGATTCCTGTGAGACAGGTGAGGCAGTTAGAGGACTTCATCGTACAGAGGCGTCCCGTTTTACGATATTGAACTCCGACTCTTAAATTTATCACCTGATGAGACTCTGCAAGTTCCCCTTTTTTGTCCAGAAGTCTATGTCCTCTGTGGACATTTTAGAGACGGCCTCTGAGGACGGGACGAACAGGGTCAGGTTCTGATCCGACAGAGACCAGGACATACCAGAATCCTAAAAAAACCCCAAAACAATTACAGTTTCAGACTAGGACTGAACGATTACATGATCGTGATTAATGACTGTGATAAATTTCATTTTGATCACGGTGATCAGCTGAGAGCATACTCGATCAAACATGGCGGAAATGTGCATCACAACAGCCAATCAGAGTTGAGCTTTTCCTGCTCATTTCTGTAAGTTGCCGGAGAAGTAAAGAGGAGAAGTAACAGAATAACGAACGTGGAGCTCAGGGCAGCAAAATAGATGTCAGCCGTGACTCTGAGTCATCCTCCAAAGATGCCATTGTTGAGAAGAATTATTCAACGTTGGTTGTGTGGCCGTGGTTCGGGTATTGAGCAATTAAGCCAATGGGCTATATTTTCGACACTTGTTGAGGGGCTGCCTTCTGTCGCCATCATGTGGCATTGCTGTCTTCAGCCATCTCTTGACCTCTTTGTCTACTTCACGAAAATTGTAATACGCCTCGCCGGTGGCGGATTTAAAGGTGAGGAGAGGAGCTGATGTTATCGGTCAATACAAGTCTCGGCTGTGTTAAACCCACTCCACGCCCTCTCTCCTCCCTCCCAACGACTTACGCCGCTGGAAGGAGCTGAGTTAGGGAGGGGGATACTTACGCCAGGCTGCGCCACTCACCAAAATACCAAATTGTGCTTGGGAACGCCTTGTCAGCCCGGCGGACCTGACTTAAGCTGCGTCTGCGCCACGTCGCCGGCGAAACACGAAAATAGAGCCCACTGTGTAAAGTATGTCGGTGGTCGGTGCCCTCAAAAACCAGCAACTCAGTAGATCTGTTTAATCATTTGAAGAAGTATTTCCAGAGTGAGTGCGAGCAGAGTCTGCACGACCTGCCACTGCCTATGTGATGAATTTTTTTTTTTGCCAAATTGCCCAGGCCTATTTCAGACTTGTGAGAAGCAGATCTGTTGCATGTGTGTACACCAGTCAGATGTGATACTCACCTTGGTCCAGGTGAAGAACTCTGAGGCGTTGGGCAGAGTCATGAGTTCCTGAATGCATCACAGATAGAGAGGGTAAAGGTAAAAAAACATGGCGTAAGTCAGAGTTAACTCTTTATTCACCTGTTCTCTCTCACCTGTCTGATCGTGCCGTAACAGATCTGACCGTCACCGATGTAACCGTCATCACACACACACGTCCACACAGAGGACAGCAGGAGACAGCTGGCCTAAAGAGGAGACAGGTAAGTCTACGTTTACCTGCTGCACAGGTGTGATAACCATGACGACTGATCATCATCATCCTTACCAGGTAATGGCAGCCTCCGTTTGCTGTCACACACTGATTAACGGCCTCACAGTCCCAGCCTGTGCCCTTATATCCTGCCTTACACACACAATCGCTCTGATGGAGGACAGAGACCAGGAGACATGAGGGTCGGCTTTTCAGAGTCCTTAAACCAGGACTGAAGATGGACGTTTTCTCTCTGTTACCACTGTCTTGGAAATACGCCTTCAGTTGCATATTGCACCTTTAAACATGGGGCTGCAACCTGATTGGGTGTTACCTGTCCAGGTCCCACATAGATGCAAGTGGCGTTGGCGTGGCAACCTCCTCTGTCAGGACGCCTACAGTTGTTGATTGGTTGACATTCATCTCCGTCTTCCCTCCACCCGCTCAGACACTGACAGGAGTGAGAGCCAGGTCCTGTCTTTATACACTTAGCCTGCAGGGGGCGACACACACACACGCACACACACAGAGTTAGCAATGAAGTGGTTTAATCCGCAAAAATGGTTCAAGACTTGATCAGACACTGACGTTCACACTGCAGCCGCCTCGGAAGGGCGGAGCACAGGGGTCAGCCTCCACACAGGTGATCCCGTCTCCTTGGTAACCAGGTTGACACACACACCTGGAGACACAGACAGCAGAATCAGCCAAAAACATTTGGTTCCTTTTCGTCAACACACCGGTTGATTTCATTTCAACAGACTGTGTCACAGTGCTGCCCCCTGCTGGTCAGCTGATCCTCTCCAGGTGTTCATACCTTGACCTTCAACCTAAAAATCTGCAGGTAAATTTACCTGGGGGTCCCCTGACTGAAGTCGCACTGAGCATGTGCGTGACAGAACTGAGCCTGAACGCCACACGCAGCTGTCCTGCGGTCACAGAGCGGACCAGTGAAGCCCATCTGACAGGAGTCCGGTTTACAGCCACCTGCTGAGTCTGGGCGGTTATCACACTGACCGTGGACGCAGGCACAGGCTGAGGAAACAGGTGAGGTATGACATAGGTGAGCTTTACTCTGACATCACAGCTACCTGTGTGATTTCACAGGAAATTAGGACTGACACTCACTCCTGTCACAGTTTGGTCCATATTTGTTGGAGGCGGAGCAGTACTGACAGCGAGAGCCGCCAAAGTTCTGATCACAGGTGCACACGCCGTTTCCTGTAGTACCATCTGAACACTACACACACAAACACACAAAGGAAAACACTTAAGGTCCTTACACACCGGGAGCATTTTTTTTGTGCGATTATTTCAGACGTCAATATTTTTTTTTGAACCCGTATCCTGTCAATACAAGTGTTCACATCCGCGACGTTTTCCCGTCCTGTGATATGGCGGCATTTATTTTTTCATATTATGGTCAACAACAAATGTTTTGTCATGTAATCTCAGCGAAGAAGTTAATTTTAGGTTGGATATTCGACGGATCTACCGGTGTCTTCTCACTCTCCATAAGCAACAACAGCACGGTTAAATCTTTGCTGTCAGCAAGTGTTGAATAAGGGACCATCAATAAATCACCGGTTGATGTTTTCAAAAAAGGCTGTTTTCCTTCAATAGCTTCCATGTTATGAAACCATTGACCCAAAATTGATTTCAAATAATAGTACTAAGGTTGGACAATAAGAGACTCCTTTTTATTTCCCTAATTTGACCTCTAAAACATGTTTGTGTTAAATTTAAAGGAAAATTTTGTACATTTTCTTCAATAGCTTCCATTACATGTGACCAAGTGACCTAAAATTGATTTCAAATAATAGTACTTTTGTCGACCAATAAGACACACATTATTTGATCAATTTTTATTTTGCCCCCGAAGTTCTTTTTATACTCCTTACCTTTTCAACTCAAGAGCACATGTGCTCCTTGTGAAAAAAGTTAGTGTCAAGCCCTGCAATGATAATACTTTCAAAGAGAGGTTCTTGTTCAGACTGTTTTAATGCAAAGTTGTGAAGTTTCCAGTGTTTGGATGAGTGCTAAATCTAGAATAAATGATAGGAACTTGTTAACGCAGGTGTGAATCTGACCTGACCGTGACCTGAGCAGGGCGTCTGGTGTCCACCTGGACAGGGAGTGCAGTCTGGACCGTAGAAACTTTTACAGCAGGCCGGAGTCTGAACAGACACACAAACACAAGGCAGAGTTAAAACCTCCTCTTTATATTACACTTTTGAAATCCTGACCTTTAAAGCTCCTCTAAAGAACTTCAAGTTTATGTCAATTTTAGCGCCCCCTGCCATTATTGTTCATATCTGGAAATTGTAATAACAGGGGCGTTTCCCCAGCTGCTCGGCTGACACCTACCCCCTCGCATCAGTTTGAAGCATTAAAAATGACAACATACACATTATCAATCTTGTCCCTGGTGCTCTTGTTTGCTTTTGGATGTCATGAAAGGATATCAATATGAATTTCAGTCCATTTAGTAAACATAAAAAAATTCCTGATAGTAGCTTTAACTCTATGTTGTCTTTAAGACTCTTTTTGCACCTCACAGGCTAATCTCAGATATTATTCTTTAATATAGATCTGTTATGTATGTGTGTTTACTGTGACAGTGGTGTTGCAGAGCGGCCAGCAGCCTGCAGACGGAATTTTCAAGGGTGATGTCCCGAAGCGCATGGAGTAAAAGCATCCACGTGAGAAGCCCTGAACACACATAAAGGGGTTTTAATGTTTACGATGATCGGACATGCAATGTGTTTAAAAAATAGTGAAAATGAACCAGGAAAAACTGAACAGAGTGAAATATCTTACTGTATAAACTCCAGATGAGCACTTGGACTGTTTGACTTTGGAGCAGCTCATACAATCGCCCTGAAACAAAGAAAAGAGAGTTAAATGAGATATAGGTTTAAATATCAAAAACATAAACTCTCTCAGGGAGGGTTTGTCTCTGAAAAGCTGAGTTTTAATTTTGACTTGTGAATTTCCAAAGTGAAAATAATAAATTCTGCTCATCAAAACTCACCTTGACGATTTTGGTCTCGTTGATGTCACATCTGTGAGGTAGCACAGGTTGGATAGAGGGCGGAGTCAAAACTTGATCTATAACATACAGACGACCATTTTTTGCTTCCACCTCTGCCTCCAACACGGCCGCACCGTCCACGAAAATCTGACCCTGAAGTGAAATCACAAGGCCGGCATTTGTTCACTTTATTTTGTCTTAGTCTGACTTAATTATTTCTGTTTTTAATCATTTTACAACACTCACACTGTCAGTCACGTTGATACTCAGAACCTGATTGGCCATCGTCACTATCCTGGGACTGGAAACGGCGTTAAAGACCTCCAGCTTAGAACCAGGACAGAGATTATCATTATAACATGAAACATGTTAATTAAGGGTTAAAGGGATATTTTGGCGTAAAATTAATTTAAGGTCAAACACTGTAACACTGAGTTAGACACCCCCTCGAGAGATGAATGTTGCAGACTGCTTGCTTCTCTAGTTACACCAACTTGAGTAATGACCGCACGATAGCAATACACAGTGGTCTGAGAAGCAATAAACAAACCTCAACCAAAACGTCACTCTATAGCCACAAATAATAATGCTCAGAACAGCACCTAACTTCATCAACGGTACATACAGGGTCCTAGCCACAGCACTAGCCATCAAACATCTTTTTAACTTTGCCTAATTTCTTTCGCAAAGAGACTAAACTCAACTCACCTACTCTCTTCCAGCAGCCACTTGTTTGTAGCGAGACCTCAGGGCGAATCCATTACGGACTGCTGCGGGGTGACGCAGCTCAAGGAAGAACATTTATGATCATTTCTTCATGGAAATGCAATCAGACCGAGACGTTAAGGCAGAAGAACTACGGTGTCTGCAGTGCAAAATGATTAATATGATGATTAGATAAAGAAATGATCATCTCTACAAACAAGTGACCGCTGGAAGAGAGTAGGTAAGTTGTGTTTAGTCTCTTTGCTAAAGAAATTGGACAAAGTTGAAAAGATGTTTGGTGGCTAGTACTATGGCTGGGACCCTATTTATACTGTTGATGAAGTTAGGTGCTGTTCTGAGCATTATTTGTGGCTATAGAGTGGCATTTTGGTTGAGGTTTGTTTATGGCTCCTAAGACCGCTGCGTATTGCCATCCTGCGGTTGTTAGTAGAGTTGGTATAACTAGAGAAGCAAGCGGTCGCCAACATTCATCTCTCGACGGAGTGTCTAACTCGATGTTACGGTGTGTTTGACCCTAAATTAATTTTATACCGGAACATCCCTTTAACATGAGTGCAAACAGAGTGGAACTGACCGCCGTGGACTGGACCAGGTGGTTCCTCAGAAACTCCAGCAGCTTGTAGTGACCCTGAAGGTTTAATGTTTGGATCAGTAAAGTTCTGGTTGAATGTTAAAAGTGTAGATATTATAACGTTTGCTGATTGGTTCTGACCTCATCAGTGCTCAGGTACTGTAGGTGTCCTTCAGTCATCCTGTCGAAGGCGGCGCTGGTGGGAGCAAAGACTGTGATTGGACCAGGACTGTCCAGGATTGAGGCCAGGTTTGCTTTCTGCTCAGAGGACAGGTTTGACGTCAGAGTTAGTGTGATTACAACAATTACATTTTAAAAAGAGTTAAATCAAAATATAATCATACATATTGATTCAAAGTGTTTGTTTAAACTTTCTTAGTCTGGTCAGAGTTGTACATAAAGATATTACCTCCAGTAACAACTTGAACTGGTTAAATTTTCCATAATCTGAGATGATCTTCAACAAGTTCTCCTGTTAGAAGAATAAACGTGTCAATATTCTGAGAATATGAGACATGTTAGCATGTAAAGACGTCATTGAAATAGGGCTGAACAACTTCAGAGTAACAAGAATATAATAAATTAGTGTATTTCATCATCTACAGTACATAATATGGGAACACTTTACAATAACCATTACTAATAAAGGGTAAATAGACCATTGAAATTGGCAAGCAGATAGTTTATTAATGTTTATTCATCATTTATAAATAGCATATAGACCATTAATAAATTGGGAATTTTACAATTTTAAAGACCTAACCCGAACCCTAACTTTACAATAACCATCTAAGTAATTTTTATAGATGGTTTAAAAACCAAATATGAACCATTTACAAAGTGCTACTGACACACATTTTAATCTAGATCTTTTACAACCAATATTTAAACCCTATATAAACCTTTAATAAATAGTCCATACATAATTAATGAAAATTATTAATCATTATTTCATTGCTTGTTCATGGTAAAGTAACTATTAACATTAATAAACTATCTATTTACCGTTTATAAATTATGGTTATTGTAAAGTGTTACCCATAATATTTTTAAAGGATTCAGAGAGTCTGGAGAAATCCCTGTACATAGGGGACAAGGACCAAAACCAATAGGCCCTCAGGCAACACTGCATTAAAAACAGATAAGACTCTGTAGTGGAAATCACTGCATAAGCTCAAAATCACTTGTCCGGGAACACAGATGTATACTTCACCATACTGCTACCCATGCTGTTTTTTCATAGTAGCAAGACAACGTCAAACCACATTCTGCAGGTATGACAACAGCATGGCTCCGTGAGATGTGTGTTTGGTACCTTTGTGTCGCTCTCTACAGTGGGAGAAACGCTGTCCATCAGTCTGCTGATGATGTGGATCATCCCATTGGACGCCAACAGGTCAGAGCGCAAGATCACACCTTTTCGTCTGCTGCCATGGAGACGGATTTTAGTCTGAGAGTCCTGAAACAATAACAGGGAGACACTTAGGAGGACGTTTGGATTCTTTATGATTGGATGAGCTGTTATCATCGACAAATACAGCGTACTCCCTCTGTGGTGTCTGTCTCCGCTGATTTCCCTGTCAGAGTGTAAAAGACATCTGCTTTCTTCAGCGTGCTGAACGGCATCACCCCGGCAACCAGGTGTAGCTTACACAGGTATTTCGCTTTTGAGATGTCAGACGTCAGAGTCCTCACCTGATCAACACAGATGAAAAAATTACTTTCAAATTGAACTAAGATTTATTCAAACCACAGGGATGTATTTTATTTTGAAAATCTTCAAAGTAAGTCCTTCAGAGCCAACAGGAAGAGAGGTATAAAAATTCCAAAATAAAACTTTGAGTGTGAACAGACTTTGGGAAACATGAGGTTCATGATCCTCAGTGAAATGTGGTGTATGTGTGGTGGTTCTTACTGAAGTTCCTCTGAAGCCTTTATTGTTCGGGACAAACAGAGTGAACGGACCCAAATTTTGCAGATGCCACGACACAGAACCTGCAAACAAACAAACAGCATTAAAAAAGAGACAATTTGTGTACACATTAATTGTCTCTGTGTATTTTTAGCAGTTCTGATGTTTGTCTTCGTGTCATTAAAGTGATAAATCCTCGTACTGAACAGCTCGATGGCGTTGCCCAGCTGACCCCTCCACTCTCCGTCAGGCTCCGTGTTCAGACTGTTCAGGCGCTGGATGATGTTCCCATAGCACGTTTTCCCGTTACCATAGTAACCATCTAGACAGGTACACCTAAAGGGATGGAGGGACAGGTGAGATGTGTCAGTGATGTTGAAACACCGGCTCACTGAGTAAAATAAAGGAATGAGAGACTGACTCGAATCGTCCAGGTGCCACGGTGGTACAGTTAGCGTGTTCGTGACACGAACCAGGTCGACACGCCTCCTTCAAGCTGCAGCCGCCAGCATTCAGGCGGTCAAAACCAGGTAGACACTCACAGTGAGACTGAACAACAAGATAAGAAGCAAAGGGTTAATCTCTCTTAGCCTCTGTTGAACCCCTCTTGATCCTGTCTTTTCTAACGTCAGATCATCATTTTGAGTCTAATCCTGATCTTGCTCCTGTCCCTTGTTCATCTTGTTTATTTGGTCTGGATTTAAATCAGGATCCGGTTCTCATTTCCAGACCTTGATCTAAATCTTGGTTTTGGTTCTGGCCTTGATCTGGATTTGCATTCTCATTTATTATACAGATTCTTGCCTCAATCTTGATTCTAATCCTAATCCTAACCCTGGTCTCAGTGTTGTTCTGGACCCTATCTCCAGTGTCTGTACCTTTCCTGGTCCATCGAAGACACATGTTGCGGACTCAGCGGAGCAGCCTCCTTGTTTGGTCTGACATGGGTTGATGACCATGCAGACATGTCCGTCCCCACTGTAACCTTGGTTACAGGCACACCGGTACTGGTTTGGACCTGAGTGGATGCAGGTGGCGTGGACGTCACAGACTCGCTGAAGACACGGGTTTATGGCTGAGAAGACCATCATCATCATCATCATCATCATCATTATTATTCTTCTTATTATTATTCTTATTATTAATTACTTATAATTTTTGATTGTAGTAATAATTATCATCATCATCATCATCATCATCATCATCATCATTATTATTATTATTATTGATATTATTATTTATAATTTATTTTTATTGTCATAATATTATAATTATCATAATCATTATCATCCACATTATCATTATTATTATCATTAATTTAGTTTTATTGTCATAATTATTTTCATCATCATCATTATCATCATCGTCATCATTGTTATCATTATTATTATCATCATCATCATTATTATTATTATTATTATTATTGTCATCATCATCATCATCATAATTATCATCATTGTCATCATCATCATCGTAATTATCATTATCATTGTCATCATGATCATCTTCATCATCATCATCATCATAATTATCATCATCTTTATCATCGTAATTATCACCATTATCACCATTATTGTCATCATCATTATTATTATTAATATTATTATTACTATTATTATTATCATGATTATTATTTCTATTGGCAGTCAGACGGACTCACTCACACAGACACTGGTCTCCTGTCTTCTGATACCCTGGCTTACACTGACACATCAGCTGACCCGTCAGAGCGTCCTCCATACAGCGAGAGTTCTCCTGACACTTGAGAGCCACACACTCGGGTAACTCTGAACACACAGGTAACACACAGGTAAGAGGACAGATACGACACAGCTTTGACATTGGATAAGACACAAGAAAGATGACAGGTAAAGCAAGCAACCTTTGTGTAAAAGGACACAGGAACTTTGAGTGACTCACTTCAATCCATCAAGCATTATGTTGCAGACATTACTAAGAATTTACCTGCTCCAGAAGGAGGAAAACAACGGCACAAATTCACAGACTGTCCGTGCATGTTAGTCATTTAGAGCTCAGAGTATATTAAATAGAGCCCAGGTGTTAAAACAGCGGAATAACCCTTTAAAAAGAGTAAACACAGAGACTGACCCTGGTCACACTTTGGACCTTTATATCCAGAGAAACAGGTGCAGGAACCAGAACCCGTCAGACCAGAGTCGCACAGACCGTGCACGCAGGAACACGCTGCAGACGAACACACACAAATAACAAAGAACAGGTAAATACTCAGAATAAAGTAATTTCGGGAATAAGACAAATCTTATTTAAACTCACTTGAACTGCAGGTGGGACCATAACGGCCAATTTCACAAAGCTCACACGCAGTACCTGCAAAGCCCTCCTGAATGCATCACACACACATACACAACACTTAGCCAAGACTGCGATCTTCAAAAGGATTCAGAGACGGTACCATGAAGCGCCAATGACCACAAGGAAACATGGGAGCTCTGTGCATGTGTGTGTATGTGTGTATGATGTTACCTGACAGCTGCATGTCCCATTTCCTCCCATTCCATCAGAGCAGGTTCCTCTGCCACTGCAGGCTTTGCCTGGACTGCCAGGACACTCTGAAACATAAACAAATGCATTTATATACATACTTGTATTTGCTATTTCCACCATCAAAGGGGCGCAGAGAGTCAAACACACCATAACACCGAGTTAGACACCTGGACGAGAGATTAATGTTGCTGACCGCTTGCTTCTCTAGTTATACCAACTTTAGTAACGACCGCAGGTAGCAATACACAGAGCCACGCGCTCAACCAAAAAGCCACTCTGTGTTTAACCCTAACTTAATTTTACGCCGGAATATCCCTTTAACATAACCACATCCAAAGGAGCTCATTTGAAGATTTGATTGTGAAGATTTTAGAGTATATTTACACATGCAGTAATGTCCTTAAAGAAAGGTTGTCCATCAAGGTTTATCCCTGAAAGTATCTAAAGTCAAGACCTCAAAAGAGCACACACACAATAACTTGTCTTTTACACTTTTGAGGACAACGTTCTGGATGTTCTCTCTGCGTACGGACAAATTCAGAGCAGCAGGAATGTTGTTAAAGATTAATCCTCTGCAAAACATCCACACGAGTCAGACTGTCCTCAAATAAAGGACTGTCCTCAAAGGGCTTGACTTTGTCGGTACACAAACACACGCACAGGAAATGATTAGTGAAGTGTTGTTTCATTCTGACAGGAAACAGATCATCCTTCCTCACTTTGATCTCTACTCGTCATCACTTTGAGTCCTGCTCTATGTGTTTCCTCCTTTCTCAGGACAAAGACTCAGACTGTCCTGACACACTGAGCGACTCCATCGCTTCTGACAGATCAAGGCTAAGTGGCTGCAGTTCCTCCAATGTCCACTAGAGGCTGTGTCCTGCAGTAAGTAAGCCTCCATAGAGCCCCATGTTGAAACTTTACAACAGAAATAAACATGTTCACAACATTTTCTCTGTTCTTAACAACTGGAAAGACTGAGTTTGAAGAGGACTCACCTGTTTACATCAGATAATAGATTAAACTCACCTGTCCAAGAGCCAACCAAGTTTTTAGGATAGCTCACAGAAAACACAGATAAAAATAATCTGGATCGGGATAAACATCTTTGGATCCTGCAACCACGGGGCTTTTTTGTCCAGAGTTACAGAACATCCCGTCAAAGGAGCTCTCTCTAAAGTGTCAGCACTTTTCTGTCCTGCTGACACAGAATCAGCAAGGAGGAAGGAAGTCCTGGATCCTGCCAGGACTGATCCACATCCTGCAGGACTGATCATGTGACTCAACTCACCTGGAGGTGACTTGGAGGTTCCCTCCATCTGAATCCCTCACATGAAGATTCATTCTCAAGATTTCTCTTTTAAAAAAGATCTGCCAATTTACAGTTTTTAAACTGTCTGGCATTAAAGGGGATATTAAACTGTCACGTAGACGATCAGGTTTCTGATACAGACTTTTCTTGCTCTTTAGAAGATGTTCGTTATTATTTTATAAGAACTTTTAAGCTCAACTCACCGACACACTGTCGACCCCAGAAACCAGGACAGCAGCTCTTCAACTCCATCTCACTGTGACACTCGGTGGAACAGCCGGTCATGGGCAGTGTCATGCTGGAAGTTCGGATGTAATAGCTGTGAAGAGATGAATATCTAGAATTTATTTCTCTGATCATAAAAATATTTAAAAAAGGTCCTGATCATGTCGCGAACAGGTTCATTAATGTTTCGTTATTGTTTGATGTTCACTGACTGTTGTCACTCATGGAAATTTGACCTATAAAAGGTGTTTGTTTCTTTGGTCCGCTGTCTTCTGTGTGTTTATTTGAGTAGGTTCACTTATATGCTAACTGAAGGAGCACAACTTTTTAAAAGGCTCTTATTTTAAAGAAAAAAGCGTCTTACTTGCAGCTTTTGGTGATGGATTGGGGGGCCAGTCTGTATCCTGATGGACACGGGTATAACATGCTGATACTGCATGAGTGACACTCTGTCCAGGTCTTCAACACGGTTGAGTTGGTGCAATACTAATAAATGACAAACAACCATGATGGACAACCACATTAATAATGATAGAAAGTACAAAAAAAAAGAACAAAACAAATATCAAGATCAAAACAAACAACTTAACAATTAGGTTAAAAAAGGTAAATTACAAATCAAAACAAATAAAAAACAATCATTCAAACAGAAAACGTAAACAAACATAAACAAACAAATAAAGATTGACGAAAAAGTATTTAACAAACCACCTCACAAAAAGTTCTAAACAAACAAAAGAACCCAAAACAAAAAATAGATAACATTTATTAACAAAGAAGAAAATAAAAAAAACGTAACTAAAAGATTAATTAAAAAAGAAAAAAACACAAACTTACAAAAACCGAGACAAAACAAACACAGAACAAAACAAACACAAATGATATGGATAGAGAAACAAACAAAAGTACAAAAAATTAATCAGACAAATCAAAAAACAAAAAACATAATCAAATGAACAAAAAAAGCAACCAAATGCAAACTACCAAAAAAAAGGCAAGAAAATAAAGGAAATTACTGAGAATGTATAGAACCTGAGAGAAACATCACAAATTTTTCATTTTCATTTAATTTAATTAAATTTTTTATTAAAAAATACAATGACTAGAAAGGTGCAGGATGAAGCGAATTTATGATCCCTGCACCTTCCTTAAAACAAATATCCACTTATATCAGACGACTACCGTGTAATAAACCCACATAGACAAATACAATAAAATAAAGAAAACTAATCATATAAATAACCTTAAGAAAAGGTACATACAAATATATATATATGTAAATAAACAAAAAAATAGATAAATAGAAGTCTTTCATCATAAAATACTTTTGTATAGCTTCCATATTCTCCACTTAAACCCTTTCTAAAACTGAAAAATGTTTCTGCAGTCCTTTTCTTCTGCTGTCAAAGAATTCCACATTTTCACACCAACAGCAGAATTACACATTAGTTTTACATTTGTTCTAACCATTTGCTGTTTAAATTTTTATTTTCTTCAATGATTATCTTCTTTTGAAACTGAAACAAATAACCTCAGCAGATTTGCAGGCAGCAGTCCGCCTCTTGCTCTAAATAAAACAAATAAACTCTTTTCATGTTCATGCGAACTGCAGCTATTGCTAAAAGCTGCCAATAAACCCTGTGAGTCAAAACGAACACAAATGAAACATCAGACTGATTTTTTTTCTATCAATGATCAATCTACAGATTTCTAACCAACCAATCAGAGCCTTAGAAACTTAAAAGCCACAGTGTGTGGGGCTGAGTGTAAACAGGAAGTGAGAGTAATAAGTGTGTTATCGGCTCCATCTGATCCACCCTGGAAACACAGACAAGCAGTCCTGGAACAGGCCTGGAAAAGCCTGGAGTCTCAAATTTAAACTTTTCAGGATAAAGATTCTTAAAATAAAGAGGGTTTTAGATTTATGACGAACAGATCTTATAAAATACATTCATAAATATCAGTTTAGATTAGGAATAAAAGGCACACTGCTGCAGCGCCAGAGAACACAGAAGATCTGCAAACCAAGCTTCGAAACAGATTCATTTACAATAAAAACAAATAATTAAATGAATGGATGAATGAATGAGTGTGGGTTTGTACCGCTTGAGATGCAGCTGAGTTCGTCTCCTTCTTCGTCATCATCATTATCATCATCATTGTCATCAGAGGGACAAACCTCAGTCTCCTTCTCCACTCCATGTCTCCTGTCCTGTCAGCTGGTCTCTACTCCCTCTGTCCCTGATCCTGCTTTTTACAGCTGCTCTGCCCCCTGTCCCCCCACCTTCCACCCGCCTGTCCCCCCCGCCTTCCTAACGCATACCCCATCTGTGTTTCCTGAACCTCTGCTGCTGATTCAGGTCATTTTCACTCTCTTCAAAATGTAAATACAATACAAACACAGATATAAATAACTATGACTTTTTCAGGGACGTCGTGGCTCATTTCAGAGAGACGATGCCAGGACACATTCTCCACGTGGTGTCGAAGTAAAAGAGTGCGGGCACTAGACTGGCCTGCTTGCAGTGCAGACTGGTCTCCCATTGACAATTCACCAGGCATTATGAAGTGCAAAATACCACAATGGAGATGCCGGACTGTTGAGACACTGAAGTCGAACATCACACAAGAACAGGAAAGAAGTCCTCGTCCAAAGCTTTAACAGTTAGAGACCCTTATGTCATCTTTACTTCTGTGTTACTTCACTTTTCCTTCTAACAACACTCATAAAAGATAGATAGATAGATAGATAGATAGATAGATAGATGTACTTTATTGATCCCAAACTTAGAGAATTTCCCAGTTTGGGATCAATAAAGTACATCTATCTATCTATCTATCCATCTATTATGAGTGTTGTTAGAAGGAAAAGTGAAGTAACGCAGAAGTAAAGATGACAAGCAAACATGACCCTGTTTCAGCTTTTGTGGAACGTGCTGCAAGGTTTTTGTTGGTTTTACATCAATCAGGTAAAAACTCCTCTGAGGGGCTTTAAAGACTATCTTCCTTCCAGTGCATTGTCCCCATAAGGTTATATAGACAAACACACACAACCAGTAGAATGGCATACTGATTGCTGAGTACATCTGATATAATTACACAGTGTGTGTGTGTGTGTGTGTGTGTGTGTGTGTGTGTGTGTGTGTGTGTGTGTGTGTGTGTGTGTGTGTGTGTGATATCAGCTGTGTGTGATGACTGAGCAGAAAGTTTCGGGAAAGCGAAAAAGAGCGACTGCAGGATTTCCTGCAATTCACCCACACACACACACACACACACACAAACACACACACACACACACACACACACACTCAGAGTGCTGACTTGCAGTATAAACAGTCGTGCTTGTGTCGTCATGAATCACCTTTTAAAATGATAAAACTCTCAGTCAGTCTTGGAGGATTATTTTATTATATTACCTGTTAAGACGCTTTACTTTTATAAATCATATCTTTAAAACAATTTCATCGGGTAATGTATTGATGTTTATGTCAATGATGTTTCTGGGTTTACAGCTTAATTTCAAATAAAGTTGATGTTCACCAATTTTCATCTGTTTTTATCTTAACTTTATTTTACCTATTTATGTTTACTCAAATTAACTTTATAGAGAAAGTAAAATTAAATTCAAGCACAAAATAATTGCACATCAAAACTATGCTTAATTTACTCCTGTCTTCATGCTTTTTCTTCATCAGTGAAAATAAAATCTAAATCTTATTTATTCTCCAGCACAGAAATCTGGTCATCGTATTTTTTATTTTTTTTTTGCCTGTAATTATTCTTTTGGCCCATCAGGGGGCAGCAGAGTAACACTTCAGGAAGCTGCAGTGCTCCGACAAGCCAAAAGGATTTTAAGTGCACCTTTTAGTGCGAAAAATACAGTAAAAGCACCAGATAATTCCCATTTCTTTTGTTTTTACAGTTATAAATATGGTGTGGTATGTTTTTTTTCTTTTTTTCTTTCTCTTCATCTCTTTTCAGTTATGAGCTGTAATTAAAACGCAACACATTTGCGTGTGGAGGATTAAAAGCTGATGTGGTTGTATTTTTGAAAATGTCAGTTGTGAATCAGTCCAAAATCTGCTTTTAGATAAATATAAAATAAATCAGAGTGACTCTGAAACAGTTTCACATTAATGAAAGTTTATTGAAAAAATAAAATACAAAAACATCTGATTGACTTTTTTTGTTCATCAGGAAACAGAGTGTCTCTGATTTCCTGATCAACTTTGTAATTTAGAGAAAAATAATGATTAATCAAAAGTTTCCTTATAGGCAGTGTTTCATAAACTTCATTCTCCTCTCTGTAAAAAATAATTTATCTCATTAAAAGAAACTGCATCCTTTCCTTCAGAACTGACCCAGGATCAGTTTGTTTCCATTTATTTCACTTTTAATCCCTTTAAGAAACTTGAAAAATGATCTGAGCTCTGCTGTTTTAAAGCAACACTGTGGATCTCATAAAGTAGCATAGTTTAATAGGAATAATTATGACTAATGGATGTTTTCTATGGTAAGGACTTGACAAATGAAGGATCAGAGTTAAGGTCCTTACACACCGGTGACGACGCAAATATACGATGCAAAATTACGAAACATTCTGAGGCGAATTTTGACACGCCTGACTAGACATCAACCGTGATGCGATTTTGTGACTTTACGGGGGTAAAAAGACGTGTCCCGAGTGGAAGCGAGAAGACTGACACAACAGCAGACTGACTGGTTTTCAGTTCTGATTAGACACTAGTGTTGAGATGTCTGTCTGTCATGATAGCATGTACTGAGTCGGGGCCAGTACCAGATAAGCACATTAAACTATAATCCATAAGCGTAAGGTAACAACCGAGACCTAATGGTGCTGTGACAGCAACGCGATTGAGTTTGAGACAGTGGAAATACGTACAGTATGTTGTATCTGAACAGGTTAGCTTACGAGCTAAAGTTACGTAGCACAGATGAAAGTTAAAACAAAGACGTTTAGCAAACTGTTAAAGCACACAAACCATCGTCATATGAGAAATCCAACGCTATGACTCTCCACAAGTCGTCCTTCAGGTCGTTATCTTTGTAATGTTTGTGTCTTTTATCAAAAAGCACTCTGTTCTCCGACACGTAAACAATCAGCCGGTCGGCCATGTTGGATATACCGGTGAATCTGACGTCACAACAACATGAAACCTGATTGGTCAGAAGTGGACACACAGTTAAGAAACTTTAGAAAATTCGACCGTGATACGAAAAAATAAATGCCACAATATCGCAGGACGGGAAAACATTGCAGATGCGAACACTTGTATTGACAGGATACGGGTTCGAAAAAAATATTGACGTCTGAAGTAATCGCACGAAAAAAATGCTCCCAGTGTGTAAGGACCTTTACTATGCTTTTTGTCCATGAGGGCCACCATCACTACATTAGCAGTAGGAGTGGGCAAGGCGGCGTTTTGTGAAATTGCTAAATATTAATTTCGCACTGAAACTTTCAAGTTCAGCAAGAAGTTGAAAAAACAGTTTGAAAATATTTCAGCACAGAGAAGTTGAAGAGCTTAAAAAACTTTGATGAGGTCAAAAACTGTAGAGCGTCCAATGAGATTGATGATGTCATTGCTTGCGACCAATCACAGACCATCATTAATTTCATTTAAAGATCATTAAGCTTCACACATAGACTTAATTCCCCCACCGAAATTACCTGTGAGACCAAGTATAACTGAACCTAAAGTCCAGGTTAGTGTACCTCCAGGCGTGTCTTTGTTTCCAGGGGTATTATCTAGTGTGTTGTATCCAGGTGTGTCTTTATTTGCAGGTGTGTACCTCACAGGTGTGTCCTTATTTGCAGGTGTGCATGTCGTTCATGCTCTCGCAGCGCCTGCAGCGGACGTAGCAGCACCAGACAAACTTGCACTCACAGCGTTGGACGTGTCTCACCACGTGCGTGTTGTAGCCCCGCCCACAGCACAGCAAGTTGCAGCTATCCGAACCGGTGGACGTGCGGTTGCAGCGGCGCCCCCTGGTGCCAGCCACGCCACGGCGCCGGTCCTCCAGGCAGTAGTTAGGAGATTTGTTAAAGAAGATAAGACGCTGTTTGTCCACTGGGGGGCGGCGCTGATCCTTCCTCCTTGTCTTCCTCCTGGAGCGGTCTGACACCTGAACACTGTTCTCGTACCGATCCTTCAGGTAGACGCCAACACGGTCAAATGGCGCCATCATTCTCCAACATGTCTTCACTGCGCAGGATCCTGAGACGCCATGACAGCGACAGTCTGTGGACATTGTCTGCTCAATGGCCTAGAGAACAAGGAGGAAGAGGAGGAAATGGCGAGTTTATTTTATAGTTTTACTCTCACCTGTGTGAAAATGTTACGCTCTGGTGTTCTGCTTAAGATGCCATGAAAGTATCACACAGATATGTCAGAATAATATTGATCACACCTGAACTTATTGAGATGGATGTAAACACACATAAACACTGTTGTTTGTTGGGGAACACAGTACTTATATTAAACTCACACTCAAACACAAATACTGACATTCTGGGGACTTCATCTTTGGTCCTCATACTGAGCGGGGACCTTCTAGAGTGAATATTTGTTAGTTTGAATTAGGGTTGCGAAATTCCGGGAATTTTCAAAGTTGGGAACTTTCCATGGGAATTAACAGGAATACATGGGAATAAATCTAAATTTACAAAATTGAAGGTTGACCTTATCAGGGAACCTAAATATAGTTGGGGAAACTATATTGTAGCATAATCTTGGCTAAAACAATCAGATTTAATGTAAAGTACACTCCTCAATCACATACACATAGCACACTGCTTACTGCAGGGCTATTGAGGCCACACCCCCTACGTGCATTCCTCCATTACATGCACAGATGATTTCTTGAACCCTGGAGGCCACACTTTTGAGCCCAAAGCACAAGATATTTGAGCCAACGCACTATAAAAAGTCAAGTAAGTTTTGATAATATTATGGGGTAAATATATTGAATCTATAATAGTATTAATATTTAACTTGCAAAAATTACATAAAAGTAGGTGCTAAATGTGAGCTATTGACTATTTAAGGGGCTATCTCATCATGGTGGTGGTAGCTACCTTAAATTTGATGCTGTTTCTTCTAACTCCTGCAAGTGGGTTTTCTAAAACCATACAATAATTTATACATCAATTGTCAAATATTTTGAAGATCATTCCAGTTGTTTAGCGGACTATATTTCTGTTCATGCCATTGCATTAGTGTTTTTAAAAGCTTTTTTGTGTGTTTTACATGAATGTCTCCTTATGACAAAACAAAAATATTGACATTTATGTTTGGATATGATACAGTTTGTTTAAATTACCCCCAATTTCCAGTCCATTCCCATTAATTCCCAATAATTTCCAATTATTCCTATAAATTCTTTCCAATTTGGAATATCCCTGCTTAACTTTCCATGGAAAGTCTCTGGAAATTTACCAGAAATTTACCACAAATTTTCCGCCCCTTTGCAACTCTAGTTTGAATCGAATATTAATTACCCTTGTGTTAACCTGCTGCTGTACCTTCTCCAATCTGTTACTCCCACCTATTGTCCATCAGTGAAATAGCACAAATCTGACTGCTTCATAAAGCCACACTCACAGTGTATTAATATGCTGACCCTTTTTTCTTTTAACCTGTTTTTAATCGATGTGATGAGCATGCAGCTCAACATGGTTCACGGACTTCACATTGCACTTTCACAGAATAAAATCCCTCTCAAGCTCCCTCACCTGTCGTCCCACCTCACTGTTGTGTTGGTTCATACTGTTCAGTGTGTACCCTCCTCGGGTCGTCGATGTGTTTTTCATGTTGTTGTCCATGAACTTGCGGCTGAACCAGGTCCCGTACTGGATGTGATCCGAGCAGCCGCCCCAGTGCCAGCCGTCCACCGCCGAGCCGCCTCCCTGGAGCCTGGCGTCGCAGCCACACTCCGTCGTGTTCCCTTGACTGCAGGAACGTGTGACAGCATGGACCAGCCCTGCTGCCATCACAGCGTAGATAAATGCTGTTTCTTTGGTGCCTGCAAAGGTAGGGGGAGGGGCCAATGTGACATTATAAAATTCAGGTTAGTGATGGGAAATAAAAGTTTGGGATTGGGTTACGCTTTAAAACATAACAGGAAAATTCAGCATTTTCCTTGGTAGCGGTGCACGCCTATATACATGTTATGTTACTGTGATTGGCCTGTAATCAATGTGACAGACAGAATTTTCCAGACAGAAGGTTCCACCTTTCCCTAATGAAGTGTTGGACAGATGAACATAAAGTATACCCCATGCCATAGATATATAAAACAGCTTATCAGGTGTGTTAGGTTAGGGGAGGTTTACATAGAGAAAAAATAACAGACATCGATTTTTTTAGGTTTAATTTTTGGGTGAAGAGCTGCTGCTAATTCTGACTTTGGTCGTCTACTAAAAGGTTTTAGGTTTTTCAGTTAAATTGTGTTAAATTAAATAAATAATTTAAAAACAGACTGAAAGGTCACCACTACAGGACAGTGAGGGCTGCAGGACAACTTTTGTAATCTTGTTTCAGTAAAGCCTGGTGAAAGCACACAGCAGTGTTAGTGAACACAGATCTTATCTACGCAAAACTGAAAATAAAACATCAGGACAGATCAGTGAACTCATGTTTGAGATATTTCTCAGACTAGTTTTAATGTCTCACATGTCTTAGATATTCTGAGTCAGACCATGTGATTGACTCACTGCAGACAAATATCCACAGATATCATATCCTCACAATGGGTGAGTTTACTTTCTCCTACAACACAGCATGTTTTCATTTTTCTATCCAATAAACATGGTTCAGTATTTGAATAAAGTTCCTGTAGTGTGTGTTTGATGAACATACAAACTTTAGCTCAGTCCAAATTTGAAACTTTTATTCTGACAGACTTTTGGAAACTCTGCAGGTAAAATAAATTCCTCCTGAACAGCCCAGCCCAGGTGAATCCTGTATATCAGGTGAGGTCTCAGTGTGTTTTAGAGTTACACGCTTGTTTCAATGAATGTAACCATAATTTCTCTCAGGTATAAACCGGGTTTAACGCCCTCACCGCTGGTCAGCTCGTGCCCGAACACGGGCGGCTGCTGGCTGGTGGAGCAGTTCCACCGCTCGTGTCTGAACTGACTCTGGCACTCGGACACAGCCAGCCGTGCTCCGTCCTGGATGCTGGGAAGCAGGAAGGGCTTCCTGCGGCACAGGAACAGCTGTCTGGGGCTCAGAGGGAGGTTAGCACAGCCCAGCTTCTCCGAGATCCCCGCCGAAGTCACGCCCAGCCACCTGAGGAGAACACCTGTTAGAGATCCACTAAGCTGGAGAGAGCAGCAAAGCCAAGACACAACATCCAGGTGTGTAAAATGGTTCCTCGAATGGGAACGTACACAGATATTTCACAGTTACAACACTGTCTTTGGTAATAAATGAGTTACTGATGACTAATTAAGACGAATTAACTGGTAAATAGAGACTAAGTCCTCATTAAAGTCTTTTTTAGAGAACAAAGGGAGGCACCATAACATGCGGTAATGAACAATTACTAACTTATAACCTTGTAATTTGTTAATATTTTGCGGACCCTACAGCAAAATAAAGTAAGGAGGTAATAATTCAAAGTACCTCGTTTTGTTCACTATTAAGTAGTAATTAGCCACTTTAAAGAACTTGATGAGGACTTATGTACTATCTACCCATTTACTTATAGTTTACAAGTCATTAGTTACTCATTCATTCCAATGTGACTTTGCAGATTTGTGTTATCACGGTCGCTCAAGTATCATGATTTATTATGATCCACCTTCAGTAAAATTGTTGTTTGTCCTCACGTCATGAAAAGGTCAGAGGTTGTGTTCAATCCACAGTTGAGTTTCTTGGTTTGGATGAAACAGACAGACCCGATCATCAGACTCCATATTTGACATATGGAGTCTGATTCATCAGAGAATACCCTCAGATAATCTCATAACTGGTTTATTTTGATGGAACTTCAAATAAAGAGCAGTGCATGATTTTTTTTTTCTTTCACAGGAAAACGTTTTCATTCTGTCAGAAAATCACAAATTTTAGCCAAAACTCAGACTCCTGCTTCTCAGACTCAGAGGTTAACATTACTGACTAGAAAATACAAAATTCAACAAGACCACCAGTGACATGATTGATGGTTCTTATATCACAGGCCTGAAACTGGAGGTGGGGCGTCAGTGTCAGCTGAGCAGCTGGAAAAAAAATCTTTTTAAACATTATTATTTAAAAAGTTTGAAAGATTTAAACATCAGTTTGTGAGATGAGAATTTTATCATTTCATTTATCATTTGTAATATGAATCATAAAACAGTCTTTGCACAAATTTAAGTTTATAATGTTTGGCTGCTACCTGCTTTCTGACCATATAAGGACGAAATCCAGCATGTTAACATGGATGAATACTGCCACAAACTTTGTTAAATGTGCACTGACTTTATTAAATAAAATAATAGTAATAATGTCGGAGCCGGAGCTGACTGATTTCAATTGAGAAAAATGTGGTTTTATAAAATATTTGACTTTTTGCAGCCTTCCTCTGACAGAAATAAAACATGAAAATCTCATGTCTAAATTAACTCTTGCTTTGAAAAATCGTGACTTCTTTTCATTTAAGTCCTTTTTTCCAACAGATTTTTAGTGCATTTCTACACGATATCAAACCACACATTTTCTAAATTTTCAACCCCGAGTTAAAGTGCATTTTTTTCTCCACCAAACCGATGAGAAAGACAACGACTTCTCCTATTTCTTTTTCACTGATCTCAGAGGTTGTTGCGTAAAATCTTAATCTCATATTTTAACCTGAACCCCCGCAGATGAAACTTTACAGATCCTTCATTAATATTTAAATATTACTTTTTAAACTTTTATTTCACGTCTGAAGCCTCCAGGTGTATTCACCCGAACAGCATACACGCTCCGGATCCGAGCCCCCAAGACTCCGATACTCACATCCAACTGGAGCTGCAGAGGCGGAGCGGACACACGGACACCAGCAGCAGGCTCAGGGTGCACATGTGTCGGACTCCTGGACTCCGGGTCTCCATGTCCTCCTCATGGATCTGATCCTCCGGGCTGCGCTCTCAGTCTGTCCATCAGCAGCCTCTGACGCATGCTCAGACCCGGTCCGGGAGCAGATTAATGATCCTGATGTCTGTTATTGATCCCGGTCTCTAATACTGCTGAGGATGATGGTGATGAAGATAAGGATGAAGATCCTCCTGAAACGGTCTGATTCGCGCTCAGTCCAGTTTTCCTTCTGCAGGACCAGTCTGGGATCGAGAGGATCCTCATTGGATGATTAGCATATTCAATAACTGACGTCAGAGCTGGACGGTGATTGGTCGGATAGACAGCAAAAAGTTTTTTTTTCATAATTGTTCCACTGCTGCAAAAAGAAAAAAAAATGCGAAAAAAAAGAAGAAAGAAACCACAACAGAAGTTACTAATGCAATAAATAAAATAAAAAAATAAAGTAAGAAACTGAAGCCCACTGCAAATAAAAAAAGAAGCGGTGCAGATTAAAAAATACAATGGAAGTCAATGACACAAAAAAATGGTGATACGCAAAAAAAAAATGCAACTGCTGCAAATAAAAAAGAATGCAAAAAAAAGAGGAACCACAATGAAAGTTACTGATGAAATAAAAAAAAGAAACCAAAAAAACAAAACAAAACAATGGAAGTTAATGTTGCAAAAAAAAGTGGTGATGAAAAAAAAAAATGTTACTGCTCCTGCTGCTGCAAAAAAAAAAACAAACAAGAAACCAGTTACTGATGAAAAAAAAAAGAAAGAAACCGAAGCTCTCTGCAAATAAAAAAAGAAGCGGTGCAGATTTGAAATTTATAAAAAAAAAAAAAAAAACAATATGGAAGTTAATGACACAAGAAAGTGGTGATGCAAAAAAAAAAAAAAGTTACTTTATGCGAAAACAAAAGCCACAACGGGAGTGAGCTGCCAGGGACCAATAATGATGATGCACCTGTGTTACGATCTAGGCACAGAAGACGACGGCGAAAAGACGAGCAAAGAAAACTTTTCAATGTGTCATTTGGTTAGGCCATGTTGCCCCTGAGTCGATATGAAGTTGATCTGGAGGATGCTGGTGTAGTGTTAGCTTCAGTTCCCGGCAGCTCACTTTCGTTGTGGCTTTTTTTATTTGCATCTTTATATTTTCTGAGTAATTATCTTTTTATTTTTTATGTCGTTAACTTCTGTTGTGGCTTTTTTATCTGCACCGCTTCTTTTTTTATTTGCAGCGGGCTTCAGTTTCTTCAGTTTCAGTTTCTTGTGACTTCTTTCTTTTGCATTCTTTTTTTATTTGCAGCAGTGGCGGTTCTCGGCCGCTGTAAAAATTACCTGTTAGACGAAAACAAAAGTAAAAAAAAGTTAGGATAAAAAGAAGCTGCTAAATAGTTTTCTGGTCCAAACAGGTTTAATGACAGAGATTTGTCCAGAAGTACAAAGACACAGGTTATCATATATTTTAATAAAGGTCGATTTTAAAGTGAGATGATGCAGATTAATAGAAACAAACAGAAGACGAGGTCGATAAATAATTGACCTCATGTCTTCACAGTCAGATATAACAATAAAATATATAAAGAAGAAAAATAACTTCAATATAAATATTCATAAATTCTGTTTTCCAGCATGTAAACATGTTCAGAGATAAGGCACAATATTCATCTGTAGAAAAATATAGAAAAGAAATAACAAATAAGACCTTTCTTTGTCATGATAAACACATTATCATGGAGTCTTTGGTTTACATTATCAGCTCATATACACAACAACAACATTATATACAATAACAACATTTAATACACATTAATGTGACTGAGGTATAGAAATACATGTTTATGCAGAGAGACTTACAAGCTGACTCAGAAAGAGAGAGTCTGATATTAACATGTGAGGATAAGGGGTCACATTAGGGAAGAAAAATAAGATTTCAGCTATAATACGGATGTTATGTTTGGGAATAAAGTCATAATAATATAGGAAAGCAATAATAAGGCAGTTAATAAAGCTTGGGTTTAGTCTAAATGCACTAGAATAAGGTTGTAGTATTATGAGAATTGGGTTTTAATAACACAAGAATAAAGCCATAAAGTCATGTGTTCTGTGAAAGTCATAATATTACAAGAAGAATGTCATGAGAATTAAGTTTTAATGTTAGAAGAATGAAGTCATCGTATTCAGAGAATAGATTCAAAATAAATTCAAAGTTTTGGTAAATAATCTCTTTGAAAAGAAGACAGGCTGCCGAATGAGCCGACTAAAGAATGAAGCATCTCTAAAAATGTACTTTACTTTAATAAATAACAAAATACTTTTTTGGCACATCAGCATCAGTTAAAAGTTTGTGCAAAAAGGCTGAAAATGAAACATTGACCGGGGAAGATTATCTTCTGTATTAAAATAAAGTGACTTCAGATATTCCTAAGAATTTTCAAAATTTAATTTGTAATATTACCACAAGCTTACTCTTGCAGCATTATGACTTTTTATTGTATTATTATGACTTTTTAAAAGGCTTCTTTCCTTTAATAAAAGGACTTTTTTCCAGACTTGCAGATTTTTTCTGGTAACCCGATGGCTTTTTTTTCTCCTAAAGTAATTTTTATCAGTCGTACTTTTCTACTGTAATATTATGACAACTTTTTAGGCAAGAACATGGCCGATGCACTAGAAAGAACAGAGTGGATGCCAAGGTGTACTAGAATTAATTAGTTCCACTTAAAGACTAAAAGGAAAAAAATCAACTTGCTATAAAACAAGTACTAGTTTGTACTACGAGGAGTGAAGAGAGCTGAATTCATGTCATAAACTAGTAAAGCAAATATGAAACTAGTGAAGTTTAGTGTGAGCTTCAGTTATGCAGTTTACGAGTTAAGCACATTATAAACTGGTTTAACACAATATTAAGTGGTTAATTAACATTATAAATAAGTGAGTCACATAATAAACCAGTTGATTGGTATAGAAGGACACAGGTTTGTTCTGAAGCTGACTTAAAAAGCTTGTGTTTCCTGTAGTGAATCACAGATGTCGCGGTTAGAAACATGGAAATAAAAAGTTAAAATGTGTTGAAGGCACAGTGATGATCTGATGGTGTAAGAATAACAAATTCTGTCAAGTTTTTATATAAGTTAAAGAAAAAATAAGCTTTTTGTTGAGTTAATGTATATTAAAAAATGATCTGTAGCTTATTAATGACTCAGGTGATGCCTTTCTCTATCTATTTTACAAAAATCAGTGAGGACGTTTGAAAATTTCTGTTTGGACCATAAAATATACAAAAATATAACTTTATAAAAATCAAAGTCCTGTCAAGCCTCAGAGAAAAATAAAAATATCAGTCTGTTCCTTTCAGCAGAGACACATCAAACGCCTCATCTCTGAGACGTGCTGACCTCCAGGTTCAAGTCCTCACAAACACACACGCACACACTCACACACACACACACACACACACACACACACACACACACACACACACACACACACACACACACACACACACACACACACACTCTCAGGTGTCTAGTTCCTGGTTCTGGGACACAGACGACTCAGCAGGATCTCAGAGTACACCTGGTTCACTGGTCCTCTCACGTGATAGGACAAGGATTTTGGCCATACCTCCTGGTCCGTGTCCAGCACGGCTGATTGGCTGCCGAGTCCAGGTGTGGTTCTAGAAGATCTGGTTCTGTTTGTGGAGACCGTTGTGTTTTCTGACAAGCTAAAGGACTCTATCTTCTCCACCTGAAGAAGAGAAAAAAGAAGAAGTCGAAATCAGTCATTTCAATCTGATTTAAAAGAAGAAATCTGTCCGGCCAGTTTTTCAAGGTTTTTATCTGAGAGGCTGAAATTGCTAAACCTAACCTCTAAGGAAAATAATGCTCAGCACAAATTCAGCTTGGACAAAACTAAATCTGAGTGGAAAAATCCTAAATTAGACAAACATGATTTATAAAACTGTGCATCATCTGTGTAAAGTGATAACACATTTATGAATAAGATGGGGAGGACCCAGAACGTCTCCCTGAGGAACACCAAGCTGAACATGAAAAAATCAAACTGTAATCAAACACTTTGGACAAACAGAGTTCAGAGTACAAGTATTGATTAGAATAACTATTCTCATTCCTTACCTCACTTATAGTCAGCTCTGATTATTAGCTCTGAGTTAATAAACTTGTTATTTACTGGTTTGAACTGGTGTTACCTCGTGAAAGTGGCAGGCGCAGCGTCCCTGCAAGAATTCTTTGTAACGGCCCATTGTGATGCTGAATGTGTCGATCACCTCATACCCATGGTGCTTTGCTGTGGAGATGATGTCGGTGTTCTCTCTGTAAAGCTGCTGGATCTCTCTCTGAGAGGTGGGTAACCAAAAACAGAAAAAAAGAGGAAAAGATGAGGGATGTAGAGAAGATGAGTTCATCAGTCCTCATGGAACAGGAAACAGGAACGTACCAGAGTGAGAGAGCGGATCCCGTCTACAGGGAGATGGAAACCCATCCCCAAAGATTTCACCACCACTAGGACATCACTTAGAGACTCTCTGAGGAGGAAAACACAGAGACTGAGAACGAGTATAAAGATCAAAACTTTAACGGTGAAATTTACACAATCCGATAGCCGAGATTGGACCAAACCTCAGTCCTCTAGAGCTACCAGTTGACCAATCTATATTTGTACAGATTAATTTAATTGTTGTTTAATCTGCAAAACAATACATATAATTTAAACCCGATAATCAGAGCAGGGGCACCGCAGGGCTCCATGTTGGCTCATCTGTTAGTTAGTTTCTGTATGTAAACCTGTACGCTGATGATACTGTGATGTACACATGAAAATATCAAATCATCCAGCTCTAAAGCTGACAAATGGTCACACAAAGACATCATCTACTTTGAAAATAAAAAGAATAAAATCTTTCTAAAGACAGTTTCATCAAGACCTGGTGGTTTGTTTACCTTTTTTCCCTTTAATAAAAAGGAAATAAAAACTTTCAGAGTCTGGGTTTCTGAAATATTCTGCATAAGTCTGTTTAGGAGGAAGTTCAACCTCTTTAAGTTTTCCCGTCTCTCAGGTGTTTGTGCTCACCTGTCCAGCACCTCTCTCACCGTCCTCAAGTGATCTGTGTTGAGCCACTGGACTCCGCCCACCACCAGAACCGTCATGTTGGAGTTCACCAGAGGTCGTGACCTTCAGAGGACACACCCATCAGCACTTCAATGTCTCATGACCTTTTACTGATAATGCACCTGTGCGCTCACCTGTGGATCAGCTGCAGCAGAGCCTGTCTGAAGGTGGGTCTGAGCTTCTTCTCCAACCAGAACTGAGGGTAGTACGAGTAGCTGACCTGAGTCCGCCCCGAGTTCAGGTTCCCGTAGACCAGCAGGTCATGGGCCTTCCCCCAGTCCTCCAGACTTGAGTTCACCCTCTCCAATAGGAAGTACATCATCCCACGATTAGTTGAGTCCCCGATGAATAACACCTGAGGAGACAGGTGAGACACCTCCACCATCAGAACACCTGTCACACCTTCGGATCATCTTTGGCGGGCTGATCTTGATCAGGCTTTGATTTAAGGTTAGTGTATGATTGGTTTCTATAAACAGGATTCTGACTCGGGATTTCAATCGCACCCGGAATGGAGGCGATTTTCGCTGTACGCCAATTCCTACCGACTGTGAGGTGAATTTCGTGGTGAATCATGGACAGCATGAATCGTGAGAACTCACAAGAACCCGCGGATTCACGTGCAATCACGCGATAACAAGTTGTCTTTAGCCACATAGGCTAACCATATAAGCAGTAGATTGTGTCTTTTCAGAGGAGGAAATCTACGTCTAGACTTATGAAATCAGCATGCTCTCATCCATGGTGTCATCAGGATGAAATGACGTCTAAAAACCTTTCACTTGTTTGTCCCCGCCCGTTAGCATGATGTGAAATATGATCTGCCTGAAACATGGAGTGTTTTATTTTGAAAAGAAGACGGATTTTTTGTGTCTGTGCCCGACTTGTGATTAGCTGTGGAGTCTGGCAAGCCGCAGCGAAACGGACAGAAGCCGGTGGAAATTGACACATCAACTTGAATGGTTATGATCAGCTACGATTGGAGGATACGGCCTTTTCGTAGCCATTACAGATGCGGTGGAAATTGGGGGTGAGGAAAGAGGAAGTGTACAGATGGGAGGAATCTATCTAGGAACAAGCCAGGATGGAGGAAAGGTAAGACAGAGATTCGTAAGTTAGCTGATCTCACCTTCCTGTCCGTCATGCAGTCCTGCAGCTGGGGGCGCTCAACAATAGGGTGATTACAGTTGTCTGGTTGCCAGGCAACCTCCCTCCAATCACACGTCCTGTTGTCAGAACAGCTGAGACATGGAACCACCCACTGGCCTGAAACAGGTAAGACAGGTGAGGTTACTAACTGGTTTTATTGGTTCTGGTTCTAGTGAAGGTTTTTAATCTGAAGAAAAAGGATGTGACATCATACCTGGCTGGTGTCCTGAGCTGCAGGTGTGTAGCGGACTCTGAGACGGGGTAAAAGGCTGGAGACCACAAGAGAGATCCGGCTGGATCATCAGACCACAATCCTGAAACACAAAGAAACAAAGACCTTGATGGTGACAGTTATATTTTTCTGTATCCAGCAAGACGGAGAGTGCACAAGTGTTTGTTCAATGTGCTCGATGCGTCTGCAGCATAGATTGAATATGTCCGAGTATAAGGCAAGCGCTAAAATAACTTTCTTAGATTCATAGAACTCTTGGAACTTTTCGTAGATGTAACCATCTTGTTTCAGGCTTCTGATTTTGCTTTTTTCCGACTTGGTAACTGAAACACTTCTGACTTCCGAGGTTACTTGAAGTCACCATATAGTCTGCAGGTACACCTGAGGATTTCCCAGAATGCATCAGGAGCAAAGTGAGGTCAGACTGGTCCCTGATTTTATTTTAGAGTAGTAAGTGGTGGTCAGACACCTTCTTCTTCTTCATCTCCTCCTCCATCTTTCTCTCTTCTTCTTCATCTTCTTCATTGTGAGTGCCATTCCATCGTCCTCCTTTGGTCAGAGGTCAAAGGTCAAATAAACCGCCCCAGCTCAGCTCATGGGGCCCCGTGGGAGCCGCCACGTCTGGCCCGGACATCAGAGCGTCCGCCTCACGCACACACACGTCCTCACAAACACACACTCTCTTCTTCTTCTGCTGCCACAGGTTTCAGCGCGGCGGCGTCACATTCTGCACACCGGCGCCGCAGCTCGCGACAAAGTGAGACAAGAAAACTTAACAGGGATTTTCTTGTTCGTACCTGAGCTCAGTGTACACACGCACACACAGGAATACACACACATACACACACACAGGAACACTTAGAGAGCGTCAGAGGGACACCAAACACGCCGCCTCCTTTCATCTGACGCCAAGAGAAAGAGAGAGAGAAAGCGAGGAAGAGCAGTGCCACGTCCACACACCCCTTCAGTGTTTTTTTCTGTGTGTTTGTTTACAACCACAATGAGGACATGAAGATGTTCAGTTTATTTTATCTTGTGTTTTTTAAATTTGAGTTTAATCGAATGAGAAGTTTTCAGACACGAAAGGAGAAAACGCATTTTTCTCTGAACGATCTTTAGACTGTTAAAACGCAACAGAAATGCAAACACAACCGTTTTAAAGCATTTTAATAAGTTTGTGTAAATCTTTAATATTGTAAAAAAAACATCATTCTGGATGATGTTTTCTGGCTCCTTTTAAGAGTTTTATATTCGACTTGTGTGCTCTTCAGCTAAAACTGAACTATTTAGCTGAAAGTTAAGTCAGGCTGCTGTTGTTAATAGCTTTAAATCTGTTCTTCATTTACTTTGTTCTTTCTTCTGTTTTAGTCTTTCATGAATTTCCAAACCCTGAAAATGAAACATTAATACTCTCCAATAAAGACTAAATTAATCTCAAATATTCTGACTGACTACAAAAGGAAAGTTCACATAACAGCTGTTTCAAACTTTGAGACCGGTCTGTTTGGTGGATTTGAATTTCATTCTTCAAGTTATTAAAGTTTAACTTCTTGATTATTAAGGAATTGTTGGGAGGGATTGTCAAGTTGAAAAGGATAGAAGATACAAGAATAGTGCAGGTAATAGAGAGGAAAGAAAAACCAATAAAATAAAATGGAATATAAATAAAAACAAAACAAAAACAAAGGTAAAGAATAAATTAGAGTAGAAAAGAATAGATTTGAACCCAGAAAAGCAGATTATAATAAAATAATAAATAAAATTAAATTAAATTAAACAGAAAAGACAAATATGAATTAAATAGAATTAATCAGAACAGTACATAAAAGAGTGAAATAAAAGAATAGAATACAATAATAGAGAAGAAATGGCGACGAGAAAGAAAACATCTTAATTCATAACTTTTTCTTGTAAAATTAGACAGCAAGTCCAGTAAATCAGTCTATAAATTGCTTTGGTATTAAAACATTCGGGGCGACGCTTTTTAAAATGAACAGATTTCAAACATATTCAAAAAAAATTTATGTCTGTGTGTCTTTTTCTTGATTTTCTATTTATGATGACATGATCAGAAGTGATTTTTGTACTTTGTATTCGTCACTGAAGGAACGTAGTGTCTGATGAACTGAAATTTGTCAAGTTCATCATCAAAAATTAAGGAACTCCATCCGTTTGCTCTGATTACTTCATCATATTTACTCTGTGTCACATATGTAACACAAATTCTCTCTCTGTCTGATGCAGTGTTGTTACTTCAGCTCATGTTTCCAGTCTCTCTGTTTCTCTCTGCAGTCCTTCTATTTATTTATTTTTAATTCTATTTTCTGATTTTATTTCATTTTATTTATGTATTAGATTTGTTGAGAGGAGCCGCCGAGTCTGCAGCAGATTTATCCACATTCCTGCAGGAGGACACAAGATCCTCTGATACCATCACACACACACAGACACACACACACACACACACACACACACACACACAGTTTTATTACATCTCAGAGATATGAAGCTTTGACATTCAGAGCAGAGAGCCTTCATCTTCCTCTCTGAACTTTGTGTAACATGAGTTGAACTTGTTCTCTTTTAAAGGAAGTTTTCACCAAACACTTTTTCTTTACTTTAGTTTGGCTCTTTGTAATTATAATTACTCTTTAGATCATGAATCCACTTTAAAGGCTATTGTCATTTTGTCTGGTTATTTGTATTTTGATAGTCCAGGAAAAAACAGAGAGGTTAATTTAATGGAGTTTGTGGGTGTGTATATGTGTGAGTTACTTCTGTCTACTCAACACAGCTCCAAAATAAAAGCAATTAAAACAAGAGTTGTGTCTCTGCAGAAAAAAAAAGATCTGGCTTTTACTTTGAAAAGCATTTAGGAAGTACTGCCAAAACAGTTCGTCTTCGATTCTGCTTCTTGTCACAGTCCACTTCGTTAGCTTTCATGCCAATTTTAAAATCAGGCTGACTCTGGAGCTGCCAGGAAGCCAAACATCCATCTTCTTCACATGAAACCACTCATTTGGACACCGATATCATGATGTACAGGGAGGATGTTGACTTGTTTTGCAGTTTTTCAGCTCTGTTTAAAGGACTAACATGCTACTTAAAGAGCTGGTTCTTTGCAGTGTGTTTCTGCAGTTTTTCAGCTCCGTACAGGTTTCAGTCTCCTGATAAAGCTTTAAAAATCTGCTTTAACACAAAACACACTGTTCAGATGTTTGAACAGGCACTCCGGGGTCCCTGAAGTTATTTAAGGTGAATGTGCAGGGACCTGATCCATGTAGATCATCATCAGGGATTAGACCAGGATCAGGAGGTTCAGGACAACAAGACAGTCTGATCCCTGAACAGAGACATGGAGGCGGTTTGTCCTGAGCGCCTGCTTAAGCTGACAGTAATAAAGATCAGAATAAAACCACAGAAGAAGAAGCAGAACCAAAAGTATAAACCTCCCCTGTTATTAAACCCAGCAGGAGGGACAGTTCAGGAGTTTTAGAATAAAGTTATTGAGTGTAAAATGTCAAAGAATGAGTGGATTTCATCATCTACACAAGATAATGTCACTAAAAGATTCAGAAGATATGGAAAAATCTCCATAGTAAAGGCACAAGGACCAAAACCAATACTGGATGGTCCTGATCTTCATGCCCTTGAGCAGCACAGCATTAAAAACAGACAGGACTCTGTAGTGTAAATCACAGCGTGGGCTCAAAATCACCTGAGAATCCCGATCCGTTAACACAGTTTATCACTGCATCTACAAACTTAAAACTGTCCCATGGTCACAGTTTGACGTTCTTTTTGGAAATCGTGGACATCACATCTTCAACACTGGGGAGGAAATTATTTATCAGCTTGAACCAGAAAGACCAAAGACTATTCTAGACCTGAACCCATTTAAGATGGACAGTTTTTGGAAATCCTGGACATCGCATCTGACAGTCTTTCAGCACGCTAACTGAACAGTATCAGGCTCATAAAGTTGTTGTGTTCAAAATGAAGATTGTATATTTTAAAGAGTGTTTAACATTTCTAAAAATATCACTCCTCTTTTGGTTTAAAATGAGAGTTTGTGAAAATTAAGGACTGTTTTTGTTTTTTGAAGTTTAATTTTAAATTAAATCAGTGAATATTGCTTCATGTTTGTTCCTGCTGCTTCTTCTTGAAACTCTCAGAACTTTATTAAGTTTATTTTTAGACTTCGTTTCTTGCTCTCTCTGAAACTATGTACAAACTTAACACAGAGCTTTATCATGCAGGGACTGACCCTTGGCTCGGAGTCGGTGTTGTTACCGTGGAAACCACGCCTCAATAACCCGGGTTGGCTACATACTGAGTCGTCATAGTAACAGCAGTGAAGAATGGTTGATGTGATTTTCATGCTCAGAGATGAAAATTAAGTTTTCCTCTAATGTTGGCGTGCTTGTGAGTCTGCAGTTTACACACTGAGCAAACATCGAACACTGCAGTTCGATTTCTGCTCACCTTTACTTTCAGGTGTATCTTCAGGTAACAGACCTGAACAGGTAAGGTTAAAATGTGCAGCTCAGGTCTGTGAGCACCTGTCCTCTCTCGTTTTATCTTCAGACTTCAAAGACCAGACCCCACCCTGCATCAATGTCCCCTCTGTTCGGCAGGGGCCTCACCAGGGGCCTCACTGACCCCACACCAACATAAACACGCCCTCCACCCTTCATCTACCTGAGAGCGAGCGAGTGCGGCCCACAGGTGTGTCAGAGGACAGGTGAGGACAGAAACATCAAACACACTCTGCAGCTGGCACCAACAAAGAAGAAACAAGCACTCGTCAGTAAAGAGGGGTGCGGAGGTTTCACATGGACATGTGATTTTCATGGGAAGCAACAAGGTATTTCATCTGCAAATTACATAATAATAAGATGCATAATAATAATAGTAATAAGGTGCATCATTAGAGGTCCTGGGTAGATAATTAATGTATATCAGAAACAAAAGAAGTCCAAGGATTGAACCCTGGGGTACTCCATCCATTAGCTTTGCTCTAGCAGAGTTTTGCTCATGAACAGATACATACTGTTGTTTGTTAATTAAATAGTTCTACAAACAAATTAAAGGGGTTACAGCTTGAGGCTAAAAATGTGGTCCTTGAGGAGCACTAAGGTCTTAGATTTGCAGCCCTGAAATGCGGTTCTGAGTCTGTGGCTTCTGGGTCTGCAGACACATGCTACTTCCAAAGTTGACATCCTGAGAGAGAGAGATGGTTAGTTGTGTTTAGTCTCTTTGCTAAAGAAATCAGGCAAAGCTAAAAAGATGTTTGGTGGCTAGTACTATGGCTGGGACCATATATATACTGTTGATGAAGTTAGGTGCTGTTCTGAGCATTATTTGTTGCTATAGAGTGGCGTTTTGGTTGAACGCGTGGCTCTCTGTACTGCTATCCGTGGTTGTTGCTAAAGTTGGTATAACTAGAGAAGCAAGCAGTCGGCAACTTTCATCTCTCGACGGGGTGTCTAACTCAGTGTTATAGTGTGTTTGACCCTAACTTAATTTTACACCGGAATATCCCTTTAAATCACAGAAACACAATCACAGAGTCACCAAAACTGAACAGGAAATGATCACATCTGGTAAAGGGGGTTGGTGTTCAAGAGGACCTACCTGCAGGAAGCTGCAGGTCACATGATCTCCAAACATGGGCAGACTGGGCCGGCTCTCTCTGAACACATGCACGGTGTAGATTGTCATGACAACAGGCTCCAGCTCAGTGTCATCAGTTACTAGGATGCTGATCCTACTGTTGCCGAGGCCAACCGGGTAGTTCGCCATCCTGCAGAAGAGACGACCATCAGTTATCTGTGCTGGGAGGTCAGAAATCAGGGGTCAGGGGTCAAAGGTTGTGGTCTCACCTGGGGCCTCGATGCTCGTCCAGGTGGACCTTACACACTGAACTGACTGGTTCAGGTCGGATTCTTATGGTCACCGTATCAAAGGTCACCTCAGCTCGATACTCCTTCACCAGGGGGCTAAAGGGCGGAGTCAGAGTGAGGGGTGGGTCTGTGTAGATCTGCCTCAGGTGAGGGTCCACACACACACCTGAAAAACACAGGGACACAACGTAAAGTGTTCGCACAACAACAGGTTGCTGCCCTTCAAAATAAAAGTATCTTGTGACTTCAGAGTGACTTTCATATCATATAAATGTATCAATCTGGTTTATTGACTCAGACAGACTGACTTTTTTTTTTTATAGATGTCTCACCGTCATCCTGTGAGGAAGCTGACTCCTGATTGGTTAGTTCCTCTGACTCATCAGCTCTGTAGGAAACAGGTGAACATCCTTAGGTATTCATAAGATCAACAATAACAGGTGGTGTTACAAATATCCACTGTTTACTGTACAGATTCACTCTCTGACCTGAAGCCCTGGTTCTTCTGGATCTCGTAGAATCGAGCAATCCTGATCAGAAGATCTGAGACCGTGAGAGGAGAGGAGGAAGAGGAGGAGGAGGAGGAAGTGCTGGGGTAAAGCTACAGAGAAAGAGAAAGAATAAATCAGAGTTAAATACTGTTTGGCTTTAGATATAGTCTGCTGTGATCATTGAGGTTATTGTGCTGCAGTTTTTATAAACATCGTCATATAGTCTGAGTTTGTTTTCGGCTCAGCTTTAACACACATGCTCTTCCTTTATGTACAGCAGGGTGTAATTTCATTCATTCATCTGAACTACCCGGTTTCTGCAAACTCCCTCCAGGAAGGAACTAATCCGGAATTAAACTGTGAAATTTGTCTTGCATCTGCGATGAATTTAGTCCACAATAAGATAAGAAGTGTCTCCTTCCATTTATCTCGTCACACCTGTGGTCATAATTTTGCTCTGTCAGGATTAGAGTGCTCAGTGAAGCCCTGTTCAGCAGAGAGAGGAGATGCCACACGAGCAAACTGCATAGAGCTACAGAGCTTAGAGGGCGTATCTACTCTCAGATGTTATTACTCTATGAAGATTTTGGAATTAGACCCTGAGACGGGGCAGATGTCAGAGACCACAACTGAAACTCTGTGATTTCATTTCACAGGCAGGAAGCTTTTAAAACAAAGAGTTGAAACTTCCTCTACCAAGTTATACTGTTTTTATGATGATCAGAAGTTTAAATCAGAAGTTAAAAAAAATAAATAGACATGCGTATGTGTGAATATTTTTCATACCAGTTGAAAAGGTGAAGATCTTTTCATCTGCTGCTGAAACTGGAGAAGAAGAACAAACTCTTCCTCTGACAAACAGACACCATGTGTCCCTCTGCAGCCACCGTACTAACACACAGACAGAGAAATGAGTTTAAAACGTTATTTTTATAATAAGATTATTTAACATCTGCATGTTAATAAAATAACACCACAATGATTAGACTGAATGAAGCTTGTATTTGTTTATTAAATGTTAAATTCTTGTTTCACAGGAGATAAAGTTTCATGGTTTTAAGTTTCTGCTGCACAAAAAAAAGTTTGAACTTTGTCAAAATCTCTGCGTCATCTCACCTGTCTCTGTGTATCTGAGGACAGGTGTGTCTCTGAGGGCAGCAGGAAGTGCAGCATGTCCTCCAGGATGAGGTCTTTGGTGATCTGTCTGTCAAATGTGTCATCACTCAGAGCAGAAAACTGCAGGTCAGGATCCACCTGAAAAACACAACCAACACACCGACCGATCAGAGTGTAGCTGAGGAGACACTGCCCTCTGCTGGACACTTTTTGTCAATACAAACAGTCAATATCTGATAGAGAGATAAGGAGTAAGAAGGAGAGGAGGAAAGAAGAGGAGGAGAGAAGGAGAGGCGCAGTGTTTGAAAATGAAGGAAATAAATAAGTCACTGTGCGGATGAAGGCCCTGGACCACCTGTAAACTGACTGCTGCTCAACCTGAGGCGTGCGGCCCCACAGAGGGACACAACATGAATAAAGAGTCTGTTTACTGCAGCAGCATCTCTTTAGTGGACCATCAGAGAGACTGAAGAAGATTTGGACTGTTTTATCAGTCTTACCTGGACGACGACAGGTGAGACGGAGCCACTGAACTGTAGAGTGAAGGTCATCAGCTGGTAACACAACACACACCTGAAACACAGACACATAACAAAAACAAAAATTATTAAAATCCATAAATCTTTTAAATGGCAATAATCAGGAATTAAAAGTTTCATAAATCAAATATGAGATTTTTGTCAAATTAAAGTGTGAAATTCAATACAAATTCTTGTTTACCTGTTGAGATTTTCTTTCTTCTGATTGGTCGACAGAGCCGCCTGTAGCACCTCACCTGTCACCCTCTTCACCTGCACTAGAGCATCTTGGGAAATGTCTGGTCCCATCTGCTGCAGCAGGAAGTCCCTGAGCTGATGTGGAGGAGGAGGAGATAGGAAAGGATGTCAAGATTTAACCAGCAGGGGGCAGCAGAGGTTCAGAAATCAACAGGTAAAAAGGTGATTGGCGTCTCTTTAAGGTCAGATGATGGTTTGACATTATAAACAGTAAAATTATCAACTAAACTACGACAGCTGTTAGCTTAGCTGAGCATAAAGACTGAAAACAGGTGGAAACTGTTTTAAAAATGTAGTTAAATAAAGAATAAAGAAGGACAAACAACTAAAAAAAATTAAAAAAATCAAACAGGAGAGAAAAGAAAAAGAAGCAGAGTATCAAAGAAGGTAATTCACCTTTACCACCTGTCCCCTCGGTTCCTGATTGGTCGTCACCACGCTGATGTCATGCAAAAAGGAGATGAGTGGACTCACTGATGTCACCAAGACATAAATATTCACCATGGCAACCAGAGCAGGAGGCGGGGCTCCGACAGGTAAGTGACTGTAAAGAAGAAGAGGAAACATGAAAACATAGAACAGGTGAGTTTACCTCGCGGTTACAGACTGAAGCTCACCTGTCCTCTCTCTCCTCCTCCTCAGGAACCTGCAGCTTTTGACTGGTCGAGCCACAGGAGTGAGGTATCATGGGAAATCCTGATCCTGATAGGTAAAACAGGGACAGGTGTGTCAGTCTCCAGTAAGTTAACTCACTTGTCTGCTTAATTATTCAGGTGCTCACCTGGTCAAGTGACCTCTGCGATGTAACTCACCTGTAAGGTGTGAGTGAGTGATGAAGTGACAGAGCCCTTCGCCTGCGTCAGAGAACGCCTCCATCAGCTCAGGTAGCAGGTTCACCTGAGGATACAGACAGACAGGTGAGTAACCATGGTAACTGTCAGTCTGCCTCTGATTGGCTGCAGCAGCTTAACAGGTGAGTCTCACCATCTGATGGAGCTGCAGGTGAGAGAGGGAGAACCTCCTCAGACAGCTCCTCTCTGCACCGCTCAGACAAAGACACAGGCTCCACCCAACCGCACCTGTTACCATGGAGACATACAGACAGGAGGTCACGCCTGTAACCATGGAGTAGGATAACATCTGTATATCAGTAGATCAGGATCATGTCTGTTTTAAAAAGTCTAAATAAAGTTTCTTATTCTTACTACAATCAGTCAAACCTTCATGTTGTTCTGAGGAAGTCAGTTTCTGTTTGTTAGTTTTTGAGAATCCGAGGATAAAATTGAAGTCAAGCTCTTACTTCAGATCAACCTATCAGAGACAGGGCCTTTAGCATCATCACAAATAGTCAAAGAGTGCTCACCTGTCACTAAGGCAGCGTTTTCTCTAAGTCGCCAAATCCTGTCACTTTATTATCTTTCAAACAAATGTGTTATTTGTCAAATCAACTCCTTTTGAATGACACTTTTTAAAACAAATAATAATAATGGTTTTACATTTTATTTGTAGTGCCCTTTACATCAAGCGACCTCAAAGGGCTACATCTTTAAAGCAATGAAATTTCACTGTAAAGGAATATAAAAACAGGTTATTGGTTAAAAAAAGAAAAAAGAGAAACGTCTCACTAAAAGAGTTAAAGCAAGATAAGCAGGTTAAAAAAAAAAAAAAACAGGTTGTAAACATGTTTATTTTTTGAATGAGTGGTTATGTGGTCTGTGGTGCTTCTGCAGACAGCTTCTAGTGGATATTCTTGGAACTGCAGTTTTTGTCACAGCATCGGCTTCATTTCTGAAGACCAGAGGCTGCCGCTTGGATGGGATAAACTGAAGTGGTTTTGATGTTTTAGTAAACGGTATACAGTTTACCTCTGGGCTTACTCAAATCGTTTTTAAGTTTATGTGCTTTTATTCTTAAAGGTAAAGGGTCTTTCAGTTTTGGGGGCTTCAGGATATCATTAATCATTCTCTCTTCTGATTCTCGTTCTGATTCTCCTTGTTTGGCTGGTGCATTTCATGTCGTCTCTTACACAAAAACATGTGTGTGTCTAATGCAGGAGGCTGGGCTCAGTGTTTGTGTGTGTTTTTCTGTGTGTGTCTGTGTGTGTGTGTGTGTGTGTGTGTGTGTACCCTCAGTCTAAACACTGCAGAGTTCAAACCTGAGCAATCAGTCTGCAGACCGTTTATTATTCCTGTTCGGTTTTAAACACGAGGCCAGGGTTCAGAGAATAACTTTATTTTCACAGAGAGAGAGAGAGAAAGAGAGAGGAAAAGAGAGAGAAAGTAAGAAGAAAAGAGAGGGAGGGGGGAAGGGGGGTGCTGCAGGAAGCAGTGTGTCCAAACATGGCCTCTCTAAGGAACACAAACATGTGGCAGTGATTGTGGAGCTCAGAGGAAGAGTGGTCTGATTCTGCAGCTCTGCAGCAACACTAACACAGTGAGCCACAGCTGAACAGCACCTCTGAACACAACAACACCTTCTTCTTCTTCTCTGGTTTATCAATCAGTGTTTTCAGCTAAACTGATTAACTCTAACCAGATTTGATCCTCTGCTCTATCAGTCACTGTGACCACAGACTGATCATGTGATCAATCATGTGACCTTATCAGCTGTTGTCTCTGTAGTTTATGGAGGTCATAAAACTGTCTGCTTGTCTCTTTCTTCTTCACCTGCTGCAGAGATTAAGCCCCGCCCCCTGCTGTGCTCTCCTGACAGGCAGATGCAGCTGTCAATCATCTTTCCACCTGTTCTTTAAACAGCTTGTCCTTCAGGTTATAAACAAACTAGAGAAAGAGACAAGAGACATAATGTTCTTCTTCTTCTATCAAACTTATATTTTGAATCTATATTTAGATGGTTATTATCATTTAATATAAGACATCCACAGGTCTAAACTTCCATCATGCTCTAAAAACCTAAGTGTCTGTGCATCAACTGCATCAGTTTTCTGTTTTTAGGTCTCCCATTCTGACAGTATGTTTTTTGTTATAAATGCCCTGAATGAAGCTGTGATGAGTTTCATTAGTGTAATGATTTTGATTAGTGAAACTGGTCGTCAGTGAAACATCACAGGATTTAAAACCACAATAGGGAATGATTAGTGTATGATTTAATTCAAACTTTAAACCTGAAGTTAAACTCTGTCTGCTGTTCTTTCTAACTATGTTACTGTTAAAGTCAGACTCCAGCCTGTTACTGCTGCTCTGTTTGTCCAACAGGAAGTCTCCACCCTGCACACACACACACACACGCACGCACACACACATACACACAGTTAAGTGTTTCCTGTGGGGTCATTAAACAGGTCTGTATGAGCAGTTTGTTCCAGCTGTAGTTTGTCTAAAGAATCAGAAAAAAATCTAAAAATATAGATTTTTTTTCTGGTAAATTTAAATTTTATCTTATTTTTTTCAAACAGATAATGAAGGGATTAAGGACCCTATATGTACTGTTGATAAAGTTAGGTGCTGTTCTGAGCATTATTTGTGGCTATAGAGTGGCGTTTTGGTTGAGGTTTGTTTATGGCTCCTCAGACCGCTGTGTATCGCTATCGTGCGGTCGTTACTAATGTTGATATAACTAGAGAAACAAGCGGTCGGCAACGTTCATCTCTCGAGGGGGTGTCTAACTCGGTGTTACGGTGTGTTTGATCCTAAATTAATTTTACGCTGGAATATCCCTTTAAGTCTGTTTCTGTTACACACTGAGATGATTATGAATAACTCAATCCCGCTGATTAACAAAAAAGATCCTCCTGTTCTTTTTTTTTTTTTTACAGGATAATTTATAAATCTCAGCGTATAGTTGCTGTGGGAAAGACTATTTTTTTCAGCGTACCTGCCCCCTCACCCTAACACTGACCCCTACAGCAGTTACAGACATAAAAATCTACAACAGAAAAATGTCTGCCTTGTCCTCGATGGTGTCATTGTTACAGCGCCACCCTCAGGATAAACAGTGTCTGTTGTCTCGGGTTTAACTGTGTATTGTTACCTTGGTTCTGTCGCAGGGAGCTGCTGGTTTCGGCGTAGCGGGACATCTGGACCTGATAGTGGATCTGCTGCAGGACTCTCTGGTACAGCTGGACCTCCGTGTCAGAGACCGGACGTTGACCAGTCAGAACCACAGCTTGACGACGTCGGGGTGGCGACTGAGATCGGACCTGGACCTGAGGGGGACACAGAGACATGTTTTAAGTCTGTGATGGACATTCAGACCGTCTGCACAGAGACTCAGACTGCAGATCTTGAGTCTTTTAAACTGTAAAACAATTAAAGTCAAACACTGAGAGAAGATTTTCCACAAAGATTAACTCAGTCAGTTTTATAGTTCACTTTAGTCCATGACATGAACACATGAGCCCTGGACTTTTAAAGCTGCTGAGATGAGCTATGGGTTTGTTTTGATTTTGGCGCCCCCTGTAGACAAACATGTACATCTTGTCACTTTTGTTTTATTCTGTGTGTACAAAGGCAAAATTCCCACCCTGTTATCTTTACATGTTAATTGTGTATATTAGCTGATAAAAATGTGAAGAAAGCCGGTTTCTTCAGCTGTGATTAGCTGGTCTGGTTTGACTCCTGTGCTTCTGATAAGACCAAAAGAATGTGTTTTTGAACAGAGAGATTACTGTTGGACAGATTTCAGAGGATCACAGTGTGATATAAACTGTGAGGAGGAGAGGCTCTGTTTTTATTGAGGATCTTTGAAGTTTGATCTCAGATGGAAACTATCACAGAGTGGGAGCTCCTCTTCAAACAACAGAGAGTTCATCATGAGGAAAGTTGGACTGAGAAGCTGCAGATTCTTCAAACGAAGGAGAAAGTTTAAGCAGGTCATTCTCTCCTGTTAAAAAACACATTATTCCACATTTGTATTTAAATATTTGATTTTGATCTTTTTGATGCTTTTATTGATCTTAATGTTGAAATGCAAAAGCTTGAGGTGAGGGGAGCCCACCTTCTGCCTATTGTGTGTGCAAACATGAAAAGCCAAGGCAGGCAGAGCAGCAGCAAAGATCACCTCAGTAACTCTCTGATCCTATTTAAGCCATCTGACAACAATAATAAAAACTTTTATTAAGGTTCAGATTCACATCAATGTTTAAATATCATTAAGGAGAATGAAATCAACATCACCCTGTCTACATTAACTTTGATTTGACCTCTTGATATCAAACTGCTCACAATCTGGGTGTGTCTGCATATGTGTGCGCGCGTGTGTGTGTGTGTGTGTGTGTGTGTGTGTGTGTGTGTGTGTGTGTGTGTGTGTGTGTGTGTGTGTGTGTGTGTGTGTCAGATAACATGGACTAAATATAATCATGAGGGTTTCGGTGACAGCAGCTCTTCACACACGTTCACAAACATGCACACACACTCCCTGCATTAAAACCATAAAATCTGAATCATTTTACGGTTGGATATAATATTTGTATAAAATCAGCCAGTGGAATGATAATCCTTAACTACAACTCCCATGGTGCTTTGGGAATGTAAACAAACAGAATACAGATTCCATGGATTCAGCAAGGTGTCATACAGAATGGAGAGAACAACAGTCATCCTCTATGAGAGCAAAATATTTAGTGTTCCCCCTGCTGACTGTCTGCAGTGTAACTCTCAAACATGATCATGGTCATTATAGTTATTTCTTATTGTTTTTAATTATGTTACATGTTCATTTTTCTGATAAGTTTAGTTTGAATTTATAGTATAAAAAGAACTTAACCACTATGATTGACAGCTCAGATAGCTCTGAGTGCACCAGACCGCCAGAGTAGAGAAGGAACGGTGGGAGGAAACGTAACAAACACAAACACAAGAGTCACTGAACTTTCAACAACCCCATTCCCCATGGAGAATTTTTTTCTCAAGTTAGGGGCACGGTGTCAATTTTTTATTTAACCAAAATGTTTTAACTTGAGCTGTATTAGTTTATGTCTGAATCTGATTTTCTAAAATAAAATTTAACATCAGATTGAGCAGGTTTCATTATCCCTACTGGCTCATAAAGAGGTCAGACAGTCAAATTATGTTACTTTTTTTATTTTTAATTTTACTGCAGGGAGTTTAATAATTTGTAGTTTTACCATTTCTGGAAACTACAACAGAGTGAGCCCTCCCCTTGGTGTTATTTAAAAGTAGTATCCCTGTAGTTCCCAGGGATCATGTACACATGATATTAATAGGTTCATATCATCAATAGTTTAAAATAGTCTCTCTGTAGTGCATCATGTGTTTCTGTCACAGGTCACTGTGGGTTTGATGTGAAGAACTCTGCAGAGCTGACTCTGATAAAGTGGCCTATGAATAAATATTATCATCATGACTGTCTGAGTGCAGCAGCTGTTCAGGTGAACTCCAGACCTGATGAAAACCCATTATCTTCTGCTACAACAAAAACTCAAAAATACACTTAATGTGTGGGAAAGAGTGTGTATTCAGTGTATTCGGGTCAGTCCGCTACTGTCTCTACAAGACACTTCTCTTAAAGACCTCCACAACCTAGCATTCCAGAACCCAATATTCTACAACCCAGCAATCTAGAACCCAGCATTCCATAAGCCAACGTTCTAGAACCAAGCATTCAAGGACCCAGCATTCCAGAACCCAACATTTTAGAACCAAGCATTCGAGAACCCATGATTCTGAACCCAATATTCTACATCCCAGCAATCTAGAACCCAGGATTCCAGAACCCAATGTTTTAGGAACCAAGCACTCATGAGCCCATGATTTCAGAACTCAATATTCTAAATTCCAACAATCTAGAACCCAGCATTCCAGAACACAATATTCTACATCCCAGCAATGTAGAGCCCAGGATTCCATAACCCAACGTTCTAGAACCAAGCATTCGAGAAACCATGATTCCAGAATGTAGCATTCTAGAACCCAGGGTTCTGGAACCCAGGATTCCAAAACCCAATGTTCTAGAATCTAGCATTCCAAAACTCAGTATTCCATGACTCAGTATTTCACAATCCATCACCCAAGACCCCAGAGTTTCAGAACCAAGCAGTCTTTAAGCCAGCATCCTGGAACCAGGCGCTCAAGAACCCATTCCCTAGAACTCTGCATTCTGGAGCTCTTTATTCCAAATATTAGAATTCCAGAACTCAGCACTTTGTTCCTTGCACTACAAAAAAAACCCCCAACACTCCAGAATATGGTGTTCTGGAATTAATTACTTCAGGCATAGCAATCAAGTATCCAGTATCGCTGAGCCCAGTTTCCCTAGACCCAGCATTTTTACCAGTTATCCTGAACTTAGCATTCTAGAAACCAGTGATTCTGAATTTCAACATTTAAGTTATGAGCACTTCAGAATCCAGCATTTGAGAACTCAGCAGTCCAGTACCTAGCACACCAGAACCCAGCTATACAGTTAACAGTTACCCTGATCCCTGACTCTTGATTCCAGTTTTCTATAACTCAACATTCACTGGAATGTTCCTCTACTGTTGCAGTGCTTTTTGTCAAAAGGTTTACCAGTGTTTCATTTTTTGAAATACAATTTGATGAAACATCTCAGTGTTCAAAACCTGACCTGGAACTTTTGGAAAGAACAAAAAGTCCCAAGTAACAAAGAACAGAACAGATATGTTTCTAATTGGCCAGCGTTGTGCCCTTATAAGGAGATCCTGCAATCAGAGCTATCCTGATGTGAGTACTTCTGACCAATCGGGGCTGCCCTTCTGTGAGTAAATCTGGTGTGGATCTCTCTGAGTTCTGTTGTGACTGTTTAAAGGAAATGTGATGTTTTCAGGCTCAGAGTGTTTTAAACTAACTTATTTTGTTTTGGAGTTTAAAGTGAATCTGAACAGACTGACACTTACTGTTCATACATGTGTGTGTGTGTGTGTGTGTGTGTTTCAGATTTTCAGTGTATTTCAGGGTGTCCAGTTTGCTGCTGACTGAAGCAGAAACATGAAACTGGTCGTCAGTGAAACACCACAGGATTTAAAACCACAGACGAAGAAAATCTGCTGGTTTGTGGAGCTGCAGAGAACAAAATACAGAACAAACTTGTTGATTTTAGATTAAGTGTGTGTGTGTGTATATGTGTTAGTATTCAGCAAGCGTGTGTGTTGTGTAAGAAGTTGGCAGACTTTGTGTCTCCATCAGTCGACTTCTCTCCTCTCAGAGTTCAACAATCACACACACACACAAACATGAGTATTTCTACATAATGGCGCAGAGAAGGACTGAATACTGCATTAAACAAAGAGGCAGTACTACAGTAACACTGTATGAAGTTCATGACAGCAACAGTACTAAAGTTAAAGCTGTGTGTGTGTGTGTGTGTGTGTGTCTGTGTATTTGTGGACACAGAGTTCAGCTTCAGTGCAGACAGGGCTGACCAAGAAAACACACACACACATGCGCACATCCACACGCACACACACACTCTAATGAGCTCTCATTCCTCAGACTGACGAAGCGAGTCATCATCATCATCATCTTCATCACATGACCTCCTGAGGCTCTGATCACATGGCCGTCTTTTAGCATCTGGCTAACTTTGTAAACAGAGGAGGCTCACTGAGCAGAGAGCTGACAGAAACACACTGATACATCCCATAACAACTGCGTGGTAACCATGGTAACCACAATACGGCCAATGAAATTGATTTAACTCGCCAATTTAATCCTACACTCAGAGAACATCCTAATGTCTTTAATGTGAGATACAAAGTGATGGGTCTGCAGGATGAGCTGAGTGTACAGGTGTCAGTCTCTAAGAGGTGCCTGTAGCTCACCTGGATTATCACACCTGCTTTCTAATCAACAAGAGCACAGAGAAGGGCAGAGTTAGTGCTCCGTCTGCTGAGACTCAGACTCTCAGTAGGTCAGTCTAAGATGACGGATCAGCTTGAGGACCCTCTGTTATCGTATCAGCCCTCAGAGAGAAGTCAGATTAATCTGATGTCAGTTTGTTTACAGTTAGAGGTCAGGAGAGGTCAAAGATAAGAAGTCTGGAAACTACCACAGAAAAATTCCCCAAACTGAGGATGAAACATGGAGTTGGCTCTGCAGAGAACATGACAGAATCATTAAATCATGTTAAAGCTGCACTTTTATGTTAATTATTGGTGTCACAGTCAGGATGATATATAGTGAGCAGGTTGTTTTAGCTCAGGCTGAGCTCACAGATCACCACAGTCCATATTTCAGGGTTAAAGCAGTCAAAGCGTCTGAATCTGCCTCCATGTTTCCTCTGACAGAAATATCTGACAGCTCCTTCAGCAGCTGTTATCACTCTCCGCTGCAAACACAAACCAGTTTAACCATCACAACTAGACCAGATTAACAACCTGACAGGACCTGAGAGCGTGTGTGTGAGTGTATGTGTGTCCGTCTGTCAGACACTGGATCCTTAGATGATTAATGGCTCAAATATTTAGATCAGCAGCACCAGGACACACTTTAAATACCTCACACACACATACTAACAGGGAGCTCTTGATTTGATTGGCCGGTCCAGCTGTCAGTCATCCTGCAGTAAAATAAAACCAAGAGCAGAGGGCCATTGATCCCCTCCTCATCTAAAAATACTGAAACAATGAGACAGAAGGAGCCCAGAGTCTGCAGACAGAAGGAGACAGACAGACCAAACCCCATTTAGAAATATGACGTTTTAACACTCAGACAGTTCATACAGCGTTTACACTTATACCAATTTGTATGATATTATTTAATCAATATATGGATTTTAAAAGCTAATTTTTTATTTCAGATAACGGAAACTTTTAAATACAATTGGTGCTAGATTAATGCTCTGAATGACATGAATCTGGGATGGCTAAATGCTGCTGCTGTACTTTTAGGCATGCCTTACAAATCGTACATTTTTAAAATGAAGTTTGGTTCTATTTTTATCCTCCAAATTGACCCAAATATGAGGCAACTATGAGGTTTGTAACATACTATAATGTTTTCAATATCCTAAAATAAAACTTTCACAGTGAAGTGGAAAAATATGCACTTGTATGAAAATGAAGCCCTGAGTTGATTTGGATAAAACCATTCAAAACAGTTCTATCTGTTGTCTTACTATACTAAATGGAGAGTAAATGGTCTTAACAGATCTAATTATCACAAGTACAGCCTCTGATTGGTCAACAGGTGGAAACAAATAAGCATAGTGAGCCAACCAAAGAAATGAAACTACTTCCCTAAATCTGATGCTTCAATCATCTCAGATTATTTTCGTGTCTGAGAGATTGGATCTGGAGCATCTCTAAAATACTCAGATTATCTCTGTGGGAAGAAAAACTCCTAATGTCACTCAAAGACATTCAAAGTTTATCAAATCTGCCGGTCTCACAAAGTAAGTGGGTGTTACAGTAAGTTTTTCTACTTTTAGAGCTGATGTCCTTAACATTACAGTATTTCACATACAGAGGCAGCCTCACACCTACAAGGGTTCAACTCAATTTTTTGAGGAAAAAAAAAATCAGTACTATTTTTGGTTCAACTCGGTATCTGTGCAGAACTTCATCTCAAACACAAACTACAAACTGAACTTTTTCAGTTTTTGATTTGTAGTTGGGTCAGATCTGCACACCCCCCACCTGTAGAGCAAGTCAACTCACCTGTGCCTCCTTATGTATGGCCTCCAGAGTAGAGATGAACATCCTGGTCTCCTCCATCAATAGCTCCTCTGTCGGCCTCCTGCACCTCACATCTGCCGCTGGCTGCTGCGGTCCGGACCGGAGCCTGTTCCGGGCCACCATCAGGGTCTGATAGAAGAGACACACCGCCACCCCGAGCAGCAGCAGCGGTCCAGAGCGGGACCGGCGGCGGAGCAGAGCCCCGGCCTCCCGCAGGAGAGCCACCAGGAGGCACCGCATGAGGAGGAGGAGGAGCAGCTTCACTTTACATCACCTTTACTCCTCTTCTTCATCCTCTCCTCTTTGATTTCTCCTGGTCTAAGTTTCGGGTTTCCTCCTCACATTCATGCAAAACATAAAGACTATGATAACATGTGTTTATGCCGAATTCCCCTTAGGATCAGTGACAGTTCGTGTGAGTAAAACTCATCTCATAAATCCACAAAACGTTGGTTTAGAAACCAACATAAAATTTTCTGTAAAGTTTGGCGACATGAACATCCCCAGCAAAATTTCTGAATGAAACCACGTGACTTCTAGAATAGTTTACTCTTGTGATTGGTTAATGAACCTGCATTAATTCGCAACCTAATTTGATGTAATCTTTCTCCGATTCCTGATCTGACGCTCGACGCGTGGAGAACAGACGGATGAGACGCGAAGAGGCGACGCGCGGAGAAGACGCGAACTTCGCTTCTTATCAGCCGAACTGCATCCTCTGTGAGATCATGCTTGTTCAATCACTGTGCAAATTAAGCTTCAACATTTCTTCTTCTTCTTGACTCTTCCAGGTTTTCCTCTTGGTCGGTCTGAATCCAGAGTGCGCCACGGCTCCGCGTAACTCCTCCGTCCCTGTCAGCGGATGAACCTCAAACTCGCGTAACGGGACCGTCAAGAAGAATCCGCCAGCGTGGGAATAAAATCCGAGCAGATCCGTCAAACTGAGCTGAAACCACTTTGGAACTTCAGATTTGAAATGAAAGTGTCTGAAGTTTGGAGCTCTGGAGAGAGAGTGAGGAGAGAGAAAAACAACAGAGCGGTCGAGCAGTCAGACAGAGACCATCTGGAACCAGTTAAACAGCAGGAGGAGAAAGAAGCTGCAGTAAAGTTACAGCCCGTCCTACTCAGCCTGGACCTGGACCCGGACTAAGATCTGGTCCCCGAGTAAGACTTGGACCCATCTACTCCTCTCTCTCTTTACTTTCCCTCCCAGATTCAGAGAAAAAGAGACTTTTCTTCAGTTTTCAGCTGGAGTTTGGTCTGAACAATCTGCTGCTGCTCTGTAGGAGGTCAGCACCTCCTCACCCTCCTCCCCCCTCTCCACCCGCCCTCCTGCTGAAACACTCTGAAGGCTGCTGAAACACTCTGAAGGCTGAGTTATTTCTGGAACACACACACACACACAGTATATATATACAGGTGTGTGTGTGTGTGTGTGTGTGTGTGTGTGTGCAGAGCAGAATGAAACCACGTGGCTCACATTTTTGAACCTGTTGTTCAGTCTTCAGGTGTTTGAACCCTCACATCCTGCAGGAACAATAAACCAGCTCTGAGCTCATTTTGTTAAAACACCCGGTTGGTTAAAACAATGTTCAGTTTAATGTTCTCATAGTGGAACAGGTCAGATCACCCACTGTGTGTTTGGAGTGTTTCAGTGGAATTAATCATTGTGACTTTTCTGTGAACATCTGATCTGCTCTGTAATGTGTAGAGGTGGAGGAGACTCTTCACATGCAGCTACATGACATCATTTATAACAGCAACGATAAATGAATTTATGAACTGATCCTGTTCAGTTTTTTATTCCAGTTACATAAACAGCATCACCTACAGCTGTCAAAATAAAGTAATGACTACATGAAGACTACAGGTGGGTGTGAAAAAACAACAGTAATAGTAACAACAGTAATAACCACCAAAAACTCAGTTTATGCCACGTGAAGATTATTTATGATGGTGTGGAGCCCCCTGGTGGCTGAACTCTGGAATGCTGGGTCCTGGGTTCTAAAATGCAGTTTTGGATTGCGGAGTTCTAGAATGTTGGGTGTCAGAATTCTTGGTTGTAAAATCTAAAGTTCAAGGATGTGGGGTTCTAGAATGCTTGCCTCATGAACGCTGGATTCAGGAAAATCTCAGTTCTAGATTTCTAAATTCCGGACCACTTTTTTGTAGAATGAAGAGTTCTCAATTGCTGTGCTCAAGGATGTTCTGTTCTGGGATCCTGGGTTCTAGAATGCCGGGGTCTAGAGTTCTTGGTTCTGGAATGCTAGGTTCTAGAGGGCTGGATTCCTAAATGCTGGATTCTGGAATACTAAATTTCAGAATTCTGGGCTTTAGAATGCTGAGTTCCAGAATGCAAGGTTCCAGAGTTCTTGGTTCTGGAATGCTAGGTTCTAGAAGGCTGGATTCCTAAATGCTGGATTCTGGAGTACTGAATTTCAGAATTCTGGGCTTTTGAATGCTAGGTTCCAGAGTTCTTGGTCCCGGAAAGCTGGATTCCTAAATGCTGGGTTTGGAATTACTGAAATTCAGAATTCTGGACTCTAGAATGCTGGGTTCTGGAGTGCTTTATTGTAAATTCTGGGTTCTGGGACAATATATATATATATATTTTTTTTTTAATGTGTGCGTGTGTAAAAACTCTTCTCTCGCCCACCCTGGGCGGTATTGGGTTTCTTCAAGCTTGGGTCCTCTACCAAAGGCCCAGGTGCTTGAGGGTCCTGTGCAGTATCCTTGCTGTTCCTAGGACTGCACTCTTCTGAAGTGAGATGTCTGATGTTTCCCCAGGGATCTGTTGGAGCCACTTCTCCAGTGTGGGGGTTACTGCCCTGAGTGCCCCAATGACCACAGGCACCACTGTTGCCTTCACCTTCCAGGCTTTCTCTGGCTCCTCTTTGAGCCCTTGGTGCTTCTCTAGTTTCTCGTGTTCCTTCTTTCTGATGTTGGTATCACTTGGGATGGCCATTACCATTTTGTCAGTCTGTATCTTGAAGTCCCACAGGACCGGTCATTCTCCAGCACCTTGGGAGGGGCTTCCCATTTTGACGTTGGGGTTTCCAGTCCAGATTCTGCACAGATGTTCCTGTGTACACTATAGCGGCTACTTGGTTATGGCGTTCCATGTATGCTTTTCCTGCCACCTTCTTACATCCTGCTGTTAGGTGTTGGACTGTTTCAGGGCTCTCTTTGCACAGCCTCAGCTGGGATCTTGCCTGGTATGGTAGATCTGGGCCTCTATTGCTCTGGTGCTCAAGGCCTGTTCTTGTGCCGCCATGATGAGTGCCTCTGTGCCGTCCTTCAGTCCAGCCCTCTCCATCCATTGGTAGGATTTGCTCATATCAGCCACTTCAGCTATCTGTCCGTGGTACATCCCACACAGGGGTGTAAAAATATATATATGTATTTATTTATATAGATCTTTTTTTTTTAATTTGAGAACCGGTATCATTTCCTTAAAATCAAAAATACATCACTTTGAAGTGCAAATTTTCAGTTCAAAATGTTGTTTCATTTGTTTCACTTTAAGTTAGCCTTTTTTCTGAAGACTATCACCTCTGTAGATGAGTACCTCTGAATACCTCTGTATCATTTAATAAACCATACTGACATTATTGTAAAATTTTAGTTATAGCAGCTTTTGACAATTAGAATTATCAGTCGTTCACTGATGACCTCCAATGTTTTTTAAATTAAGTTTCATAATGGAAAAAAAAGTTTCACACGTCTATTTTTGTAGAACAGTGAGAACTTTTAACTCCATTTGAGATGTCAGGTTCAAAGTTTGTTCTACTTTTCACCTCAAACATCTAAATCTGCAGTTTGAAGATCCAGTCCCTCGTTCCATTCATCCATTCTCACCGCAGAGTCAAAATGGAGAACAGTCAGCAGATACCAAAAAATCTTCATCACTTTATTGGACTTTTCATGTTTAAACCACCAGGAAACAAACACACACATTTACACAAACACACAGTTACACACTCAGATGCTTCCACAAACACACACACTGACAAACACACTCCGTCACGTTTCTGTCGTTCACTCTGAAAACTTTTTTGAGGTCAGAGGAGAAAAATAATCTCCATCAGGTTCAGATGAAGTTTGAGTCCATCAGGCTCCTGTAGTTGTAGTCCAACAGGTCGTAATTTTTTTTTTATTCCAGCATGGCCGGGGAGCACAGCCTCATGGGAAAAACTGACTGCTCTCTGAGATGAATGACAAAATCTTTAGCTTGATTTTCTCTGTCAGATGACTCAGACTCTGCTCGTCTGTCTGACTGCAGGTAAACACTCTCCTCTTCCTTCTGCTGCTGCTGAAGTCTGACTATATTTAAACCACCTGACCCCCACAGCTTGACCCCTGACCTCTGACCTGTCCAGGTGAGCTGTGTGTGAGGTTGTTTTCAGTCAGCTGACATGGACTGAAGTTTCACTGCTCCTCATTAAAGTAAAAATACTTCTCTTTTAACTCTGCCTTCTCTGCTTTTAACCGTCTGTTCAGATTCAGATCATTGTTAGACTCTGACCCTGCTCGCTTAGATCTCTCATAATCTGGATTATTTTGAGGTTTAATTAAGAGTATGATATTTTTATTTGAATTTCTGTGATCTGTAAAGTTCTCATAAGAGATCCAGACACACAACAAAAGTTTAATGTGGATCAAAATAATCTGGATTTAGAAATTCATTTTTTCTATTCTGCATCGTAAAGTCAGGTTTTCCTTTTGTTCTAATGTTTGTCTGATCCAAGATTAAACTTCAACTCTGGTCCTGAGTTTATGTTGAGATATCAGTCTCATCAGGATAAAGTCAGGATTATTAGATAAAGTTACAACATTCAGACTGAGCTCATATTTCAGAGTTGAAACTTTTACATCCTGAGATCATAATTCCAGATTATAAACTCAAGAGTTCAGATTTTTTTCTCTTTCTTTCTGTTGGTTTGAGTGTTAGCAGTCTATTGATCTCTGACCTCTGCAGGGGTTGGCTGTTGTGTTCTGTTAGAGTCCAAAAGGGCCGAAACACAGACAGACAGACGGGCAGGTAGGCTGGTGGGTGGAGTCTATTTGTGTCGGCTGCCCCTCCTCTTCATGGCGGCCGTACACTGAGGACAGAACCACTTCCCTTTAGGAGCCTCAGTCAGCCCCACACAGCCGTAATGAAACCACTCGATCGGACACTGATGGAGGGGGAGACAGAGATTTAGATTACTGATCATAAACAACAACAAATACAACAATATCAATACTTGTAATAATCAGACATGTTACTGAGACAGACATGTTTGAGCACACAGTACCACTCAACACCTGCTCCTCTGTCACTACTATCACAACACATTTCATTTATAACTTTAGTTATTTATAAAAATAACAATCACATTTACAGTTCTCATAATAATGCAGCCTAAACTTTACCACTAGGTCATCTTCATCATAAACACAGTGATTAATAAATATGATACTCACATCTGTGTTATCACAGCCCACCATCTCTCCATAGGACACCTGAAAATAGGAAATTAATAACGATGTGATCAGCAAAGTAAGCAGAGAGCAGAAATATCACATTTTAACAACACATAACTTACTTTCCCTGAATTAAACTGCAGGTGAGCTTCATTTATTTCTAAATCAGACTTTTTGACAGCAAAACAAAGAGCTAAAGAAACTTTCAGAGTGACTGACTGAGAACTGAAACATGCCAAAACACACCCAACTGTCTTTGTACTTTTACCGTAAAAACATGGCTGATCTGAAGCTGAACCAGTGGACTGTACTATTACCTGATTCGCAGACGCCTCACCTGGTTACAGATGCAGTATCGCGGCTCATTGGGGTCATAGGTCCAGTCCACCTGGCTGTTGGCCTCAGCCTCTGGCAGCGCTGAGGCCTGCTGGGAAAGCTCCTGAGCCAGGGCTGAGGAGGAGGAGCAGGAGGAAAGAGAGGAAGAGGAGGAGGACGAGGAGGACTGATGGTTTGAAGATTTGATGCTGCTTCTAGAAGAGACAGAGAGAGAGAGAGAGAGAGAGAGAGAGAGAGAGAGAGAGAGAGAGAGATTTTCTTACAGAGTACAATCAGGGATGAGCGTTTTTGATGTTGTCTCTGTATCTGTCAGAGTTGTATCCTCAGTTTTTGTTCAAAGTGTTTCTGTCATACAGGTGTAAATGCAACACACACTCAGGAGAATGTGAACTAAGATACAAATACTTTCAGGTGGACCAGGTGACCATCTGAGTGTCTTACTTGGACTTGCGTCCCCGTGAGTCAGTGGCAGTGGTGGGGGTGAGGGTCTGTGTGAGGGTGGAGGCGAGGGCGGAGGAGGAGTATCCAGAGTTTTCTCTTGACAGACTGAACTCTCGGCCCAACTGGAAGTCGTTGTTCTTGATCGCCTCGTAGCTCGCTTTGAGACTCGACGTCCTGCGGCCCTCCTTCATCTAAACACATGCAGACACACACATGTTAACACACAATAAACACATTTCAGTCTATAAAGACTTCTGCACATCAAAGACACAAATAATTCATGTCTGCAAAAATGATCCCACTTAACTCCAACAGCGTAACACTAAATGGGAAAATATTTCATTTAATGCAAAGGTCAATACCTTTTTAAAAAATATTTTGCAAAAAAAAAATATTTGAATTAAATTAAAAACCTTTTCCATGAAATGTAAAAACATATCACATAACTTTCACAAAGTTGAAGAAATAAATTTTTTAAAAGGATGAATAAAGAAACACAAAAATATTTGCAAAAAAATACAGAGTAAAAAAACAATTTCAAACCTAAAACAAAAACATTTTCGAAGATAAGTCCCAAAAATATTTGAGGAAAGTTTTTGTGTTTGGGAAATATCATAACCCTTTTTAAGTTTTTTCTTTTTAAAGTTCGTTCATGTTTGCTAAAATATTGTTGTGTTTAAAATTTTTTTTTTTGCTTGAACTGAAATATTTTTGCAATGAAAAAAGTTGTCCTTGTCCTTGAAGACCACTGTAGTTTGAGAATGATGCTCATATTGTAATATTAATTGCTTTGTGTTGGGCCAAAGTAGCCTCTGTGAAGAGTGCATAAAAAGTGTGAGTGTGTTTCTGACCTGTGCAGTGGCCTGCACAGCCTGAGCAGCAGCCATGGTGATGGCGCCGGCACCAGCCCCAGGCCCCGCTGGCAGTGAGCTGAGGTTGTATGAGGCCAGAGGCTGAGAGGAGTTCACGCTGTACACGCTGTTGGTGGACGAGGACGTGCTGTTGGTACGGCAGCCTGCAGCAGACACGGTGTCAGCAGGTATATACACACGCAGAGGATGTAAAGGTTTATTTGTATGTTTGTGTTGGTTACCCGGCGTGTTCTCCTTGGAGGCGTCTGAGGTGAGCGTGGACAGCAGAGCTTCAGATTTAAACTTCTTCTCTGGGACGTGCTCTGTGGTGTGGTGAGTCGGAGCGTTGTACTTTCTCTCTGGGAACACACACAAACACAACAAACCTGTTCAAACACACTTTAATATAATCACTCTAATATTAAACTAAACACAACAGGAAGTCTCACGTCATATAAACAAATCTCCGCTGGTGTGTGCTAGTACTTACTCTCTGCAGTGGTGTGAGAGTGGACGTGGTGGTTGTTGACTGGCTGAGATGGACTGTCCATCTCTAAAGACCCTGAAGAAGAGAAAGAGGACAGGATGTTCAACACATTCGGCTCTCTGTTATTCATAAAGCAGAACTTAAGTGAAGATAAGAAGGACTTTTAATGATCATGGTTCAGGGTTTTAGTGTCAGAGTGAGGATCTTACGTCTCTCTAGGATCTCTGTGATGCCAGCGTTGTCGGCCTCCAGCTCCATTTTAAACTTGGCGAGCTCCTGGTCCAGTTTACGCAGGTGACGGTCCACCTGGAAGACGAGGGGGGTTTAAAATAAGATGAAATAAAGATCATTTATTCACTCAGTTCTTTGAGGATGTCCCACTCATCTTTAGGAGTTTCATCCTGTTAGTTCAGCACAGTCATTTTAACACTCAAAACATGATCATTGAGCCTCTTTCACTCCAAGAGTTTGAGCGACATTATTATTTGGAGGTAAACTGGCAAAAATCATCACTCAAACCCAGAGTGTTTCCTGCTGAACCATCACAGAGAGGGAATCATCCTCTCAAACTCTATTTTTGTGTTTGATTGATGGTGATTTAGCAAAAGTAGAGGAAAATAAAGTGTAATTTCTGTTGAGAAGGCGAGTCCCTCTCTGCTGTTTCTCTGTCTCAGACTGCCCCCTAGTGGACAATCAGCAGAATAACAGACAAACATCAAGTTTTGACTAGAGCTTTTTAAAAAGTACACCTGTACTCACTCACTGTTCATTAACTCAGAGTCTGTTCTGTCTGGTTACTCACATTTATCTCCATTATTTTCTGTAAGAACAACAGCTACTTAAATCACTAATGCCTGATTAATCGAACTAAAAAGAGATGTTTATAACACCTGATATCACTGCAGGACTGAACAAACCTTACAACTAAGCACATCAATATTCCATCTGAAACATTATGATACAAGAACACAGTTTGACTCACCAGGTCATAGATCTGATTGGCCAGCTGAACTTTCTCATCAGCATCCTCTAGCGCTTTGTAATAATCCTGAAACACACAGAGGCGTTTACTGTAGGGTACAGGTGGGTTATGTCAGAACAGGTTTGAACAACACAATCTCAGGAATAAACTGCGTCCTGTCTTACACAGCGCCTATCAGTGAACTGTTACCTCTATAGTCATGCTAATCTTGAATGACAGGTGCTCCTACCTTTTTGATGACCTCCATCTGCTCCTCCCTCCACTCTGGTTTGTTTTTCTTTGCGTTGACAAAGAACTCGATCACTTTCTGCTCCAGCTGATCTGTGGCGTCTAAAGGGGACAAAAACACGCTCAGCAATCTACAATAACAAACAAAATGTCCTCGCACTTAAATTAACTCCAAACAGTAGAATAAAATAGATTAAAAAAAACTGAGTGCAGCTCCGTCTAATGATTGAAGATCCTCTGAGGTGACGAACCAGAGCATGTAGTTGACGCGTATTTCCATAATAAAACACCATAGTCGTCGATCTTTCCTTTCTTGAATTTACTTGGAGGTTTACTTTGCAAACAAAACAATACTTTTCACAAATAATAATGATGAAATAAGGACCCTATGTAAACACAGTCAAAAACTATTGTGCTCTCAAAGACCCACAGCTACTGCATAGGAGAGCTGCAGTAGTAATCGGCTTCAATTAAACTTTAAAGTCAAACTATACAACTGTTCAGTCTCTCAGAATTCTAATCAGGATAAATAACAAACATTATCAATTATCTGTCAAATTATCAGTAGTACAAAAATGGCTCTAACAAAAACAAAAAGAGTTGTTGAATAATTTATACACACAGACAAAAGGGTTTTTATCCCAGTCAAATTTAAATCTGCATTAAGAGATTTTGTGCTTTCAGGTGTTGATTTAGACACTGGCTGTAACTGATGAAATCATGCTGCGTAAACACTGTGCTTATAATTTGTCCACACACAGATAAGTGCCACCCAGTTTTAAATATTTCGCCAGAATAGCCTCGCCTAATCTCTACACCTGTACAGGTGGAAAGACCTGTAAAGAGTTTGAAAGGATGTGGATTTATTTGTAAGACTACATTGTCTGACATGAGTTTGACAGTACGTTTTATCATTGATTCTTGGGCTCTATGGAGTAACTGCGCTTGAACAGCTGAGCTATCTGATGACCACACAGGTGAGCGAATCAGCCAAAGGGGCTGAAAACTTCTTTTGGAGTCATTTACTTTCTTCAGTATTAACATACACTAAAACAAAATACAATTTCTCACTCGTGCAAACAATAGTGCACATACAGAACACACAATCTTAGTCGCCTTCAACTTGTGTAAAATGCTGCTGCCCGTCTTTTAACTAACACTAACAGATGTGAGCACATCACTCCTGTCCTTAGCTCCCTTCATTGGCTTCCCGTCTCTTTTAGGATCAATTTTAAACTTTTAATGTTTGTTCTTAAAGCTCTTAACGGCCTCGCCCCCATCTATTTAACTGAGCTTTTAATCGTTCGGGAGCCGGGTAGAGCTCTGAGGTCGTCAAACCAACTTCTACGGAGGTGTCCAGGTCAAAAGAAAAGCACTGGGGTGACCGAGCCTTTTCAGTGGCTGGTCCCAGGCTCTGGAATAAACTCCTAACCCAAATGAGACTTATTTCTGACCTGGGCCTTTTAAAATCTGGATTGAAAACACTTACGCTGCCTTTTAATTCCCAGTAGCGTAGTGACACTTTATTTTATTCTTCTTCTTCTTTTATTGCTTTAAATGTTTTTATTTATTCATTTTTATTGTCTATTGTGAAGCACTTTGGTTCACTGAAAGGGTTGCTGTAAATGGCTGTTTAAATAAAGAACATTTACATTTACAATTACTAAAATATTTTAAACACACAACTATTAAAAACAATATCTAAACGTAGTATATCTAAGCACATTGAAAAGAGGGTGGAAGAGAAATTAAATTATGCAAATTATCATTAATGTTCAAAATCTTGCACTAAAATTTATTTATTCTGTTATTTTGCTTAAAATGCTGCTCTATTTGTTGTATGAAGAGACTTGGATAAATATGATCATGTAAATAAAACATGACTGGATATTACAGTCTGTTATGCATTTCAACAAAGAGATAATAATTCACTGGGATCTCGTAGAAGTGGTTGTTTTGAAGAGCAGGTGTTCTGTAAATAACAGCTTTAATACAGCTCCTTTAGTTTGTGGTTTTTAATTATCTTCTCGATCTCATCACAAAGAGCAAAACTGCAAATCTGTTTCATTAAAGTATAACCGATCTGGTCCCCGTGAATTAACACATATCAAACCGCTGCTCTCGGTGTGGTAACCCGGTGTGTTAGCCGCCGTTAGCCGGCTCTGCTGCTGTACCTACTCTGAACCTGCAGGTCCATCTCTCTCATTTCCGTAAACCTGTCGCGGAGATCCATGGGAAGCTGCTCGATCACTGCCGGGAGAAGAAAAAATGGAAAAAACCGTTACCCTGTTAGCACGGCTAGGCTAACGGCCGGAGCGACACGGCCGGGGAAATAACACACATTTACAGCACAAAACAAGGCACCGAAGCCTGTAATGGTTCTTTTAAGTCTGATACTCACTCTCGAGATAATCCTCAAGGTACAACATGGTTGCAGTTTCGACGTTTTTAGCGTTTTATATGACAATTTTCTTCTTTCAATATGGCGCCGCCAGCCTCCGTCTCTCTCAGAAAAAAATAGCCAGAAAAATTGAGGTCAGAGATGGTGACGCAAATGGCTGCCTGTGCTCTGATTGGTGGAGAACTCCGCGGGCGTTGATTTGTGTCCTCTGAACAGATGCATTTTGGGATACGTAGTTTATACAAACTGTTCGTTTATTAGGCTGTGTGTCTGTATGTGTGAAAGGAGGTTTGTAGATAAAGTTCAGTTGAGTTAAACAATATTTTAGGATACAAAATTGCTTTTCGATTTCAGTTCAAAGTTTATTTGTTATTGGTCATAAACACAAGTAACCTTAGTTTTTCTGATAGTTATGTGACAAATTGAACTTTGTGCGACACAAAAGCAAAAAGACCATCAGCATAAGGATTAGTTTTCTCTTCCTTTTTTCCCAACATTTTCCACAGAAAAGATGATCAATAAATGACAAATTTGGCTTTAGAATAAAATGGGAAGGGAGTTTTTTTTTGTCATTGATTTTGGCGCCCCCTATGGTGAAATTAATCGCTACAAATCTCATCTTGGACATGTGCAATTGGTGCCTGTTAACACGAAATTTTATACATGATGTTTTATTACAGAAACATTCATCACTCATTACGAGCTTTTGCTTTGAGTCATGGGCATAGACTGTATAAAGAATGGACAGCGTCTACCTCCTCGCTGGGTGAAGCCACTCCAAGAACAGCACCCTCTGTTGATGGGCTGCAGTATAGGTCATAAATCCCACCTCCACCAGCAAAGCTTATGGGGCTGTGGACAAACTTTAGAAATTTATTACACAGAACACACATTTTTTTCCCTGCTGCTTGCGATGTTACCTGATACATGACACCTGATACAGCCTATGGGCATACAAAGATTGCATAGCTCACCCGAGGGGATACACTGTTTGAGCCGAGCCTCATCACAGAGACTTTCGGCGACTCTCCCGCCAAATGTGTATAATGCTACTGCGCAATATTAGTTTCAGGAAATTGAGAAAAATGCAGAATTACCGAGAGCTTTTTGGCTTCAAATCCGTATACTGGCGGAGGGCGGAACCAAGTTGTTCATAGTATGTACAGTCTATTGGTACCTTCGAGTTACCTCGGATGTCAGATGTCCGAGATGAAAATGACGTCACATTCAAGTTACCAGCGTTTCCGTTACCAAGTTGAAAAAAAAGCAAAATCGGAGGCAGAAACAAGATGGCTACATCTACGAAAGTTATTTTAGTGCTTGCCTTATACTCGGACAAGGTAAGCACTTAAATAACTTCCATTGATGTAGCCACCTCATTTCAGGCCTCCGATTTAGCTTTTTTCTGACTTGGTAACAGAAACATTGGTAACTTGGATGTGGCCTCGTGAGCCGAATGTCATTGCAGCGATTCTCGGCGACTCTCCTGCCGAATGCATACAATGCTACTGCACAATGTTGGGTTCAAGAAATGGAGAAAAAAACGCAGAATTACCCAGAGCTTTTTGGCTTAAAATCCTTAAACTTGCAGAAGGCGGAACTTCAGTCTATGGTCATGGGCAGTCACTCAGACTGACACCTGCCCCCTGCTGCTGGCTTCAGGCATTAAAAATAACTATTAAGGAAAAGCTATCTTCTTGTTCATGGTCTTAGTTAATTATTGGGTCAAAAAGATTTTTTTTTAAACAGTAAAAAAAAACACACAAGAGCTTTAATTTGAAATTGTATTAAAAGTACTAAAACAATTTTAATATGAAGAGTAAAAGCCTAAAATTCTGTCAAAAAGACAGTTCAGTTTTACAGTTTGAATTTCTCTTTTTTTGATTTTTGAAACTTGACGAAAAATTAGAAAATGAAATGAATAGATTATTCTTTAAAAATGTCATATTATAGTTCATTCCTTGAAAAAGATTAAATTCACGTGTGTGTGTGTGTGTGTGTGTGTGTGTGTGTGTGTGTGTGTGTGTGTGTGTGTGTGTGTGTGTGTGTATCCTCCTCCTCCTCCATACTACATTACTGTCAGCCTGTTGGCCCGCTGACCTCGCGGCTCTGCGGCTGGAGGCGGACACATTCCTCTGTCCTCCCCCAGGAGAGGGAATGGGAGGGGAGGGGAGGTGGGAGAGAGAGCTGCTGCTGCTGCTGTGCGCATTTAATTATTGAGGAAGACGAGCAAGAAGCGGCAGGACAGCCGGACTGCGCACCGCCCCCCTGCAGCAGCAGCTTCGGGTTCAGAGAGCTGCAGAGACTGTCCGGACTGAAGTTTGAACCAGATGAGGAAACTTAACGTCTCAAACTGAGTCTGAAGTGAGCATTTGTGGATTTAACCGGGACTATTGGATGTTTGTGAAGTCTGTGTTTGTGTTTTTCTCCTTTTAAGCTCGGGTTTGGAGTTTCTGAACACATCCATAACGTTATAAGATCGTTCCTCTTCGTGGAAACTTTCTCAAACTGCTCCTGGCTGTCCGTATTTTCGGCGCGTCCCCGCTAACTGAGTGATGATTGCTTTGGAAATGTCACTCCATCATCCCGGCGGGGCTGGGGGAAAGTAAGAAACCACCTGTTGTGAAAGTTTCCTGGAGCCACTCACGGATAAACCCGACCCAAGCCGAGACAGAGAGGCGCGTGCAGGGAGCGGAATGCGGCCCTTATGCACGGCGCAGACGCAGATCCTGGAAAGATGAGCGATAATCTCTGCAGAAATCTCCACCGGCTCCGTGCACCGTGTTTGCTGTGAGCATGTTGCCATGGTGACCCGGGCTCAGGTGAGCTCCGGTTGGGATGGCTCGTGAGGACGCGGTGAGGTGTCTGCGCTGTCTGCTGTACGCACTCAACCTGCTGTTCTGGGTGAGACGATCGACGCTCACACCGAAATACACATAGATTAATCGATCACACACCATTAGTAACACACAGAGCCACCTATAGATTTCAATCTAAAGGACCAGGTAGGGGCTCATGTGAATTTAAACAACTCCTGAGCACCTTAAACAACATCAGCCAGAGGTGATGATCTGAGCAGAGACACATGTTGTCGTTAAAACAAGAACTGAACTAAATGCATGAAAATTTTCCATTAAATATTTTAACACAAAGCTGTTTTCTTTTGTGCGAAACAACCAAACGAGTAAAAAGTTGTGTAATGCTAAAAAACAGTTGGAGTAACATCTCCAAACTAATGAGGTTCGTATTCAGAGAAATGTTCCTGAGCTGCAGGCCCTCAGGCTGCACTGCTTCAAAAACAGACAGGACTCTGGAGTGGAAATCAATGCACGGGCTCAAAAACACTTCCAAGAACCATTCAGTGAGTTTACGTGCACTTAAAAAATCAATTCATCTCAATAGTCCAACGAAAACTGGACTTTAAAAGGGGGATTTGACACAGTAGCAGAGGTATACGTGCTTATGTCAATAATTCAGTTTACGCCCAGTGCATATAAACAGGGACAAGGACAGTAGTCCGGTTGAATTGCCTAATCGAGCTATGGTCATAGTTTGACTTAACTCTGCAAGTAAACATACTGATTGTCTGTGAACACAGGTTAAAACTGAACCATGCACAGAGCAAAACATCATGTAATCTAATCTTATCTAATCTAATATGAGTCTTAACACGATCACAATCTGAGGGCTGATTTGGTCATTGGAGATAAAACTGCAGGTTTAATGAGGAGATGACAAACATGTCCAGTTGTAAACAAGTGAAAGCAACTTTATTTTAACCAGAGGCCCTGCACTTATTAACCTCCCTACCCACACACACACACACACACACACACACACACACACACACACACACACACACACACACATGTTTACAGTAACATAGTTTAGAGCTGCAGGCAAAGTAGGGCAGTATGTGTGTGAATATCTGAGTGTGTGTGTGAGCGTGTTTCACATTCTGAGATGTTATTTGTAGGCAGCAGAAACTGATCCCTGTGTGTGTGTGTCTGTGTGTGTAGCTGATGTCAGTGTGTGTGTTAGGCGTAGCAGCGTGGATCAGAGACTCCCTGAACACCGTGCTGACCCTGACAGCCCACACCAGGTGAGTCCACCCCAGACTGAGTTCAGGTAGTAGTTGAACTAAAGGAGTCCTAATCATGTGGGTCCTCTCAATCTGATGTTATTAACCAGGTTGTTCTGTGACATACCTCTGTGATTGTGGTGCTTGCATTGGGAAGAGCGGAGACAGGCAGCTGACCAATCACAGCATGAGGAGGCTGTGATGTCAGAATGATTTATTATCGGCTTATTGTGCTTTAAAGAATTTGCATTTTTAGATGTTTTTGATGGTACAAACTTGACAAATGGAGGATCAGACTCATCATGTATCATTGATTTGTCATGATTATAGTTTCCTAATAGTGACTAACTGATTAACTAATTAAATGATTAAGCTGCACTGGTAAAATCAACTGTCTTTCTTTAGACTGATCATGTTTTCCTGTGTTTTGAAGGTTGGAGGAGGCAGCCGTCCTCACCTACTCTCCGGCGGTTCATCCTGTCTTCATTGCCGTGTGCTGCCTCCTCTTTATCGTGGCGATGGTGGGTTACTGCGGCACGCTGAGGTGTGACCTGCTGCTGCTGTCCTGGGTATGACTGCATCATTCATACCTGAATAAAACCACAATGAATAAGTTCATCATCTTAAACTGTTATTCTGTTATTCTGTTTCATGTAAAGCTGGTGCTGTACACTGGAACACAAAATTCTGATTCAACCAGGACAACTTTAGTCAAAGAGGACTATTATTTTAGACTCTTTTTGTTTCATGTGTATATATTAAAGCTGTGGATTAACAAGAAAAGTGGCAGTGTTCCTCTACTCTTAAAACCTGCTCAGTTCACAATATTTTTTATCTAAAATTGAATTCTTAAGTTGCAGCTACACTGTGTCGTAGTGTTTTTTAAAGGACATTTTCACTTTACCTCTCCGAAACATTTTCTTTTTATTTGACGCCCTGAAATAAACTGATAAATACACCATTTAGTTTGTTTTAGATGTTTTGTTAGTCAGTCAGATGGAGTTACCTGTCCGGATGAACATTCAGATTAGGTGAGCGTGTTGCTATTACAGGTGTGTTTCTGTATAAACACTCAGCTTCAGTCCACCTGCTGTTCGCCCTCATTAAACATCGTCCATCAGCTCCAAACAGAGCTCAGTCTGTCTCTGCTGCTCCTCTCTGTGATCGCTTCACCTGCCTGCTGTCACCTGAGGGGGCGGGGCCGGGCTTCAGGTGTCTTCATTGTCCTTCAGAGCAGATAAGATTGTCCTCAGTTTGTCTCTGTAAGCTGAGACGCTGGGACACAGAGTGGCTGAAAGGACAGACAGAGAGCATGGTGGGAAAACCAGGACAGACAGGAAGTGAACCCTCTCACCCCTGAGACACCTGACGATACAAACGATGCTGTTTCCAATGAATGAACCTGTTTCTCTGTGTGTTTCAGTATTTCTGCAGTCTGCTGCTCATCTTCTGTGTGGAGTTAGCCAGCGCTGTGTGGACCTATGACCAGGTGAGATACACCTGTATCACCTGTACTGCACAAACACACAGGGGATCAACAGATACAAACATGTATAGCCACATTTTTTAGACGTTTACACATAGTTACTAAATATTTTCCTTTAATGTTACTCTATTTTTTGTGTTTTTACAGTTAAAGTTGAAGATAAAGTAAACCCCTTTTTATGATGTGTTAATTTTAAGTGCAGTTTTATTACAGGCTTTTCTAATTTACTAGTACTTCCCTTTTCTGATATGAAGTGTTAAAATCTCACTGTGTTAAAGTTTTTACTGCCAGAAACTATGTGTGTGAATATTCTAGTAAATATCTGACCCACCTGCACATAGCCGACCAATCAGAGGGCAGCAGAGAGCAGGTGCAGACGGTCGGTCTAATAATAATCAGACATGTGAGAGACGAGCGGCTCGCTGCTCTCAGATCAGATCCTGTTACAGTCTGACCCGCAACTACCCTGTTACACCACTACACACTACTACACAATGACCACACAACTACTACAGAACTACAATCCAGACTACACAAATACACAATAAACTAGATTTCCAAATTTTTCAACCCCAGTGCTATGAGCAGATGCACAGGTGAGTTTGTGTACATCTGTGTACCATATACCCTAAGATCTTTATTTGTATGGTTTTATATAGTTTCAACCTCTGCAGTTGTGTATGTTTTTTTAATGATGGACTATTGAACCCTTGTCCAGACCAAAAACCTTCATTTTCTGTTGAGGTTTTGTTTACTACCTGGCTTCCTACATCACATCTATGTCGTTCAGCTTCAGGATCTGAGCCTGACGTACAAACTGTGATGCATACTCTGAACGTTTTCGCCAGTTTGATTCTGATTGATGCATATACAAGAGAAACTCAATCTCCAAACCCACAATGACTTCCCAGCTGCTATAATACTGCTATCCTGACCACACAGGTACACTGCTACACCATGTTTCCTCACACATTAGCACATAAGGATCACACAGCTACAACAGAACATTCACAGCACAAAGCGGAGGTAATCCATTCAGCACGAACAGGAGTAAGGAAACAGCTGGCTGACTGCATATGGGTGGGGAGCTGACACACCTGGAAGATGGCTATCAGAGGATACACAAAGAAAGGGAAGGTTTGGGTGGGGAAATGAGGGAGGGGCTGAAAGGTTACGGAGAGGTGATATGATGACTTTTGTGAAAAAAATTTCCAACTAAAAATACAGAAAAACATAAAAAAACTTAAAAGATAACATAACGTATGAACTCACCTGTGGTGCCCCCACCAGGCCAACATGTTTACCTGCAAGAAATAAATTACTGGCAGATGGTTTAAAGTGGACAAGCAGATGCAAGTCATGATAGGCCTCTGTGTTTACATTGTTTAGCATCAACATGTTTTTTTTCTCTTTCTCACTGTGTGTGTGTGTGTTTGTGTTTGTGTGTGTGTGTGTGTGTGTGTGTGTGTGTGTGTGTGTGTGTGTGTGTGTGTGTGTGTGTGTGTGTGTGTGTGTTCAGCCCCCCGTGCAGCGCTCTGATATGATCAGTCTGAAGTCTCGGATGCCAAACTTTGGCCTGCAGCGCTACCAGTGGCTCACACACACCTGGAACAGCTTCCAGACAGAGGTCAGAGGTCACACACACATCACATTGTTATCATTATTTTCATAATCATTATAATTATAGTTTCTTGCCAATAAAAGTTAAAATACTGTTTCACTATTTATGAAAACTAATTTCATTATATAATTTACACTCTTGTTGTTAGAAAAATTCCCCACTTTCACAAATTCACACACTGCACTACCATGTTTGACCACCAGGGCAAACAGAGAGTTGTAAATATCATGCAAAAGGGAGAAGTCTGAAAAACACAATAAAAACCCTTCAGGCATGTCAGCAAGCTGTTTGTATTGATTGGATGGGTTGTACCTTTGAGGATCAGGAGCTAGTCCCTGCAGAAAAACAGGTCCCCAGTGCACGAGCTACCTATCAGGCTAAAGTCCCCACAAGTATAGAAAAACAAACACCACCAGTGAGCTAACAGTTGTGTGTGTTTCAGTTTAAATGCTGTGGGGTGATCTACTTCACTGATTGGCTGGAGATGACAGAGATGGAGTTTCCACCCGACTCCTGCTGCTCAAATCAGTATCCAGGATGTGCTCGCCAGGCGCACCTGCATGACCTCAGCGACCTGCACCAAGAGGTGAGACCCGCCCACCATTCACAGGAATGTAACATCAAACTGAAATACTTTGATTGGACTATGTGTGTTTGTGTGTTTATCAGGGCTGTGGTCCAAAGATCTACAGTTTCATTCGGGGGACGAAACAGCTGCAGGTGTTGCGTTTCCTGGGTGTGTCCATTGGTGTGGCTCAGATCCTCGCCATGGCGCTCACACTCACGTTGCTCTGGGCGCTTTATTACGGACGGAAGGCCCCAGAGCCGGACTCTGTAGCCCCACCCCCTCAGGATGACACCGCCCCACTCACAGTGACTCACGGAGCCTCAGCTGAAGCGCCTCCGTCTGGATGTAACCGCACGAATAAAGCTTGCAATGCTGGCGCTCACGCTAAGACGACAGAGCTTCAGTTTGAGATGGAGAGGCTGTCGTAGCAAAAACAGTAAAAACTCTGCAGACTGAAGTCAGTGGACGGATGATTTATCATTTATTTAAGCTTAAAGACTGAAACTAAAAGACTCTGATCCTGTTACAGAGTTTTGTTCAACGTTTCTATCAGGAACTCTCTACAGAAAACATCAGACCTGAAATCTTCGTATTTATCACAGAGTTAATAATCAAACATGTCTGGTTTATTTCATGAAAGAGGCTAATGAAAGTCCAAATGCTGAAATCACCAGAGTCAAAGCAAACATCTGAAACAAGTTTGAAAGAGAAAAACTGGAGAAGTTTGAGAATATTTGCGATCACATCGAACCATTAGCTACCATCAGTTAACAGCTAACATTAGCACTTCAGCACCTCTCAGAAACTGTGTGATAGTGTCAAGATAGTCAAGATAACTTGATTCAGCCTTTTTGTCAGATATAGACATATTTGCAATGTCAGTGTTCAATTTTTCTGATAGAAATGATGAATAAAACAGCCTAACTGTAAGCACAGCTGCAGAATTAAAGTCAGCCAGGAGGAAAAACGCTGACTGTGTTTTACTTCATCCTGAGGAGAGTCTTCAAGGACACCGTGGTTCTGGTTCTCTGTGGTCTTTTACAGGAGGAGAACTGAAGCACTAAAGGAAGAAACCACTATTTAGAGAGGAGGAGGAACTTTATCTTCTCTGGTTTCTAACCACAAAGGAATATGGACTGTTTATCAGACTGTGCCAGACTGAGTCTGTGTGAAGAACAGACTGGAGTTTTTCTGTGAGTTGTATCACTGGAGACAGACCTGTGTGTTTGTCAGTGTTTATTAGAAAATGTGCATGGTGTTGAATATTTAAGAGAAAATGTTTTAGTAATCAGAGAGTTTGATCATTTTCTCTGTTGAATAAAACATGACGCAGATCTAATTTCATCTGTTTGCAAAACAACACTGGGATGTTTGATTATGGACTTAACAGTCCATAATTGAGGATTTTTTAGTCTGATCATTCATTATAAATACGAATTTATAATATTTACCTGTTAGAGCACAATCAGACTGTCAGTTTTATTCAAACTCCTGAGATCGACTTTAAGACCTGGAAACAGAAACATCTGAATTAAAACACATTCTTGACTCTTGAGTGCAGCTGCTGGAGAAAGAGGAGACCACGCACATACACACACACGCACTCTCACTCTCACTCACACACTCAGAGTCAGCTGCTCAGGGTGTAAAGCTCTTAACGTCCAGCATGGATGAAATTCAACCTCCACCACTGTACAGAGTATTAATAGATCATTTTTTACTGTCACAGAGACAGAGAGGAGGGCCAGCTCCGGTAACGATACAAAACAGATCATAGGATATGTAAATGTTTAAAAAGATATAGAGATAGACACACAAAAAAATGAAATAAAGATAAAAACATGCACATAAGAGTTGGGAAGTTTCAGAAAATGCTGATAAAAACAGTTTGCTGGTTTGCAAACTTTTTAAATTGAAAATTGAGTAAAGCACATATCAAATGTTAAAACTTTAAAATGTTATTCTTTTATGGAAATAGTATGATCATTTTAAATTTGGTGCCAGCAACAAGTCTCTACATATGGGGGGGACTCTTCTACTACAGAGCCATGCTGTTGTAATACAACAGATTGAGGTTTGTCATCGTCTTGCTGAGATATGAAGGTTGCTCCTAAACTTTTTACCTGTTTGGTTGTTCTCTTAACTTCTTACAAACATGTTTCTGGCATTAACTTTAAAATAATACTTTTCACTTTTAACATTTGATATGTTATCTTTGCATTTATTTCATGACAGAGCTTTACCTAAATCGTAAAAATACCAAGGATAAAGTTGAAATAAAACACCAAACAACATTTCAGAGTGATGTGAATAAATAGAGAGGCTCAGATCTGTTTGAATGTTTTATTTTATTTACTCAGACACTGCACCGGACTAAAACCATGAAGCTTCTCTTTTCTTATTATCCTCTATTATTCATAATTTATCAACATAACACAAGCTGAAGTAAAAAATAATAATCTTAATAATCCTCCATCATCATGTTTTCACTGTACAGGTCTATATCTCTCTCAGTCTGATCTCATGCAGGTTTCATTGGGAAGGCTTTAGAAAAATATCATGTGAATGTGAACTCAAAGACAAACAGCTACAGCTTCTTATGGAAACGATGAAAAAGAAAGAACCGACCACATCATAACAACACTTACAGCACATGTGCACAAGCAACAGTAAGAATAATAATCATCTCTTCTTTACAAACCAAGAATATGATCTGCAAAAATATGTTTATCATTTTCCCTCATCCAGAAACCGACAGCTGCATGTTTCTGTAAAAACCGAACCAAAGAGCTGCACCAGTCTGTACAGTCTGAAGGGAAGGGGCGTTCAGGGGCTGCTAGCAGGGTGGGACATTTGTAGTTTCACTCTAAAAATGTCAAACAGCATCTGTCTTCTTAAAAAAAAAAAAAAAGATCCTTGAAACATTGAAACATCAGCTTTAAATGGTGAAATCAGTCGATCCGTTTTCAGACGATCACTGTTTGAAGCTTCAGAGTTCAAAGAAAAAAGTGAAAATTCTGCTGTGCTCTTTAATCCTGCTGTTCAGACGTCCAAAAGGGGAGTCCAGAACGAAGAAAAAAATTAGATCCAGGTGACAACAGAGGGAGGAAACCAGCCTGCAGGTACAGGTACAGAGACAGAGACAGGGACAGCCACAAGAAGAATTGGGCTACATGGTGCAGGAACAGATACTGCTGCAGGAATCCTACAGGTAACCTTCAGGCACATGTACAGGTACCTGAAGCCTACAGGTACAGGTACAAGTATAGGTAGCCTACAGGTACAGTTATGGGTTCAGGTACAGGTAGGCAACAGCTACAGGTACACATGGCCTCAGGTACAAAAGAAGAAACAGGCTCAAGTACAGGTAGGCTAAAGGTAGCCTACATGCATGTACAGGTGTAGGAGAAGGTACTGGTACTGCTGCAGGTATCCCACAGCCTATGGATACAGGACGCCTTCAGGTACCGGTACAGGTGGTTTCAGAGACACTGTGTTTTTACTTAAAAATAAAGAGTAATCTGTTGTGAAGATAAACTAGTTCAAAAAACGGAAATTTCTGCCTGATCTGCAAATTTAACCAGGTAACAATAACGTTCAGTGAACCCTTTCACCTGATTGAACAGGTGACTCCTGACCGGTTCATGAACACAGTCAGAGCAACTCTTCTGAGGGTCAGAGTAATGATGTGTTCTGAGCGATTCAGACTGAAGAGGCTGAAACGGAAGCATCCACTCTGATATTCACCGACTTTAATGTTAGCTTTAGCTTCAGTTAACACTTTAAAATTCACTCAGTGTGTGTCTGATCTGTTTAATGTACACACAAACAGAATAAAACATGTGTCTGGTTTTGGTGGTAAAGATGTGCTTTAACTCTCTGCTGACAGATGCTGGAGATGATGCTAAGCTAGGCTAACCGCGCCTTGACTCCTGAGTTTCTCACACATTTAAATGACATCAAATTGCCGTCAGACAGGAAACAAATTAAACAAATTTCCTCTGTAAAATAAATTAAAATTTGATTATAAATATAACAGAGGAATTCAGACTGATAGTTTTCAGCTGCTTACTTTAGCCACTGCTACATATGGTCTGGAAAGCTAGCTAGCTACAACACACAGGGATGAAAACTTCATGCACAGGCAGCTAACGCTAAAATATATAAATCTAAAATACTGATAGGACGTCATTTCTTAAACAATTAACGCTAGAGTAGCGAACACGCAAAATAAAAGCTAAAGATTTATAAAACAGGAGCAGCAAACAGCATCCAGTCTGCTCAGTTTATCGGGGAATTTAGTGTAAAAGGTCAAACTTAGGACGTTTTACAGAATTAAAGGGATATTTCAGTATTTTTGAAGTTAGGTTGTATGAGTTAGATGTCTTTAGTGAAAGTTTGAGTCACTTCAGATTTTGGTCAGCTTGGTCCCCTGTAGGGAGAACCTACTTGCAAGCTAGGCTACAGTGACTGTGACACATCATTCAGCTAGACTCTGACCCAGTCACTCATCTGTACCAGTACAGTAGAGTGTACTTTTAATCTGGGATGAATGTTACGCTCAGAGTCACACTATCTGAAAAAAGCTGTGGCCTTGATCATGTGACGGTCCTCCCTGCAGTTTCTTATAAAAGAGGCTGGGCTGACCAACATCCACTGATGCTAAACCACCAACAAGGGACATGTAACTCATGGACTTATAACCTCACCTCAAAAATACTGAAATGTCGCTTTAAAGGGTGACTGTTAGAGTATCTGTAAATCTGCAGAAAAACATCTGAGTCTGTACAAACACTGTCCTCTCTAACAGCGCATCAACAAAATAAAAGTCTATCAGGGCAACAGGTGCAAAAAAATATACCTGCAAGCAAGAAAACACACACACAAACGCACATGCGTGCGCACACACACTCACACACACTGAGAGCGGCTCAGAGACAGACACAGGTTTACAAACTGACATCAACATTTCCAGGATGGCTGTTCAGGTGTGATCAGTTCAGGTGTGATCAGTTCAGGTGTGTTGTTGTTGTTGTTTCTGTACAGCAGAGAGGAGGACAGTCCGCTCCAACAAATAGATTCAGTAAAAAACGCTGAATATCTACAGAGTCAGGACCAGGACCAGGACCAGGACGGTTAAAATCCACAAAGACTGACCTGCATCCAGTCAGATTCACATGCAGAGGAACACACACTAACGCTGACACTGAGCATGCTCAGAGAGTTCCTCTTTATAAAACATGTCCTACAGGAGCAGCTGATTAAAGGAAAAGTTCGTCATTTTGAGAAAAAACTATTGTTTAATCCTGATTCATAACCGTTACTCTTAAAATCCAAATCATGCTGGCTTTAGCTTTATTAATATATTATTTAACGATATTTACACATACATATTTAGAAATATAAAATGGAGCGGTGTAAAATGAGCGACTTAAAAAAATAAAGACAAATACACATATAAGTAAAAATGAAAAAATGTAAAGAAAACGACTTTAATAAATACATGAATAAATAAATGACAATCCTAAAAAGTAGAGTGTCCATATGATTAATAAATAAGATGAAAAATTAATATAAAGAAGATAAAGTTAATAGAAACATGCTAACATAACTTGCATCTTGGACCTTTCAGTTTTAATCTGTTCAATTTCAAAGTTTACACCTTGAAGGATGGACACTGACCGCTAAATTTTGTAATTTTATATATCTGGCCTCAGATTGAATAACCAATAAGAGAAAGTTTTAATTGTCGGGGGGTAGACGGGGATAAGCTAAGCTAGCAGTTTCTCATCACCTCACTCTCAGGTGGTTAATGTTGTAATCCTCAAAATGTAAGACTGTTCCTTTAATCTGCGTGCAGAATAAAAATCTATCAGCTACCTTTACAATGAAGACATCAGAGTCGGAGACAGACAGGAGTGAAAATAAAGAGTGAAATTAATCTCAGACAGGTCAGGTGTGCTGTGTGCTCTCAGGTGTTCTGCTCTCAGACTGGAGAGTCTTCTCTGACGTTAGCCGAGTTAATGAACCATCAGATTATTTTCCTCCGAGAGAGTCAGACTGTTCGAGCTAACTCGTCACCTCCTTCCTGGACTCCTGGTTCAAACCCCGCCCTCTGAGTCTGATATGGTGCCAGGGTTATTGACCCCTGACCCCTGACTCCCTGATACCTGTCTTCCTCCTGGGTGGGTGGAGTTTCCCTGTTGGTGTTTCTAGAGTGCAGATACTCGGACGATGTTAGCTTGGGAGTAGTCGGTGGAGCTGGCTGAGTCATCTCCTTCAGGCGTGGTGCCGGGCGGGGTGGGCATGCTGATGACGGCGGCGGTGATATAGGACTCATCACAGTTCAGAGGGACTGTTTCCTCCATTTTGGCGTTAAGGCTGGACCTGCTGGAGCGACTACAGAGAGAGGACACATAAGAGACTCAGCATGATTATTCAGAGGGACGAGAAGACGACAAAAGGAGGACTGAGCATCTGAAACGGACACTGCAGAATCAGACACGAGTATAAACCCAGCTTCATTCTGCAGTGTTACAATTTGACTGTTGTGAGAGTCTGCAGGGCCGCAGCAGTGACAGTTTGTGTCTCTCGGACTCGGTCAGACTCAGCATAGCTTCAGCGGTGATTGTAGGGACCGGGACAGAAACAGGAGACGGCTTGTTTCCCAGCTGTCCATGTTTGGGAGAAAGTTCCCAGAGCTCCCAGACCTCCCACAGCCTCCCACAGCTGGACATATTCTGAATTCCTGCTGTCTGACTGTACATGGGAATACAGCGTCACATGATCTCTGGGGCCATGTGTTTATATACAGTATGAGAGCATGGCTCATATCTCTGAGTATGACTGAGGCTAATGTCTCTGTGTAAAACATCTAGGACCTTCTCAAAGAGCTCTGAGAACAGAAGCAGCACCATAAACCTGTCTCTAGAGTTGACTACATATGGAGGCCCAATAAAAACCACACCAAGGGGTGATTTTGACAAATAAAAACAAGTTCTGATTCAAAATTTACATAGATAGAGTCAGGGAAACACTCTGACTTAACATATCCACTAACACGTCCAGCTGGAAGAGACCATCTTAAGGCTCATCTATGCTCATTTACGGATACGGACCAGACGGAGCAGTACCACCGGAAACCATGGGGGCAGTGTTGCTGCTGTCACTACCTGATACACATCTCTCGAGAGAAACGAAAAAGACAATGGCGGAGCTTTTTGAGGATCATTGCAATTTCTGTCATCGGTACTACTAGAGAAAAGAATTCTCCGTCCTCCAACCGCGAGGCATTTAGTGGCCTGACCTGCCACCGCCTCCTCCAACGCTGCCTCCGTTTCTGTCTCCTAATGGGTAACATCCATGCCAACGTAAAGAACGCATTGAGGTATGTGGGCAGTGACGGAACCACCGTTTGAAATGGACGCATTCATTTTCATACGTATGGCGAGCGTAAATGAGCCTTTAGAGTAAAACTGAGACAACCTAATGTTCAGTCACTGTCTTTGCTTCCATCACGGAAACATCATCAGACTGTAGAAAGGTAAATTTAACGAAGATGCAGACATGATAACAGCTTATGAACCCTCGTGTTGGTCCAGGTGACCTACCTGTTGGTGAGCGGCCTCTCTCTGATCTGGATGGTGCTCAGCTCCTGGATGCTGCCCTGCAGACCCACAGACATGTTCGAGTTGGGGACGTTGAAGGTCTTCCTCTTCTTGCGGCTGCAGCAGGTGAAACCGTGAGGTGAGGCAGAGGAGATGGAGGAAGAGCGAGACACCTGTTTGAGCAGAGTCACCTCCCTGCAGCTCGACTCGTACGTCTTCTCATCCACGAACTCGTGATTCTGAGGCGGGAGGCGAGGAGTACGAGGACAATCAAGGAAAACACATGAGGTTAGTAGGTTATTATATGTTTGCTATTACAGAGTGTGTGTCTGTGTGTGTCTCTGTTTGTGTGTGTTAATGAGTGGGTGCACAATCTCACCGTGGTTTTCTCCAGACAGTTCAGAAGGTGATGGTGGTGCACCTCAAAGCTGGGGTTGATCTTACACACCAGCGCCTGTCCAGCTTCCTTCGATGCCTTCAGGGTACAAACACAAATCACATGACCACAGAGTCAGCCCTTCATTGGACGATCCTGCATGCATCCAGAACCACAGCAAAAAGAGGAGAGATCCCAGGACAGCCTTCAGGAACAGGTTAGACGTTCTCACCTTCTTCTTCTTCTCCTCGCTGTGAGAACATTTCCACCACCCAGTTTTTACCCACAATCCCCTCCTGCCTCAGGGTTAGTCAGAAAGCGGCGGGCTGCTCACTGGTTCAAACTAAGGTGGCTGACAGCAGCCGTTCAGTATCTGTGTATCTGCCTCTCTGAATGTGTTTTACTTTATTTGAACCTGAGCCTCATTTGATCCAAGAGAGCCACCGTACTCACACTGCTCAGGGTTCAGACTGAGTGTGACGCTGATGGGCGGGCTGAGGGACTGACGACAGAGCGGCCTGACATCTCAGGAAGTAACTGTGTCACCCGTCAGTGAGATCTGGACTGACTTTATTTAGAGTCCAAACCTGTACCTTAACCCTCACTGCAGGGGTCCATCTGAAAACATCAGGGGACTGACTTAGAGAGACCCTGAAGAAGCTCATCACTGAAGACTATAAGGGTGCCTTTCCATCAATGGTAGGGAGGCTTGGTTCCCCAGCAGAAAGTTGCCCTGATGCCAGGATGATATAGATTGCTTATTTTGGAACCTTTCCCAGCTTTTGACAGTGGAAACACAAATAACTGTAAACCCCATCAAACAAAACTGACCCTGACAGTTTGATGGAAATGCATCCTCAGTGCACCTCTCCAGGGTGAAAAGACAGGGCACAGTCCTTACCCCCAATTTCCACTGAATCCAGGATGGCTACGAAAAGGCCGTATCCACTGATCGTAGCTGATCGAGACCAGTCAAGTTAATGTGTCAATTTCCACCGGCTTCTTTCTGTTTCACTGCGGATCACCGGACTCCACAGATTATCGCAAGAGTTCTTTTTTCTCCGGATGTCGGAGCATGCCGGATAAATTTAGCACAGATTAACCCGTGCTGGAAAGGAAGTTGGGCACAGACCCAAAATAAAACATCTGGCTTCTTTTCAAAATAAAACACTCTGTGTTTCAGGCGGATCGTATTTCACATCATGCAAATGGGCGGAGACGAACAAGTGAAAGGTTAATAGACAGCATTTCACCCCGATGACACCATGGATGAGAGGATGCTGTCTAGAAGTAGATTTCCTCCTCTGGAAGGACACAATCTACGGCTTATATGGTTAGCCTATTTGTGGCTAAAGACAACTTGTCATCGCGCGATTGCACTTGAATCTGCGGGTTCTTGTGAGTTCTCGTGATTCCTGCCTTCCGCAATCTGCCACAAAATTCGCCTTACAATTGGCAGACGGCGGAAATTGCTGCCATTCTGGATCGGAGCCATTCCGGATGCGGTTAAAATTCTGGGTAAGTCTTGGTTTCATCTGGGAAGTCGGGATCTTTGCACTGTGGAAGTTGGTAAGAAATGACAAACCTTAGTCTTGTGCTTTCTAGCAAAAATCAGAGGACATTGTTCTTTGATTGAACCTCTAAGGTCCTGAATCTTACTCCTGAGATCCTTAAAGATATGACAGATATAACGACCAGGGACTCTTGAAAATAATGAGCCTCACCTGTTACCAAATCACTGAACCTTCTGCGATCTTTCTCTCTCTTAGTCGCGTCTCTGCTCCCCTCTCTCTGCTCAGCTGGTGTCTGAATAAGTCAAACAAGATCTCCAAACAAGTTTGTCTCCTGATCAGACTGTCCTTTGGTAAGACACTCTCAAGCTACTTCCTGTAAATGTCAGACCACTCCTGTAAAGGTCAGTTTATCCAAGCCAACCCCTCCGCGTCACACTGACTCCACCCCTTTGCATGCCGCGGAGTTGGCTGATTCACATGCTGCTCAGCCTTTTCTCATTCCTCCACGCCGGGATGGACCAAAGGCGCGTAGTGATGATGCCATGAGCAGCACAAGGCCAGTCAGTCGGCAGCCGAGTCACACGGGAGAGCCAATCAAAATGCATACAGATCAAAAAGAAAGAAACACAGAAGAAGAAAAGGGAGAGGATAAAATGTAGAGATGGAGAGTGTTTCTGGACTAAAAGAGTCAATGTGAGAGAAAAACTGAAGAAAGAGCAAGAATGAAAGACAGTGAGGTGGACACACACACGCTTGAGTTCAGCAGTAACACTTCCTGTTTGTACCACATAAAGAGACCAAATATGTGATTTTAGTGGGAGTGTTATAAATTGCTAAGGATATTGATCGGTATTTGTTTAACCAGGCTGCAAGGACAAACTACTGGTTTAGCCGAAATAGCATGGCTGCTAACGCTTAAAGACATTCAGCTATTCGATGATTCTGCTGTGTGAGCGACAGCCGGCCAATGAAGTTCTGACATTTGTGTTTAAATATAATTGTTTTTAGAGAATATTACAAAAAAAAGGCGAGTAAAAGTGAAAATACCGTAAATCCTCCAATACTGTACAGTATTCAATCTGTGGCCTGAGTGAATAAAGGCTGGCTTGTTATTTCTGTTATGGAAACTGGAAAAAAAAACTCATAAGGGAGTGTACAATGATCACATACAACACTAAGTTTTCATTTTATTGATTGAGATTACTGCTGACTATTAGCACCTCCACTTTGCTGCTCAGAGCTGCACTGTGCACTCTAATCCTGACTAGAATTAATTTATAGTGTATAATGAGTTGGATTGAGAAGGACAGTCTTGATAGATGTGAACTATTTTACAGTTTATAACTAGTTTACTTTCTGGAGTGAGTGAGTAAAAAGCATCTTTTTCAGGAAGTGACTAAATAAATACTCTGTTGTGCATCATGGCACTGTAATTGAGAATCTGAGTTTGATAAACTGGATAAATTTTAAAATAAAATAAAAAACAGGACACTGATGTATTAGAGGATTTACAGTAAGTGGATGTGGTGCTGTGTTTCCAGGATCTGCTGTGTTTGGTGGAAAGTATTCCTGCTGAACATGACAGAAATGATGAAGTCATGATAAACCAAAGTGAGTGAAAACAGAGTGACAGCAGCAGAAGCCAGTCCTCTCATGGAGCATCCAGCATGCAGCCGCCTGCAGCAGCTTCTGTCACAGCTCAGCAAAGACAGAGAAACAGCAAAGAAAGGGAAACCAAAAAAAAAAAAAAAAGACAAAAAAGAAAACACCAGCACCACCCGACGACGACGGCTGCGTCTCCGTGGTTACCTCCTCATCGAGGTCAATCAGCAGCTGGCTGCGTTTGTACTGCAAATAAGCGCTAGCCCCTCCGCTCTTCACCACGTGAATTCTAGCAAGCCTGGTTTTCTGTTTGTGAACACATACACCATACACATCCATTTAGCCCTGAAGTACTGGAGTACACAAAAGATGTATTAGGACAAAAAGAGAATGGATCAAAATCTGACTAATCTGATTTGTTTTTGTAGGATCTTCAGAAGTCAGAGTCTGAAATCATAAACAGATGAAGACGGTTTCCCAAAAATTCATATTGAATTTAGTAGAAAATGATCCCGTGTGAACAAGATGATAAAGTAGTGAAACAGGGCAAGATTAAATCCTGAGTGAACATGATTGTTTGTGCGCATTGGTAGTGAGCATGCAAAATACATGCAGCAAGTGACTACCATGGCAAACAAGATAATTAGTTTTAAATAAGAAACCAACTTTTTAAACAAGATACTTGTCTAAAAATACTGTTGGATTTCAACTCTGAACAAGATACAACCTTTTAAAAATGTGCTAATTAATGCAAACAAAATATTTTTTTTTCTGAACAAGATTGTATGTTTGAACAAGGATGTTGGGACACAAGATGACAGTATATGTAAGCAAGATAAAAAATCATGTCAACAAGATACCATACTGTGATCAGGCACTAACTTTTGTTCACAAGATTAAGTGGTCAGTAAACTTATTTTTGTTTTAACAAGACAAAAGTTCTTACAAGATACAAATTTGTTTGAACAAGATACACATGTTTGTTTTATTTGTCTTAACGAGATTGTTTGATTATCTAAATAATAACTAGTTTGAACGGGATAATGGCCACAAGCCACAAACCAGATACATCAACAAGATACTGACTGATGTGCATCAATGGCCAACCTTAGCCAACAAGATTATACGGTCAAGATAAAGTTGCATGTATACACCTACACTTGTGTTTACAGGATACTTTTTCATGTAAACAAAATTATGTGCTAACTAATGTGAACAAGATATAAAAGTGTGTGAAAATGAAACTTGATGTGCGCAAGATACTAAATGCTGTGGAAAAATAACAAGAAGTTTACCTCAGAAAACAAAACACCAGATTTGTGAACAAGATACTTTCTGGGACCAACAGGATGATAAATGTCAACAAGATACAACAGTGTGTGAAAGAGGTTATAATACTGTGAACAAGAAATGAGCTTGTGTAATCAAGATATCAGCAAGTTAAGAAGATACCAAATTGTGTTAACAAGATGCTTTCTTGCACCAAAAATATCTGAGCCATAAGATACTTGTGAGAACAATGAAATACTAAACAAGATAGTGACCTATTTAGACAAGATGTTAGCTTGTAAAAACAAGATGTAAATATGACATCAGATACTTAGTATGTGAGTAGTGAAAAATATTGAGCTTACAGAGTTTTACTGTGTGTGTTTTATATCTTTGTTGATAGAGAGTTTTAAAGTGTGTGTGTGTGTGTGTGTGTTTTATATCTTTGTAGATAGAGAGTTTAAAAGTGTGTGTGAGTGTCTCAGTGTTTAACTGTTGGTCAGATCTGCAGTCAGACTGTGTGAAACAGAAAGGTCTGGTCTGTAACCGTCCCCCATCTCCGTCTCTGACTGTTTCCGAGAAATAAACAAAGATGTCTTACTCGAACCCATAAAATGTTGATGTTTGGAGGAAGCAGATCAGCTCTCAGCTTCCTCTCTGCCTTCCTCTGCTCTCTCCTGTGGATCATTAACAGAGCGACACGCTAACATTAAGAAACAAGCACAAACACAGCTGTGGACAGACTCCTGTTTGTGTTTGTCTCTTTATAAATCTTCTTTCACTGCTGATGATGATCTCTGCAGTCAAACCTCAGAGACGAGATTGAAAACATCAGTGATAAGTTTGTATGTGCTTGTTTGTGTGTTTGTGTTTATGTGTGTGTATGCTCACCTTCTGGGCTCGTCTCTTCTCAGCTCTCTGGCTCTGGTGGTAGATTCGGCTGAAGTTGGACACAATGACGGGCACAGGTAGAGCGATGACGAGCACGCCGCTCAGAGAACACACCGAGCCGAAGATCTTCCCCATGATGGTCTTTGGAACCATGTCACCATATCTGACCAACACAGAGAAAGAAGACATGGAGAAGTTAAATTAGACTTTAAAGGTAATTAACCTTCACCTAAGGGTTAATTGATGTCCAGACTTTTTGACCTCTGATTGGCAGCGGTTGTGCGATAAGGACACGCCCACAAACTAGAGTCTAATGTCTCCTACAGAATCGAGTTAAGAGAGAGAAAGAGCCTGTCTCAGAGTTATTAAAGTTCAGTCTGAGCTGCTGACTCAAACTTTATATTCAGATTAAAACCCTCAGTTTAACTTTTCAGACAATCAGCAGAAATTTGATGCTGACTCAGCGATATCTGTTTGAAGCCGCACTTCGGTCTGTGGCCACAAGGGGGAGCCAGAGGTTCGCTGAGACTATATGTAGAGATGAATTTAGTCAGAATATCATAATACAGCAGAGACACTTTAACAGAAACCTTCTACATGGTCTCTGTGACTGAAACTCCTCTACACCTCCTCCTCTTCTTCTTCATCCTCCTCCTCTTCTTCATACTCCTCCTCCTCTTCTTTGTTTCTAAGGCTCAGCACTTTTATTTCTCTCCTATCAAAGATTAAAATAAAATGAATTAATTAAAGTTTCTGTCCTCTCTGAATCTGATCAGTGATGGATCTCTTCCTCTCCTCCCCCGACCGTCAAACTCTGGCACAGCCTGAGTGTGTGTTTCCTGCTCATACACACACCGGTTGTGTTTGTTTGTTACACACTTGAGACTCTTTTCTTCAAACTTTCCGCATTTTTCCCTTAACTATGAACTCAAAACTAATTTTTGAACTACAATCATAAAACTTCTGATTCTGTCTTAAAGTCAAATGTTTTCACAGAGCAGCAGACTCCTGTGATTCTCACTGTGGACTGTGTGTTTCCATCTGATCTGTAATGAGCTGAGCAGCCTGCAGGGGGCGACATAGCTCCTTCACTCACACTGCCAATGTGTTCAATGTGCAGATCATGTTTACTGCAGAGGAGGATGAGCACTCTTCATCCTCACTCTCACCTTCATCCTGCACACACAGCCTCCAGAGATGTGTGTGTGTGTGTTTAATTGAGTGTGTGTGTTTGTGTGTGTGTGTGTGTGTGTGCAGGAGTCAGCAGTTTGTTCTCCCAACAGACACACACAGAGAACATGGTGTCACATCCACTAACATTTAAAGTTTGCCTTCAGCGTCCTCAGACAGAGGAAATGCACACACACACTCACTGACTGTACAAAGATGGACACTATGATAGCTCCATAAAGTGAGGCCAAAACATTCAGAGCTCCTCCTGCAGACTGTCTGAAATATCATCACAATCATCATCCCTGAACAGAAACAAACATAGATGCCGTGTTTGTGAAAACCCTCATTTTCAGCTCTATTCAGCCAGTTAGACACAAACTGGGGTTGTAACTTTTTACACAGCTATAGACCTATTCTGTGCATTTGTGTCTTCAAACTTCATGAAGGTCTTTATAGATGAATGGCTCTAGGTTTCAGTAACAGCTGAGACTCAAATCCAGCTTGTATTGGCCTTTGTTGACAAAGGAGCCCAAAGTGAAGTGGTGAGCACAAACAAACAAATAACTTCCGGCTGTTTTCTGGAGCTTTCGTCTTTGAGGAGTGAAAATATCTGAGACTTTCCTTTACAACCAAAAGAAAACTTGTACAACTTGGTTCCGCCTCCCGCCAGTATAGGGATCTGAAGCTGAAAAGCTCTTGGTAATTCAGCGATTTTTCTTCATTTTCTGAAACCAGCATTGCGCAGTAGCGTTGTGCGCATTCGGCGGGAGAGTCGCCGAGAGTCACTGTGATGTCGCTCGGCTCAAACAGTGTATCCCCGGATGAGCTATGCAATCCCTGAACACCAATAGGCTGTATCAGGTGTAAATCATAGAAAACATGAACCCCCTAATAACTTTTAAAAACGGAGCTGTACAGAAAAAAGAGGACTTGAGCACAAACCAGTCTTACAATAACTACATGTCAACATCGCAACCAGGGGGAGAAACATTTATGTCATGTGTAATAAATTTCTAAAGTTTGTCCACAGCTCCATAAGCTTTGCTTGGCGGAGGCGGGATTTATGACCTATACTGCAGCCCGTCACCAGAGGGCGCTGTTCTCGGAGTGGCTTCACCCAGCGAGGAGGCAGACGCTGTCGATTCTATATACAGTCTATGCTTTAGAGACAGACTGAACCAACAAAAAGCAGAGAGGAGGATGAAGTCCAGCAGCAGAAACAGACTTTACAGCTCCAGGTGGGCTTGTCCTTTAGCATCGCTCTGATTGGACGGCAGAGCTTGATGTCAGCTTGTGATCATATATCAAAACAAGCTGTTCAGAGAAGATAGAAAACACTCAGAAGTGTACGACAACATCTGTGTATCTTATGTTATGTTATGAAGCTCTGCTGAGGTTGAGAGTATTAATATTCAATGTTTGTTTTCATAATCCTGTATGTGTAAGTGTGTGTGTAGAGTGTGTGTGTGTGTGTTCACAGCATCTTTAAGTTTTCCTCCAGTGTGTAAATGTTGCTCTCTAACTCTGAATCATTTATGCTTTAGTCTCAAAGGATGCTTTATTGCTGCTCTGCCATTAACACTCTCGCTCTCTCTGTGTGTCACACACACACACACACACACACACACACACACACACACACACACACACACACACACACACACACACACACACACACACACACACACACACACACACACTTACATTAGCCATTCAGAAAACTGTGAGAGTAAATAAAATGTTTCTCGCTGTACACCGCAGCTTTCATTTTAAATCAGCGTTTATTGCACAGTGTTAGTGTGGGTTATGAGAGGGTCATATTCATAATTAACAGCATCTGATTCAACACAACAGCTGGTCGCCAAAGTGCCAATAACAGGCTAAGATGCTAACGTGCTAATAGCTAAAACAGAGGGCCGAGTCGAGGAACGTGGAGCCTCCTCCTCATTTGGGACTCCGTTTAAACCCTCAGCTGCTTCACTTTGACTCTCTGAATGTTTCAGGTTTTATTCAGTGAAGAGTTTATGTAAAAGTTAGAGATCATCCTTAATTCAGAGCCTTTTAAAGCTCCTGTAGTCCATCTTTATTTCATCAAAATGTGAACATGAGGCGTTTCGAGCCTGAACAGCTTTTAAAAACTCCAACACTGAAATCAGGTCAGCTCATATTTTCACCATGAAGAGACAGTTTATCCCTCTCCTCCTGAAACGTTCTCTTCACTGCAGGAAATACAGGAAACTACAAACACATACGTCCGCTTATAGTGAGGAATCTGGAAGCAACTCGGGTGATATAACAGCTGAGAAGGAAATAAAAGTTTATATCCTTGTGTTTTTTTGAGGAGGAGAAGAAAAAATAAAGGAGAAAAACATAAAAAGAGGAAGGAAAAGAAGGTATGAGTAGAAAATCAGCACAAAGATAATGAGATGAGGATGAAGAGGAAGAGGTATGGATGAAAAACAAACAAAAATGGGAGACATAAAAGGAGAGAAAGAAAACAAAGGAGGAAAAAAGAAGGAATAAAGAGAAGATGAAGTGAAAAAAAGGGGAAAGGAAACGAAAAAGAAGAGGAATAAACAGGAAGATGAAAGTACCTAAGGAGGAGAGAAAGAAGACAAAAAAGGAGATGAAGATGAAAAGACACGATCAGAATTGTAAAGGTGATGATGAGGAGGAGCTGGTTCACAGATTGTTACTGAAGGAGAAATCATTCATCTTATTCAGGACACATGTAGAGAGGCACCTTGATTTATCTGACCTTTGACCTCAAAATACACAGATTCATTAGAGACACATCCATCATCAGGACACACACACACACAAATTTACTCCTCTAACCATGTCAAGGATCTATGAAACCTTAAAAATGACCATGAAAATATGAGTTAAGGAGAAAAACATATAAACTGTCCGACAGATTCTCCTGTACAATCTCAACACCAACGGAAATAATCCCTACATCCTCCTGAAAAATCTCTACCTTAGGGCTTGACAATACTGGAAAAAGTTTATTACAATATATTTTTTTCATATCAGTCGATATCGATACATATTACAATATAAAAAATGAAATTTAACAGTGTTTATTGGTGGCATGTCTTTTGCAAAACAATAAGCTACTGCATCTGTGAGTTCTTTGGGTCTCTTTGACATTTTGTCGTAAGGCGTTGAGCTAGAGAGAGCGGACCGAATGGTCGGCTGTTTCGACCGCACAGGCGCCATGGGCTCCTTGCTCCACTTGGGGTTTGTAACCTTTTGCATTGTGCGTGCTCTGCTGCGTGGCACTGCTTCAGGTGGTGAAAAAGATTTGAGTTATTCCCCGGCTTTGAGAGAACATGTACTCGACATAATTTGCAGTGCACATTACTCTGCTTCATGTCCGACTTTAAAACAACCAAATACCTCCACACCACCAACGTTTTCGTACCAGTGTTGTCAACAATGTGGTCATCCGTTGAGCCAACATCTTCATTTCTGCCGGGGGTAGCACTCGTTTTCTTTTTTTTCTCACCGACAGTGCTGTCGGCATTACGTGTTAAAGTGCTATGATTGCTTGTAGCTGCAGTCTGCTACTATGCAGTTGTTTTATACTTTATTCTAATTCAGCACATGATTGGATCAGCGCGAAGTGGACCTGGAGCAACTCCCCGTTTCATTGGCTATTTGTATAGTCTAACAAAACATGTCAGAATGCCGACTATCAAAAAGCATATTGACCATGTTTTATATTGATATTGAGAGAAATTAATTTTTGATATATCGTTATTGTTTTACTCTACCTCCTCCTGAAAAATCTCTACCTCCTCCTGAATTATTTCTACATCCTCCTGAATAATCTCTGAGGGGTGTCCTCAGTCCGTCCTCTGTCTGTCCATGATTACTCTGTCTGTCCTTTGGGCGCTAAAGCTACCTGCTCCTTTCTCGATTTATCTTCACTCTCGTCTTAATTACAAACTGAAACCTCAATTATCCTCTCTGACAGTAGGCTGACCTTTGACTCCTGATCACACAGACAGGAAGAGGAAACAGCGGGACGAAGAGCGGGAAGACCGCTCTGAATGAAAAAGAAAAACTAACATTTTTGCAGAATCCCTTTTTTTTCTGTTTTTGCGACATAGTACATAAAGAAATCAACAGCACAGAGTACATCAGAGATACTATTTATTTGATGGCAAACATAACTTCAAGCATAGTTTTGTATGAGTGAATAAGATTGTTGCATTAAAAATATAAAGAAACACATATTAGGTGATGCAGGTGCACAAGATATAAGAGTAACATAGAAAAGTAAGAGCATGCTCTGTAAAATGACTGCTGGTATTTAATCCTCTGGTTGGTCTGACTGATGTTTGCAGAGTCAAATCACCTGCAGTGTCAGTACTGTACTCACTAATGTGAAAAACTGATTATTTATGCTGAGAGTTTCACAGGAGGTGGATCATGCTCTCTGATTTTTACATTCTGGAGTTGCACGTAACGCAAAGAAGAGGCTGTGCAACAACTGTCCCCTCTGCTCCAATCAATCCAGACCCTCCTTATATAACAGAAAGCAGTGCAGAGTCCAGCATAGACACACACACACACAGTGGAGCAGCTCTGACGATGTCTTACAGAGAAACAGACTACATGTAAAGGAAAAGATGCAAACTACAAGAAAGATACAAATTTTAAAAAGAGGAAACTGCAAATATAAATATTTGAAGCAGGAGGGATGAAATTAAAGCTGTTGAGGTTCATTAATGAGGCAGAAAACAAGATTTTAATACTAAGATTGTTTGACCATGTTCCACCTCTAAATGCTGATAATCTATTGGTTGATTTGATGGTTTCTAGTTCCTATCTTAGCCAGGACTCTTTTAAAAGAGAGGTTTTTGTATCTCAGAGGTAATGACCCAGTTAAAATAAAGGTTAAATACATTTAAATTTTAAATAAAGTTAAAATAATTTGGGTCAAAGTCGTTTAAACCTGTTTTTAAACTCTGAGCGTGTCTTTTGTCTGAAGGTTCAAACTGAGAGATGAGATATTGATGTGAAATCTGGAAACTATAAATCACTCTGAAAGCGGTTAAATCTGCCGTGATAAAACCATCCGTCTCCGTCTGAGCTCTGACCTCTGATTGGTCCATCTCTGCTCGACCACCGGCTGATCGATGACATCACAGGTGGAGCTGTATTGATTTATTGATCGGAGATAACTGGACTGAGCAGCAGCTCTGAACACTTCATCCGTCAGTGCGCCCATCGACAACACGACAGCACATCGACAATACGACACGCCCCAGTGACAGAACGAGGACGCCGTGGGCAGAGACGGAGCGATTATTAAACGTTTGAATCGACGGGACGAGGCGCCAACATGGGACGGGTTTGATTGGTCCTCTTCATCTTTGCTCTTCATATGAAGCATAACAGAGAGATTAATGTGGGTGTGATCGGTGACACTGCCCCCTACAGGCTAGTAAAGATGAACTTCCCACCAAAATAAGGTAACTTCCTGTCATGAACAGACACTTTGATGCTACAGAAATAGAAGAGGAGAAAAAGAAAACACACACCTGTAATACAGAGATGTAAGAGGTGATCATCAGTCAGCTGATCTGATCTGAAATTAGTTCACTCTGTCACCATCTCTGCAGTGATGTCTCACTCTGCTTCAAATTCAACAACTGAAACTCTGAGATAAAAACATACTTTCACCTTCAGCTAAAAACAATCTTCACTTTATGTGCAGATATAACACCTCAGGTTGTGAGCGTGTGTGTGTGTGTGTGACTGTGTGTGTGAGTGTTTGTGTGTGTGTGAGTGTGTGTGTTGGCTGTTTGTTGGACAGATTAAAAACCCCAAAATGCCTTCAGTGGCAGTTTAATCACCATGTCTGATCCTCTTACCCTGCAGCTAACACAATACAAGCTAATCCAGCGACACACACACACACACACACACACACACACACACACACACACACACACACACACACACACACACACACAAACAGAGGTCTCTGAGTCATATTTCAGGAGGGAGTTTTCAGTTGAAGTCGTTTCATCACCTCTGTGACTCATTAAAACAATCGCACACTCTGATGATGATGATCTGCTATATGTGTTAATGTTTTTTATTAATATGTTTCACAGTAATTATGCTTTTTGTGTCTCTTAGTATCGATTTAAAGGTGGGGTAGGCAGGATTCCGTTAAAAAAGCATCTTTGTTTGTGGTGTTTATACAAAAAAGCTTTTAATATCGGTCAATAGCTATTAGTCATCGATGACGTTTGGTAATACAACCATATCGCTGTGTTTGTTTATGTTTGTGTAGTCAACATTTAAATTATTTTTGAGGCCCACTCTTTCTGACTGTAAGCAAAGCCATTCCCCGTCTCCCCCAAACTGATTGGTTTTGAGGCAGACGCTGCTCCCCAGTGTCGTTCAAGAGCCCAAACAAAGTTAGCGTGCTACAATATCGGAGAGTAGAAACCAACCAGAAAGTACGGAAAATTGTCTGAATCCTCCTTTAGGCACAACTGCCAACACAAGCAAGAAAACTAAGTAAATACCGGAGACTCTGGCGGAATAACAGGCGCTTCAAAAAGGAGGTAGACCGGACAAGAGCTAAAAAGCCGGGTCAACATCAGCATAAACGATGGGGGATGCTTCGGGATCTTACAGACCCTGTAACCTTTCTGCTGGACAGGCTTTAACGAAGGAAGCCAAGTGTCTGTAACAGAAGTGTTTCTTGTCAAACTGGACCTGCTGCGTGTTGTAGCACCGCTAAACGGTTGACCTCTGGTCCTGGACTATGTCACTTTATCCTCATTGTAGAAGTCCTGCAAACATTGTGTTTGCTGGTAGTCTGTTGGCATCTACTTACACGTTAACTGGGCCCCATTTGTAATTATCTGAAGTATTTATCTGCATTATATCTGAATTTAATTGGAACGATACAAGCAAGCAGGAGCGTCTGTTTGTGGGTGGGGCTTGCTGGAGCAGAGATGGAGGGAAGAGGAGGAGCTGAGGGGAAAACTGGTTGGGAGGGGTAGAGTTTACGTTCAAGATTTCTCCCAAAAACTGGCACTTCCTCAGATCCTGACTACCCTACATTTAACTGCTTCCTATGCTCACAAGTCACACTACAGTTGGCCAAACTTGTCTTACAGATTTGAGCCTTTTCCTGATTCTAAACAGGCTGAAAGATGCTGTAAGAGGATGGAGAAGTAGAGTAGTGAGGTTGTGTCTCATTGTGTGTAAAGAAACATCACTGTAAGTCTCTATTTGTTCCCTGTGACTGTGTGACATTCTGTCTGTGTGACTAATTGAAAAGTCAGATTGTGTGTCGTCTTCTTGCTGCAGTGTCGACCTATGACCTCTGCAGGCGGCCGCTGGGTTTCAGAGCATGAAAATCCTCCTAATGAGCGGAGAGAGCTCACTCTCCCCGAGCTTGCTCTCTAATTACTGTAAAGTGTTTAAAGAGCTGCTGTCAGGGAGGAGGATCGACTTACAGAGCCCGAGGACCACCACAGATCCTGTTAGAGGCTGAAACCACCATCATCCAGCTGATCAACCACCAGGGCATCATCCTCCTCATCAGCTCAACTCCCATCATCCACCTCATTATCCTACACAGCAGCATCCCCCATCATCCAGCAGATCATCCACTTTTGAATCCAACAAAATAATACAAATTAACAAATTAACTTCATCTGCTTTGAAACAGACATGGACATTCAGGAAACCTCCACAGAGGGCGCCAGAGAGCCAAAGAAGAACACTGCAATAGTGAGCAGAAACTACAGCCCAATCGCAAACCGCCCCCTACACACTCGCCCCTCACCACCGAGTGTCACTTGTAATGAAGTTACACTGGAGTGCTCCTCAACTGAAACGGGAGGGTATAAACAAGACGGGTGGGTATGGGATGTCCTCCTCACTCTACCGAAAAACGGAAAGATTCGTCACCATAGCAACACAAAGACGCGTCCTGTTAATGGCAGAGTTTCTTTTTTTAAGAAAACGGGCATCATGTATAGTTCTGAGCTGCACCGGCTGCTTCGTTTTTTCATTGTCCTACTGAAATCATATATCCAGCAAACATTACAGTGACAGGAGCTAAATTATACTTCTGATTGTTAGTGATTCCACACGTAGCTGACCCCCATTACTATTTGGCATGTGCCTGCACAATCAAATCAATCTTCAGCACAGAGTAAGATTTCAGAGTTGCATTTGATCTTTCCAGACCACGTCTTTTGGGGGCTTTTTTGTCAGTGAGACAAAGATGGACACACATGGAACTTACATTTGTATGTTGTTTCCTCCTGCTCCATTTTTGTCGGCACACTACCTGCCAGTGTGCATCGCTGCAGACTTGCTTTATGGAGGGCTGAATGGTCCACTCGCCCTCCGCACTCTGTGGTTTAGGATGGCCGTCAGTATAGCAGAGCATTCGCGGGGATGCACAAACGGAGGAGTTGTGTGTAGGGCGAGTGTGTAGGGGGCGGTTTGGGATTGGGCCTTCTAGTGTTTCAAAACCAAGGTCAGGGCTGCAGTTCCTCCAGTGTCCACTAGAGGCTGCGTCCTGTAGTGAGTCAGTCTCCATAGAACTCCATGTTAAATACTTTACAGCAGAAATAAACATGTCTACAGCCTGGGACAAAAACAGTCTGGGCCTCTAAAGATCATTTCTCTATTCAGGACAACTGTAAAGACTGAAATTTTAGGATCTATTATGTTGTCTGCCTTTTATAAAGCCTGTGGTGCAGAAAAGAGGCTCCAGGAATTTGTTCTCAGGGTTGCATAATCAGACTGAAAACGAACACAGCAGTCTATCCCTGTCTTTCTGCATCTCCCTCTTTCCCCTCTCCAAACCCAGTGCAGCAGCGGCATATGACTGTCTTACATGAGTCTGGTTCTGTTCGAGGTTTCTGCCTGTTAAAGGAAGTTTTTCCTCTCCGCTGTAACATGCTAAATGCTGCAAACATCAGCACACTGCAAACTATTATTTACTGCAACAAGTGCACTGGAGAGATCAAACGCTTTCTGCCTCAATGCTTCATTATCACAAACTTTTCCTGATGTATGTTGACAACTGAGACTCAACCAGCTGCCAGAGCAATGTCAGTTTAATGTTTGACGTTTGCTGTTTTGGCTGCCAAACAGCAGGAGAGATGAGCCGCAGTCAGGAAATTACCAGAGTAAAAACCTATTACACTGAAAAATAACAGGTATAAACCCTGGTCTGTGAGGTTTCCTGTGGGGGTCTGAGTTCAATCCCCCCACCAAGCAGCCCTGATCTCCTGGTTTCAGATTCAAAACACGTTTCCTGGGTGAGGACCTCAGATCCATTCCTGTTGATTATCCTGCAGCCGTCAGAGCTCAGCGCTGAAATGAATCTGAGCACTTTCCATCATAACTGTCAGGATCGGAGCCAAAGCCGCCTGAAAACCTGCTCTAGGTTGTAAAAACCACAAATCTGAGCCAAGTGGGCAAGATTTCTGAAGTTTCAGATCTGAAGTGTGAAAGTTAAAGCTGGTCTCACAGGGAAAGAAAGGAATGAAAAAAACACACAGAGGAGACGAAGTGAGAGTCTGCCAACTCAACAAAACATCAAACTGTATTTTTATTCCTTTCTTCAAGTTCGGAGCAGAGTCATAATCACACTGACATCTACTGCTAATGTTTTCATCCTGAAACTGAATAAATAGTTCACCGCTCAGCCACCAGAGACTGTCAAGAGGTCAAAGGTCAGTAGGTTTACCAGAAACAATAAGAAGTCAAACTGTGGTTTTAACTGTTTTAACAACTTTTTAATTCAGCTTTGAATTCTTTAAAAAGTACATTCAAAAATTGCTTTGGCAAATATTGTTGTTTATGGTTTACTCTTCCCGCAAGTGCACAAACAACTCAAAGGAAATACGTATTTTAATGTGTGCTGCCAATCATCTCCCTCACAGATATTCATTAGGACTCATTATTCACACAGTACAGAAAACAGCAAAGGGATTTGGCAGCAAAACCTTAAAAGAGAGATTTAAAACAAACTTTTATTCGCCGTTAAGCACAGTCAATATCAGATCCTGTCTGATACAGCTGGTGTGTCCAGAGTTTGAATAATTGATGATGGTACACAGGGGTGCCTTGTGGGTAAATGTACACATCTGTTAGTTTACAAAGTCCCTGATGGTTTCTGGTGCTCGGAGGGATTATTTCAGTGGATTGAACATCAATCCAAGCATCAACATAACTCACAGAGGAGCAGTTTATAGAAATAATCCAAACACCAGAGGCGAAAAGGTTAGAATCTGCTGTGTAAGTAGTAACAATCCTGTCTGTGTGTTCATGTCACATTAAAAACACACTTTAAATAGTCACATAGTGCCCAGACTGTTCACCATTTAAAGAAATGTTCCAGCGTGAAATTAATTTAGGGTCAAACACACTGTAACACTGAGTTAGACAACCTCTCGAGAGATGAATGTTGCCATCTGCTTTCTTCTCTAGTTTTACCAACTTAAGTAACGACCGCACGATAGCAATACACAGCGGACTGAGGAGCCATAAACAAACCTCAACCGAAACACCACTCTATAGCCAAAAATATTGCTCAGAACAGCACCTAACTTCATCAACAGTACATATAGGGTCCTAGCCATAGCACTAGCCACCAAACATCTTTTTAACTTTGCCTAATTTCTTTAGCAAAGAGACTAAACACAACTCACCTACTCTCTTCCAGCAGCCGTTTGTTTGTAGGGAGACCTCAGACGAGTTGATCACCGACTGCAGTGGGGTTTCACAGCTCAAGGAAGAACATTTATGATAATTTCTTCATGGAAATGCAATCAGACCGAGACACTAAGGCAGAAGAACTCCTGTGTCTGCAGTACAAAATCCCTCAAGGAGATGTCTAACTCTGTGTTACTTAATTTTACGCCAGAATACCCCTTTAACTAGTAACATTGAATCAGACAGGCTTTGATTTACTCTGTGTTTAGATTATTTTTAAAGAGCCTTACGTTAGAAACTCTGTGAAAAAGTATCATATCAGCACCACGGACAGCAACAAACAACAAATAAACTATATTTATATTACTATTGTTTCTCTATATTAAATGTGTGTTTCTCTGTAATAATAACATGATCTGTAGTCGTCCTGACCTTTAAGACCATCAGCCTATTTTTAGATCTAAACAGTGAAATCACAAACAGGATCTTTGAACTCAGGGTGAGTCTCCTCCCTCTGCACTCTCTTGATAAAAATAACTCTCTGTAGATAAATGAGCTGTTATATACCAGTCCTGCAAGACCTGATCCAGGCCCTGATCCTGAGTCTGAAGGTCCTCAGAGGTCCGATGGACCCTGCAGTGACAGTCCTGAGGCAGGTAGTGATGAGACTAATTCACCGTAGAGGCTAGAGGAGAGGGGTGTACGGCAGAGAGGAGATGAAGGAGAGCAGAGAGATAAAGAGGGTTTAAACACCAGCCCCCTCCCCCTCTCCTCTTCCTCCTCTTCCTCTTCTTTTCTGTTAAAGCTTTAAAGGAAGATAAAAGAAGGCTGAGCTGAGAGCCGAGAGGAGCTCAAGGTTGAGTAAATGTGCGGACCCCTGACAGTAATGGAGCTGCAGGATTCAACAGAAGCTTCAGCTGGTTCACACTCAGACTCTAAAACTGAGAGCCAGAAAAAAAACAGGTCAGTTTAGTCCCTCATGAGCTGTTTCTCTGTGTTTTACTGCTCTCTGTTCTCTTCAATCAGCTGCGCTCAGGATTTATGTCCAACTGCAGAAAAACTACACCGATCGCACACACACACACGCCGGAGACTGAAATAGAAAAAGAGAGAAGAGAAAACTGTCTATTTAAAAGTGCCAGAGTCAATCTGATCCATCAGACCTGGAGGTGCTCCACAGATCACACTCAAAATCACTTTGAAATGGCTTTGATATATGACAGAATTGAACGACATCATATTAAAGACATTCAATCTTAAAATGAACTACAGTACATCATATTTAAGAGAGGATATAAAGGGACGTGTTGGGGGAGTTTCAGAGAGAGCAGGTTATTGATATAGAGGATAAATGAGACGATAAAGACGAACATGATGATGTGTGAGAGAGGGTTTCTATAACAGAGGGGGGGATGAGCTGAAATCCTCAAGGGTGACAGAGTTAATTAAACATGGAGGATACACACACGTGCACGCACACATGCACACACACACACACATTATCTACATCTGAGCTTGTTTGCACACGCTCAGTTTCATTTTTATTGTCTTCAACATCAGAAAAACTAAATGCTCAGCCTGAGGTACAAAGAGAGAACACACACACACAAACTGACACACACACATCACACACACAGAGCACAGAGCTCAGTTAATCATGCTCTGTTCTCTAAATGGCTGATTTTTCTCTCTGAGGAGTTTCTGCAGTAAAATTAACAGTTTAGAGAAACTGAAGCAGAGAGGGAGCTCTGACAGAAACACGCTCAAGGAGTGTCAAAATATTTCTCTGTTCAGACAAGAATGCAAACTCCAACCAGTGGATCATGTCAAACACCGTAGAAGAACATCTCATTAACGGATTTATATTCTGATCTTAAAAAGCCTTCATTAAACTGTGTATGAAGTGGTGAATTATTTGAGTGTGGTTTACGTTTTCACCCTGTGTTAAAGTGCAATAAAGATGTAGGAGTGGTCTTTCTTACTTCAATATGTCTTTTACCTGTCTTGTACTGTATATTGACATCATCATTTTCCAAACCTTTGATTTAACTATTAAAAAAAATGACAAGACAAAGTTTTAAAAAAATCTCTACCACGAAGGCCGTATTTTTGTAAAACCTCCATTCTTCTGTATTCCATTTCCTCTAAGTTTATGTTAACTGAATCCCCACCTGTCTTCACTGAGTCTCAGTTCTACTGTACCTGCCTCCACTGAGTTTCAGTTTTACTGTATCTGTCTTTACTGAGTCTTAGTTTCACTGTATCTGTCTTCACTAAGACTTAGTTATACTGTATCAGCCTCCACTGAGTCTTAGTTTCACTGTATCTGTCTTCACTAAGACTTAGTTTTACTGTATCAGCCTCCACTGAGTCTTAGTTTTACTGTATCTGTCTTCACTAAGACTTAGTTTTACTGTATCAGCCTCCACTGAGTCTTAGTTTTACTGTATCTGTCTTCACTGAGTCTTAGTTTTACTGTATCAGCCTCCACTAAGTCTTAGTTTCACTGTATCTGTCTCCACTGAGTCTTAGTTTTACTGTTTCAGCCTCCACTAAGTCTAAGTTTCACTGTATCTGTCTTCACTGAGTCTTAGTTTCACTGTATCTGTCTTCACTGAGTCTTAGTTTCACTGTATCTGTCTTCACTGAGTCTTAGTTTTACTGTATCAGCCTCCACTAAGTCTTAGTTTCACTGTATCTGTCTTCACTAAGTCTTAGTTTTACTGTATCTCTTTTCACTGAGTGTCAGTTTTACTGTATCTGTCTTCTCCTAGTCTTAGTTTTACTCTCTCTTCACTGAGTCTCAGTTTGACTGTAGCTGTCTTAACTGAGTCGTCAGCCCGTTTACAGTGCTTAAAAGCCAAAGTTAACAAATTTGACTCAATCAGTGAAAGTAAACAGTAAGCAAAGATGCTGATATGATCTTGTGAGAAAACTTAAGAATTGTTCAGAACTGTCTGCTAGAACAAAAATTAGTTGTGACTAGTTTTTCTTTAATCAGTTTGGTCTGAACATTTCTCTACAGTGTCTCAGAGTCCAACTATCTTTACACTGAAGAAAATTCAACATAGCAACTTGTAATTCAGGAAATACACCTTCTCATACCCGAACTAAAAGCCCTTTGTCTGTTACCACTGTTTCTATATATTAACTCCACAGTGTGTTTCCTACTGAGAAAGCAGCTGTGTGTGTGTGTGTGTGTGTGTGTGTGTGTGTGTGTGTGTGTGTGTATACTGTATATCAGAGTAACTCAGCAGTAGTTAAACCCTGCGGCCCTCCTGTGTGATGTGTGCGCATGTGGTTGTGCGGTGTGAATAATTGAATCAGCGCTGAGGGTTAAATTACTGAACGCCTGAGAACCAGGGATCAGCTGGCACGGCCTCTCTCTCTCTTTCTCTCCTTCTTTTTCTCTCTGTTTCTCCCTCTGTCTCTCTATCATCAGATAATGGCTCAGCCTTTTGGGAGATGCGGTTTCTGAGCGTGCCAGATTGCAGAGCAGAGGTTGAGTGTTGACAGAAGAGAGCAAGCTGCGTGTTAAACTGATCCAACATTCACACTGAGAGCCTGCAGGTCAAATATGATCTGAAACTGTGAAAATGAGACTCTGTAAACATCCAACTTTATAGATTCAAATTTAGCCAATCAGGTCAGCTCTTTCTTTTCTCTTTTAAAAAGCTCAGCACAGGTTTCTCATCCTCAGGAGATACTGAATCATCACAGGTGGATATCCAGCTTCTTAATGAGCAGCCAGGAGACACATACAGTTTAACACTGCGGTTTATGTTGTGTTTAAGCGCTCCACACACTCCTCATCAACTTTAGTGTATAATTTGTTGTTTTTCAGTCTTGTTCTCAGAGATCTGACTCTAAATCAGATCTTTTTAAGCTCTTTATCAGCAGTGTGATACTGGAGATGTCGCTGTTTAGTCTCGGCCTCTTTAATGGGGAACTGCAAAGACAGCCAGCATGCAAGCTAGGCTACAGTTTTCTAAAAACAGGGCGACTCTGAGCTCATCTCAGTTTAAAGGGATATTTCAGCGTAAAATTCATTTAGGGTCAAACACACCGTAGCACCGAGTTAGATACCCTGTCAAGACATGAATGTTGCCGACCGCTTGCTTCTCTAGTTATACCAACTTTAGTAACGACCGCACGATAGCAATACAGAGAGCCACGCACTCAACCAAACATCTTTTTAGCTTTGCCTAATTTCTTTAGCCGGAATATCCCTTTAAGTTCATATGGTACTGAAAATATGTGTCGCACTTTGCCACCAGATGTCTCAGAGTTGCCCCATCTGCAAAAAAATGTGGCCTAGCTTGCGCAGCGGATCCCCATGCAGTTTCTCAGTGAAGGAAGTCTAGCTGACCAACATCCATTGCAGCTAAAAAACTTACTGTTTATATGTAATTCTTCTAACTTCGCTCTAAAAGCACTCGAATATCCCTTTAGGTTCAGGTTTTAGGCAGCAGCTCAGCTGGCAGCCCCTGAAGTCCTGCAGAAAAGCATCAACGACAAACAACAGTATTTAACTGGTTTGAATCATCAGGTCTTTTTGTTTCAGGGACATAAAGACTATCATGCTGCACCTTTAAACCAAACAGAACCAGAACTTGACTCAGTGTGAGGTGGTGCAGAGACGAGTACATAAAAGGTGTCCCACAGGGTAATTTACTCAGACCACTACATTTTTGAACTAAGAAATCTGTGTGACTGTTTGCATCAGTTTTTATGCAGATGAGCCAGTTTTGTACATCTACCTTTCAAAACAAGCTTATTAAGTGTTCTCTGACAGACACAATTAGACACAATGAGGACCCAAAGAAAAATAGCTGTTACTGCGGTAATAACTAATGGGGATCCTAAAAACATGAATACATTTATTCTTACATTTTCACAGCTGATATTATCTGCAGATGTTGCTGCTCCCCATGAGATGAACCCTTTATAAATCAATGACTTTATTTAGTTTCAAATCAAACTTTTCTTTTTAGTCTTGAAGAAAGGAGAAGTAGTCATAGTAGGCTAACTGCCTGTAGGCGACACTTTCCATCCGCCTGCTGGCTGAATCTTTAAGTTTGGAGTCCGCTGTTCTCTGTCTCGAACTCTGAGCTCTTTATAATTCAGAGTATTTCAGAGAATATTTCTTTTCACTGTCTGAGTTTGAAAGTTTGTTTGTGCAGAGCGGGGACCTCCTGTATGTTTTCAAAAAGAATAAAAATGTGGAGGATGGAGGACAGGAGCAGAAATCTGAATAAAAATGCACATATTTTATTTCTGTGTACCCGACATGTTCCTGATGACTTCCCTCTGACTCCAGAGTTCAGCTGAGCTCAGAAATAAAACCTTTGACAACTTCACATTAGCCGGGCACCGCTGTGGAAACTACCGGGCTGAAAACTGCAGAGAAATAAAGATCAACAACGAAGAGAAAAAGTAGATTTACAGACAAAAATACAACAAGGAGAAGAGGCTCAGTCTGAGTCAGAGTGGGGGAAAGTGTAAAGAGAGGGAGTCATAGGAAATCTGAAGAAAAAAGGATTTAAAATAAATACTTTTGCACAGATTTATCATAAATCTGCAGATTATTAAAGCTTTTAAAATTATTTAAATAAGAAATGACTTTTTAGACAGCTGGTGAAGAAATATCTGTACAATTTCTGTATTTTTCCCTCCTGAAAAATGAAAACTGAACCTCTGATACTTGACAGAATCTCTTTATTTTATCATTAACAAGACGCTGAGATCTAAAAAAAGAATAAATATATGAATATACATTTGTATGGCACACTGTCATAGAAAGATGATCCCTTCATATTTCTGCTTCTGCTGACCCCATACTGTGACCTCTGTCAGAAATAATCCTGAGCACAAGAGAAGAGGAAGAAGATGATGAGGATGAGGAGGATGGAGGATGATGGGATGTAAAGAGTCTCTGAGCTGAGATTAACATGTCAGCGCTCTGCAGTGGAGCTGTAATTTATCAGAACTTAATTCAACCAATCAGAGGGCAGCGGCGTCTCATCATAAAGCGGTTATTTATAAGGGCTTGATTCAGCCAATCAGAGCAAAGTGACTTATCAAACTGCAGTTACATGAAAGAAAGCAATGGAGAGAGAAAGATAGAAAGAAAGGTAGAAAGGTAGAATGAACGAAAGGGAGAAAGAAAGAAAGAAAGAAAGAAAGAAAGAAAGAAAGAAAGGGAGAAAACAAGGGAGAAAGAAAAAAGACAAAGAAAGCAAAACAGACAGGGAGAAAGAAAGGGAGGGAGAAAGAAAGAAAGAAAGAAAGAAAGGGGAAGAAAGAAAGACAGAAAGAAAGAAAGAAAGAAAGAAAGGAAGAAGAAAGAAAGAGAAACAGAAAAAGAAAGAAAGAAAGGAGGGAAAGAAAGGGAGAAAATAAGAAAGACAGAAAGAAAGACAGAAAGAGAGAAAGACAAAGAGAAAGGGAGAAGGATACAAAGGGAGAGAGAAAGAAACAAAGAAAGAAAGAAAGAAAGAGAAATAGAAAAAAGAAAGACAAAAAGAAAGAAAAAAGAAAGAGAGAAAGAAAGAAACAAAGACAGAAAGAGAGAAAGAAAGAAAGAAAGAAAGAAAGACAGGAAGGAAGAAAAAAGAAAGAAAGAAAGAAAGAAAGAAAGAAAGAAAGAAAGAAAGAAAGAACAACTTTCCATGGTTACGTACAGAGTGTGTCTCCTCTTTAAATCAGTTGAAAGTCTCTGTTCACGTCTGATTCTGACATTTTATTAACATCCTTAAAACAAGACCATCCTGCTGCCTCAGCTCAGAGTGGGAAAAACAGAGAGAGTGTTTGTGGAGGGAGAGAGAGAGAGAGTAAGAGCTCCCTCGGGCTGGAAACCAACCCCCTACACACACCAGAGACCACCGCCTCACACACACACACATACGCACACACACTCAGAGTCTGCAGCAGCTCTGAACATCAGCCTCCATCACAGCAGACTGAAACAGAGGATGAGGAGGAAGAGAATAAAGAGTTAAAGCAGCCGATAAGTCGACAAACCCCAAGAAAACTGCCCCAAGAGCAATAAAGTGTAAAGAGTAAATGTCAAATGTGTGTCAGTCAAACTAATATCTACATGTTTTACCCTCACTGATCCTGACGTTACTTTAAAATGAACTCTGAGGATAAAGCTGCAGCTCTGTCAGCCGCAGCTTCTGTCTGAATAATGACTGCAAAGAGCAGCGGGAGGGAAAACTGCAATAATCAGATTTTTATTTGAAAAACAGGAAATTAATGAGACGACTGAAAACCTCCATCATCCTCCCAGAGGCATGAAGACTTTTACAGCTTCCTCGGAGTCATTTATCCAGAGAGACACACAATTTCAAAATATTAAAAAGCAAAACCAGTCATTCAGACGATCTCTATTAAAAACCCTTTGAACAACTGAATAACAAACCTATAATTTAGACATATCCTGTCACTACTTCATAGATCAAAGTAGCTCAGAAAAGATGATGAAGTCACCCTGAAATAATAAGCGGCATCGCTAAGATTTCTGCTTTAGCACGAACAAGACTCTGATCAGGTTTCTCAGTAAGATCTGAACACATGATGGAGAGAAATCAGGCAGTTTAGTGTTTCTCATTAACATCCTCGGAGAGATCAATCTGTGCAGCGTGTTCAACTCTGCGTCTAACCGCCAACATGTCAGCTGAGGATCCGTCTAACTGCTGGATTCTCATCCTCACTTTATTTATAGGTCCGTGTGTGCGAGTGATTGAGTGTGTCTGAATTAGCATGTTGTCAGTATGCACATGTGTTAGAGCATCACACCATGAACATGTTCAATTATGCGTGTTCAGCTCGTTATCCACACAGAAAAACACGACAGCAGAGAGGCGAAATCAAACACACACACACACACACACACACACACACATAGCTTGGGATTGTGGGTAATATCTGAGTAATGACGGCGTGATGAGCACACAGCGTGTTTGGGGAGAAACAAACAAATAGAAGAAGAAGAAGAAGAAAGGAGACTTCACACCTCCACCTGTCAGCTCTGATCTGTGTCTCTGTCAGTCACTTCACCTCCTCTCTGTAGAGATCTGATTGTATCAAGAAAAAACTGATTTTAGTGAAAATATAATAAGTTTTTACAGACAAACACAGTTTCTGAGCGTGAAGCGGATTGTTTGCACGAAATGTAAAAAGAGTGGGTTGAAGATCCAGAGATGAGGGCAGCACGTTTGGTGGGCAGAGACTCTGACTTTGCACTTAATACACAGAGCGTGTGAAGAGGAAAGGTGAGAGACAGGTGTGATGTGAGAGTGTCAGCGGAGAGCGAGGCCTCAGGTGTGAATCAGCAGGTAGAACAACGTGTCAGCTGATCCGGTGTCAGACACACCATGACATTCACACACTCACTCACACACACACACACACACACACACACACACACACACACACACACACACACACACACACACACACACACACACACACACACACACACACACACTCTCTGAGAGGAAACTACTGCAGGGTTCAGTTCAGTTTGAGACTGAAATACATCCTGTTTGAACTCAATTACAAAGAGTCAGTTTGGTTTGTTAAAACTCTGATTATATTTGAATATGGTGAATAATTAAATATGACACTATGAGAATAAAACATTGATAAAGAGTCAGAATAAGTGCAGCATATTCCTTCTGTTTCCTCTTGTAGAGATAATGAGTAAACTTAAGTCCCAGACTCAGAGCTGAACATACAACCACAGCTCGGTTTGTCAGCACACTGACTAAATTTCAAATTACTGTAAGGCTGGAGGAGTTTCATAAAGTAATTTCATTTTAAAAAGCACTGTGAGGTTAAAAGCTAAGTTCATACAGGACTCAGACACACTGATGAACAGAGGTGAGGAGATGTCTTCATGTTCAGTTGATGTCTTTGAAGACCACCAAATATGTTCAATTTGGTTTTCACTTATTTCAATACAAGAGAGGACAGAAGGTCATGGATTAGGTCAAACAGGCAGCAGAGTAACCAATAAAGACTGAGCATTAGTATGAGTGTCTTCTTTCACTCCTCCACTTTTATGCATCACCCACATCTTTTCAGATGTCCTCTACTCGACTTGAAAGAGTTCAAAAAATCTCTTATGCAGTATGTATGCAGTTTGTTTTTTGTAAAACTATTAAAAGGGGGTGTATTCAGTTTCTGTCCCTGTGGTCCAGTCTGTTTCTCCTTCCTCTGATAGCTCTCTAGTCTCTCCATGACTTAAACTCAAAAACTCTTTTCATATCTCTGTTTGGAGTCTTTGAAAACCTTAACTTCTGCTTTTATCTTAAACATTTCACCTGAGCAACTGTCTCTTTCTGACACTTCAAAGACCTCCAGAACACAGCATGGTAGAACAAAGCATTCTAGAACCCCAAAATTCCAGAACCCAGCATTCCACAACCAAGCATTCCAAAACCAAGGATTCCAGAGAATTAGAATTTTAGAATTTTAAAATCAAGCATTCTACAACCGAGCATTCTCGAACTAACCCTAACAAAACCCAGCACTTTCGAACCCCGTGTTCTAGAACTTATCTTAATAAAACTCCAAATTCTAGGACCCAGCATGAAAAACCAAGCATTCATAAACCCAAAATTGCAGAGTTGAGAATTCTGGAACCCAGCATTTTAAAACCCAGCATTCTAGAACCAAGCATTTTAGAACTAACCCTATCAGAGCCAAGCACTCCTGAACCCTGTTCTTAAACCCAGCATTCTAGAACCCAGCATTTCAAAACCCAGCCTTCTAGACCCATGCATTCTGGAACTAACCCTACCAAAAACCCAGCACTTCTGAACCCAGTGTTCTAGAACCCAGATTACTAGAATCCAAAATTCCAAAACCCAGCATTGCACAACCAAGCAATTCAAAACCAAGAATTGCAGAGTTATTGAGAATTCTGGATCCTAGCAATTTAAATGAGTATTCTAGAACTAACCCTATCAAAGCCCAGCACTCCTAAGCACACTATACCAAAACACCGTATTCTAGAACCCCGTGTTCTTGAACTCACCATTCTAGAACCCCAAAACTCCAGAACCCAGCATTGCACAACCAAGCATTCCAGAGCCCAGAATTGGAATTTTAGAATTTTAAAATCAAGCATTCTACAAACGAGCATTCTCGAACTAACCCTAACAAAACCCAGCACTTTCGAACCCCGTGTTCTAGAACTTATCTTAATAAAACCCCAAATTCTAGGACCCAGCATGAAAAACCAAGCATTCATAAACCCAAAATTGCAGAGTTGAGAATTCTAGAACCCAGCATTTCACAACCCAGCATTCTACAAATGAGCATTCTCGAACTAACCCTATCACATCCCAACACTCCTGAACATAGTATTCTGAAACAACAATCCCAGAACCAAGCATTCTTGAACCCAGCATTCTAGAAACCCAACATTCTGGAACCCAACAGTCTTGAACACAAAACTTTGAACATACCAGTCTTAGAACCCAGCAATTAACAAAAATAAAATCACTCACAGACATTTAATCCACCTTATGTAAGTGTCTTCACAACAATTCCTCTATTGTTCAGATATGTTGCATATTCTTAATGGATCTCCATGTTGTCTGCCCTCTTGCATGTGTGAGTAGAACTATAAAGCTTTACTGCACTGTTTTCTTGTTGTATTTTTAATGCTACTGCATGCCGAGTTTCTCTATTTTTCTCCCTTCAGGGCCAATGCAGACTGTTTTCATGATTTCATCAACTGAAACATAAAACATGTGAAGAGGAGTTATTGATCAGGAACACGCTGAGACTCTGAACGCTCAGACACTGAGAAGTTTGAGTAAAACATGTCCAAACTTTGTTTCCTCTGCGGCTCTAAAACTGACTTATTCATGATTCCTCTGCTTCACACATTCCCACTCAGCAGACGATTCGGAGAGAAACAGACTGACTGAGACTGACTCATCATCAGATCAGGCACTGAGAGGAACAAACACCTGGGAAACTTTTACATGGAAACTCAAGAGCACAAAGATTTACCGAGGAAGAACTACCTGCAACAGGCGAGAACATTCTGAGGATAAAAGCTTTTATTTTGAAGGGACCAAAGAAAACAACATCCTCTTCCCCAATAAAAAACTGATCACTTTCATTGATCTGATTAAATGTGTTTTAACTGCAGTCACATGACCAGCAGCATGATCTGATCACAGGGCAAAGGTTAATCAATATCAGCTGATCAGCTACACAGTCTATATTAAATATGTTAAGATAAAGCTACCTCATTGGCTGGTTACCTATGATGTCAGCACTCTAACTGGTCATATGAGAGCAGAGTGATCCCCAGGGAGTAATCACAGTGTTTTGATCATTAGGTGTTATTGATCATTGATTAGCGTCTGAATATTTCACTGCCGCAGCTTCAGACTGAGAATACTCTGATCAGACGTCCACAAGCAGGTTTTTTTTTCATGTTTCCTCCTCTCCTCTCCCATCCTCCTTCTCCTCACTCTCTTCTCTCCTCTCTTCACTTGTCCTTTCCTGTGCAATGCTGACCACTGCAGAAATCCTGATCACATCGAACATCAAATCCTGTTTCAGGGTCGCACTGTTCTCAGTCTAAGGAAGGTTAAAGGTCACAGCAAAGATCTGTTAATCACCATGTTTGATGGTATGTCAGAGAAGGTGATATGCTTGAGTTTAATCTGATCAGTCTGTGTAGTTTTTATGATACAGGATAAGTCAAAATGTCAGAATTTACCCCTCACTCTAAAAAATCAAGCAGCAAATCACCCAGAGGTTATAGCAAGGTATATACCCAGGTCAGAGAAGACCTATGATTGTGTGTGTGTGTGTGTGTGTGTGTGTGTGTTACAGGTTAGCCCTCCTGCAGCTTTCAGGTCACCTTGGAGACGGTCTCCAAGCAGCACCATCTGGTCTCCTCGGTGATACAGTAGAGTGAGGAGTTTACAGTTCATGCTCTGCTGCCCTGAACACACACACACACACACACACACACACACACACACACACACACACACACACACACACACACACACACACACACACACACACACACACACACACACAGGTACATCATAGGCTGTGTGAGCCAGCTTGTAACACCTGGTTTCATGACACTATGGGGTCATGTGATCAGTGATCTGCTGACTCTCTGAGTGCTTTAAGGTTATTTAACCATTTATGTCAAACAGCCGATGATGTCACTGACCTGAAACAAACAGGAAATGATGTCACATGTCAATAAGCAGGTCATCACGGAAACAGTTCTCATAGTTATGCACACTGCGCTGACAGTGTTACAAATTAAAACTCATTTATACTGTTTCACTGATTACTTTCAATCGGGGCAACTCTAAAAAGAGAGCAATCAGCAACAAGATACAGCGGGCAATATAACAACTGCAAGAAACAGCAACCAGCAACTAGTCGGCAGGAAACAGCCACAAGTCTACAGAAAAGAGTAACTAGCAACATGTCTACAGGAAACAGCAACCAGCAACTAGTCGGCAGGAAACAAAAAACCGGCAACAAGTCTGCAGGAAACAGCAACAAGTCTACAGAAAAAAGTAACTAGCAACGTGTCTACAGGAAACAGAAACCAGCAACGAGATAGCAGGAAACAAAAACCAGCAACAATTCTGCAGGAAACAGAAACTGGCAACAAGTCTGCAGGAAACAGCAACAAGTCTACAGGTAAGAGCAACGAGTCTGCAGGGGACAGTCACAAGTCTACTGGAAACAGCAACCAGCATCAAGTCTGCAGGAAACAGCAACAAGTCTACAGGAAACAGAAACCAGCAACTAGTCTGCAGAAAACAGCATCAAGTCTGCAGGAAATGGCAACAAAACAACAGGAAACAGAAACCGGCAACAAAACAACAGGAAACAGAAACCGGCAACAAGTCTGCAGGAAAAAGCCACAAGTCTACAGAAAAAGAGTAACTAGTCTGCAGGAAACAGTAAACAGAAACCAGCAACTAGTCTGCAGGAAACAGCATCAAGTCTACAGGAAACAGCAACCAGCAACAAGTCTACAAGAAACAGAAACCAGCAACTAGCCTGCAGGAAACAGCAACTAGCAACAACCGGATAAGGGGCTGGCAGCAACTAAGGATGAGTATGAAATGTGTAGAAAAAGGTCGAACGGTCAAAGCAACATAATAAGAAACAAGTGCCCAACATACCAAAGGAAGGCTGGTGATAAATCAACAAGTAGTGCTAATTAGTTAATGATGAGGTAGCAACGAGTTGTTCATCAAGTCACCAACGGCATAGCAATCAGACAGCAACATGTCGACCTAACTGGGAGAGAAAGGCTGAAAGCAATTAGCTTGAAAGCAGAAGACACACTGATAAAACAAGTCCCCTTAATGTTGACATGACAAGTTCTACTGTTCAATAACATAACAACACACTGGCAGCAAGTCAAGGGCAATCTATCAAAGAGTCCACAGCAATTCAGAAACAAGTCCTAAGCAATTCAGCAACAAATCATGAGCAACTTATCAACAGTAATTCATCAACAAGTCAGAAACAATTTGGCATAAATCAGCAGTGAGAGTACACAGGGGTGGCAACATGCTTGCAACAAGCAACCAATAACTTAGATGGCAACTTTTTATTACTTGAATTTGATGATGAAGCGATACTGAAAATATATTAGACCGGAAACAAATCAGTAAAAGTCAACAAGTCAGCAATAAGTCAGCAACAGGTCAGCAACCAAACAGAAATGGGTCAGCAAAAATGTTGGCAAGAGTTTTGCAGTGAGTAAGCAAAGTTACAGCAATAAGCTCGAGACAGAACAGGAACAGAACACTGAGCTTCATGAGAAAAAAATCAGCGGAATGTTCCTTTAAATTATCCTGATTAGAACCACAGAGTTTGATCGAACCTTCATCAGGTTTAGACACAGAAACATGATCTCCTCTTCTTCTGTGACATTTTAATCTGCTGACTCCACACTCTCACACACACACACACACACACACACACACACACACACACACACACACACACACACACACACACACACACACACACACACACACACACACACACACACACACACACACACACACACACACACACTCTCTCTCTTGGGTTGTGTACATTATTTATTATATATGAAGCAGGAGCAGCAGCTTCAGTCTGATTAACTCTGCAGATAAAAACTTATTTATGACTTTAATTTAGTGAACAGGTTTCCGCCGCAGGAAATAACCAACTTTAATTTGGTCCTCGTACGACCTCCACTCATTAAATCAGCTGAAAACACAGAGTTCAACCCTAATCTGGAATTATTTATGGATTAATTACTAAATAAAATTAATTAGTTACAAAGTGAAACAAGGATCATAAACTCTCTGTGTTAGGAGTGATTTTTTAAAGAGTAGAAACCTTAAAAAGTTCACAGGTTTACCTTTATTAAAGAAAGTGTTGTTTGAAAGCAATTAAAAGTTTGTAAAAGTAAATAAAAGTCAATATAATGAATATCTAAATCGAAGTTTCACTCTCAGGTTGAGTCATGTGACCTGAAGCAGGTAAGTTTAGCGAGTCCGACTCTCCTCTTATATCTCTGGCTACTCTGAGCTCTGATTGGTCGAGGATCTGACTACTGGACTGATCTCCTCTTTATCCTCCAGCTGTTATCACATGATCCCCGGCGCCCAATCAGAATCCTCCTCAGTCTCCTCTAAAACTCTGCTATCCTTCAGCTCTTGCCTCCACTTTTTCCCAGAGAGATCTAGCTCATCGACTCGCTGTCAGGTGGCCAGGTCGACCTGCGGCGGGGGGAGGAGGAGGGTGTATAGGAGGGGGAGGACGCTGCAGCTCAGGTCGTGTCTTTATCTATGTGATAATGTTTCCTCTCCAAGGTGAGCGTGATACCATCAGATAACGTCAGGAGGATGAATGGGCCAAAGTCTGCACACTCACTCTGACTGTCTTAATCTTTGGGAGGCTGAGAGAGACAAGGACAGGAGGGACAGCAGACACTTTGAACAGGTCTCTGTGTTGACCTGCATCTGTCCTACAGAGACTGACCCCCAATTTTCACTGCATCCAGAACGGCTACAGAAAGGCCGTATCCACCAAACGCAGCTGATCCTAACTATTCAAGTTAACGTGTCAATTTCCACCGGCTTCTTTCCAGTTGCCGGACTCCGCACCTGATCGCAAGAGTTCTATTTTTTCCAGACGCCAGAGCATGCCGGATAAATTCAGCACAGATTAACTTGTGCTGGAAAGGAATTCGGGCACAGACACAAAATAAAACATCCAGCTTCTTTTCAAAATAAACCACTCTGTGTTTCAGGAGGATCGTATTTCACACCATGCAGACAGACGGGGACGAACAAGTGAAAGGTTTTTAGACAGCATTTCACTCCAATGACACCATGGATGAGAGGACGCTGATTTTATAATTCCAGAAGTAGATTTCCTCCTCTGGAAGGACACAATCTACTGCTAGTATGGTTAGCCTCTGTGGCTAAGAGACAATTTGTTCTTGTGCAATTGCACGTGAATCTGCGGGTTCTTGTGAGTTCTTGCAATTACCGCTGTCCGTAATCCACCACGAAATTCATCTCACAAACGGATCGAGGAAGGACGGTAGGAATTGGCGTATGGCGAAAAATCGCCGCCAAATCCGGATTCGAGCCGTTCCGGATTCAGTGGAAATCACGGGTAACCCTCTGATCAGCAGGTACAAATGTGTTTAGCTCAACTACGCTGCTGCCACACTTCAAATACACATCCTGTATGCAATACCCAATGCTGCTCTATGGAGCAAATACGGAACGCGCTCAATATGGATCCTGTATGTTTTCGACTTAAGAGTGATGTTGGTCTTGTGGCAGTATTTTTCGTTAAAGTCTGGAAAAGAAATTGCAGCTGAGTGAAAAACTTGTCATGCACAGTTTTGTGCCAATATCGGATCAATATCGTTATCCGTCAATATTGAAGGCTACAATATCGGTATCGTATCGGAAGTCGAAAAGTTGCATCTGACCACTCTGATCTACAGGCCAGACTGAAAGAAGACCTCATGTGTTTATTTCTGATCCTCAGAGGATACACCCTGCAGTTGCTGACCTCTTGTTAGCTCTGTCAGATGATGCATTGATCAGTAGATAATTATTGATCAGCAGCTTCAGAATGACTCCTGGCTGACCCTCTGAGCTCTGCAGCAGGAGTCAGCCTCCTCGGCTCACAGTAGGGTTCAGTATCACCATGACCCCTCGGTGAATTTAAAGCCTTAGACCCCCGAACACTGTAAAACATCAGCGTCCGACACCTCTGGGGTATTCAACAGCTGGTGTGTATCTCTGAGTGTAATGAGTCAAAGGGAGCCGATCTCAGTGTGAAAGCTCTCCCGCAGTCTGATAAACTGAAGTAAAACGGTTCACTCAGAGTCAGCGTGGGGTTCGAACCCCCATCCCGCCTGTTGCCGTAGAAACAAAGAGCTGTTGCTCTCCCGCAGCACATTAAACAGGCGAGTACATTAGAGCAGAGGGATCGATATAAAGCAGAGAAACAATGAAAAACACACAGCAGCACGTCATTCATCATGTCCCAGCACACACAGGATCATTAACATCACACACTTATACACACACACATACACACACACACATGCACTCAGAAGAAACAGAGCGTTATCGTTGTGCTGAGCTGTTCTCATCAACATAATCAGAAGAAAACAGCTTCAGACCTCTAATGTTCGCTTTCTCCAATAAACTGAGAGCTCAGCCATCAGAGGTGATCACATTATCACTGAGAGGCTGAATACTAACATAGAGCATGATTTATTACCCAGCCGCACCAGGGACTAATACTTCTGCATCCACTGCTTCGGATATTCATACCATCATACAGCACGCAGAGGTCCTCCTCAGAGGAAATCAAACCTCCTCAGAGGAACTAAAAACTCCTCAGAGACTGAAGGAGAGTCTGAAACCAATAGATCTACAAACGTGGACCATTTAAACCACATTATTGACCATAAAAACACCGGCACGGCTTCACCTAAGGTCACCCGAGCCTCCTGAATAATCTCTACGTCTAATAACAGGACCGTGAAAACCTTAATGCAGTCCACATCAAAGTGTAACCCTTTAAAGACCATAACCTCCCCCGTGACTCATTTTAACACGAAGAACTATTAAAAAACCCACAGGAACCTTTTTAAAACCACAAGACCTCCTGAAGCTTAGCCCAGTCCAGAGCTTTATTGTCCCTCGAGGTAAATCTGAGGTACAAACGGGCCTTCGAACATTTAACCTCTTCACCTTCTCCTCTTCTTCTTCAATCAACTGATCAAACACTGAGGGTTTATCCTCCAAAGGACACAAAGAGCTCAGCAGGTGTTTACAGGTAACAGCTGTCTGCACCTATTGTTGTTCCATACACACAGTAAGTGTGTGTGTGTGTGTGTGACGTTACGTAGGGAAACAAGGTGAGTTTCTCCTCTCAGTTCCACACCTGCTGTTGTAATTACCCTCAGGGACAAACAGGATAGGATAACACACACACACACACACACACACACACACATAGACACACACTTGTACAGAGCTGTCAGGGTGTTATAATGGTGTGTTAACTCTGATGGATGAGGGGGGCGGAGCTCTAACTGAACCATCAGACTGAAACTCCAAACAAAGTTAAACCAGGTTAAAATATCAGACCTGATCAGCTGATCTGAACACACACTCGACCAATCAGCCGACAGCAGGTAACCAAGCAACCAAACAACTAACCCATCCATGTTCGTATGTTTGTACAGGCTGATGGACAGATTCTCTGCAGAGGTTCACCTCCAGTCTGAAACACCTCTACCTGTCCATTAACCTGCTGATCCCTCTGCTGCATCCGCGGCCTGTTTTTATTTTCTTTGTGTCCAATCTCATAAAACAGATTCAATTCATTTCCATGGAGACGGAGAGACACACGGTCACCGAATCTGTTTCTGCACAAGGATCTGTGTTTACATCTGTGTGTGTGTGTGTGTGTTTGTTGCAGAGGCTGATGTTTATCTGAATAAAGCTAAAAATACAGGAGCAGCTGCTGCTGGAGATTTTTATTCTATTTAACCGAGTGAAGGAGAGCAGACGCTCAAATGCAACAGCTTTGATTACTACACCATACTGTAATAAACTCCAACATAATACACCATACAGTAATATAACGGTATAAACTGCACTTATACTGCACACACTGTACAGTAATAAAAAGTTATATTGTCATATTATGAGACTCTTTCAATGCCGAAGCCTCCACAGTGACGTCCTGTCCCCAGCCTGACCAAAATAAATCTCCAGGATAATGAGGAAGGCGCAGTAATCACCGTCCTCATTATCCTGGAGTTTTATTTTGGTAGTACGGGATGTTGGCTGTGAGGCTGACAGCAGAAACAAACTGAGGAGTTTATTTCAGGATCTTTAGTCCAGCAGATGCTCATGCGGGAGGACGAGGAGGAGGACCAGCTGCTGTCAGAGTGTCTTCGTCTCACTCCGATGTTTTTCTGATTGGAGGATGATCGTGTCAGCTGGCCCTCTCTGTCAGGATCATCATGTGTTTGTGTTTCTATATTCAGATTTATTCACAGCAGAAATCACAGCAGCAACACTCTCTCTTTGAGACATGTTTAGTTTTTTTTCTCTTTTCTTATTTTTATTTATTTCTGCTCTAAAAATGTTCACCCTGCACCCTGTCAGGCTGAAACCCTCCAAAATAAAACAAACAGGAAAATGTATACTGCCAACTGAGACGCAAAAACTCCCTCCAGTGTAACCCAAAGAGGTTTTCTAGAAAACACTCCTAAAGTAAAGTTGTAAATGCAGTAGAGTGTAGGGCTGGGTGAAAAACCAAAAATTTACCAATACTGAAATCTATGACAATAACTGACATCATTTTGCCCGTATCCGAATACTCAATGTCAAAAAAATACATGAATAAAAGTTGGTTTTGGATGTGTGTAGGTAGGCTATGGTCTCATGACCCTTTAAGACGCTGTCCTACGTCAGAGACGTGACTCCACCCCATCCAGTCTGTAACAAGGAGGGAAAGACAGGTGAGGAGATGGAGGACGGTTAGAAAGTTTTACCTGCTGGATCTGCGGCTGGAGTAGACATGGTTAATGTGGGAGGGGGTGAGCAGCTTGTGGAGTAGTTATCGTCCATTTATCGTTATCGAGGTGAAATGCTCAAAATATCATGATATTGATATGAGGCCATATCACCCAGCCATAGTAGAGTGTACACTTAAATTGAGATGAGTAGGTCAGAGTCCCTAAATGAGCTAAATTATGCGGCAAAGTCTTGTGTGCAGGAGGTCCCTGAAGTTTCCTATTGAAAGGGGCCATGATAGCCGACATCGATTGTAGCCTAAAACTCATACAGCGTCTTTTTGAAAATAATGACAAATCCCTTTAATAGCTACTTTAAATACATGTGAATCTTTTAAAGCTCTTAGAGGGATCCTCAAAAACAAACCAGAGTCTGTTATTACTAGGGGGCAGCAGCTATTCCTCTTTTCTGACACCAAAACCACTCAAAGGCTTAAAGGTAGCCAAAATTTACAACAATAACAAACGTCATTTTGCCCATATCAATATATTTGGTATATTTGGTGTAGCTAGGCTATGGTCTCATGTCACTTTTAGATGCTTCAAAAGTTGTAGCAGCTGGAGCGGCGGCTGAAGTAGACGTAGTTAATATTGGAGGGGATGAGCAGCTTGTGGAGTAGTTATCATCCATGTATTGTTATCGAGGTGAACTGCTCAATATATCGTGATACTGATTTGAGGTCATATCGCCCAGCCCTACTCAAAGTACACAGGCTCACCTCCAGTTTGACTTCTTTTTGCTTTAAACTGATACTCTGACATAAACGTGAAATTTAAAGGGTTAACTTATCAGTGATTGGTAATTAATCGATCAACAATGCTCCCAACGCTGAATATTAGCTCTGATAATCAATCAAGAGTGATATTTACTCTAACCTCTGATTAACAGAAGCTGTGGTCTGTTTATGAAGTACATGCACAGACACACACACACACACACTGACTCATCTGGATGTGTGTGTGTGACAGAAACCAGAACACTTTGACACACAAACACACTCACTGAGTTTTATTTATTCTAGCAGGACAAGAGTTTGTCCAGACACTGACTCACTGCCTGTTTATTGTCGTCTGTGTGTGTGTGAGTGAGTATGTGTGTGTGTGTGTGTGTGTGTGTGTGTGTGTGTGTGTGTGTGTGTGTGTGAGTGTGTGTGTGAGTTTACAGTATTTATCCATCTGAATGCTGCAGACTGTCAGACACATTTATTGTTCACTTTTTCAGAGCACAAACATGTTGAATAAATGTGCTCACAGAGTTTTGTTGTAGTTTTATACACCTGTCTGATCAAACAGGTGAATAAAATACATATTTATACGAACAGGGACAGTCTGCTCTACTGTGTGTGTGAGAGAGAGGGTAGTTTTAACAGAGGCAGCATGTACAGTCTCTGAGGACAAAAGCTTCTTTTTACAGACCGACTGTTAAAAATGGAGACAGAATACAAAACATAAAAAAATATAATAAAACCAAAGAGAAATAAACTAATAAAGTAGAAGAGTAAAATAAAGCCTGAAGCAGCAGTTTGTGCGTCATGTTGGATCAGAATCAGAAACACACACAGATCTTCTCATCGACGGTTTAATATCATCTTTTTCTGACTTAACCAGTTTAGAGCCAATCAGCTGACCAGGTCCCGGGCGTCACCATGGCAACTCGTCTACCTTTGGCCTGAATGCCTGAATGTGTTAGCTGCTGTACACACACACACACACACACACACACACACACACGGATCTCAGGAGGTAAACATCAGAAACACTCTGAGGTAATAAAACAGTCAGGTTATAATAAAAACTCTGGTTTTATAAAATGATTTCAGGTTATTACAGATTAAAAAGACACTCTCTACAACTTTGAGTCACATTACTTCTTTTTAAGTTACCATTTAATTTCTGGGCTTTTATTTTGTTAAATTACCCCAGGTGTACACCTCCTAAAGCACTGCATAAAATTCACATTTAACTCTCCTGTGAGGAGTTTTTAGCTGCTTATGCTAAAATCATAATGAGGCTATTTTACAGTCTATGAAAACAAAAAAGACCATAAGCACTAAGGTAGACCATTAAAAAGCTAATAAAATTAACATACACCAAAGTGTTTTTGTCTGAAAATACTATTCACACAAGTTCAGGTCAAATCAGGATAAAGGTGATGCTAGTTTCCCTGAAAGTTCCTGCAGGAATTCGAACAGACCAGGTTTTAGTTTTCTCAGATTATCGGGGAAGAGGTGTCCATACGTGAGAGAAAAACACCTCTTCAGTTGTAACTGGAAACTGTTCTACATGCTTCTTTTACATGTGATATGATATTGATATCAGTCTGATAGCTGCCAAAAAAAAATAAATTGGATTGTATTGGCCTGCATCTAAAATCTCCGATGTCAGCACTCCGATACAAGCAGTCCATTCCAGACTCCACTCCAGCACTGCTATCTAGCAGCGCCCTGATCCAGCATGCAGAGCCCATGCGATCACAACAACAGTGTGTACTAAGGTACTGAAAAAGTAGCAAGGAGTAGGAGTGATACTGGCTGTGTGGCAGTAATTTTCGTTAAAGTCTGAAAAAGACGTTGCAGCTGAGTAAGAAACTTGTCATGCACAAGTATGTGCCAATGTGGATATGTGGATCAATATTTGTATCGGCTGATACTGAAGGCTACAATATCAGTATCGGTAGATACTTAAGGCTACAATATCGATGCGAGTGCAGCACCATCTAATGATTGAAGACCCTCTGAGGTGACGCACTAGAACATGTAGTTGATTTGTATCTCCATAATAAAACACTATAGTCGTCGATCTTTCCATTCTTGAATTTACTTGGAGGTTTACTTTGCATAACAAAACAATACTTTTTACAAATAATAATGATGAAATCGAGACCCGATGTAAACACAGTCAAAAACTATTGTGCTCTTAAAGACCCACAGCTGCACTAATTACCCAAGAAAAACCCGAAGGTCTCACATTACATGTCTCGTCCAATAGGAGAGGTGCAGTAGTAATCGGCTTCAATTAAACTCTAAAGTAAAACTATACAACTGTTCAGTCTCTCAGAATTCTAATCAGGATAAATAACAAAAACGATCAGTTATCTGTCAAATTATTAGTAGTGCACAAATGGCTCTAACAATCGGTATCGTATCGGAAGTGAAAAAGTTGTATCGGGACACCCCTAGTGGCGTCCCACAGGGCTCGACTCTAGAGCCTCTGTTATTTTCATCGTACGGTGTTATTTACTTTTTGTTTAAGAAATCAAACTCTTTCTATCATTGCTCTGCTCGTGACACTTTTATGCACTGGTATTACCTTTAACAGAGTCTGCTCACTGAATTAATAATTATAATCATAACTTTATTAATGAAGCACCTTTAAAAACAAATGTTTACTGAGAGCTTTGACCACCAAAGCAAAATGCAAAAACTCAAGGGGGAAACTGAATAAAAAATGAACAAGTCAAACGGAGAGAAATCTAAAAAACACAAGCAGCACAAGAAAAAAAGATTAAAAGTAAATAAATAAACACAAAGAAACAGAAAAAAAGAAAGATCTTCAACTAAGGAGATTAGAACATAAGGAGAAAAATATCACAGGCTCATAAAAAAGTTATAATCATCTGAAATAAATAAAGAGTTGTGAGATTAAACTAAAATAATCTAATAAACAAGTAAACAAATTAAGGGATTAATTTAATAAGTTTAATATAAATGAGCCTAAGCAATAGTATAAAGTCACAGGTAATACACAGGTATGGCTTTAATCTTGTTTAAAGTGAGGATTATATTTCACTTTGTTAATTACAACTCTTTATGTTCTTCGATGTCGGACACATCAGAGGACACTGCGACAATAATTTTCACATTTTTTTTAACTTCTCTGGGTTTTAATGACAGACCGTGAAAAAAATGTGAAGATCAATCTGTTTCATTAACTGTTTTTGGTCGAAGTAAATGTCATCTTAAAGTTCATGTCCACCCTCCTGTCTAGAGAGAAAGATCAGATTTCTCCCAGATGAAGTGATGAAGTCTGCAGAGCTCTGAGGACTGTAAAGTTAATAATGAAGTTAAATGTAAATCCAGACAAATAGAAAATCAGTGTGAGTGATTGTTCGCAGTGTTTCAGGTCTGATCTCTGCAGACAGAAAGTCATAAAAACAGAAAGTCTCGGTCTGTTCTAATAAAAGACGGAGAGCTGTAGGAGTCGTGCTTCCTGTTTGCAGTTATTACAGTTGGTTAGATTTATAGCAGCGTTAGCATATTAGCGCTTAATGTGCTTCCTGTTTCTGCACGCTGCAGTGAGGACGTGTTAATGGATTTATTTCTGTTTTAATGAGAAAAACATCAAAAAGAGACGAAAATATTCAGACTGTATTCACACAGATCATCAATCACTCCGACAAAAAAAAACTGTGGCTGCTCAAATTTACCATTTTTATCCTGTTTCATAACTCTGAGGCCCTGTGATTTCACAGTTTTACCCTGTTTTACCCTGCTTTATTCTGGTTTATGCAGTTGAATGCTGCTTTTTAGCATTTATGGGGTTTTATTGAGTTTTATTGAGTTTTATTGTTCCTCCGTATCCTCGGGGAGTTATCCAGTCTGTTTTTAATCTCACGAAACAAAGAGGAGGAAACGCTCCATCAGCTCCAACAAGAAAACGGCTCCAGGAAGCAGCGAGTGAAGCTCTAAACTCTCAGGTAAAGCTCTCGACTCTCAGGAGGAACCTCTAAACTCTCAGGTGAAGATATCACATGTCAGGTGAAGCTCCAAGGTCTCAAGTGGAGCTCTAAACTCTTAAGAGGAACCTCTCAACTCCCAGGAGGAACCTCTAAACTCTAAGGTGAAGCTTTAACCCTGAGAACTCCCAGCTATATTTTACTATTTTTGGTCCGCCTGATTTTTTTTGTAAAAATCTATGTAGCAACTCTATCCTTTCGAGCACAGCAAGTATATTCACATCTTTTTTCAGGACAACCTCAGCTGTCAGTCTATGGGTGCAAAAATTATGTCAAATGAATGTGACAGTAGATTCAGAACCATCAAAATCAACCAAAAATCAAAAATGGAAATGGAAACCAACAGTACTTCGCACAAAAAACCACATAAATCTACAGCGACTGAGCCTTTTCTCACCTTCACATCAGTCTCTCAAGTCTTGGCTATCAGGAGGAGAAATATTGGGATTGGAACAAACACACAACAGAAACTATTTACATATTTACACTAATTCTTCCAGGTGTTTTTTGCTATTTACAGTTGTTTATGCCACTCCTAGAAGCAGTTCCTGTCTGGGATGAGACAGAAGACCACATCATACTGCTCATAATCTCTTCTTTGCTTGTTTCCAAGCATTGAGGACCATTACTTCTTAATTTGACAAGAAGGGAACTTTCTTGTCTCTTGTTGATCTTTGGTTGACTCTTATTGGACACTACCATCACGGGAACAATAGAAGAAGAATATGAGACCGTGTAATTGGTCGAAAGTTTGACATCAACAAAACAGCTTGTCAAACCCGGAAGACATTAGTGGCATTTAACAACAACAATCTTTTTTTATCACAACAATATGATAAATAATCACTGGCATATCACCACGGATTTACCATCAAATGTCTTTGATCAAACACCTGTTTTTGTGGCTGGATTGTAAACCTTGTGGCAGGTGTAGAAATGCCTGGAAACCCTCAATAGGTCGCCAAAAGGGTAAGCGTTTGAACACTTTCCATCCCATAGAGATACACAGTATAGTTTCCGAGAAACTGTAAACAATATTAATGGTGTCACGTGGAATTGCCGGCGATCCAGCGGAGCTCCACGTGTCAGGTGAAGCTCTAAACTCTCAGGAGGAGCTCTTAACCCCTCGAGAGGAACCTCCAACCCTCAGGAGGAGCTCTTAACTCTCAGGTGAAGCTTTAACCCTGACCCCACCTGCAGACACAGACTCATCAGTATCTATCTTGTATTCAGTTGCTCAGATCGGATGTCCGAACCTCACCTGCCGGAGATACAAGGACAGGTGCAGGGGTGGAACCTAACACCGTCACCACAATATGCCAGGAACAGGATTTGACAGAAGAGGGCACCCCTCAGACCCCATGATGATTCTCAGTGTCTTCTGGGCTCATATGATGTAACAGGTTGAGGTGTGTCGTCATGTGGCTCCTAAATATGTCCAGGTGTGATGAAGTCTGTGGGCGGGGCCACAGGTCACAGGTGCGGACAGGTGCCATGTGGAGTGAACAGATCCCCTTGTGGTGGACTGAGCGGAGATCAGGTCACTAAGAGGAGGCAACCTGATCCGCGTCCAGGTCTGACATAAGATGAGATCAGAACAGAGAGGCCCCCTGTGGCTCCTGGACCACATGTGACAGCGGGGTGATACAGAGGCCGGAAAACGCTGAGTCATGCTTACAGCTGACAAATTTCTGATTCTCACAGGATCAGAGTGACCTGAGAACCCTGAGGAGGACGACTGTGTCTGTGTTGGACACTGTAAATAAAGATCTGATGGAGTTTCAGAGTCATTCCTCGATCTAAATCTGGATTTGAAAGTCTCAGTTTCTTTTTAATGGATGGACTTGATGTCTGAAAATATAATGTATGAATAAAACCTGTCTTTGTCCAGTAGGCCTGGGCAATTTGGCAAAAAAAAAAGATCAGGATATATTTTGTCATATCGTCTGATCTCGATTATTATCACGGTTTGTTTTTTAAACTGCCAGTTTTAAAGCATCTGTACTAAAAACTAAAGAAACTAGAAGGGTTAACGTACAAAGTAAATAACAAAGCAAATTGAGTAAGATACACTTTTAAAAAACATTTTAACTCAACAATACAACAAATGTAGATAAATATTACAGTGAACTAGTTTACAGTCCTGAGTGTTTTTGCAGGTATGTAAGACCCAAAATAAACAAATCACCCCCTCAGGGATAATGAAGACACCTTAAATGTAAACATTAGATGATGTAAACGTAGATGATACTATTGACTGCTGCTTTGGTCTGGTAGCTGCACCGCTAGTTGTGGCTAAACTGCTAATGCTACTACTGCCGTCATCAGCGTCAGCAGTGACAGGCTGTGCAGACTGCGCTCACATTTTCATGCTTTCCGCATAATCACTCTGGAAGTACTTCATCAAATAATTACACAGATCTGTTGTGTTGCCGGTTTTTGAGGGCACTGACCGCCGACACACACTGCACACTGGCTTAATTGCTCTACCTCACTTTGGAGATACCCGAACCACTGACACATAACGGACGTTGAGTAACTTCTCAGCAATAATATCTTAGGAGGATGACTCAAAGTCATGGCTGACATCTATTTTGCTGCCCTCAGCTCCATGATCGGTCATTCTTTATACTTCTGTTTACTTCTCCGGCAACTTACAGAAATGAGCAGAAAAAGCTCGACTCAGATTGGCTGTTGTGACACAGTAAATATGCTCACAGCTGATCTCTGTGATTGAACTGAAATTTATCACGATCATTAATCACGATGATGTAATCGCCCAGACCTATTGTCCAGCCTTCACAGCATGGAGACCAGTTTACAGACAGAGCAAACTGAACCACATCCACAACTGTTGAAGAGTGCTGACAGAGGCTGTAAAAAAATCCACACATAATGAAATCATTTCTTTATGAACAAACAGGAAAACTGCTGAAGAAGTCACAGAGAGATTTTACAAGATTAAAAATGACTTCAGCCGTTCTCTTCTAACTGAGGCGGTTACAGCAGCAGGTCTGAACTAATGGAGACTCTGAGACCACAACTACAACAACTAAGGGGTCCACAACAGGCCTCTGGACCCTCATATAGGCTCCAGTCTCTGTAGATCTGGTTCTGCTGTCATCAGCTGATCTGAGATCCCAGCATGCCGAGGGAGAGATGAAGAGCTCACCGTCTCTGAGGAGTTTTCATCTTTTTATCTGCTGCTGCTGCTTTAAATAAAGGGGCTCTGTGACTCTGTGTGTGTGTGTGTGTGTGAGTGAGAGTGAGAGAGAGAGAGAGAGAGAGAGAGGGAGAGGGAGAGAGGGAGAGAGAGAGAGAGAGAGAGAGCTGCAGCTGTGTGTTTAGCACTCCGTCATTGAAATTCACAGCCAGCTCTGATCAATGAGCACACACACACACACACACACACACACACACACACACACACACACACACACACACACACACACACACACACACACACACACACACACACACACACACAGGATTATTTTCCTTCCTGTTCTTACAGAGGACTCAGATAAACCGTTTCTGTTGGTTTTGGCTGACTCGTCACAAAGAGAATGAGATGATGATGATGGGGGAGAGAGGGGGGAGTGTGTGTGTGTGTGTGTGTGTGTGTGTGTGTGTGTGTGTGTGTGTGTGTGTGTGTGTGTGTAAGGAGGGGAGGTAGTTAAACCTCCAGGGAACGATTGATGGAGAAAAAAAAAGGAAGAAAGGAGCACAGATAGTGATAGTATGATCGTGTCTTTAAGGTCTTTATGTTAAAACACACACAGAGAAAAACAACCTGATCTGTACTGCATTAAAAACAGACAGGACTCTGTAGTGGTGATCACTGCATGGGCTCTGAAACACTTCAAAAACCATTATCCATCAACACAGTTCATCTCTGCATCCACAAACGAGGTTCAAACTGAACTCCAGGATCAGACCGTCAAAGTAAAGAAGGACTTTTTAAAGTCAGCTGTCAGACGTTAATAATTGATGTTCCTGGAAACAGTGAAAGTCCTCAATAAGAGATGTTTGAACTTTGCTGTCTGCTGTTTGATGAGATCAGTGCGATGCTTTAACGTGCAGCAGGTCCTCCTCAGTATAACCTCGGCTCTCTCTGATTCGATCGTTCAGCTCTGACTGTAGTTTCCAGGTCAGCGCCATCCGTCTGGGCTGTCAGTCTGAGGGGTTTTTTGGAAAAGCCTCATCACTCTCCAAATATGCAAATCCTCCTCCTCCTCCTCCCCCTAATGAGAGCGTTCATCAGCTCGGTCTAATTGCGTAGCGTCCAGGATCAGTCGTCTCTGCGTCGCTCTGAGTGTCATTAAAACGGTCATTTCCAAATTAAACAGGAGCAGCGTTCAGGGACGATCTGACGACACAAACCATCTTCAGCGCTCGGCTGCTCCTCTGAGGTGGCTTCATTACAGAGCCCATTAAAAATAATCACTAACACACACAGACAGAGCCAGGGTGTGTGTTCAGAGCGGCTAATGCATTAATTTAATTAGCGGCATTAAAGACGGCTCATCCCACACACACACAGGAGGAGACAGAGGAGCGAATACAGGAGGAGAGGAAGTTGTCAAGCCGGCAAAGAGGAAACGCTTCAACATGGAGGTCGATACCAGCAGGTGTAAAGATCAGGAGCTGGTACCAGAGATTGATTAACATGCTTCACCTGCAGCTCTTCCTCTGTCGCTCTTTCAGACTGAAACTAAGTCGTCCACTGTGTCCTGGGAACTGGGAATGGAATATAAAAGCTTTTTTAACGTGCATGAAGAGTTGCCGCTGCTGCAGGTTGGACTGACACTAAACAGACGGTCTCTTTCTGGTCTGATCAAATCAAACTGGACTTTCCGCAGCTCAATCCAAGCTCCTTTTAGCCCATCTCCTCCCTGCCTGTCCTGCTGGACATAAATCAACCCCGTAATCCTGCTGTCTGCTGGCCTGAATGGACAAAAACGAAACCTGCTCGATACCGGTCCACTAAACCTCTAAGCCTGACTCTCTGCTGCACTTAGTTAAACCAACTTTCTCCTGTCTTTAAGAGCTGATTTTTATCCTTAAAACCACCAATCAAAGCTGTCCACCAGAGCTAGATTATCTGGTCAATAACCAGGATGAAGTTAACCAGACAGCAGCCTGTTGAACTGGATTAGTTGGAGCAGAGAAGGTCAGTTTTTGCAGACAGCAGCAGCAGCAGGTCAGGATGGACTGAATAAAACATGCATGTGTTTGTTCAGGTCTGCAGACGGGTCAGGGAGCTGCAACCTGAGACTCACACACACACACATACACATACATATACATACATACAGGTGTACAGTATGTGTATAGGTATAAGTGGCACACAGCCCAACATGTGACACAGGGCTCCTCAGCTTCTCTGTTCACTGTTTAACCCTTCAATAACCAACAAAACCCTGACCTCCAGTTCAGTCAGAAAAAACACATTTGTGTTTGTCAAAAAAATAAATAAATCGAAGTTGGTTTTGGATGTGTGTAGGTAGGCTATGGTCCCATGTCCCTTTAAAGGGATATTCTGGCGTGAAGTTAATTTAGGGTCAAATACACCGTAACACCGAGTTAGACACACCCTCGAGAGATGAATGTTGCCGACCGCTTGCTTCTCTAGCTATACCAACTTTAGTAATGACCACACTCTAGCAAAGAGATGAAACCCAACTCACCTACTCTCTTCCAGCAGCTGCTTGTTTGTAGTGAGACCTCGGGCCAGTCCATTACGGACTACAGCTGGGTGCCGCAGCTCAAGGAAGAACATTTATGATAATTTCTTCATGGAAATGCAATCAGACCGAGACGCTAAGGCAGAAGAACTACTGCGTCTGCAGTGCAAAATGATTAATATGGTGATAATTTCTTCAAGGAAATGATAAAGTAATGATCATAAATGTTCTTCCTCGAGCTGTGTCACCCCGCCATCTCTCGACGGGATGTCCAACTTGGTGTTACGGTGTCTTTGACCCTAACTTAATTTCATGCCGGAATATCCCTTTAAGATGCTGTCCTACGTCAGAGACGTGAATCCATCCAATCCAGTCCATAACAAAGAGGGAAAGTCAGGTGAGGAGATGGAGGACGGTTAAAAGTTGTAGCGGCTGAAGTAGACTAAGTTAATGTTGGAGGGGGTGAGCAGCTTGTGGAGTAGTTATCGTCCATTTATCGTTATCGAGGTGAACTGCTCAATATATCCTGATACCGATTTGAGGCCATATCGCCCAGCCCTACTCTCTCCTCTGTTAGATCCATTTTCTAATCTCTTGTTTTTGTGTGATCTGACATCTGCAGGGCAGTGAGGGAGGATAACTATGCTGGGTCAGCTTACATAGACCGCCAAAATAAGAGCGTGTTTGTCAGGTGAATGAGGTGTGAAATCAGAGCGGCTGGAGTTTCCTCACTAAACTAGCCCACAGGTGTTGTTCTAGACTAACAGAGAGTTGTGGTTGTTTCAGCTCGGTTGGTAAACAGTTATTAAAATTTGCATACAAACAGAGAGACCTTCTGTCTACATGAGATTTTATCGTGACCATTGCCCTTTAGACAAAGCTCATGTGTTGACTGTCAATTGATGAACAGTAAAGAGCAGGACCACACTAACAATTAAGAATAGGTTTCGGATTTCAAAAGACAAACATATGAAGCTTTTCTAAGAGAGAATAATGAGGAGGAGGAGGAGAAGTAGGAGGAAGAATGAGGAGGAGGAGGAAATCTACAAAGAATAGACAAGAAGCTGACAGAAAATCGAGACAGACCAGATTAAGCTCCGCCCACACGGGAGGAGACGCTATTCATGACTGATTATAAACAGTTTATTAAGGATCCTCCTCCTCACTGCACACCGCCCATCTTCATCATCATTATTATCATCATCTTCATCCTCCTCCTCCTCCTCCTCCTCCTCCTCCTCCTCCTCTCAGTCTGATCAAAACTGACACCGACACCAAAAAACATCTTCACTGTCTGCTTCAAGGTTTTCTCCCCTCTGAGGTTATACAACCTGTGATCATAGCAGCAGGTGTGTGTGTGTGCATGTGCCTGTGTGTGCGCACGTGTATGCGTGTGTTTGTTTACACTGCCTCACAAAGACCTGTATTGTGTTTCAAACGCGACAAGCTGCAGAAACAATAAGAACATCAGACTGCAGCTGCTGTAAACAAGCTGATGGATAAAAGAGTCACACACATTTTCACAAACACACACACACAAGCGCACACATACACACTAGCAAACAAACACTAGCATAATTACATAACAGACAAACTGTGGCGTTAAAACAAGAACGTCTCCAGCTGATCTGAGAGACGTGTTTGATTCGTTCACCTCCTCGTCCCCGCAGCAGCAGCAGGAGTTAACCTCCGCTTTAAGATGTTTTAAAGGAAACACAGGATGACCTTTGACCTCTCAGTGGCTGTGTAAAGTGGCGAGCTCAGTGAGTAGGCTGTTGTAGTGAACTGAAGAGGATGAAGCGGCGGCTAAACAAATCTCGAAAAATGATTTTTTTTCTCTTTCCTGTTAAAAACCGACTCTGTGATCTTACAGGAGCTTCAGCTGGAGCTTCACCTGCTGCTCCTGTTTGTTCCTCATGAATTATCAACCGTCTGCTCCACAGAAATAACAGCTGCAGAGAAATCACCAACATCAGCCACAGAAACAACATCCAGCCTGTCCGAGTTCACCACGCTGAGGTTTACAGACCACCACACACAACAGGAGTTCATACTGATCAATAAAAGAGAATTAAACTTTTATTTAAGGAGCAGTCTGTAAACTTTGAGACTTCTAGAGCCATTCAGAGAGCAGGATACGGCTGACTTTAAACACACATGATCACTGTAACCAGACTGACACAAGGTGACTGCTTAGACTTTCAACTAATTATCAGATCAAGTGAAAAAAATGAATCAAGACTAACTTTCCTGCATTAGAATCATGAATTATTGTCATTTTAGTGTTTTTTCGATAATTACAAACTGACTTCTAAGTCCTCTGTCATCTGTTCCTGATGAGTCAGCAGAAACTGAAAAGTCTGATACAACAATAAAGAAAAAATAAACATAAAGCAGATAGGAAAAAAAGGCTCAGAGAGTTTGGATGCTAAAATAAGTTTTTTTAAAAGTTTGCTGATCTCAGAGAGAGTCAGAAACTTTTACAGACCAGCTTGATTCCAGCACCGCAGACAGAAAACAAGAGATGATTCAGTTTCAGCACCGCGGACAGAGAAAGACAGGAAAACAAGTTTCAGCACCATGGAGAGCGAACAATAGGAACATCAATTTTAGCAACACAAAGAGTTCAACAGGTGCGGCAGTTTTGGCGCCAGGCTAAACAAACCCTGAGAAAATCAGTTTCAGCACCACGGACAGAGAATCAAACAACCACTGAGATACTCTATTTGTACTTTTTAAAACTTCTGTGAGGAACTTTTTGCTTGTGCTTCTCGCCTATTTATGTGTGACTAGTTAGGATGAGATGATGAACCAATTTGCATCAAAACACAGACACCCAGACAGCTTCAGAGTCCAACAAAACAAACACGAGTGAGTAGACTCTTCATCTGTGGACGTCAGGTCAAAAGTCTGGGAAAGGCGAGCAACCAGAAAAGATAGATGTGCCACATGCTCTCAAGTGCACATGTGGTTCAATTAATCCCATAACTCACGCCAAGAGGGGACAAAGTGTGATCATGAATGTGTCTGTCAGGCCCTGACAGCTCCTTCTCAGATCCAGATCCATCTACAGCTGCCTGTCCAACATGTGGTGATAAAGTGGGTCCAGTTTTACAGTAGTCTGGTTCAAAGAGACCAAAACTGTCTGTATCTGTGAGAAATCCGCCTCAGACAGACAACACATTCACATTTTTACATTTGTAAGCAGTTCTTAAAGAGCTCTCTCTGAAAGGTTCATTTACTTTTATTGTTCATAACAGGAATATCTGCTGAATGGTCTTTATTGTTTGTCGAGAGTCATCCGTGTTCAAGTGAAACAGAGACTCAAGCAGGACTTGTGAAAGCTCCTCAGCTAACTGCTGCATATGTTTCTTTTTGCTCTTCAGACAGGGGGTCTATATTTTATATCACCTCGTCTTAAAGGGATTTTTACTGTATATTGCTATCCTGCAGTGGTTACTAAAGTTGGTATAACTAGAGAAGAAAGCGGTCAGCAACATTCATCTCTCAACAGGGTGTCTAACTCGGTGTTACAGTGTGTTTGACCCTAAATTAATTTTATCCCTTTAACTGTTGTCAGTCTTTGTATTTGGTTCAACAGCGGTCAACTATTCAGCGTCTACACCCCGTACAGAGACCAGAACACCACAAACAGCTGATTAAAACTAAAAAATAATGTGAGACGTGAAGGAAAATATGTCTGTGTTTGAGCTGTAACTGTACCCAGAGGCTGATGGAGAGAGTTTAGGAAAAGGAGGAGGAGAGGAGAAGAAAGAGAGGAGAAGGAAATGAGGAAAAAGAAAAGAAAAGGAGAGAGGAGGAGGAGGAGGAGGAGGAGGAGGAGGGGTGTGATTGTGTGATTTTATTTCCTGACAGACTGATCCTCAAACTGAATTAAACTACAACTGAAGAGATTTACAGCATGGAGCGTGCTCAGTGCAGACTGAGGTTACTGAGGGGTTACTGCATACACACACACACATACAGAGAGAGAGAGAGAGAAAGAGAGAGAGAGTTTATTGATGACTGTGACTTGAACCAGTTTCAGCTCATTTCGATTGAAGGAGGTAATTTTGGAAAAAGCCGTTTCTCTTTGAAGTTATTTTTCTTCCTCCGACACAAAAAACTTTCAGATCAAACTTTTAAACTTTCTAACCGACTCTTTCAAGTTTTTCTTCAACTTTTAAACTTTCACCAATGAAAGAGGACCAACATGAGAGACATCAAACCTCCACCGTTTCTCTGCAGCTGTTTGAAAAACAGAGATTTTCGCTGTGAAATCAGATCATTCACAGAGCTGCAGGGATTGAAGTTTAGTGGAAATCATTTTCAGGAAAAAAAGAAAACAGAAAACAGCCGTCTGAGGTCAGAGGACAGCACTGAGAGGAGGACAGATAAGAGCTGTGGTAGAAAACAGGCCGTCTTTCTGCAATTTTTACTGTGATATGATAAAATGTAGGAAATAAAGATGTCCAGATGAGGGTTTTTCATGAATATTTAGACAATTAAGATGGAAATATCCTGTTTAGCTCTTTACCTGCATTACCTGTGTTTGTTTCATGTTTCACCTGAATCAAAAATCCGCCAAAACTCAACTTGTTTATCTCTGAATGATCTCAGGTTACTCTGATATCATCTGACAACTGCATAAAACTTCACCTGAATGCATCAGTTTGATATTAAAGCATGACTATAACACCCAGGTGTCCATCTAACAGCTCAAATACACAAATATCTATTGCAATAAATGAAGATTTCTGCTGTGTGTGAATGCAAAGGCTCATGATTGTAAATAAAGTGGCGTTTTATTGTTCAAGTCGCTGATCCTGGTGTGGACTGACAGATCAGATCAGATCAGATCATGAGGAGTGTTTCTGACCCTGATACAGACCACATTTAACAGCGGGTGAAAATTCAAGTGTCTGTTAGGGTTCAGGTTAAGGTAAACCCTGTTATCTCCAAGGGGCAATTTATCTTACTGCCAGCAGGAATGAAAACACAAACAGAACAAAACACAGTCACACAGTTCACAGTAACCACCAGTAAAAAAGTCTGTCTGTCTACTCAGCTTCATGAAAACCTCAGAGCTTCAACAACTCAAAGGCCTCAGCTCAGATTAACCTGCGTCCTCCAGAAACACCAAACCCGAGTCCACACACACTGAGGGCCCGAAGTTTTGAGAGTGAGGCTTGACTTAAAACAAGTTTAAACTGAGGAAACACAGAAGGACAGACCTCTCAAAATGTCATATCCTCACACTGATCTCTGATTCAACAGGTTTACCCTCGATGAGAAACAGGAGACAGTTTTTACTAAAGACGTAAACATGGGGTCAAATCACCAAACTGACTCCTGTGATGAACCAAAACTCTGAAAACTGACTCAGGTTTTCCAAACTTTAGAGAATCAACTAAACCAGTGGTTCTCAACTGGTGGGTCCCGACCCAAAAGTGGGTCGCGGACACGTTCTAGATGAGTCGCGAATAGCTGGTAAAAAAAGTAAATATTCAATGCATTTGACATGTCTTTTATTTTGAAAAATTGCTTATTTTGAAATGCATAAGTCATATAAGTGAGACCAGTTGAGAACCACTAAACTAAACCAGCAGCCCTCAACTTCTTTAGTCCACAGTGACACACCCAAAGCCACGCCCACACCACACCCTCAGTAACACTTACCCCAGCGTTGTCATAGTGACGATGGTGTACCAGAAGGCCGCAGGGATGCTGGTGAACTTGCTGCCCGAGGATCCCTTCTCGGCGTAGAACATGACAGTGGCGAAGATGATGATGGCCATGGTGAGGGAGAAGAGCAGGAAGCCCAGTTCTGACGCACAGCTCTTCAGCGTGTAGCCCAGGATGCGAAGTCCCGCAGAATGTCGCGAGAACTTAAAGATCCGGAAGACCCTGAAAACGCGCAGCGTGACGAAGGCGCCGCTGACGTCCTCGTTGTCCGTCATGACCAGGCCGATGTAGTAAGGCATGATGGCCACCACGTCGATGACGCTCATCACGCTCTTTACGAACTTCCAGCGGCTAGGCGCAGCGAGCAGGCGCAGTAGGTACTCCACTGTGAAGATCATGACGCACGCGGTGTCCAGGCAGAAGAAGGCCAGTGCGTAACGCTCCCCGCACGACACCTCCCTGACGCGGCCCGGCGCAGCGCCGCACGGCACCGTCTCCGCCACGTTAGCCATCACCGACACCGCGATGAAGAAGCCCGTGACATAGTAGAAGACCAGGGCCATGGTGGAGGTGTGCGGGTTCTCAAAGGCGCGCCACATGGTCTCCCTGAAGTTCAGATCTGCAGCGACCAGGTCGTTGGTCTGATCCATCTCCTCGTCGTCCTGGATCCGCTCCTGGTTCTCCCTCCGCCGGTCCTTGTAGTCCTCGTAGCAGCAGTCCCCGATGATCTCTGGGATGATGCCGAAGAAAGCCAGCTCCTCATCGTAGGCGGAGATGCACTCCTGCCGCGGATAGTGCAGCTTCCCGGTGCGGTAAAAGTTCAGGATGTGGCGGAAGATGTCCGGGTCCCGGTCAAAGAAGTACTCGTTGGTTTCCTCGTGGAAGAAAAAGTCCCGCTCGGTGCTGCCCAGCAGGGTGTCCGGGTACCGTTCCAGCGTATCCCGCCACGTCTGGAACTTTGTGCCGCTCACATTCAGCATGATGAGCGCGTCCGTCCCGCGCTGCTTCTCCTTCGGCGGCACCGGCATGGGCGCGCCCGCCACCGGCATCCAGCCGATAGCCGCCGCCCGGGCGAACGGCAGCCACGCCGCCACTCCTGCTGCCATGCTGCTCCTGGAGCCTGGTCCCGGTCCTAGAGCTCTGAGGGGCTCGTTAGAGGACGTTCAAGAAGCGGAGGAGCAACGAGAGAGCATCAGGAGAGGTGGCAACAGATGGAGGAGAGCAGCGGAGTTTCTCCAGGAAAAAAAAACAGGATTTACGCACGGAGCTGAGGAGGCGCGGGGGAGGAAAAACATACAAATCAGAGTGGAAACAAACAAATCCACCAAAAGTCAGCGGGTCCTCTCAGAGAAAAAACGTTTTAATTTTCTTTTCACTTTTTAAATCAGCAGAAAAAAACACCAACAAACTTCTTTGGCTTCACTTTACTCCGTCAAATCGTTGAATCCGGTTCTTGAGTGAATCCTTTCTCGGGCCTGTTTTTTTCCCCTCTAAACCTCGTGTTTCCTTCCGCAGCAACAAGTCAGGCATGTATCAGGAGAACCCCGCGCTCCAGACCAGGACCCGGAGCGGACTCAGACCCACTTCAGACATGCTCCTCCCCGGGTCTCCCTTCCAGCCTTTCCCGCTCTCCTCGGTGCTTCCGCAGAGAAAACACCCGCTGCGACAAAGTGATTCCCCCGCCGAGAGAGGTGACACCAGCGGCTGCAGAGAGAGAGGGGACCCGAACCGAGCCGAGCCGAACCGACCCGAGTTGGAGAGGAAAAGACGAGAGGCTGGAGGAGAAGCAGCTGCAGCTCGTGCTCCGGTCACACAGGTGCTGTTGAGAGGAAACGGAAACTCTCTCTCTCTCTCTCTCTCTCTCTCTCTCTCTCTCTCTCTCTGTGGTTATGGGCGTGTCCGTGGAGAAATCCCGCGTGCAGACTCTCCGCCTCTTTACGCACAGGAGGAAAATGCAGAAAAGAGAGTAAGGGTGCCGCTGTCCGCCCTCAGGTGTGTTGGTTCTGGTGGTGTGTTTGCAGGTTTTGGTGCTTTTCGATGTTCTGATCTTTTTCCTCCTCAACAGGTCCCACATCCGTTTTTTTCCAGAGTCCCGAGGAGAGGTGACAGAAAGTGTCCGGGTGACCCAGACTGTCCAATCAGAGGGCTTTAAATACTCACCATGAAGATCTCAGTGCTGGTTTCACGTCTGATCGGAATAAAATCCTCCTCTCACCGATCCAGCAGCAGTTTAATCTCTAATACGGAGTTAATTTTAATGAATTTGTTCCTTTAATTGTTCAGTTTAATAACTTTTGATTTCATTTAGTGTTTTAATTTTTATGAGCTCTGCAGGGAGGGAGCCAAAAGTATCTCCTTCTTGTTAAAGTGCTTTCATAACTATTTACAAATTTAAACGTTTTAGACCCGAGGGAGATAAACTTTATTTCTGTTGTAAGAAAAGTTGTAAATATTCTGGTGTTTTGCAGAAAGACTAATAAAAAACAGACAATATTTTTGGATCCGCAGATCTGAGGAAAGACACAAAAGGCTTAAAACTCCTGTGAGAAGTTTCTGACTGATCATGGTTTGAAATTTTACTGTGATCTACAAAATAAAGACAAGAAAAGAAAAGACAATAAAATCTATGAAAAGAAAAGGAAAAGTAGCTCATCCGTCTCCATGGCGACACTCTGCTTCTTGTTTACATCCTCATTACCCGCTAACTTGCGATCAGGTTAATAAAGCACAGTCACCTGTGTCTCTGCAGCCTCCTGCTGGGTTCTCCTCAGCAGATCTACAAACTGATCAATCAATAACTTTGATCAGCTGATTAGTCTCTCTCTCCTTCTCGCCCTCATTCTAATTGGCTGGACCTCACAGGTCAAAGGTCAGCCAGACTGACCTGTAGGATGTAAACGAAGAGGACTGATTTCTGACATGGAGAAACATCAGTCAGTACGTTTACATGACATTAGAGAAAACCGAATTATTGCCTTACTCTGATTAAGACCGGGCAACAGGAGTGCATGTAAACACATTAAGGTTGTCACACACCGGGAACAACGCAAATATACGACGCAAAATTATGAAATATTTGGAGGCAAATTTTGACACGCCTGACCATACACATCAAGCGCGATGCGATTTCACGACTTTCCGGGGGAAAAAAGACGCGTCACAGGTGGAAGCGAGAAGACTGACACAACACCAGAGTGTGGGGTTGGAAACAGTGCCGCCAAATAGACCCATATCGCCCCCTAGTTTTTGGGGAGGAGGACACATTCACGTCAATAATTCAATTTTCTCACCTGCATGTATACGCGGACAAGGAGAGAAGTGCGATTCGGCGAAAAAAAATGAATTATGAGCTTAGTCAGATTACACTGTGCATGTAAACGCTCTGACTGTCTTAGTTTGACTGTGAAAGGTAAAGGCGTGTCCTTCTCTCCAGCTCCGCCCTCTTGTCTAAATATGGTCACTTTCTCTGCATATAAAAACACCATGTTGCTGAAAACAGGAGTCTTTAACATGTAAGCAAATGAAAAGTATGGTGAGGTCGTGGCGGTTCTAGGTCTTCTTAAAACTCTGTTAGATATCTCCAAGTCCACCTCTCTGTATCTGGTGAGTCTGTTTCAGATTTATTTACTGATGTAATCCCTGATCTTTCCAAACTTTCTTCAGCCGGGAATTTCCCGCTGAGTCTCCTCAAAGTTTGATTCGAAGAGCAGCATGAAGAGCACCTCTAACATGATGCTGACTTCAAAGTGCTGAGCAGGTCGGCCTGAGGCGGCTCTGCAGCATCAGGTTAAATATGAGCTCCTCTACCGCCATTAAAAACTGCACATGGTGTATGTTTGTGATTAGCAGTCTCGGGGTGTTGTTGCAACTCCTCTTTTACATCATCTCTGCTGAGGCTTTTTACCCAGAAGGCCTCACACCTCTTCTTCTTCTTCCTCACTCAATGCGATCAATATGAATCCTCCCCTCCCATCCTCCTCCTCCCGCTCTTCTTCTTCTTCTTCACTCCTACTGTTCTTCTCCTCCTGCATGCTGAGCCTCTCAGGAGACTCTGTCCTGTAACGTTCACACCTCTCTGACACAAACAGAGGATATCGAGCGACCTCTTCAGCTGTTGTCGCCTCCAGAGAGATGCTCACACTGAGAGGTCATTTAGCTCTGAGGCTGAGGATGCTCTCAGTCGGTTGGTTTTACTCACTCAGACGAGAAAGCTTCTTACAGATCAGAGGCTTTAATATACATATAAAGAAATATATAAACCAACGAGTAAAGAAAGTTTCACTCTGCGTTTAAACAGGAACCTAAAAGTTTCGTACTTTATGCTCCAGGGGAAAAAAAAAGAAAGTTATAAACTTTTGCACAGTGAACGTCTTTATATGAGTGTGACTTTCAAAGTTTTCATGCAGTTTTATGGATATATTATATATTTTATATATTTCTCCTTGATATAAGAAGGAAAAAGTGAAGTGGTGGTGGACGAGTATGAAAAAAAAGGATGTCAGGATAAAGAGAAAGAAGAAATGATGAATAAAGAGTTTTCAGAAGTCGACCCGATGATGTCCAGCTTCTTTTCACGCCATTATATTTTAAATTAACCGTATATTAACTGTGCAAAGAGAACAAACAACAGCAGCTATTATATCAGGAATTAGCTGAAAATGAAAGTCTACTTGGTTAGTGTCCTTTATTTAAAGGGATATTACGGCGTAAAATTAATTTAGGGTTAAACTCACCGTAACATAGAGTTTTACACCCCCCTTTGAGAGATGAATGTTGCCGACTGCTTGCTTCTCTAGTTATACCAACTTTAGTAACGACCGCACGATAGCAATACACAGCGGTCTGAGAAGCCGTAAACAAACCTCAACCAAAATGCCACTCTATAACCACAAATAATGCTCAGAACAGCACCTAAGCAAAGGTGCTTTAGCAAGAGCCTAAACACAACTCCCCTACTCTCTTCCAGCAGCCGCTTGTTTGTAGTGAGACCTCGGGCCAGTCTATTACGGACTGCAGCGGGGTGACGCAGCTCAAGGAAGAACATTTTTGATCATTTCCTCATGAAAATGCAATTAGACCGGGATGCTAAGGCAGAAGAACTACCATGTCTGCGGTGCAAAATAATTAAAATGGTGATTATTACTTCAAGAAAATGATAAGGTAATGATAAAGCGTCTTTATGTGCAAAACAACAAACATCAAGAAAGTCAGAAAAGAGTTTAGTCAGGGTAAATGATAAATTGAAGGATTAACTAAGTAGTTCATTTAACTTATTGGATACATCCTGGCTTCTCTAACCCTCCAACATTTTAAACAGACTCAATTTAAACCCTGTCATTAATCTTCTATTAGATTTGATGTCACTGTTTTTAGGAGTTGGAAAGACACCGTCAAAAAGAAACTGAATGAAAACAGGAAAAAATTGAAAACTCCCATTTTCTTCTTGAATGTATTTTATTTTGAAAAGCAGACGGAGAGGAGTGAAAAAGTCGCATAAATGTGGGCTAAAGAAGGATCTTGTACAACGTATGAAAGTTTAAAATTTGTGTCTGAACTTTATTTAAACAGAGAAACTCTGAGTGTCTCTAAACTCTCCCTTTAATTTATTTAATATTCATGTTCATTATTCATCATGATCATCCCTGCATGCTCTGATTTAATGTCACAGTTTCTCTGTTTACAGCTCAGACGTTGTCTCTCCGTATGAAGCCTGTTTAACTTCAGGTTTTCATATAAAATCATGTGAGTTATGAATATTTTCCCTTCATGTCAGAGATGTTTTATTGACAGTTTGTGCTCACGCTGAGTCTGACCCGAGCCTCTGCTGCTTCACATCGCACGGTTTGAAGTCACTCCCCTCTGAGACCGTAACAAACCGAGGCTTTATTTCCCAGAAGGCCGTGGGGCTCGACTTCACACAGACAGAGAGGAGGTAGAGGAGGAGGAGGAGGAAGAAGAGGAGGCCTCATGTCTCTGCTGCTGACTGAGGAAAAAACTCAAAGCTTGAGTCTGCAGGTTGATTTTTAGAAAGAAGAGGTAAGAACAGAGCCCTCCCTCTGTTTCCCATCAGCCCTTGGGGCCTACAGCAGCGTGTGTGTGTGTGTAGACCTGTGTGTGTGTGTCTCTTTATGTGGACTGTGAGGAAGCTGCTGTTTGGCCTTGCAGAGATTTTCTCAGAGTTTAAAGTGGGATTATTTATTCATCATGTTTGTTCTGCCCAGAGTCTGACGCTCTTTCAGGAGTTCATCACACACACACACACACAAACACACACACGCACACAGAGCCTATTCCTCTGCATTTAAAGATCAACTACACCAATCGAAAACACGCTCACTAAACAAGTCACGCTTAGGAAACAGATTTTGATGATTCGCGGGTAATTGCGAGTTTTTATTAATTCAATAAATAAAAGAAAATATCAAATATTAAAGTCGAAAAATATTATTGAAAAATATCGGCTCATTTTAAATCTGATGTCTGTAAAAAGTCATTAAACTCAATATTTCAACCAAACCGTCAATTTCTGATTTTATGATCACTTACGTCGAGCCCAAACATTGTTGCAGTTGAGAGTTGAGCTCTATCATAATGAGCTTTTAGTACCTGAAAGTGAAGAGCAACTCTCTGGTAATTAGTCGGTGTAACAGCAAACAAACAGCCTCAGAGTCTCCGAGTGTGTGTCTGCCTGCTCTGTAATAATAATTATAATAAATGTGCGCAGCAGAAATGAACTTGTTAAGGTGTAAATGAATCTGTGCTGAGGAGCCGCTCTGGTTGACTATAATGAAGATTATTGGGAGCTTTGCTGCAGACATAATAAGAGTATTAAAATGAATCATCAACACCACAGTAATCCTCTTTAGTCTCTTTGTGGACAGAAAGAAAAAAAAGCTGCTTCTATTTTTATTTTCTGTCTCTGAGGAAACGACTCAGCGCTCCAATTATTACAGCTTTACCTCAGTGTGATCATCATTAATAACTCCACTTTCATCTCCGTCCTGACGCTCTTCGGGCTGCTGGAACATTAACGTGTTTGGAGGATAAACTCTGAGGGATGGCTCAGTCTTCACAGTCAGGCAGATTGAAACTCAGCCCTGTTTTTATAGAGTCTGAGATCTGAATATCTGAGCGCATACCAATGAATGATTCCAGGAGAAGTGAGACTACGGTGGCCCTGAAGGTCAGCTGCACAAACATCCATGAACAGAGACAACGTTCACACAAAATGGTTTTATACACTGCACTTTTGAGAGGGTTCGACAAGTTTTCGAGAGCTCTGATTGGCTGAGAGGACAGAGGAAACTGTGAGATGTAATAACAGTAAAACCAGCCTGTTAAAGGCCTTGCAGACCCATCGAAGCTGTAATCTTTATATGCTCACCATCAAACATCTGAAACCAAACATAAGGAAAGCCTCAGTTCCTGCCTCATGGACCCTCTCTCTCTCTCTCTCTCTCTCAGTTTTCCCATCATGCCTCTGTGCGAGCCTGTGAGCGGCATTAAAGCTGCGGAAACAGGAGTATCACATAAAAAGCAGCCGTTAGCCTCTCTGAGGTTTAATGTTGTGTTAATAAAACAGTCTGCGGTAATGTGGTGATCAGCTCACAACAAGAGAAATGAAAGCAGCCCCCCCGCACCCCCCTCCTACCAACAAATAACCAGGGGAACTCTGGGTAATTCAGCCGATTAGAGCTCCAACAAGTCTTACTGCGGGTAATTACCTCCTCAGGAATTTATTTCCCTCTGCAGCCGCACAGCTTTATGGCTGAGCAGGATTTTAACTTCAGTTATAGAGAAAGGTTAGAGAAAAGGAGGTCACGCAGAGGTCTGCAGGAGCAAACTTTACGGATGAAGATTCAGACGGAGACAGGAAACTTTAAAAATAAGAGAGGACTCTGATGCACTGAGTGAAAAAATAGATTTTAACCCGGCTGGTACAATAAAACAAGGCTCTGTCTTACTGCGCAATAACAAACATGCTCTGACTGGCTGTTAGGAAAGGTCAAAGGTCATGTGACTGAAAGACTGAGCTTTACAGTAAGCAATTTAATCCTTAAGCATGTAAATGAAAGTCGTTAGTTCTCTGCTTCTTCGATGTTTACTTCCATCTATAAATCCAGCTCAGTCAGCAGAGTCCTCCTCCTTCCTCCTGTCAGTCAGTGTGAATCTCCCTGAACTTCATCCTGATCAGCCTGTAGGAGACTCTGATTCTGACATCCTGACTCTGATTCACTCATCTTATGCTCTGTTTAGTCTTAAAGGGATATTCCGGTAAAATTAATGTAGGGTCAAACACGCCTTAACACCGCTTGCTTCTCTAGTTATACCAACTTCAGTAACAATCGCACAATAGTTATACACAGCGGTCTGAGGAGCCATAAACAAACCTCAACCAAAACGCCACTCTATAGCCACAAATAATGCTCAGAACAGCACCTAACTTCATCAACAGTACATATAGGGTCCTAGTCACCAAACATCTTTTTAACTTTGCCTGATTTCTTTAGCAAAGAGACTAAACACAACTCACCTACTCTCTTCCATCAGCCGCTTGTTTGTAGCGAGACCTTGGGCCAATCCATTACGGACTGCTGCGGGGTGGCGCAGCTCAAGGAAGAACATTTATGATGACTTCTTTATCATTTCCTTGAAGTAATAATCACCGTTTCAATCATTTTTCACTGCAGACACGATAGATCTTGCCTTAGCGTTTCGGTCTGATTGCATTTCCTTTAAGAAACGATCATAAATGTTCTTCCTTGAGCTGCGTCACCCCGCTGCAGTTCGTAATGGACAAGCGGCTGCTGGAAGAGAGTGAGTGAGTTGTGTTTAGTCTCTTTGCTATAGAAAACAGGCAAAGCTAAAAAGATGTTTGGTGGTTAGCCAAGAGTTTTCCAGAACCACTTCAACACAACCTCCAGGGCTTAAAACGAGAAAACAGGAGTCACCTGCAGTTTCTTTCCTGTCCACTAGAGGCTGTGGCTGCAGTCAGTCCGTCCTCATAGAGCCCCATTTAAGCGCGGTTTTACACAGCTAGCAATGTTGGCTATAGCTCTTAGTTTTATCTTGCTCGTTGAGATTTTCCTGCTCTGTGAGCTGACTGACTGACTGACTGACTGTCTGACTGGTTTCTGTGGTTTAATAGAAACAAATTGAAATGTTGCTCCCATATTTTCTCCCCATCTGTGCAGTAAATAATCTTTTTAGTATTCTGGAGCTGTCTCAGGAACAAGCTGCCTCCTCTAATGAACGAGGCCTCCAACATTAGAGAGCAGAGGTTAAACTGAGGCTGCTGCTGCTGCTCGGTATTTTTTAACAACCTGAGCAAATCTGTGCCTTTAATGTATTCATTTATACACCTCGAATCATGTCTTTAAGAATGACATTCTTTATTTTAGGGATCTGGATTTTTAACTTTATGGGGAATCTGCACGACTCTGTAGAGATCCTGCAAGACACTGAAACCATGCAGGATTTATGTCTGAGACTCTGTGGGACTTCAGTTTGAGACTCTGCAGGTTTCCAGTTTCAGTCTGTGCGGGTGTC